CCCTAACCCTAACCCTAACCCTAACCCTAACCCTAACCCTAACCCTAACCCTAACCCTAACCCTAACCCTAACCCTAACCCTAACCCTAACCCTACTTAACGCTAGTCAACCAATAAGCGCGCGGACCAAATTCGAATCGTTTTTATCACCGTAATCAATGCGGGATATATGGACTGAGCTTCCGCGTAGGTAGTTTATTAGTGCTGCCCCGGTCGTGTGATGCCTGTGACAACATGCTTTACCGGTTTGGAGTAGGTAGACGCTCGGTGAACACTTCCTATCTAACCACCGGCCTGTTGTCTGTAAGCAGTGATTCAAGTTGTACACGGGGGTGGCTTAACAATTTGCGCACTCCGACAATTTCCACACTTTCGACGTAGTTAACGAACCCTTGAAGCTGTTCCTTAGCATATTGTTATGGACTGGCCTTAGTACCTGCAATAGATCCCAAGTTGTCCGACTTCTGATTGTCGTCTTTTGATGCTTTTGGCTCGATTGGCAGGTACGACCATTGAACTTACCTACAGCTTAGTCTTACGACGTGACGCATATCCAATTGCCATTGTTGTTTCAGGATGGTGACATTTCTATGGAGCTAATGAATGACAATGTAAATTTGAACAAGTTTAGCAATGTACATAAACTTTATATGTGAAATACATTACTTATCATAAGGTCTTAGGAATTTGTTCTCGTCGTTATGAAGGAAACGGTAGAAGGATTCACATGAAATGCCTAATGTGTTAATGTGTTATTAGATCTGGGATTTTACTATCTTTATTGCTTGAACTGGTAGGAGCTTTATGTTTCAATATACCCCAGTATGCCTCATTTTGGTTCTTAGTTAAACACTGCCTAGGTGCTATTGAGCAAAGAATAGGTAAATTGCTCTCATTTTAAAGCATGTGTATAATTAGTTTACTGAATAGCTAGCTATAATGCATTGAGCTAAAAAAATTGTTCTTTACCTACCTTTATCCGGTTTTCCATCTTCCTTCAAGGGGCCCAGGGGCAAAATACACATATGTATTCAGCTGGCGGGGGAATTCTAATTTTCCTGGAATACATTGGTATAAAGGTAGTCTTGGTAAAATTGACGTAAGGTAAGATAAACCTATGTAGCTAGTATGTTATAAATATCTAATAACGCCGCCGCTGACCTTGGAAAGTAAGTCATAAAGGATTCAAAGAAATCAATATACATCCACCGAACTAGACTCATTTTATCCCAAGTGCAAAAAGATGTGCCCCCACACCGGATTGAACGATGGACCTCAGCATAGACTTGGAAAGGGAGATTACAAGTGCTGCGCTCTACCACTGAGCTATAAGGGCATAAAATGATTTGGAATGAGAGCTGCAGGATTCGAACCTGCGCGGTTTCCCATTGCGGGTCAAATGTTCCATGGACTTCGTGAAGAAAGAATGGAAATCCTAAACACAACGCCTTAACCACTCGGCCAAACTCCCATTGGAGAATCTCGAAGAACTGTGGATTCTGGTTGGTCAGCTCACTGGTATTGTTCTATATGAAGAAGGTCCCATCAAACTAATGCAACCTAAAAATATTAACTAATAGCTGAGTAGGTACCTAACGCTAACTTAAAAAACATGAGGTCTCCATGCTGGACGCCCCAGCCACTAGGTTACATACCCTGTAACTTTGCGAAGAGTTGATTTCCGTTAGAAGTCCGGTCTGAGAGGTAATTAGGGGTCTATGGGATTAGGTATGGGATTAGGACTCGGCGCGCGGGTGTTCATTTCATTCATAGGGTCCTGTTAGTTGCTAACTTTAGAAAGGGGAGACTGGAAACTCTTCACAAAGATGTTATACAATCGTATGTTTTCCCCCGGCGGTAATGATGACTACCAGACCAGATGGAATCTTGATGATAGTATACTTGGCCTTCCAATAGATAATTTAGATGAAGCTACGTGTGTGGGGATTTAATTGGCGGAGGCCGGTGAGGTACCTTTCTCCCATCAAGCGGGGCTCTCATATAATATTGATGCTCGTTTTAAGCGGGTTGGAGATATAGGGACATAATTGTCACTTGAAATCAATACTAAACTAGGTAACGTCATGAAATTAAATTGAACACCTTGGCTTAGGACATTTATGATGTTTCCAGCGAACCCCTTAACCTGGAGTTGGATGTAGGTAGATATCATAACATTTGCTACAATGCGTTGGGCTACCAATCTCTAAAAGTTGATCAGAAATCGTCAGGACTTAACTTAGTGTTTTCACCGGTTTATAGTCGCGAGTCCACGAAGGCTTCTTTCGTCAGACATGTCATACTAAAGAGGTGTTGACCAGATGATCAAAACTTTCAAGGTTCCCAGATCCCCACAAGGGCATAATATTGCCAGGAAGGCTCTGAATAGCTTTCTAAAGAGCTATCTTAGGATGGCCAATTCCATACTTGTAAAACGGAAAAATAAGTATAAAAGTTTCCGCGAACGGTTCTTAGAGGTATTGTTGAAATTCTATGGCGGAGGCGAAGCTTGAGCTCTAGGTAGAAATAGAGGCAGTCTGAGTAATACGATATATTATCTAGGTTATACCAAATTTTCTGTACTTCAATGATATTAGGTATAACCTAGGTGGGTAGCTTGCTGCGTCTTAGGGGCAAGAAGATGCAAGAAATCGACAAGATCTCCTAACATTAACAGTGCTTTCAACTCACCTAACGACGTGATAGTGTTTTTTGAAATACTATGTACCCATGTAGGTAATACTAATGATAGGTTGTAGGAGTAAACTTTATATACCTAGTAGGTAGTCCGTAGGAGTTGAATAGGTAAAGCACCCAGAGCTTAGAGGGTTAGCTTCGCCCCAAGCCCGCCTGTCTTTGCAAACGTTTTGATATCGTCAACTAGATCCTCTGGCTTCTCAAACGCGGCAAAATGACCTCCTGTCTGGTGCCGCTTCTCATGCACCACCGGTCCCACTGTTACTCAAATCAGCTGCAGTTGCTTTTGGTAGAGAATAAACGGATTGTAAGCAAATTATAGAAAGGGGAAAGCCAGGGAGGGGGACGCACAAGTCTTGCCCCACGAACTAGGCAGCACGATCACATCTTTTGGAAAATACGATAAACCCAACGGCACCTTTCCGTTCCATTCCAGCAGCGAGTCCATACTCTTGGATTTGTGCGTCACTTCATAATATAGCCGTACGCTTGCATCCGCACCAGCCTCGCTGAACGCATATACGCTAATCCAGGTAAGAACCTCCTCGTCAGTCCACCCATATGCATCCGTCCAACCCCACAGCTTCTCGTAAATCCATGCCAACAGCCCGATGGGGCTATCCGCCAACGAAATGCCGAGGGTATGTGGCTTGGTTCCCTGAATGCGGCTATATCCATCTCCGTCAACGCGGAACTGCTTCGTGCGCTGGAATCCGATTTTCTCGTGGGCGGAGAACCACCCCAGCGCGTACTGCAGGCACAGCAGAGGAGAGGACAAAAGACTCGGAGGCCGCGTAAGAATGAGGTTCAGATGCGAGCCGATAACATGCGCCGGATATTGCTTCCCTAAAGCCCTAGAGATCATAAACCCCCAGTCGCCCCCTTGTGTGACGTACTTCGTATAGCCTAGTTGCAGCATGAGCTTGTGACATACCTCCGCCTGCTGTGGGATTCCAAACCCAGGCCTGGAGGTTCCCTGCGAGAATCCAAAATTTGGGAGGGAAGGGGCCACAACGTGAAACGTCGGTTCGTCGTCTCTATCGCTAGCAGTGAGAAGGGGAAGGATCTTGGAGACTTCGATGAAGCTCCCGGGCCCTTTCTCTATTGTTAGCTACGCATTATCAATGAACTGCTAACGTGCAATACAAACTCACATCCGTGACAGAACAATAATGGGATCGCGCCGGACTTCTCGCTCTTCTTATGCACGAAATGAACTTTCAGATCATCCTCATGCCCCTCCACACCGATCCTCGTTATAAATTGCGGCAGTTTCTCGTTCAAATCAGCCTCTGCGCGCTTCCAGTCGTAGGTCTCCCTCCAAACACCTGCAAGCCTCTTAATGTCATCGAGCGGCGCGCCGTAGCCCCAATCATTGGAAAAGCTGGTCTCTTGCGGGAACGTCGCCAATTCAAGCTTTTTCCTCAACCTTGCGATTGCCGCGTCTGGCACCGCGATCCGGTAAGGTTGGATTACACTGTCAGAACTCATGGTAGCATACAGTCTACAAATATCGAACTAGAGTAGGTTGTAAACTTGCCCCCGTCTAGGTGACTTTGAGAGGGGTGAATGTCTTTATGTACGTTGTAGATTTGTCATGAATATGTACGCGGCCGGATAGGGCATAACCGGCTTGCTCGGTAGCGGGGGAAGGATCAGTGTCCTGTATCAGGAATTGAGTTTCCTTGCATATTGGAAGAACTGTAGGAAGCCACTGTATTCGCATTCAACGAATAGATTAGTTACATAAGGTAATTACCCATACACAGAAACAACCTAAGAATTACACACCTATGAAATGAAAATAAATAGATAAAAGCTGTCAAGGTTTGTTCAATCCGTGGTTTACTATCTACTACGTGCCAGTATCAGCATCATACATCCGACTAACTCCAGCCAGTCAGCAACGCCTCGGCCTATTTCGGATGCGACGACTTAAAAAAGAACACTTAAGAATGGTCTGGGTGGCAATCTAGATAACCGATCCGTGGATTCTTGACTATCCCTATTAATAACCATATCTAATAGTTCGTTATCCCGACGGAGTCTTGTTGGGTCAGATCGGCGCGGTGGGTCTACATCTCGGGATCGCAGGAAGAACTACGCCTGTTTTCTCTACCGCAGGACGGGCTCGGACTACAACGGCTACAGGAAGAGGAATGTCTTCTACGAGATGAGCTTCGATAACAGCTCTCGTATTCGAACCGAGTCCTCCCCCTAGGATGAGATTTCCTTTTGCTACCCGTTAAACTCGCAACTCCTTGGCCTAGATCCAGACCTCATTCTGCCTTGCAAACTTCTACCCTTATCCATGTTTCTAGGTAGATAAGATTCCTAATCCCTATCTCGGCCTCTATCCCTCGTATCTCTTCTCGCGCGTGGCGGCAACGGCGACCTCGACCTGCTCCGGCTTGAGCTTGAGCTTGAGCTGTACCGTCTCCTCTTCGCGCCATCCGGGCTAGGAGATCGGCTATCGTATCGGGGTCTCTTGCGAGGCGCGGTGCTGACGGAGCTCGTTTTCCTACGCCGCCTTACGGGCAGTGGAGAGAGCGACTTTCGCGAAGGACGACCCCGTTGCGTGGGTGGGGATCGGGACCGGGAATAGCTTGAGCCGCGGCGCTGCCGATGGAGAGGTGGACTGGCCGAACGAGAATCTCGTCTTGCTGCCGGCACCCTGCGCGAAGGTGGACTGCGGCTTATGGAGGGCTTAGTTGTTGCTTTACGAGATGGTGGGCTGCGGCTTTGTGAAGGTGTGTACGAACGAGATCGGCCGGAGCCTCGATCGCGACTATATGAGTGGGGCCTAGCAGCGTTTCCTCGCGCAGGTCGTGGAGTTGCCGATCTATAACGCGAATAGTTGGAATTCCGACGGCCGCGGGGAGGGCTTGGGGAAGCAGAGTACCGCTTACTAGCTCTCCGCGGAGACGGACTCCGCGACGAGCTGTAAGAGTACGAACGAGCGCGCGACGGGCTTCTACTATACGACGGCGACCGGCCACGTCGCGGTGGTGTTCGGGACACCGAGCGGCCCCTATTGAGAGCCCTTCGCGGCGTTCGAGACCTAGATCTAGAGCGGGACGAATAAGAAGAGCCGGTGTACGACGAATAGCTGGATACCGAATCGGAGTCTGAGTCGTCGGCGGCGGCGGCCGGCGGTGCGGGAAGAGCCGGCTTCGGCATGTTCGCCAAGTACTCTCTCATCTCTTCCGTGAGAGCACCCATACCGATGCTAGTAAAGTAGTTGATCGAGAATCGCACGTTCCGGGCGTTGTCGCGAGGGAAGAGGCCTGTAAAGCTTTCCTGCAACGTCTCGTCTCGCATTCGAGACTGCAACTTTGCCATGCCGAGCTCTTCGGAGATTTCCTGAAATAGGATCTTGATAAAGATTCGGCTAGCGGAGGTAGTCTCCTCTTCGTTTAGGTGTATGATAGAGAGCGCGTGCCAGCCGATAGCGTCCGACCCAAGCAGGTGGCCAAAGAATCTCGCGATATTTCGTAGTCGATTAGTCTCGTATCGGTGAATGGTCTCGTAGTATTTCTCAAAGCTCTGCGTGAAGAGATCGCACCAGACCCTGTTTATTTTGGAAAACCGTTCTCCGATCAAGCCGAAGAACTTGGAATAAGTCTTCTCTTGACTGCAACACTCGACCACCATAGATGGCAGTTCCGGCTCTTGCCCAGGAGGCAGGCTGACCTTTAGAAGCTTGTGGACGCACTCTTCAGGGTCCATACTGCTCATGATAGTTAGGTAGATAGTCTTGCGCAGGTTCACCAGGTCAGTATTAGACTGATCCTTAATCTCTATAGCTTTTTGTTCCTCCTCTTCTTCGTCGGAGCTCTCGTCGTCGTCGTCATCGCCGTCGTCATCGCTACCTTCTCCCAAGATTTCGGCTCTTAAACTCTTATACGCCGCCTCATTCTCCTCCCACTCAGGGTCGAACTTAAAAATGTTAAGCCCATCTTGCAAGTCCAGGTCAGCATTTAATTCGACTCGATGCGTGATCTGGTCCTCTTCTTCGATTAAGTCTAATTCCTCCTTGATCGTAGGGTTGTCCTTGAATTTGTCCTTTCGTACCTGGAACAGTACTTCGATCATGAATTGGACCCGCTTATCTATGTCCGCCTCGTGCAGGATGTTCCGGAACTGGTCGAAAACGATATTGGCGATCGCAGGACTCATCTCTTCAAGATGTTGTCCTACCTCTTTCGTCAGGCCTACCGCAATCTCCACGCTGTCGTCGGTCGGTTTTTGTAACAAGAGGATCAGGATCTGGGCGGCCACCATCTCGTGGACCACCTGCTGATTTACCAAATGCGCGATGAACATCGTGGAGGACAGACAGACCGCCTTGTCATTCCGCTTAAATGCCTTCCTGAATTGCATGACCAATCTCTTGACTAGTAGCTCGCCAACCTGCGGCAGTTTCGTGTTGACAATAGCCGCCATAGCCGCAAGAACCGGCGTGAAGGGCAAGCTAGCAGCTTGCGCCTTCATGATGCTCCTACAAAATAATCCTCGGCCTCTGACCAGATTTTCTTGGAACATCTCCGGGACGATGTGCTTGATGTTCGAGACGTTTACCTTGTTGATAAGACCGTTGATGCTCTTCTTCAATGCTTCCCAGGCCATGCGCTGGTATTCCTTGCTCGTCTTATCCGTGATCTGGGCTTGCAGCGCTCGTAGACGTGCAGGAGGGATGTATGTTCCTCCCGATCTCATGTTGAGGAGCTTCTGATACTCAGCCTTTGCGGCAGCCTGCTTCTCCTCCTCAGTAGGTATCTTCGGCGGCGTACGCTGTCGGGGTGGCGATCGCTGTCGGGGAGGTGGTGAACGACGGCCTCTATCGCGTGCCGGTCTATACTTGTCGCCGCCATCTCGAGGTCGACCGCGATCGTTATCGCGGCGCGGAGAACGAGGGATAGAAACTTCCTTTGGCGAGCGTTCGCCTAGGTGGCGCGTCTCGACCTCGGCCATGTTTTGCTATCCCTATCTAGTACCTGTGTGCTCTAGCGTTTTATGGTACGAACCGGGTAATTAATACTCGACCATGAACTAAATATTATCTTGCGTCTTCGCTAATGGAATTTATCTTCGGAGACGAAAAAGTTAGATAGTTGATTGATAAAAAGTTGAATTGGCAAGGCGAAAATCAACCGTAAACCTACCGTGACGAAACTTTTGGTGAGGCTGGCCTATATCCCTGCAGGTGGGTCACATATAAATGAGATATCATTGGTTCAATTCATATCCCTGCTAGTAATTAATTCAAGCCACAATCGATTAAGGTAGGTCTACCTACTAGCCACGCTACAACTTTAACTTAGAATTGCTATTCAATCGCTCAATCGTGTCGCGTCTCTTCGATGGGACAACCCGATTTCTCGCTAGTCATCCACCTCAGAAGTTCAGCAAAGGCGCAAACTTTTTATACACAACCTTATAAGCCATCTTTTTAACCACTAATTCTTCAATTCTTCGCGTTCCTTACCTACTAGGTACTTAAAAACCAACAATTATCCACTTACCACTTTATAATCGACAATGGTATGCGAACCGCTCACTCACTCATCTAACTTGCGCCCTAAGTCATACTGTATACCGCACATAATAGCTATCTAACACCCTACTCACAGCTCGGCACTTTAGTCGGCCTCGCCATGCTTGTGGCTGCTTCCGTCGTCTTCCTCTACTATTCAATCTGGACATTGGCTATGGTACTTCCCCTTAACTCGCTCGCCCATCCTCTGCTATTCAACTCCTATCGCCCTCCTCCATACCTCGAATTACTCTAACATCTAAATAGCCATTCGTCGACTCCGATCATCCTCTACATGCCTTTTTTCCCCCTCGTGTCTGGGCCATCCGTCTCCCCGTGATCCTAATTCTCCTTGGGTCTGCCGTTGTTGGTTCCTTCCTCAGTGTCGTCATGATCCGCAGCAACAGAAAGAAGGCCGCGAAGGCCAAGGCTGCTGCCTCCAAGAAGAAGGCTTAGATTTCTATGTTTTCAAGGTCGGAAAGTTGTCTAGCCTGGAGCGTGGGCGATTGTGAACAGGAGTTGGGCATGGGCATAAGGACTTGGATTGCTTACAAAATTCCAACGACCACAAGCTGTGGACGTTATTACAGGCGCTACGCTGAATCGAACGGCTCCGTGTACCTATGTTGCTACGCTGAGATAAAAGAAAGAATTGCTAATACCAAATATAACCATATAAATAGCTGCGTTTATCTACGTTTGAGAAGAGAGCATGCCAAGGTGACTTGATGTATCTAATTGAGCTATGTTCAACTCGCTACGGACGACGGGGACTCTATACGTCTCTCGCGTCTCGACAATGCAAGGTAGTTTATGCAATAACTCCGGTTCCTACCGTTCCATATCATCCAAAAATCGCAAACCTGATCAAGCGAGGGTCCTATAGGATGTCTAGTCGCAAGAGAGCCTTGCTCGCGGCCTCTTGCTGACGTTTGCGCAGTCTGAGCATCCAACTCCGTGTTGAACCAAGACGCCTATTCCAGCAACCCAGAGTCAACTCAAAATTCGGCATTTGTCTCAAACTCTCTGGTCCGCAAAATCAAGAACTTCGCAATCGTCCTCGAAGAATCCATCTTCATCAACATCTGCAGATCTGTTTCCACCCCTACGCCGTCTGGTAGTGACAACGATCTGTTCATCGTGCTCGCCGACTTGCAATACCCGTTCCATAGCCGACGCAGGCAAAGCTCGGTGATCGTCGATGCTGCTGCTAATATCCTCGTCGATAAAATTCGCCAATCCCGCATTCACGATAACCCCGCTCACGGGTTGCCCAAATGCCCAAGGCTGCTCCGACGTGACCGGAGCGTGGCGACGATCAGCCTTTCTCGGTTTGTCTTCCAATGTTGTGGCGGCTAAGAGACGAGACACGGACGCCGCCATGTCATCCGCATATACGTATAGGCCCACCCTTCTGTCGGTGTGGAATGGCTGGTAGGGCGCGCTAGACTCTATCTCAGCTTGCGGGATAGAGGCCTCCGGGCTATAGTCGGAATCGACAGATTGGGGACGAGGATTGAAAATCAACGTGTTACCGCCCTCATGGTCCTGGTTGGTAATGTCCAGATCTTCAATAGGATCGATGATCTGTTTGATAGAAGGCGCGATGAGATCATCTGGGAGGCTCCTCAGCTTGAAATCCCTGTATCTATTGCTATGATGCAAACGAGGCTTGTCTTTTCCGATTGTTGGTCTTCGGCTTTTACCGGGAAAAGTCCTCACTAAGCCATCTCCTAGCACGAATAAGGTATGATATTTCTTGCCGGTAATCCAAGTTGCGCAGAATGGACCAGGAGACATGCTTCCCGGTGGGAGGCTCACACGATTCTCGCCAGTATGACGTAGTTGGTTGATGGCTGTCCCAGCATTGCCCAGAGAATGACTAATTCCTGCAGCAAGCACCTTGCCCCCGTAACCGGCACGGTCCATTATAGTGGATGCGGTTTGCGAGTTTGAGATGCTGCGCTGGTGGCGGGAGGTCAAGGTCCGGGTAGCGCCGTAAGCGGAACTGATGGCGTTCGACGCCAGCGAGACAGCTGATTGCGCATTTTCAGAGCCTTTGGGTGATCCATCCTCAATTCGTACCCGACGGCGGGGGGGAGGCCATGCGTAAGCACTCGACGGCATATCCAGTAAATGTACGGTACCCCTCTCGGTCACCATCGCGGCTCGCTCTCCGTTTGGCTTGGCCCACGAGACGTCGACAATCCGGGCGACGGTCATTCGCGAAAACTGCGCCACTTGCCTTACTCGCGTTGTGTGTCCGTTATTCGGTTGCGAATTCTGCAAGGCGGAGGATTTCGTATATTGAATACGCATCAGGTCCCACACTGTCTGGACATCGCCCTTGCTACTCGCGGTGAAGAGAGATAACCCAGCCGGCGAGAAGGATAGAAAGCTGCAGCCAAGAGGCGCCTTGAACGTAGTAACGTGGTGTATTGTGGTCGAGTTTGTGAGACTTTGTAAGTCCAAAATTGACACAAGACCTGGTTCCTTAGTCACTGCTTGACCCGGTATCCCGTAGGTTGGTGGGAACTGAGCAGCGTCTGATCTTCCTGAATACCCGCCGCTCCACGGAGGGGATCCCATCTGAGGTTGTCGAGGCTGCGCTTGTTGACCAGGCTTCGACCAGTAATTCTTCCATAGTTGAGCTGACTGCTTCCCGACCCATCGAGCCCCTTGGAGTAAGTCTTGGGTGGTCTCCCTCATAATGCGATTCACCACACCATCAGGCATAGGCTGGTCGACATCAGTGCTTTCATTTGGCAGGATTGGGGGGGCAAGCGTTGTCAAGCCGGGTACTTTGCCTTCCAGAGGCACTGGGACGGACGGATTGAGCGACTTTTGAGGCGACGGCGCCGGTGGGCAGTATGCCAACCATCTGCCGCTAAGCGATATGATGGGCATCTGCGGCCGCTTGCCGGTCGGAAGCTGGTCCGTACTCCTCTCCTGTTCGGGCGTCGAGCCTCCATTCAAGCTTGTCCACAATTTGCCTACACAACAGAACCGATACCGAGGGTCTTGTTCAAATTTCGCCTGCCGGTAAATCCAGCATTCTCCAGTAGCCCCGGAAGACACGACGACGCTCCCGGCATCAGCGCGGATCTGAAAGGCGCCGGCTGGAGGAGGGCTTCGGAAAATCGGATTCGATACCGAAGTCTTGATGGGGGTCTTCGGAGCTTGCAGAAGTACGTCGACTAGTCTGTTCGATGACAAAGAATACACCTCGACGGTAGTTTGGTAGGCATCGACCACCGGCAGCGTCTTTCCAACATTAACCTGCCGCTGGTTACCGTCCGGCTGAGGTGTATGGATGCCCTCTAATCTAGGACTGAGGGATCCATCAGGACGTGGATCGACGGCTATCTCGGGAGCACTCGGAGGTATTACTGGCCCATGGATAACAAGAGCAATCAGAGGGAATATCCCATGTGGATCTTGGACGTCATTCCAAGGGAGAATCTTGGCATTATAAACTCCACCTCGCAACCCTTTCAAACTTGCGAGTGGCTCGACAGCATGCTTTGCAACGCTGTAGATGTCGATGCCGCCTTCGTAGCCTGCAAGCACAACATTATCACCGCCCGGCACGTGAACCCCATCAGAGGTCGGAAGAGTGTCGAAGCCAAAGTAGAAACCCCTCTCACCAGGCTTCAAGCCAGCCTTAGCATTTAGATCAAAGTCGATGTCGGGAGCTCCATAGAAGTGGGCCTGAGGCTGGTGAGGTAACGGCGGGTGAGACCCGATTCGCGGGGCGGGAAACGGAGAGTGCATGGAGCTTCTCCGCACCTCGGGAGGCGACGACGCTTGGGAACGGATATCGTTCGTAGGGTAGTGCGACTCCAACTGGAAGCTCAAAGGTCGCCTGATGCCATTTGGGGGGGACGCTGAATAAGTGTTGTTATTCACAAAGTGATGTCGTTGCTGCGCACTCCAAGCATACGGTAACGCCCGCTGGTCCTCATAAGAGGAGGGCTGGGTGGGTGGAGAGTCGCCCATGATGCTTATCAGGTTCGAGGGTGATCCAGCAAAAGGACCCATCGCCCTCGCCCATTCGGTAGCGCTCGGCGCTGTGCTAGCGGATACCGATGTTGTCGAGACCGCGTCCAGCAGAGGAGAGACCGCCACATTGCCGTTCGTAGGGATCGATGCGGGAGTGGCGGGTTTCAGCTCGGGAGACTGGGCCAGGGGGGAGTCGAATGGCGGCGACGCATCTTTGGCGATACTGCCATTACTAATTTACGGTTAATGTCACTCTTATCTACTAGAACCCGAAGAGCGGATAAAGAATATGTAACTCAATATGAACTTTGTAGGGAGGATATTCCGTAGAGGACGTACGTGAATTTAGCTCCATGTCTCGTCACCGCTGCGACAACCCCGCCGCTTTCTTTAACATTCTTATCCTTCTTCTTTGAACCTAGCGCATCACTTCCAGTAAGCTTCTGTTTTCGTTTACTACGACTCTTCCTCCCCACGGAGGAGGACGAGGCCGGGGAGGTGTCGCGGGTGGACGAACCGGGCATAGGGTGGTGCTAGCAAGTTAGCTGGGGCAGTTTCCTGCTCGCCAGCGGAGGAGCTCAAGGATGAGCTCAACTCGCAATAGAAAGGTCGCAGAGGTTTGTCGCGATAGGTCCTGTGGAGGGGAGAGAAGAGTCACAGGGAATCGTAAATAAGGCGATTGTCAGATTCTACTTATCGAGTCGAGGTTGATTCGATGGAAGAGCCGGAGGGACAAAGGCACACAAGCGCGTTGTACGCGGTCGACAGTTAGAAAGCGGGAAGCCGAAGCTGCCTAGGTAGGATTGGGAGAGAGGAAAACACAAAGGAGAAGAAAGAGAGACGAAAGACGCAGGTAACCGAATAGGAACGGCAAAGGTATTATTACGATCTCGTAGGGGTTCTCATGAAATTAGTCGTAGCCGTCGAGGGGTTGATGCAGTTGATTATGCCAGCACTGCTGTTTTGTTTTGTTCTGTTTTGTATTGTATAGTATTCACAGGAAAAGGTATCGAATCTATAGAGGCTTACTCGGTTTGTTGTTTCGCTTTGTTGTTTAAAGAGAGAAGATGGATTAGTTGAAAGACTTGAGAGGGAAAAGAGGTTAGGGAACCAAGGATACCAAGGATACGATGTATGACTCGTTCGGAACGAGGCAGGTCCTATCGGGGGCTTCCAGCGAGAGCACCTGGACAGTCCAGATAGAAAGGCGGGGCAGAGGGCAGAGCGGTAGGTAGGAGAGGTACCTAGTATGTGAAGGTGAGCCCTGGAGAGTACTTAGTACAATACAGGCGCGATTAACAATATGTACAAGCAATACCACGCTATTGACTGTTGACTTACGGTACCTAGGCACTAGCTAATTGTATTGGATATGGGGGGAAGGAGGGGGAGAGATACCTTAAACACATTAGACTAATGACCTAACAGGGGTGAAGTTCCAAGGTTCTACGTGTAGTTCACCAAGTCACTAATCTGGCAACTTTCTAGCCTGTAGATAGGCGCGATAGGCACATGTGGATCAACGTTTTAGAACCCCAAAGGCAAGGAACATGGCCGAAGTGGATATATCTACGTATTGGAGCTCGTTGTACCTGACCTACCTACTTACATAACTCTTCTATCTTTTCATGCCTACCTATCAGTATCATTATTACATGTAACTATCATATCTATGTACATATTGTTTTCCCATATTATCCTTGTTTTTCTGATCGCGCATAAAATACGGGCAAGTCTTTGTTTGGCTGAGCTATAGAATTGCATAAGTGTTGGACTTGTCCGAAGACAACTCACACACACAGCCTACAGCCGGAATGACATTCCTGGGAGACGATGCCCAGTACATTCACTACCTACCTAGCTGCCTAGGTACCTACCCTTCATGTTACATTCGATTATACACATATACATATATACATATGGGATTATCCTCGGACTTATCAATCGCCAGTTGACCTCGAACATGCCAAAGTAATAGAGGTACAAGAGTGATAAGGTCGAGAATGCAACCGACCCCCAGGGCTGTTCCCATTGTGCGGACTTACATACCTCTCTAGTACCTCCCTACACATGCGCAATCAGCTGGAGCCCCTCACTATACCCAGTTTAGAAATGCCTGAGTGGAGCTCCCAAACAGCTTCCAGTTGTTGTGTTGTTCTGTTGAGCTGAGATGAGCTGGACGGTGTTTTCAATTGTCAGTCGGACCTGACCCTTGTCTTATGAATGCTTGTATGAAGAATATGAACAATATATATGAATAACAGAAAGGGGAAACGGATGACGATGCCGAATGATGTCGAATGCATTCATGTGAATGTGAATTCTGTCATGGTCTTACGTCATCGGCTCTTCGAAACAAACAGCTTTAGGAAATTTCCAACTCTCGAAAAGAGATCAAAGGATTAATATCAAAGGGATTTGAATGGGTGTGGCTTATTAAGGGTTATGGTTGAGGGATCATAATGCATTTGTATCAGGTATCCACGTCCTAAGTAAAATCCACATTATTCCGGATGATTTCATCACGGGATCTATCGTCATCATCCTAATATATTAATTAGTTATCACCCATTACTTGCCAGCTGGTCCAGAAGCTCCCCGCGCTCACTTCTCAAATTGCCAATGTGATCATGAATACATTTCATTCATTGGGGGTACAAAGTCAGCTGACGTACTGTTGAAAGCCAAAGACACCTTCATATACCTAGTAGTAGATGCAAACAGCTTCCATCGCTGCTATTCTTAGATCAGTACGAGGTGGGCAGGTACCTGTTTATCAATAAATTCAAAGTTTACATCGTGGCAAAGTCATAGACTCATAGTACTGTATCATTGCCGCTACTTCATACTTAAGTAATCGATAAAGAATAGATTCATTGAACTTTCTGTCAATTATCAAGTTCTTAGCCTTGGGTAATTCCAAGTTGTTAACGCCTGCCCTAATGCCTACCTAGGTACCTATGTACATAGGTACCAAGCAGGATGCAAGAGTAAACCTTGAAGTCATCTGCGTAAGAAGACTTGATATAACCGATATTTCAATCCCCCTTCCACCTCGTTCAAAATAGCATGCCCCGCCCACGACACCGCTTGCCGCTCGCCATTCTTCGTAATAAAGTCTACTGAGCCTTGGAGCACTGCAATTTTCAATGTTAACCTTTTCTCCTTTAATGGACGCTCAACAGATATTTAGAAGCTCCAATTTGTGTTCTAATAGGAGGTCATATGCTCACTATATTCTATAATTCCTTCGCGCTCATCGGCTGCACCAAAGGACGCTGGAAATACCTTCCCCAGTTTATGCCTCCGTGATTCCATCTCTTCCCACATGCCTTGGCGAAATCGACGAATCTCTAATTGGAATTCCTAGTTAGCTGCCAATGGTATTAACCTAGAAATCAACAATCTTCATTCGCAAGTACCATCAGTTCCCCTAGCTGACCTATCACCAATGATAACCATGGCGTCTGGTAAGAAGTAATCCACCCATTCCTCGTTCTTCGACGAGTCGTCAGATACAGCATAGAATCTCTCTATGAAATATTTGATTCTCCCATTGGCCGCATGTCTAGGCGGGAGCGTGGGGGCGTAGCTATTAGAGGACGCCATTGTAGAGCTGTGTAGAGATGACGTAAATGAGTAACTCCTGTACTTAACATGAAATGAAATTGAAGTGTAGAGTGATTTTAAGATTTATTGGACATGTAGGTGCTATGTGTACCTACTAGGTACCACCTAGTAGACAAACAAAAAAAAACTAAGTAATCTAGGTACATATGGATGAAGGTGGCTTCCAAATCAAGCTGTTTTAGCATCCACGACTTTCCTATATATTCTACCTTTCTAAGCAGCCGGTGTTATTACATACTTCCCAATAATATCTACGATGCTAGGTATATATTTGACTAATAAGAATGACATCGTTGGTAGCTACATGTAGACGGGATGCCTAGCGTTACACATTATAAAATGTCAATGTAGGGCGACTATCGCGAATAATACCTACTAGGTACCTAAGGAAGCCATATTCAGTCGTAAAGGACGATAGCATTATAGACAAGAATCATGCACAGCAGCCTTTTCTTCCGCGTCCATGGGGGTTTCACTTCATGCTCTCAGTATCTCCCGTCCCCTGCGTGCAATTTTCGAATATTACCATCATTGATATATGCCCTAAGAATGGGATGTGCAGGACATAGCTCTTGGATGTTTAGCCAAACTACACCGCGGGCCAACTAGACCATCTCCCAACCTCAACTTCCGACACCACCCAGAATCGCCCGTTGTCCTCTAGGCTTGTTAATGGTCATATGCGAATTGAATGAAATATAGTCGCATCGAAAACAGGATCGTCAATAGACTAAGATTTATCGACGTACGCGATCCGATTCGCAATTAAGGACCTATGATCCAATGCAGGAGTCTGAAGAGGAGGACCCTGGCAATCCGCAACGACATAGCAATCCTCCTGTAACCTTATACCCCCCTATATTCTCACCGTTTTCCCAGGGGAAAAAAAACTCGGTAGGCATTTCATTTTACAGGCCCATGTCAGCGTAAACCTAGGCGATAGTAAGGCTCGATAAATCAAAACCTCAATAGAGGTCTGTGACCAGAGTAAGGGTTGGGTGAATAGTATCAATCGTTAGCGAAAGACTAGACGTCCTCTCATTCTGCAGGTTGGAAATTATAGAGATTGAGTTAGGGGGGGTGCAATCACATCCTCACTCCTCGTGAATTCACCTCTCCTCTTCCTCCAATATTCAGTGCTATACGGCACTCGGGGCAATACCACTTTGTCGTACGTGCAGGTATCTCAGAAAGACCAACACAGGCGAGATGGAACCATTCTTGCTTGCAATTCTGTACGTGGTGCTCGGTTAGTTTCTTAACGCGTCTTGGCTTGTCATCTCGTGCTAGGGTTTTGGTAGACTTTTCGGCGCTCACATCAACGTTGTCGCACTGTATCATAGTGCCGAAGCTAACCCCATTGCAAAGGCAATATCTCGGTTCCTCGGGATCGATGACATTGCCGTCGTCGTCCACTTCACCCTCAACTTCCTGGTTCGCTCCTTTCTCCTTCTTGCCGATGGCTTTCTTGCGAGGCGCAGCCTTACGCTTTCCTATAGCGCTGGTGCCACCCGAGTTTGTAGTCACCACGCCAGGTGCCGGTCGTTTTGCACGCTTGCTAGGTTGGCGCAGCTCGGGGGCTGGGGTGTTCCGAGCAGTGCTTGCGCGCCGAGGACGTTCAGCTGCGAGGGTTGGGAGAGGCTCTTGACTCGCGGCTTTGCCACGTGAGGTAGGTCGACGCGTAGACGTTGGCTGCCCTTCGGTTGTGAAAGTAGTTGTTGGGGTGTTGCCCCGAGAACTTGGCTGCTTGGGGTTAGCTGGAGCGGGGGTAGGAACTTGCTGCAAGTTCTGCCTAGTTTCCCTTTTAGGTATCTCCCGAGCCGGAGGGGGAATCGGCGTGTTTGAAGTTTTAAGGGGCAGCGGAACAGGCGTCTCTGCTGGCGGTTTAACAGGGACGGTCGTGGTGATGCTGGACGATGGTACTGGGCTAGTTGCTGAAGACGAAGCAGCAGACCTTGTAGTGACCATGGATGTGTCAGACGAGACAGGAAGTGGGACAGGCACCGGTGTCTTCGATGTCGTAGTAGCCTGGGAGATCTTTCCTAGGTGCGGAACGGGGACGGGAGTTTCTGTGGGCGCAGGTGCCGTGGATGCCGGAGGTGGAGGGGGCACTGACGGTGGACGAGGAGTCAGTTGTGGCAACGGAACCGGAGTCTCGGTCTTCGTTCGTTTCATTGGAGGTTTCTCGGGCTGGTTAGCCGGTTGGTTCGCAGGCAAATTCTGGGACACCTCAGGTTTCTCTGAAACGGGAGTCTCTGACATGGAGTTACGCTTTCGTTTTCTAGTTTTTTGCTTGGTAGCTTTCCCTTGGCTCTGACTTGCCTCGGGCGGCCTGTCCTGGCCCCCGTTGACGGACGGAGAGGCTTCGTGGCTAAGAAACATGCGCGCAGCTTCCATCATTTTTCTAGCGGACTCTTCTGCTTCCTCGGCTGCGATCCTTGCCATAGATTCACGTTTCAGCTTTTTGGCCTCATTCAACTTCATACCGCGGTTGCTTAACTGTACCTCGTCGGCAGTTAGGGCTTCAGCGCTAATAGCGCCTTCGGGAGGGTGCTGAGCCCCGGATTCGGCATCGACCACCGGAGCGGGGAGGGCCGCCTCGAAGGGCTTGCCTTCTTCTTCCGCTTGTTTCTGGGCAGCCCTGTAGGCTTCGACGCCACGTCCCAGGTTCTTAAGCTCGCGAGCTATCATAGTGTCGCTAGGGTTCCATACCGCATTCTTCTTCATGCGCTTTCGTAGCTTTGCCAGTTCGTAAGGCGTGAGTTGAAGCCATGGGGCATCAGCGCTGCCGGGCACTGCGTTCTCGGGGGGCGGCTTAAGCTGGGCCAATGCAGTGCTCGTAGACATCATAGGAATTGTGTTGTCAGATCTGTTGGTAGACGCTCGAGGAGGTCGCGGTGGTTTGGGAATTTTCTGCTTAGGGGGTTTGGGGGACTTAGGAGGTTTGACCACCTTGATGCGAGCTGACGGAGTCGCAACTTGCCTTGGAGGGGATACAGGCATCTCTTCCTCTTCCTCGTCATCGTCGGAGCTCTCATCGCTCAATGAGGTATAGGAGTTGAAATCGATCTCGTAGGGCGCGAGAACTTCCCCTGGGACAGTAATTCTAGGTGGTCTCTGTATTTTCTGTCCGTTGCTATCTAGTCGAAGAGTGATCTTGGGGGTGCGAACCATCTGCGGGGATTTAACATGGGTAGGGCTCTTCTGTTCCTCTCCGGTAGGAAAATTATCGCGCATCGCTTGAAGCTTCGCATGGATGGTTTTAGCTCTGTTATAATGTCGGACTACATTTTCGTGTATGCGAACAGCTTCAGCGTGCGAAAAGACGCGCGAGCTGACGGCGCGGTTCAGATTTTCAGATATCTCTTGGCGCAACTTTGCGGGGGTAGGACGCTGGTCGACGGGTAGAGTTGGTAATTTTCCCCACGTAGCAGTGAGGCCATTTACGGTCGCTGAGGCCTCGAGGTAGGCTTGGTCGAGATTCCCGATGAGGGTAAGAGATCGCATCATGTCGGACGAGAGGTATTCGGTAAAATCAAGAAAATCAGTTACCGTAGCTTGTGCATCTGGGTCGGCGCGCATAGTGAGGGATCCGAGGCCATTATTCGAGGTATCTAATGATGGGATCGACTGTGTCAAAGTGCTAGAGTCCTTGTTCCTTGGTGAGATATCACCATCAAGCTCCCCACCTTTATCACCGTTTGGTTCTACTGCGGTTGTCATAATTGCAACGCAGATCGAGGAAGGTTGCTTGTTCTTGTATGGAAAATTGCAGCATTAAATTTGTTAAAAAGTGGACAGTAGTGGAAATTAATGATAGCAAGTGAGCGATGAGGAGTGATGAAAGATGTACGGTAATAAAGTTAACGCGATTGCGTGTTGAAGTGATGATATGGAGAGTGACAGGTAGTCGCGTCAAGGTTTGTGGTCCGAGCTTCATGATTTAACTTTTCTTACCTAATCGCTCATGACTTGAATGTATAGGTACCTATGTACATGCGCAAGGTGAACTTCGCGGCAAGACTTCGGACACTGAGCAATATGTGCATATTATTACGAAACCCGGAATCTGTGAAAGGTTCCTCCTTTCACCAAACCCTTTAATTGTTGCCTCAAGCCTACATCTAGGTGCCTATTTATCCAGGTTACAAATCCAAGTCTAATATAAACATGCTTTGCCTCTTCTGCTCTTCAAGGCATCATTACGTACTTGAAATGCAACTTTCTCCTAGCAATAATTACGCCGAGAAAGGAAGATTTCTCTTTGAAAAAAAAAAATGAATAAAAAGCATCTTCCGTTCTATCCATTACCCGCTAGTTTTCATTTCCCCATTCTGCCAACGCCGCGGCTGGGCTTGCAGGAATCGGCGGCTGAATGAAAACACCACGAATAAACATGCTAGAATCCTTTATAGTACTCTCCCCTATTATCCATGAACTCCAACCATAATATTCTAAGAAGCTCCGGCAGTTACCAATAGTATATTACTCCACGTTATAAGAATGGTGGATTATTGATGCGAACAACATGTCCCCTCTATTCGCTCTATTGACGTATTATTAACACCTTAGTTTGTAAACGTCTAACGACTACCTATTAACTATGATAGCTATCATCGTACTATTCTCACTACTTCTGCCAATAGCAGCGGGTATAGACCCAGGCAGTCAAGAAGCTCGGAAACGCCCGATCATTCTAAGTAAATCCGGCGGTTTTGTAGCTGGAGGCAATATCGTCAAAAGCCCCGTCTTCCCTAATTTTACTCTCTCGTGCGATCATGGATACATGGAATACTTCATTCCCTGGAGGCCGCGAAGTACAAGCATTGTTATGTGGCATAGCGCAACCACGCAAGCGTTTCAAAATCGCTGGGACGGTGGCGAGGGCTATAAAGACATGTTCCTACGTCGTCGCTATCCCGTTTATCTCTGGGATGGCCCTCGGGTTGGACGGGCCAACTGGGCGTGCGAACCATATCTCTACACGCCCTTTTACACAGACCAAGGCAATTTTGTAGCTTGGAATTTTGGACCCTCGTATCCAAATTTCTGGCCGGATGTGCAGTTTCCTACTCGAGATCGTGAAGCGTGGCAACAAGCGACTAGCGCCCGTTATGTGGAGTTCGACACCAACAAGAACGTACATCTTGAGTCTCAAGCAGCCGCTATCGCAGCAGACTCGGGTCGGCTTGGAGATAGCGTTGTGTATCTAACCAACTCGGCGTCCGGTCTACGTGCCCAACTAACGGCTATCAAGAGCAACTCAACAAATATCAAGGCCATCGTAGCCTACGAGTCCTACGGTTGCGTGTTCCCGGACACATACAATATCACCGCTGGGGAGCCATTTGGTCCTCTAAAAGTGCCTCTTGAAGACTTTAAAAAGTTAGCCAAGCTCAAGGCCATCCAATTCGTGTGGGGAGATCACAGAGAAGAAAGCTTCCCATTTCTTCGACAAGCAAGACAAGTAGTAAAGCTCATCAATATGTATGGTGGGAATGCGGAAATATTCTTCCTAAACAAAGACGGGGGGCTCAAGGGAAATACACATTCCGCATTTGCAGATATGAACAATGACGAGGTTGCCGGGCTTTTAGACGAATTTCTTGAGCAGAACGATTTAGACGGATACGATAGGGATACGGATGATAGCATCGACGATTTAAACCAAGAGTGGCTAAATAATGATTTCAACTAACTGCCTACCGAGTTAGATTTCGAGGACAATTGATATGGGAAATTCCTAGGCGTAGGCAAATTTAAGCGGTTTTATATGTACGTAATTTCAAGACAAGAAATTGCCTCGTTGATTAGTACCCAATGATAAATATAACCATAGGCTTCTAGTATAAGAGCCTATAATACAACTTGAAAACAATATTGTGCCCCTTGACCTGATATGTCGCTAAGGCCCTTCTATTATCTCCGCTGAAAGGAACATTGATAGCCACCATGACCCAAATCGCCTAGAGATCTGTCCTAGCCCATCCTACTTAGGTAGGTATTGAAATTCATCTTCCGCCATTTCAACCCACGATTGCCTTTATATCTAGTACGTGCACTCGCAGAGGGAATCATTGCAACACCACTGTTTGTCACCCCCGTAGCTTTCGCATATCCCCCCCTCGCAGCCTGCCACACATGCCGCATCGCCATTGTACATCCGGCATCCACTATAGAGGCAATGAGCATTTTCTACAGAATATATACGTAGCTTGCTCCAAAGGGAGTTGGAAAGAACTTACTTTTCCCTCTGAATCAGCCCGGATAACTTGGTTTCATGAAGAGTTGGGGTGGCAGTGGCAATGTAAGCCAAAGCGAGAATGCTAGCGCCGATAAACTTCATATTTGAGGGTTTTCTGATGGAATTTATGAATATGAATACGTTTGTTGTATGGGGATGTACGTTTTGGAGAAGCCAGTGTTAGGTCGTCGTGGGTGAGTGAGGGGAACAATAGTAGATGATTGACATAGGATGGAGGAATCATCCAGGAAATAAGACTTGCTTAACTGGCTTATATAGCCAATTTTGATCTATGATAGGTTGTTCTATTGCGAATACTGTACTAGTATGCGTGTATGCGTGTTTGTTGGTTTGTGATTGCTTTGGCACCTACTAGGTACCTACCTAGGTAAGGTAGGCATTTAAGCTATCATACTTGAGATATGATAGGTATGGTAACTAGTAAAGGGTGAGTTCCCGATGAGGTCAACTCGAAAATCTCTCAACCTTTCGTTATTAAAGCTAGGTGTTAGTTTCATGAAGGCATCAGGCTCCAACATTCTTCGACTGCATGAGATGGCGTCAAACTGATCCCCACCGCAGCTAAAGAGCTACTTGACGAAATTTTCCGGTATGGGCTTTCTTTAGCAATGTCCTCCATGTGTTGAAACATAGTGTGTGGTTGTAACAACGTTCCTAGATATGTACATACTAGACAATATCGAAACTGACTTGTAATAGCATTGTTGGTAATTAAAGCATTGTAACCGGCAAGCAAGGGATTGAGGTCGACGCCGGCAAGTTCAAGATCATATACTACAGATAACCAAGAGATGGTGCTATAGAACTGTGTTTGTTTATTTTCATAGGTAAGGGCTATGAAGTTTGCATTTTAGAACATCTTGATTAAGGGTAGATCTCGTTGAAAGATTACCAGACATGCCATCTATTCTCACAACTGTATTGGTAATATTACGTAGGTATAGAGCTGTTGTTACCATAGCTAGTAGCCATCCAGTAATATCAAGTACAGTTAACCTAGCCGGCCATTCCAGGGATATATGGTAAAAGAGTCAACAAGCTTGATAATGATACCTAACGGGTACGCTAGGGATTATTCCGCGATGATATAAGGAGAAGGGACGTGGTTTTCGCTTCAAAAGTCGAGTTGGTTCCTTAAACCCCGACCTGGGCATGAAGGTAAATATTATATCTTGTGGATCCTTGTGTTGAATACTAAAGAAAGAAAGAAAGCTACAGAGAAGAGATAGACCAATCACACCAAAGGCTAATTACCAATTGCGGTAATGCTTGCAATGCCAACACCCCATGAATGTTTGCTCTTCGCTTGTTCGAATAAACTACTATCTCAGCACCTAAGAAGGCCGTAGAGTGGGCAATTGGGGTGATGACATTGAATTACCTAGGGAATTTTATTAGAAAGCCCTAGTCAAGTTATTTCGCATCCATAGATCACTTCTATCATATTGACTCTATCTAGATACTGGATTGCTACCTACCTACTACCTAGGTATTCACCAAGACTCGTGCCGACGCATCGAATCGCACCTAGAAGCGAAAAACTAGACATTAAAAGGAGTCGTAATAGGGTTTACGAACACCTGACTCCGGAAATAAGACACACCTGACCCGAAAATACGCCTCCTTTCCCAACCGTTTTATATTCGACCATATCCGTCATTTGTGCCAACTCCCTTACGATAATTGCCAGCCTTGTCGTCGTTGCTACTTTTGCTTTTTTTTCTCGTATCCTACACCGAGTCCTTAGTCCCTTACCCTCCCTTGAGAAGTAAATTAAGTATCTAGACCCATAGATATGTCTAAACACTCCCAACAGCACCAAGACCCATCCCCGTCACCGCCGCAGCGAGCACCCAGACACTGCTCCATGCTGCAGCACCGGGAGTCTCGACGCCCTCAACTGTAAAGCGCGTCTGCAGAAATGTGTTCACGCCCGTGACAAGCATCAGCAAGACCGTCCTCTGAATCACAACCTTAGTCTGCAAACTCCAGCCCCAGAAATTCCAGCGTATTGTCTCCGCTAGACTCGCACTCGATGGGTCGAACCTCTCCTTATCTTCATTTTCCGGAGCCACTGTTCCTTCTGCAGGCGTAAACACAAACACTTGTGCCGCGAACCCAAGGACAATAGTCACAGGCAGGAGCCCGATGTACGTAGCCTCGTGGGCAGAGGCGATGGAAGGCAGATTCGTAAAGTGCACGACAAGGTACGTGGGTAGGTACGTGGCGTATGCGAAGAAAAGGGTCACGCTGTAGATCGCACCAGCGAGAAGGGTTGTCAGCAGCGCGATGGGCCTGTCTGCAACGATGTCGGCATTGGGCGCGTGGTGCGGGTCCGCGTGGGCTGTAGAAAGCGGGCGTAGGAGACGGAAGGGAATGTACGTCGCGAGAGTTTCGATGGCGAGAGTCAGGAGAAGAGCGCTGGGTGGAGAAGAATAGAAGGCGTATAGGAGGTAGAGCTACGGTCACCGCGAGTTAGTCCATCCTGTTGTTACATATCGTCCGCGAGACAAGATCGCGCGCGTTGCGTCTTCAGCGTGCGGGTAAAGTATTGTACCAGGGAGAGAAAACGAAATAAAACTTACTAAAGGACCATGGGAAAGGAGGTTCAACGCCGTGATATCGTACCCGTCATAATTCCCGAACCACCCAAGTGCGAGTTCAAATCTAAGGGGGGTTAAAGAACAGAGGTTAATATTACGTCATGGACATCTTCCTAGTCCTCACACAGACGAGTAATACCCATCAGAATTCGTTTACTTACATTCTCCAGCCTGTTACAATTCCAAAATCTGACCACGTATCTAATACTCTTGTGTACGGGATCAGCGGACCCTTCGTGTAACCCCAGCTCAGTGCGAACCCTAGTGCCGACAGTGATAAACTAAGGACAGCAACAAGCGGGAATTGGATCAGTCGCGGCAATCTAGACGGTTCTTCGTTTCCAGCCTGTTCTTTATTTGAAGGTGTGATTGTCGGACCCTCGATCTTGGTGATACTGACGACAGTAGATGTAGCGGATGTAACTTCGGCGTTCTCCTCCGCGCGGGTCTGATTCCTGGTTCGCATTTTCTCTGATATGACTGGGTCGTCTCGATTGACGACCGCCCGATTGTCTAAATTTATGACCAGAAAAACTATCAAGTAAATCGTCAGACGCGAATAAGTTTTCTGTGCAATAGACTCGAAGCACTGCTATATAATAGGGGTATTTGTGCCTTTAGAATTGCGTTATCGTATCGCCAAGGATTTAGAACCAGGGTTGGTGAGAAATAAATGTTTGAAGGTGTTGATTTCACGTGTAGTAGAAATACTAGGTAGGCATGTACGAGGAGGTAAGCTTAAAAAGCCCTGGAGCTTCTATAAAGTTCGTACGATCAACAAACAGCAAGCTCAATGGTGGGGGGTTTGGAAATCGCATCCATGGGTGGGAAAGAAAGCTCAAGCTCCAATTCCTGCCCGTTTTGTGTGTGGGGAACCTTAGAAAAGATTACATCCACTAGGTAAGCGGTACCTATGTACTACTAAAAACATTCCAAGATTGCCCAACATTGAATGAAGTGAGTGTGTATTGTATTGTACTTACAGGCTACAGTAGTACCACTGTGTGCCTGGGATTGCGTTGAATGATACATACCTGCTAGTACCAGTGACGTCTCTCCAGCCGCCTTACCAACCAGCTATCATACTCATGTGAACCCCACTGCCACTGCCTGATCAACAATACAAACCACAAACCAAAAAACCTCGCTTCTCGAAAGGAAATCCAAGTCCTCGATCCTCGATCTTCATTCTCAAACATTTTCTTCTTTTCCCTATTATCACTCTTTTCCTTACCTAGGTACCTACCTAAGGTTCACCTAGGTTCCTTTCTATCTGGTGTGACCTTTCGCTGATGAACTGGCTATCCTTGAATACATGCTGTCTGTTTGCTGCCTGCCCGCCGCGTCGTTCCGTTTGTAACCCATATATACCAATGTGCACTTAGCGCAGATCGAGAAGATCGCTGGTGTCATAGCTCCACTACTGGTAGTATGGTGTTTGGTAAAGCCGAACCTTGGAAACTAGCTTCATATCTCGGCCTTCGCAGGTCAGTCATTAATACTGATCTGCACCTACGCAACTATCGTCAGCCAGCACCAGAGTGCATAATCAGACATTTACTAGTAGGTCAGGATAATTATCTTAATCAGTTTTCATTCATAAAGAACAAATGGGTGTTCTTGGTCTTATTGCCAGACATCACACGTCTTGCCCCATGAGAAACCGTTCCTGTCCTTCCCACCCTCCCGAAAGATCTCGACTATGTTGGGTGTTCGCTCGACGCTCCCTCCGATCCTCACTTTAACCTCTTGGAGAATGTTCCAGGGTATCCTTTCCCCAGCGCCCTCCATTCTTCGGTGCTGAGATTTCGGCCGCGGAGCGAACCACCTCGTTTACAAAATTTGATATACGACGATACACAAAGGAAATCAACAGAACGCCATGATTCGTTTCATGTCATCTCTCGAGCGAACGATCTAGAGTTTAATCCTCCATACGGCCAAACATCATCTCGTCGTCATCCTCGCTGCTACGCGTCCCAGAGCGCAGATCACCCTCGTCTTCGTCCATAACGCTGCTCTCGCTGTCTTCCATCTTCACGTCTTCTGTGTGCCGGAGCTCACCTCGGGTGAAACTCTCCGGCATTTGGCCGGATGGGAAACTATTGATGAAACTCGTACTAGTAAAGGCTGCATGGTCGAGATATTGGGCAGGAAGCGGCGGTACCGGGGGGGCGTCGTTAGGCAACCTAGCATCACGGCCCCCCCCGTTGCTGCCAAAGCTACAGCTGAGTAGCTCTACCGCTGCAGCAAGGTCGCGATCGTCCTGGCCGGTGCTGTTCATACCAGAAGATGGAGGGCGTCGGTCTGTGCTTGCATGTCGGATGTGGCCGAACGCATTCCCGTTAGGTACGCTGCCTGGGAAGAATGAGCCCGATATCGCCGACTGGAAAGACCGCGAATAACTACTTCCGTTGCTGCTCCTCTTTGGCGCTGTCCGGTATGCGAGAGTATTGCTCACGCTGAAAGCCTCCGGTTGTGGTGGTGGGGTGGTATCAGCGGAGCTGCGAACGTCGTCGTGAAGTTCCGAATAGCCCGATGCGGTAGGGGAGGCCGATTCGGGGTCGCTGGCGAAATCTTTGGCCGAGTCAGGTGGGGTGGTTGCATCGTCGATGTTCATGGCTACGAGAACCGAGGCCGCCTCGAGCAGTTGAACTTGTTGATGCTTGGATATAAGCAGCTTTGACGTGAGGGACCACTCGGGAGTATGTTCCCACCTAGCAAGCAAATCGTCAACACAGGTTCACGTTCAATTACCCGGGGCTTGATGAGAATCTCGCGGCGAGACCATCTTTGTCTTTCAAGGCAGGGACGCTCATTTATTATCCAGCGGCCCGGGCAAAGGAATGCATGAGAGAGGCAGTGGATAAGAAAATGGGCACCAACAAATGCTTGGTCAAGCAGCTGCTATGCTTGTATCCTTTCCCACACTTATCGCAGCGGAGCTCAATTCGGTTGCTCTTTTTGCCCTCCTTCGTCAGGGGCTGACCGTCGCTCGCCCGCCTAATGCGAGTTTTCTGCGGCCCTCCCTCCCCTTCGTCGGCCGACATATCGTTCGAATCGTCATCGATAGCGTCCTCCAAGCCCTCAGGCTTCATGCTCATGGAGAACCTGTGCGTTGGCAAGCTGGCTGGCGGAGAGGGTAAGCTACCGATGATAGCTGATCTCGCGGCGGCGGACTTCGACATGGTACCGCGACGTGAATTGACGGCGATGGGGAGGGGTCCGACCTTGTCGCCGGCTTCCTCGAGGGCGGCTGCGACGGCTGCGACATTAGCGGCGGTGTTGGTCATGCTCTTCCGACGTGTTACACGATGGGCGGCATTGAGGGCGCCGGACAAGGCGGAGTATGTGTGGGAGTTGTTGCGAGAATGAGAAAATGGTCTCGCAGCGCCCAAGGAAGACGACGAGCCGGAGGAGATGGATTGACGGTGTTGGGTCAATGGCCTCGCTGATGTTTGCATTTCCTATCGTCGTGATAGACGCGAATGATCAGCATGGTTACCCTACCCCATGAAGCAAGCTGGGAACGGGTAATGGTGGTCAATGATTATCAATGGTGATAGGTGAAATTAAACTGGTGCAACTGCTGGGTTACCTTGGAAGAGGCCATTGCCGAACACGTAGATAATTGAACGACAAAATATTCGTCTTTGCTGACGGTAGCGTCTTTTTTCTTCTTCTCTTTCCTTCAGCTCGTGTCTCACTCAGTCGTTGGAGAATGTAGCAAAGATCAAGCAAGTAGAAAGAAGCAAAAAAGCAAAGCAATAGGGATTTATCGGCAATGGTGGGTGGATTATGCTATGTATTGGTCAGAAGGAAGAAGTTGGTGGTGGTATTGCAAGTAGTGCAGTGGAGGGCGGATGTTGGGAAAGAAGAAAAGCCGTCCGAAGTTCGAAGATAATTATTTTTTTTTCTTTGGCCCTTTGGGAATTGAGGAAACAACAAAGGGTCAATCAATTGCACAAAAAAATAATTTTTATGGATTCAACCTTGGGACTTTAGGAAGTTTACGAGTAGCTACAACTTTCGTTGTACCGGTATGTACGTTTAGGCAGGTACTAACCTGACTGTACAAGTACAGAGATACTCACATATGGATGCTGAGATACGCAGAAAGCTAGGTACCTACTAGAACTTGGAATACATTAGATCCATACATCAGTCATTCGTCAGGTGGTCAACCGACCTGAAATAACATTGGAAATGGCCTTGACTGCGCCATCCTCTAGTTCTTATGATTATTATTTCAGCATTACTCCTTCTTCCTTATTATTACCCCCTTCTACTTATAGTACTAGAACGTACATACCAACATGCCTATCTATGTTAATACATACATCTGATGCTCAGCATGCGCTATATTATGGCGCGTAGATACCTAGATATGTATTTATATGAAAAACTTATGGATTACCTACCAAAGAAAGCATTAAAAAAGCGAACATTATAAAGTGGCATGTGGTGCGCTGGGTGCGCTGTAGTGGTGTGGTGGTCATGCTGGCTTGTCCTTGTCTCGCTTTTAGTCTTCTTTTCCCCCTCTCTCCATTGATTCGCCCCCCATATTTCTTTCCTTCCCCGTTTTGTCCATCCTATTTTATCTGGGCAAGCCTGGGTAGAATCCACAAGAGTGCATTGGAAGATTGATACAACGCACGCTCTCTGCACGTCAAGTGGTTCTGCCCCTGTATATTAGGTATGTACTTCCGTACCTACATTCCTAGATACATATTTAGTGCAATCATCAATGTACATACCTAGTCCACTCATGGATAGATATGTACCTATGCATATGTACATGTGTTGAGCTGGACCTGCTAGGTTCTCCAGCTAGAGAAGCTTCATGTGGTGTAGTTCCGAGTCCTAGTCAGGGTTCAGTCAGGCACAACTTCAAACTTGGAAACTTGTTAAAGCAGCATAAAAAAGTGTACAGCTGTAAACAGGTTATGGCATACTAGGTATGTTATTAATATGTAGTTGACAATCTCTTACTCAGAGCTAATCCTTAACCAATACGATGTGTGGATCAGGGATATCGTTTTGGTGGAAGACGAGATGAGAATGATACAAGTTATCGCAATCAAGTTTGTCGTCTCTGTAAGCCAATAGACCCAATAACTTCTAAAAAGAGCGAATTCTACTTAGCGGAGTGCGGTTATAGAATAATTACCTAGCGAATCATTAAGTACAGCTGCATTTTGTGTGCATTTTGTGTGCCTGGATAAGTGATGAGTAGCATAAATTTGAGTCTGGAACAGACCCAATAGGCAATTGCGCCTGGGGTTTGTTATGCTAATGAGATGGAGTTTAGGTACTAATGTTGAACATCTGCTTGGGTACAATACCAAGGTACCTACGGTAGGTAGGTGCAATCCTATAGCACGTGGATAACTCGAATGAAAGTTGACAGTATCTTATTAAAGGATCACGGAGTCGGACAAATAAGATACAGCTTCGAGACACATTTAAGGATGAGACGACCTACCTATTTAATCATCCTCAGCCAGGTACTTACATTACATAGGGAACTTTTATTTTATGCGAAACTTGCCTATCAAATAACAACAGCGGTTTGTTATGTAAATCTTAATTGACAAGTGGCAGTATAGCAGTAATAACGTGTCATATTTACTCAGGCAGTTAGGTAGGATAATGTCATTCGCGAATAACCTTATTCTTATTAAGGAAACGCTCACATCCTACATAAAGGGTATATCCAAATACTTAAATATTATTAAATAGGTACCTACCTACGTACATATATATAAGTATTATAATTCAAAAAACTCTATAAGTTAGTTATGGATAGGTAAGTAATGTTTCAACCTGGTTACTTAACCTTTTTTCTTATTATTTCTTATTATACTACCTAATATATGTACATGGCTTTAAACACCTATGTACTCGCCTACCTAAGTATGCGCCTGTAGATATCTCGTTTAGGTTAGTAATAACCTTGAACCTTGTGACTGGACCGGGTTTTATAAATCGATCAAAGGACCATAGATTTCAACCCCGGACTACGCGGATCAGCACTACGATCGTAAGCGCGTCACCTGGCGGGTAGGTAACAGCTTGTGCTAAGAATATCCGTCCCGGTATCTCACACTTTGTCTTCCCAGTTTCAAAAAACCCTTTTCGAATTTCAAATTTCAGCTTTCCTTAGTAAAATATTCCCATCTCGACCTGTACGTAAATATCGGGTTATATTTAAGCATTGGGATTAATGTAGGTTTAGAACCTAAATCTAAAAGTATTCATGGAATCTTAGGACATCGTAGATAACAAATCAATACTTACCTACCTACAGATATACATGTACATATATATCAACGTTCAACCCTTTATGTAACTGTCCACTAATGCCATCTGGGGATTGTAACAAATGTAAGTTCATACCTAATAACATGCTACTGGGTCATGAACCTGGTCGCGGTCGTGGTAAGTTGTAACACCGGATCTCAATTTTATAGCTCTAGATGTTGAATGAAAAACGTTTCACAACCATAAAATCCACGGGATCAGCAAGCCAATGAACTTTTCTGGCAGTCTGGGTGCCGCAGGTATGTACCTTTCATACATGAGCTCCCACTTGGGAGCCGGCAAGTGGTAGAATTTGGAGAAATATTAATATGCTCACGCCCATAGCACTTTCCTCAGCTTGTCTCATTGGATAACTCGCTAGTGCCAGACCACTAATAGGTAAGTCAAAGAAGGGGGTATTCGTATGGGGGGGGTATTCGGCAGCCCCACTTTTGTGGTGAGATCCTGATCATATATGGTATAGCGTGGTACATCGGGAACTGAAAGATGAATTCTCAGTTTTTTATTGGTTTATGAAACTTTCATTACTATTCTAGGTATAGCTTCTTGATAACGACCAATTAGGCTCTGCCACTAGGCCCAGCTAGGCTTAGTGCACTCTTCCTTTCTAGTCTAGCGCGCGTGATATCCTCGGACCTGGCCAATTGACTTGCGAGTACGTCAACTCGGACAAAAGTTTTTTACAGTCCCGAAAATGTCACGTGATACTTTGGGAGTGGCGAACCAATCAACGAGCTCGATTGGGCGGGGACTAGCGTGGGTTTTAGGGCTAAAATAAAGCGTGGCCGAATAATTTTATGGCGATCTATTGGCTAAGCGGCTGCGCCAAGCTAAAATGGTCAGATGTAAGGGCCAATTGCGATAAAGGTCAAAAATCTGGACTTCCCGATTGGTATAAGGTGATCAAAGCTAATTGGCTGTTACCTTCCTTAGCTTCATAAGGCATAGCGTATAGTATTGAGCCTTTTTATTGGTTGAAGGTTCTTGAAAGACAAAAAGAAAAAGGTACGTCGAATAAAGTGGCCCGTTTGGCTGCATCCACTTCTCATTGGTTGAGGTCTCACCACAAAAGTGGGGCTGCCGAATACCCCCCCCATACGAATACCCCCTTCTTTGACTTACACGTGTCCGGATTAGGGTATTAACCAAAGACACCCCTCTCTACCTACCAGGCTGCCAGGTACCTATCAAATCATCTTTCCATCAGATTTATCCAAATTCTTCTACGGGTTTCCAACTTCAACTTCCTATACTAATCGAATGCTATCAAATGAGACATTGTTAGGCAGTTGAGCAATATTCGTTCGAACGAAGTAGGAAGCAAGAGATTCCCTTCTAAACTGATACTGGTTCTTCGCACGCGCTAGATTCTTAATTCGATGTCCTGCTGCATGGTCTTAAGAGTCCAGAACCATTCCAAAATGATTCTTGTTGGTTCCTTTGATATCGTACTGTACATCCAATTGGCCAAGGTGGCAATTGGTCCAGACCATTCCGTAGGGACGCATACTAATAGACATATTCTATAATTTCTTTTCGGGTGGGTGATTTTCTAGGTGAAGGCTCGCTTCCCCTTTCCTAAGTGAACCGCATCGCCGCCACCACGATAATTTAATCATTTCGAAATAGGATAAATGATGCCTACCTAAATGTTAGCTCTTCACTATGGGTACATACCTTCATTCAAGCCCCTGCCACAAGCTATATACCTAGGTATGTAGACTGTTAGGTACCTATTGCTGTTAAGTATTACTTAGGTACCTAGGCTTTGAGAGGGTATCATATATATGTAAAAAGGAGTCACGGGATAAAGAATTGGGATAGTCTATTTTTCCGTCGCACGTTCCGGGCCTTATGATTTGTCGTTTTCATTGCGTATTTAGCTTAAGATAATCTCATTATTGTCCAGTAACGAATAAGACTTCGTAACCTAAAAATGGTTGATAAGCTGGGGTACATACATATTTCACTGCCAAGATGACAGTTCGTTCAATTGGTTAGCACCTTTTTTTCCCATGATACCTTTCTAAAGATAATAACAATTGTTTTCTCTAGTTGAAAAAAACTGATGATTTAGGGCTAAAATGAACTCGCTTACAAAAGGTAGGTACCTACATATATGGATGTAATTTCAATATTCAAACTAACCAGATTCTAATGTGTCAACCTCCGTATAGAAGGGAGTATGCACTTATTATACTTAGGTTGGTAGGTAGGTAATAATAAATATCTACCGTAGGACCAACATGACAGCATGGTTGAGTGTATGAAAATGAGCTTGTAACATAGGTAGCTAGCTCTTTTAATTTTTTATTTTATTTTAATGAATGCACTTGGAGGCGAAATAATCTCAGTAATGGGTCAGTTGAAATTATACTAGGTAGCTAGAGGTGTCAATTATGTACCTACCTACATTACTAATATCCACTAAACCTCATTTAGATAATGAAAGAAAAAAGGCCTAAGTGCGCTTGGTTTCTATATTTCCTCCTTATTATAAGATACGAATGCTTATTGTTATTAGGTTTCTACCTACCTATCTAGTAGGTATGTAGATATACCACTAATATTCCAAGTTATACAACTGGCGATCCAAGAACGGATCCCGGAACCTACCTACCTACACATACCTAGACGTTCGAAGGATCAACACTGCTTACCCGCCCTGCCCGCTCTACCCGGTCGCGCATCACCTTACTAAAACTTAACATCGACCTCTGCCGGTCAGCCGGTACGAACTGGTTTAGTGTATTTGTTTATGTAGTGTCAGTACACTACCTACTTACCTACCTGTATCGAGCATGTATTTAGACAACTTGCGGAGCCGCGTAATGAGCCTCGTTACCTACCTCATATTTCTACTGCTGACTACCCGAGACTTAGGTACTTGGCTAGGCAGGAGTCATGCTAAAGTTGGCCGGAGGACTACCTACTAGGTACCTACCTAGCATATCCATCCTACTTAACATCCATAATAGGTATACATATGCGTAACCTGCCCCTTGGTTCGAACGGATGCAGGTACGAGAATGCTCTCGAACGCTTTATAAAAGCCCTCGAAACTTTCGGGTCTAATCGGAGGCGCAGCCGTATTATAGCGGTGTTCTTCTATGGCTTCTATTGAGGCGTCACATATCGAATTTGAATTATGACGTGTAATACCACTTTTCTATAACAAGACTGCAATGGTAGAATGGCATAGTAATGTATCTATCATATCCAATGCAAATACTAGATACTAAGTAGGTTTTAAACATTGAATACTTAATTAACATCTGCATGCGAATCATGGATAGGTCGAGGTGCCCCTCAATGACGTCGTTATCTACTGGAACTTCGATTAGGTTGCACAAGGTAACACACGGCAAGCTAGTCGCTCCCAGTGGGTTGGAATTACTGTGTACGTACCTACAGATCATCTATGAACATGTTTCCTACGTTTGTAATTTTGTAGATATTCAACATGCCTAGTAATCTTTTATGAATAATTTCCAACGTTGCCGTTTATATCGACTAAGTCTTTAATTTCCATCCCCGCCCTTTACGCGCGTGGTCGATGTTAATTAATAAATACCTACCCACGAGCAGGCGCTTATATATATTTACATATGTGTACTGTTATCTACTAGGAGCAGATAATTCCGGTTCTTATTAGCCGCTGTTAGATTTCTTCCTTAGCCCAGTACTAGGTAGGTTAGATATCCTGGATCGACTAACCGGACATGCAAAGCAGTGCTCCTTACAAATAATTATCGACCTATGTACATACAGTAAAGGTCCAAATTTATCCGGCCCACCTCCAAAATCACACCAAAAAACGCCGTTTTGCTACCTTTTCACTTTGCGATATCTCCACCAATAAAAATAGTAAAAATAGAAAATTAATTTTACTTAATAGAAATTTACTTAGGCTTCATTTTATATATATAATATTTTTGGAGAAATCTTAAAATGAAGAAGTTGTTGCAAGTTAAAGTAGAGGTTAATGTAGAATTGTCAACTCTCCCATACAAATCGAGATTTTTTGTATGGAGACTTGCTAAATTTCACATTCAGTCAACTTTGGCTTGCGATAACTTCTTCATTTTAAAATTTCTCCAAAAATATTATATATATAAAATAAAGATATAATAAAGTTCTATTAAATTTAATTAACCAATACCTTCTATCATTTTTATTAATTAAGATATTATAAAGTTAAAAGGGTAAGTTTTGGTGTAAAATGGGGGGTGGGCCGGATTAATTTGGACCTTTACTGTAGGTAATAACGGCACCTGTCGAATCATACAATACAAACGGTATATGTACTCGTAGGAAATACAAGAACAGTTTGGTCCCACACCTCCACATACATTATGGCAGATGTATACCGGTGCAGCGGACGGGGCGGGGCAGGCAATTTCTACTCACAGAAAGACATCGATGAGGTGATGAAAGGGAAGCCAGAGGTCTCGTGAACTCTCATATGGGTACCTACCCATTTATCAACTCTTAGCTAACACGCCCAACAGGATCTTGAAGCCCAGAAACCTCAACACATCCCCGACGATGAACCGTTAGGCGACCCCGCAGACGTTCCCACACAGACGACACCGCCGTTCACAAACACGACCGCCGGAAACGGCGCGAGGGCATACATTCGCTCCGGCCGCGGCGGCGCAGGAAACTTTGTCGATGTGCCTCCTTCAATTTCCCCCGCAACATTGAATCCTACCATAGCTCTAGACATGTCGACGGTGCCGGCACCCTCTTCTCCTACCTCTTTCTTCAACACCCCCGATCCTCAAACCTACGCACAGACTGTACAACACCCGGCACGAAGCGGGCCTTCGGGTCGAGGTGGTGCTGGGAATTGGGTATCCACCGACTCGGACATGGAGTACGACCCGGAGCAAGAGCGTAAGCGGCGGGAGGCGTTAGACGCGCACATCCTGCAAGATATTCGGGAGTCGCTGCCGCAGCCGCCTAAGATTCACTACATGCATGGACCGGGAAGGGGGCGGAAGCCTGATTCACCCTCTTCGTGATTCGAAACTCAAAAGTTTCCTTGGGGTGGTAATGGGTGGGTGGCCGGGCGGATACCTGGTGGCCACCTGGCCTATATAGCTCTCCGGCACTGCTTTTCGTTGGTTAGAGAGGTTAAAGAATCTGAGGTACTAGGACATGTGAGGCGATAGCTGGTTAGATAGAGGCGCCTGTTAGGAAGCCTCACCTCAATACCACTCGCAGCATTGCACACCACGTCTATGGATACTCTAATAGTAGGAGGACAATATACAAGGCAAATTCTGTAAATGAATAATTTTAATGCACAGCACCACAAGAAATGAGTCATGGTTTGGCAGTGATGTGTATATGCTCCCGCTAGACTTGAATGGGCGGGTCAAAAGTTTCGTAATGGGAAAAGGTACCAGACACCTAGAATTTAGAATCCACCAACGCCAGGGCATGCAGAATAATCAAAGCAGTCCACACATGAACGCCGCGGCCCGAAATTTTCTGGCGTCTCCCTTTGTGCAGTATCTCTCATATTTCCCCCCGCGTCAGGACTGTACATCTACGCCAGTATGGTGTCGTGTCATCTAATCGGAATCCACATCCATGCCGCCGTTGTCCTCGCCCATGACCTCGACGCCACCGTCGACACGCACTCTTTGTCGGAGCTTCTCCTTGCCGAACACTTTGCTCTTCTCGGCAACCATATTCATCTGTTCCAGCTCCTCAATCTCCTCGGGCGCCAGTCCCTGCTCCTCCGCCAGTCTTCTCTTCTCAGAGCCGCGCATCTTAGGTAACAGATGACCGTGGGTCTCGACGAGCTTGCGATCGGTAGCCAATTCCCTAGCTCTCTTGCCCGCTAGTCGTCTCTTAGCAAAGACACGCTCGCGCTTGGCCCTAATTTCGGAGACGCGCTCCATGGCCTTAAGGGTCTTGGTCACAAGGTCGCGGTTGTACCGGACGGGGACATTTCTGCGCGCGGCGAACTGAAGGGTGGAGTCGACGGTCATCTCCTTGCCCACGGCTTTGCGGAAGGCCTTGGTCCATTTTAGCTTGCGCGGGTTGCGCTTCATGACAAAATTCTTGTGGCATTTGGAGCGGCAGAAACGGAATTGCTTGGCATCGTTGCGGCAGAATGTCTGTGTGGTAAGAAATAGCCCAAGTTAGGATCATATTATTCGTAATAGGTAGGGAAAACTAAAGAGAGTGAGGACTGACTATTCCCTTGCCTGGATAGGCAGGCCTACTGCAAAAGTAACACGTCTCGATTCTGTGAATATATAGTTAGTGGCAATTCGCTTTCCATCAACGACAAAATAAAGACTGGCTCAAAGCTCCTAACAATATCAAAGAGGTCCTAACTAAGCGGAGTGTAAAACTCAACAATTCTAAGTCTCCTAGAAGATCTATGATTGCTGATGACTATTCAATACGTACCTGACCATTTTGACGGACTAACTTGGCTCTGCAAAATCGTGATGTTTTAATACTTGATATTTTAGGCCCCTCCAAAAATTCATACCTACAAAGGTAGATAATTTTAGCGGGTCCATCTCCATGATAGGTCTGGATTAACATCTATCCGCAGACATCGCCTTCCTTATCGATACCTAGGTACCTAAGTACACAGTACATTTTTCAACGGGTCAGCCCGCCATAAGGATCGTGCGCATCAAAAGAAATCGTAGTGAGGCACCTTTTCAATCTTCAACCTCAACACCGAATTCATACTCTAAAATGGCCTCGGCACTAGCAATTGGAGGTGGCGTAGCAGTCGCTGCATTCCTCGTATGCCCACTATTTCCATTCTATAATCACCATCCCTCCAAATCCTAACTAATACCTTTGATTATAGGGCCGCGCAGGACTCGTCGCATGGCGGCGCTCTCGGGGCGGCGTCGGTGCTCTAGGCAAAGCCTTCTATAAGGGCGGATTTGAGCCGCGCATGACCAAGAAAGAAGCCACCTTGATCCTTTCTCTCAAGTACGACTCCTGATCACCTACCTATTACCTACTCCCTACCCCCTACTCCCTGCATCCTCCAAGAGACTACCTGCTAAACACCCCTCGTTAGTGAGCGAGCCCTCACTAAAGAAAAGGTCCGCAAAGCCCACCGCACGCTGATGCTACTGAACCATCCGGACCGAGGCGGAAGCCCATACCTAGCTACAAAAGTCAACGAGGCGAAAGAGTTTCTGGAGAAAAACAGTTAGCGCTTAGAGAACCCTAGGCGTACGATGTATAACACGGCTGCATGCATAGAGCGATGGCGTTATGGTCACGGTTCATAAGAGGAAATTTATTGCGTTTGTTAGGCCATGTATGGTCTGTATTCTGCCTGCAATACAAATAAGACCCTATCTCATGGGCCAACTCTCTTCTCGAATTTTCCCGAATTCATCGCAAATTCGCATACATATTATCTTGGGAATGAGCATTTAAGAAATAAGTAATGTGTCAGCTCCACACCCTCTTACTCCGCGGGAATAGTGATCTCTCGTCTTTGGATCCGGTGGAGTAGAATCGTCAATATTAACTCAGTTGGAAATCTCGAAAGCATAGATAGGCGCATCGAAGGGAGTCCGTCTGAGGGATTCACCATTCTTCTCGTGGTCTCGATGCTGTAAAGCGCACATCAGCAAAGCCGAAAGCAACTCGGGGGCTTTTGACTTACGAGGATGAGTTGTGTCTGGAATTGGCTCTCTCGATATCTGGGGTTGGCCTCCATCGTCCATCTCACCGTCGCTCCACTCGTCATTGCTATGCCCAGTAGGCAAGGAATCAGCATATATATATCACGTTTCATCGCTAATGTGTACTTACCCCAGCTCAATAGCATTGATATACCCTTGTTTCGGATGTGCCTTTGCCGCTTGTTGAACTACCATAGCAATCATGGCACGGAGTGTGTACGTCGCATCATTCCCTGCGTTGTGGAAGTTACATCCCGATATCCCTAGCTCCTCGCAAATGCTTGAGAGGCTACGGCCATTAGCTGACTTCTGAATACGTTGGAACATCGACTTGGTATCTATCTCGTCTGTGAACTGTGGTACTCGCCAAATATTGAAGCCAACTTTCGCGAGATAGTTAAGATCTTGGACCATGTCGTGCCCGACCATGATGACTGGCCGTTTATCATCGGATTCTGCGTCTCCGATAATATTACCAACAATCCGGGCAATGTCCTTAGAATAGACGTATTCGGAAATTCTAGAAAGAAAAACGTGAGCTTCGATCTTCATTCTGGATGAAGAAGCCATACCCGAAACCGAATAAGTGAGGACACCCTTGGACATACATCGAATTGATCTTGTCCGCGTGCTCTCTGATTACAAAATGATGGGACATGATCAATTTAAACCAGTTGCAACCGTTCTTTCCAGGCGAGACGCGCATTGTGTCCTTGGTGTCGAGGACTGCGAAGCCTACTTCAGTAATAACATGCCTAGATCTCTCCCATGCTTCAACGTCGACACAGACAAATCGCACCGAATCCTTCGTCTGGAATGGGACTGGCTTGTTCACATCCCAGCCCGCGGCCGATACACCTTAATATAAAGTTAGCCACTCGAAAACAGATGTCTAGATGGCAGTAAAACCAAACCTGAACTGAGTCCATACTCAACCTCAACGTGTCCTGGAAGAAATCCGAGGTATCTCTGTGCCCGCTTGATCATTCGCCCATAACCCTTCTGGCGCTCGACTCTCTTAATCTTCGTCACTTCAGGGTTCTTCTTTTTCTTCCCTGATTTGATGGAATTATGTATTTCGTCCATCCTATTCTTGAAAACTTCCAAAGCAGCCGCACTCAAGCCTGTTAGATCATCTTTGGGGAATGCTTTAGCTTGGCTTTTGAGCCGCTCTAGATCATCGAGGCTCCGGGCAAACCCTAAAAAGCGAGGAAGAGGCATCCCCCAATTTCCAAAGGCAAGGGAGAATTTCTCTCCCGCCTGACCCTTTGGGATGGGGAGCGTCACCTCCAGTTGGTTACTGACGCTACAAAGGAAGTCCTTAACCTGGGAACTAGGAACTAAAATAAGAGGATCCCTCCCAAAGTCGCTTGGGTCAGACAGATAGTAGCTAGGTATAGTATGATTAGCATAGGTACATAATCTAAGTAGGGTAACTTAGGTTCTTCATCTATGATCTCTTCACCGAGGAAGAGAAGGGTACACACGTACATATCCCAGGCGCGCTTCTCGAATAACGCCAAATTAAAGGTCTCCCCTACCTAAAACTAAGTCAGCAATGTCATTTCCCATCAAGTTATCTACGAGGGATGCACTATGAGGGATACTTACTACTTCTTCATCTCGTTTGTTACCGTGGACATATGGATAACTACGAATGGCCTTCCAGGGGCAAAATTCCATACTGTTCCCCGATTCTCCACCTACATTTAGCGTTCGTAATTTCGATGATAAATTATTATTGACTTGCTGGGTAGTGTGGTTCAAGATAGCTCGAGAGCCTGTGAAAGAAGTAAGCATAATTTTCAAGACTACGTACCCTAGGTTTGTGATCGTGTCTGGAAAATTGGAAATATAAAGGAAAAAGCAAACTGTACGAGTGGTCTTAATTTTATCAGGAGTATTAGACGTCATACCTTCGCCAAATGGCATAGAACCTTTGAAACTACCCATATTCTCTCTTGGGTGTGAGTATTTTCTAATCGAAGCGTGTTTCTGCGATGCTTTGGACTATCATTCACGAGATTGTTGCTGTGAAGATAAGGTTCGAGTTCAAGGTCTAGAAGAGAATTCTGAGCATCAGTAGAAAAGAAATGTAGGATTGCTCAAGTCTACGTAATCTGTGTAAAGCTTTCGGTGAGCGGTCGTGGTTCCTCAATAACAGGCTGTTTACCTAGTAGGTAGGTACCTAGCATGTTTTATTTAACTTAAACAAGTAGAGACTTAAAGGCAATGGGCATTACCTACCTAGTAATGACTGAGATCGGGACGCACTTGCTCACTTAAATATATTATACCTAAGCAAGTGCTCCTCTGATATAAGGTACTTAATTTGGACGATATCTATTGGAGGATGACATCGATTAAGTTGCCCTAATTTCCTATTAGGCAGTAGCAATAAGTCATACAAGGAGGGGGATTATATCATCAGTCAATCGTGGCTTCCTTACACAGTACCTACTAGCTTACCTACTTACTAGGTAGACACCTACCTAACATCAATGCACTCCGATATCCCGCAGGTACTAGGTAGGTAGGCACCTAGAACCTACTCCTACTTGTAGTGCTTGGCTGTTTGTTTTATGAGATGATTTCTGGGTGGAGGTGTAACATAGAGATCATGGGTATCTAGGTATCATAGGTATATATCAATAGGTCTTTACCTACCTAGGTAGTCACCAATGATACCTAATAATTACTAGGTATATACAACGCAAACATGAGACTGATGTCATGTTTGGTGGCAGGTTTCCAAACTACTGCATGGAAGCTGAAGAGATTGTCTTCTATACTTCTACTATCATATTACTGACCCTAGTCTAATGAATACACATCGAAGTAGATCCGAATGGCCACGGGTATGCCCTTTGAAGTAGTCGGGATTGGCGACTGGTTGTGGTTCGCCTACCGTTATTTCATTGCCCAGTTTATTCGTAAAGGCCATAATAGAGCCATTAGGAACCTTGGAACGTAAAAAAAGAGGGTTAGTGTTGGAGTACGAGATATTTGTTGGGTTAAGATACCTGTTCGAAATGATGTATAACGTAGGAACGGTCACACAAATTTGAGGCTGTCGTGAATAAAGGTGGACAAGCAGAGGAATTAATTTTCTGTAGCCTTAAGTACCCAACTTAAATCTCTACAATAGAGTAAATCAGTGAGAAATATTATGAAATTAATAAATGGCAACTAACTAGGTACCTACCTACCTAAGGTAACTAGCTTTCGAAAATGCACAAATTGTTTCCACGACGATGATCTAGTAGGATCGTGAATTTTCTATAATGAAAGAGGATCGCTTCTAAGCTCTAGGAACTTTTCAGGCGATAGATAGGATAGGCAGGCTTCTGCCAAAGGTCCCAAGGAGCGAGTGTAAGAGGCTAACGTAGGTAGACATCATGTGGTCTTATCATCTAATCTAGGTATCTCCTTACATTAAAGTGAATTTTCTTGTGGTAATCTTATTACTTACTAATTCACAATCGTAATAGAGTATCTCGTACCTAAGGAAGGATCGTGAGAAACCAATACATTACACTGTTCTGAGCAAGACATAGAGAGTAGCAGAGCTTGAGATCCCTTTTCGTGAGCAATAGATTGGGATTGGCGAATTTCTCGCCCAGGTGTGGGATTGAGGCGTCATAACGAAAATTACTTCCTAAAGAACTACGCAAACGTTAGAAATGTACCAAATCAATGTGGAATATAGATGGTTCGTACCTCCATTGCCTCCTCAGGGGTTACCTTAGAAGGTTCGGATATATTCTGGTCGATGAGACCTAGTGCGGATCTGGCTCCTTTCATCTGCCACCATAACTCCCTTCTATCGCCACCCAACTCGCCAGAAAGCAGGCGCTTCTTCAAATCTCTTAAGAATGAGTTATATATAGCTGGCATCTCCCATTTCACCATCGTGTCCCTGAACACGGCAAGATTTTCTACAGCCCGGTCATATCCACTGTCTCCGAGACTGTTTGAGATGAGTGAGCGGATGATACTACCCATCTGCTTCGACGCGCCTTCAATCTCGGACTCTTCGCTAGCATACTCTACCATCTGCTTGAACTCGGGGATGGCGTTCTTTGGGTCGATCTTATGGCGCTTGTTTTGAGGCTGGTTGAGGAGAGCATCGACGTCAAGACCTGAAATTGGCTCCGGTTTATTACCCTTCTCTCTCCTGCTCTTGGCTTTGGGAGGTACTATATACGGGTTAGCTTGAAATGCCGAAGACGTTTTTATGAGATGAAATATAATACCTCTTTTGACATCAGCTTCAGCTATTAGGTCCGCAAGTCTTGATTTAGCTTTGACGATCAGGTCCTCTGGTGGGTTCGAATATTTGAGTAATATTGGGGCGACTGGAGGAAGTGGCTGGTCTGGATAAATCGCACGGTGTCGAACAACTTGATTAACACGATGAAGCGGAGGACAAAATACATCTTCGATTGCGGCGTATTCTGAACTGCGATTACTTTGAAACGTTAGTCCTATAGTATCTTCACGTAGACTTATAATAATTACCCTTCTTCATCCTTTGCCCAGGTAGATATGTCCATGGCGTCGACGTAGTCGTCCATGGCTTCCGAGAGATCTTTACTAGGTAGAAGGCGATGGTCTTCGTATTTTATATTACCAGTGACTGTAATCACCTTATCAAGGGGAGGGAACTGATAGTTTCTAACGTCTTCTGCGAAAGGCAACGGAACATCGTATAAACATTCAAAATCAGGTTCGATGTGAGGAGCAAGCAGGATTAGAGAGGGCTCCTTTCCATCTTTCGTGACGATCCGGGCCACTGCATAAGACTCAAGCTCCTGGAGGGAGTGAATGAACGAAGAGAGTTTAAGCGCGGCTGCGTCGTTTAATTTCTGAGCGACCGTCTGGCATGTTTCTCCCATGTTGAAGAACGGATCATACTAAGTAGATTAGCGTATAAAATATATTGACGGATGCGGCTTACTTACCTTCTCTTGATGTATGAAGCCCAAGATTGTAAAACATTTCGTAGTCTCGATCTTCGTAATGTTGTACTCCGACTCGCTAATATGAACGGCCGTTCTTCCGTACTCGTATCCCTTCGCCAATGATTCGAATTCGACGTCTCGCTTCCCTCCTGGTGCTTCAGGATCATTGACTTTATACGTCCTAGCATTTTTCACGGCCGCGAATGCGCCGGTACGTTCCACGCCTTCCATCTCATCGCTTCCGGCGGCCTGAGAGGGACCCGGATCAGTTGAGAGAACTACGCGACTGGCAGGTGGTATCGTCGCCTTGTGTGTCTTAAAATACCGTTCTACGCTGATGCTCATAGCATCTTTATGTGCTGCAGGATTCCCAAGGGTGAGCTCCCCGTCATACGACTTATATGGCTTGACGGGTTTTATTCTTGGCATCTCAAGTTCAGAGATGGCGTCTGCCATTGTGCCATATAACCCACCGCATTTATCGACAAGCTCCTTCAGGAGTTTCTCGTTGGTCCTCTTTTGGGTTGACTTGTCTTCTTCCTTGAAGCCGAATTCCACGTCATCAAAATCCACACCCCTAAATATAAAAGGTGTTAATATGGAACTAAGATCGCCGCGTAAAAACTTACAAGACTACAAGCTCGATTCCGCAGTCTTTGATCTTCCCTGCGATGTCATCGAAATCATCGGGATCAACAGACCCCTCTCCATCTGTAACTAGGATAATTTTGCGCTTGTATTTCAGCTTCTTAGTGAATCTCTCGATCATATCAACAGCTAGTACTATAGCTGATATAGAGTCGCCGGATTCAGTGTCGCTAGGTTTGATGAGGCTTTGCAGGCTGCGCAGGCTGGTCAAGTTCATGGGGCCGAGTTCTTGTAGAATCGAGATATTCTCATAACCGTCTCCTTGCTGGTCCTGCAAGGGGTTGCTAGTCTCGTCGGTCCTTACGCCAACCACTCCAACGGTCCATGTCTTTCGTGACGCAGCAACAGTCGTAGTAATTTTGTCCCATACATAGTGCATGCCCCAATCAAGATCGGATTCGATTCTTCCATTGTGAGAGTCTCCCATGGAGGACCCAAGGTCAACAATGTAAACTGTGGCCTCCTTGTCCGCCATTATGATACGGGTCGAGATACGGGGAGGAATAGAATGGGTGAGGGATATGGAAGTATGTAGAAGGATATGGAGGAAATTTCAGTTCAGTTAAGACATTCATCTACTATGTAACATCATGGGTTTCCATGTTGTTAAAAATAATGATAAAAAACGACATCTGCCCAGTTGATGAGATCCATTAAGTACCTAGGTAGGTAGGTACCTGTACCCTGTATGAGCACATGACAATTTGCTATTTGAAGCGCGTCGTTTTCACTAGGCAGGCGCGTAGGCACCTGACTGCAAGTGTATGCGCCTAATCGTCCGAGACCAATGGGCACCTTGATATGGTCCAAGCTTCTTCCGCCCCAAATTGGCGGGGATGGCACGACCGTCGACCGAGAGACTGCAGCGCACCACCTTTCCAAACGTTATGCGTCATCCGTAGTCTCGTCTATTGTTCATACAAAACTTTAATAAAACTACCAAAATTTTCTCATTCGAGCTTTTTGGATTTTACCATTACATTTCCCCCAATCTTCAATTCACAATTGTCATTTTGTCATTAGCACTAATACCAAAATAAGTCTCCAATATGGGTGAAGGATCCGTGCTCTTCACTTTAGCACCTTATCAAGTCCTGTCGTAGGTTCAAGCCAACCAATTACTATTATACAATATCTCTAGTACTAACAATATCGACGTCAAAACACATAAACTAATCTGGCATAGTTACGGCACACTCCTAGGAACACAGGTTTTCCACGTAAGTGGTTCATCTCTCGGCTGATATACACGAACTTGCTATAGCCCACCAATCAACCAACCCTTATTAAGTTGAACATGGCAAATATATATTAGAACGAATTGACAAACATAAAACCAAAATCTAGACTTTCTTCAACTCCATAGCCTCTTTCAAAGTCCTCGAGCGACCTCAATTCGCCATCCTTCAGCGAGCCGTCTTCCCCATATACTTCGGCATTCAGACTGCGAGCCCCGTCGTTCTGGCTTTGACATACCCGGGTAATAAGAGTGGCTTCGGCGTGCCGTCCAGTCTTGTCGGCGTATTTCACGAATCGAACCGCTGGGGCGTGTTGGTGCCACTTGGGTCCATATTTGCGACGGGTCTTTTAAACCTGGCATACCTACTCCCCGAGACGAACAAGATCACTGCCTTGAGGCGAGAGCAAGGTAGGGTAATGCAGGGACCACGAATATGAATATGCTTTGTTAATACGGATTTGTAATGCAGAGGTAAAGGATGGCAAAGCTAGCTACGATGCCAAACCGCATTCCAAGGAGATGGCCGAATTGAATAAGCAATTCGGCAAGATCCACGGCATCTCCTCGCTAGCGAACCTTATCACCCTACTCGCGACCGTTATCTATGGCATCAATCTATCCTCTAGACTCGAATGAGGCGAGATTCCATTGGTGTCCGCAGTCAATAAATCATTTGTACACGAAAGAAAGGTGGAATGTCAAATATTGGATGTCGACAACGAAACAACGCAAATTGGACCCAAATTGTCAATTAATTACAACGCTATCTACCTACTCAATCTATTCAACCACGCTTGAACACTTCCATAGAACAAGTATGTGAGCTTCCAGACTTGGCCAGAACCCATCCCCTGGTCTATTCTACTAGCGTTTTTTCTTCCAATCCCCACCGCCCTAAAATACGCCTCTTAAAACATTCCGAGACGGTAAGCGTATCCAGCACGCCCGAATCCCTGGGTATAATGCATACAAAAAAAACATGCCAAAGCCCGGCAGCCGATGCAATATTCCAATTTCGCCCGTAATACACGGTGAATCCCTCCGAGGCTCCGTAGATGGAAAGTTGGAAGATATACCGTTTCTATTTTTTTATTCTTTCTTTTACTTTGTGTCGGCAAAAATTGATTTAACTTTTAGATTTGTCCGGCCAATGCGAGCAATTTCTTCTTAGCGTCAGCTAGCTTCTTCGCTCGGGTTTCCTCGTCTTCGAGCACAGGCTTTCTGGATGGCTTGGCGGCTGCTCGTTGCAGGGAGCTGTAGAGGGACCGTGGCAACGGCTTCTTAGCCAGTTGGTGAGCGACATCTAGCTCCTCGGTTGGTGGTGCGTACTGTCGCTCCAGCGGCGGGATCGGGTAACTGGCGCCGATCATCTGGTTGGCCTTGGAGTTCGGCGATGGCGCTGGTGATGGTGACGTCTCTTCCTCCGACTCCGAGAGGGACGAGGTTGTAGGCGATGGTGAGGTATCACGGAAGTAGGCATGTGTGGTTTCGGACGGCTTACTGAAGACCCTTCGCCCTTTGATAGGGGTAGTACGAGCAGGGGCCTTTGGGAATGTGACGGGAGCCCCCATTCTAAAAGTGAACGTTTCTCTATGATCGGACATGGTGATTAGGTAATCAGGCTATAGCTTATAGGTGAGGTGTATGTGAGCTGCGGAAGATGGATGTGAAATGCTTGGATAAAGCTTGTAGTAAGCAAAGGGCCGGCCGGATGGGTTGATGTATAAGTAGTAGAGTTGCAAAAGACGTCTTCCCACTTTAGTAGATAGGTCGACAGATAACTAGCTCGCTTCGAAGAGTAGATATAGAAGTCGAATTAGAAGAATAAAACGAAGAAGGAAGGACGAAAAAGGGAAAGGAGAGCACGAGACATATATGTATGCGTATGCCGCACGGGATAAGCACAGCATAGACTCCATCCCGTTACGAACTACGATACGACCCCCACTCCCCACTCTCTGGGGGTCCTCGCTCGGAAGAGGGATCTAGTACTGTGTTGCTAACGCCGCATCCTTGATGGGGTGGACTCTACATACACTCATCGGTTCCCCATTCACCGCCGACTTATCGACAGCTAGCTGCAAGCAAGGGTGTCGTCAGCGGTGAATTATACCACTGTATGGGATATTACACACTTAATTAGTTGAATTAGCTGCAGTCAGGGTCTCGGCCCCACTTTCCTACTGGACCCAAGCACACCACTATGCATGGTATCGTGAAATCTATGTGAGCCGGCACCAATTGAGTGGGCAAGGTGGATTGCTTGATGAGCAAGGCGGTGGATCCTTCGAAGTGGTATCGTTTCTGACTATTTTACAACTACAGGACTGAGGAGACTGCTAGGTTTACATACTAGGCACTAAATCAACGCTGGTCTGAAAATCTTGAGGTTTTATGGAAGGTATTAGTATAGCAACTTGTCCTCGTGAACTGTTGCCGAGCGACACAGTCATACTCTATTCCACAGGGACACGTGACCACCCTCTCGGCAGATACCTAGTATTGGTATAATTAAAGGTAATCTAAAGTCTTCATTATGGGAGCACCCCCGAATTCGGCTACGCGAGCCTACTACAGAGTATGTACTACTAATGTTTTTTTGGGGACGATCGAACCCGTTCAACCCGTCGACTTCACAAATCAGATGGTGTAATTACCAATAATTAGGTCGTGTTCGTAAAATATAAAGCCAATCAAGGTCGGACGCATCTCTTACTTAACCATCTACGATGAATGGGTGTATCATGAAGGTGGGGTAGTATGTATATAATGTCTGGATAGATCATCCTCAAAGTTCCTTAAATAGAAGTCTTACAAGATCTGAAAGGGTCGAAGAGTGGCATATACGTAGGTATACGTCAAGCTGCTTGTTACCGCCTGTACGATTTGAAAGAAAGGCGTGCGTCACAGCACCAAGGTCTACGGATATGCTAAGCGACGACGCCTCCATATGTTGCCCGCCATCATCATCGGGCTTAGGTTCTTGTCGGGACTCCGGTATTGGTGGGGGTCGAAGGATTGTGGGTTGCGTGTCAGGTCGCAGCATACATAATACCTAGCAGGTACCTCGTACCTAGGACCTTGGTTGGTAAGAAATATCTATCTTTCCTCTGGAGTTGGATTAAATAAGAATTGTTGGTCACCTGCAGACTATTTTGTTGAATAAGACGTTGATATCTCTTTTCTTTTATCCAATGGATCTATCCAAGATCAACTATTTGTTCCCATGTATTGAGGTATCCCCGCAGCTTGCGAGGACAAATAGATTTCGCGAACGAGCTTTGATGTTCCGGTCCGAGCTGCATGGCTGCGTCATAATGCAGTAGACTGTAGACATATATGGTGGTGATACCCTCCTACGATGCGCATGTGAGCGCATCTAGCATACGCCATCCGAGCATTAGAACATAGAGAGATCTACATTACTTTTGCTTTGGCTTCTGTTTCTTCGCTAAATCGCTCGACCGAATCACTTTCGGCGTTGCTGCAGGTGTTTTATACCGAGTGAAGCTAGGTATGAAAGCACCAACCTGCTTCTTGTAGAGCTCGTACTCCGGATACTTTCCGGAACTGATTGATTCCGTGAGCCAGGTTGATCCCTGGAACACCATGATCAGAGAAAGAGGACCTAGGCCAGCCCAGCTATACAGACTCTTGCTTGCGTAACAGCTCCATTGGTATAACAGAATCCATATTGTCTGTTCGGCCGCAAAATTCGGGTGCCTACAGTATGCCCATAGTCCTGATGTGATGAAACCTCGGTCTAGGTCTTCGTGAGTAAGTCCACATCCTCGCGGCACCTTAGCCGTCTCCTGGTACTGCTTCTTCGCTGCTTGGTAATCTTGGATAATATTCGTCAATCGCGGATCAAATTGGTGCTGTGCTGTAGAACTCACCCCATTGTTGTTGGTCGCTGAACCACTCGGAGACGATAAGTCCGAGTTCGGCGGCTGCAAAGCCTAGGTCCGCTGCTGTAATATCCCGTTCGAAGTTCGAGGTCATCATTATGACATATGTCGGAGCTGCGAGGAGAAAAAGCAATATGCTTTGGATAAACGAGATGAATGTGACATTCAGTAGAAAGAAAAGTGCCGGATGTGTCCTGCTTCGAATTATTGCCCTATCGTTATCGTTTCGTTAGGTGGCTGGATTATATATTTTAAGAGAGAACACACACCACCTATAGTCTTCCGACCCAATATTGTAACCGCCCTTCCGTGTGTAATTGTAGGTTAATCGAGCCTTGCAGATATCAGCCCCTGGTTGTGTGACGATGGCATACTCTTTTTTCCTCTTCACATACACTCCATATCACACTCCAGCATAGTATTAGATCAACCCTTTGACTTGGTAGGTTGTTCAAATGGGACCAAGCAGCAAAATGCGCATTATATATCGTAGGTAATAGACTCCACATACGGTCAACTTGGGAATAATTTCGGTTGAATTCGGATACGACCAAGAATATGGCACCGAGGAATATCGAAAACCCAAGACCAGACACCAGCGGATTGGTATTCTTGTATAACTCGACGATTGAATCATGGCTTGAGATAGCATAGATTATCTTGGCAGGCAATTCGTAAACTTGAGGTAGGTACGGTTCAACCACTTGGGAGTAATCGGCACAATCTTCGAGACTCTTCACCCATGGCAACGCCATTTTGAATTGGCATGTATACTGGTATTCGTTCGTATCGTAGGATTAGAGAGGAAGACGGCAGTTAAGATATCGGTGTTAATTGTTGGTGTATATACTTCGTACGTCATGACTTTCAATATTTCTAAGTTGAAAATGAAATTGACGATTGATCCTAACCGTACCTTGGCAGATGCACGGGCCACCTAACCCCGTAATGAGAACTCTCTATCTAACAGGGGTTATGTGTGGGTTCAAAATCTTAGGTAAGGATGATTGGACCAATCAAATAGTTTATTTACTCCGGTACAGTACATACCTCACAATCAATTGTGAACTTTTTACTCGAGAAAAAAAAGTGTCGGGAAGGCACGCGATGATGATATTTGAAAGTGCCGAAGTGAAAATACGAAGCGTGAACTCATAAACTTCTCCACATAACCATCAAAACCTCTAGAGGTAGAGAATCACCTCCAGGTCTATTGATGATGAGATATACATGGAACATCGCCTTCTAGGCAATCATTTGCTTTTTTTCTACCACGGGTAACAGCGTTACTCATGAGACGCATCTTGAGCTGCTTGTGTCATATCGAAAGGACACACCAAATAGCAGCAACGAGATTTAACATTTCCCACTTTCTTAGACGACCCAAATCAACTATGAGAGTTCTTTGCGTCGCCGAGAAACCCTCGATCGCGAAAGCCGTTGCAGGTCACCTCTCAGGTGGTCAAGTTCAAAGTGTTAGTTCTTTAAATCTTCACCAGTCCGCTAGCTTGACGATACCTTGCTAACCTCAACCTAGCATAGCACGTCGGAAAAATACATCAAGAACTATGTCTTTGACTACGACTTTGGACATCCCTGGGGTCATTGCCAAGTTACCATGACATCTGTACTCGGTCATATTACCTCGGCCGTTTTCCCTGCCGAGTATAAGAGCTGGGAATATCCGCCGCCCGAACGCTTGTTTGATGCCCCTGTAAATATCATCACATCCGAGGTCCGCGCCCTAGTTTCTAGCATCAAACCCGCTCAAATCCATAACATATATTGTAGGACAAAACGAAAGTAGCAGATAACATCGAAAAGCAGGCACGCTATGCTAACGCACTGTGCATATGGACTGATTGTGATCGAGAAGGCGAGCACATAGGCCATGAGATATGCGAGGCAGCTAAGAAGGGCAACAGGACTCTGGATATCAAGAGGGCTAGGTTCAGCAATATCGAGAGAGCGTCAGTCGTCTATTCCATCTACCCTAACAAAACACCAAGCTAAGTCGGCCTAGGCATATCTTGAACGCGTCTCGAAACCTCGTCAATCTTGATCATAAGCAAGTTAATGCTGTAGCCTCCCGCATCGAGCTGGACCTTAGGATCGGTTATGCATTTACTCGGTTCTTGACAACAAATATAAGGACACTGGGAGGGCCTCTTCAGAGGCTTGTTGTAAGCTATGGTTTGTCATCCCAAGGCCAATCAAACCAGAATATTCTAACGTCACAGGGTCCTGTCAATTCCCAACCCTAGGATTCGTTGTAGACCGGTATTTTAAGGTTAGAAATTTCAAGCCGGAGCCGTTCTGGAGCATCAAAGTCATGCACAAACGAGAAGGCATAGATGTCAATTTTACTTGGTCACGCCATCGCCTCTTCGATAGGGCATCAGTCGTTGTTCTTTATGAGAGATGCCTCACAGCAAAGATGGCCAAAGTAGTAAAGGTTCAGGAGAAGCCCACAAAGAAGTGGAAGCCGCTTCCGCTAACCACGGTTGAGCTGCAAAAAATGGCTACGAGATTTCTACGTATGACAGGTCAGCAGGCTATGGAGGCAGCGGAGAGCCTCTACAATAGAGGCTTCATCAGTTATCCTAGAACCGAAACCGACCGTTTTGATTCCGGCATGAATTTACGTACATTGGTCCAAAAACAGACACAGTCTGGTTCCTGGGGCGAATATGCACAGAATTTAGTCAATGGTAGATTTCAACAGCCACGACAGGGACGAAACGACGATAAAGCCCATCCCCCTATCCATCCCATTACCTTTGCGGCGCCGACAATCCTTAACGACAGAGAAAAGAAAGTCTACGAATTTGTTGTTAGGCGTTTCTTAGCCTGTTGCTCGGAGGATGCTAAGGGTGTCGCCACAGACGTCGATATCATATATGGAGAAGAGTCTTTCCACGCCCATGGCGTTGTCGTGTTGGAGCGAAACTACTTAGACGTATATGTGTATGACAAATGGACAGGGACTGTTCAACTTCCTAAATTCACCATTGGTGAGGTCTTCGAACCTACCGAAGCTCTTATGACAGAAGGCAAGACCGCGGCGCCTAATTACCTAACTGAAGCTGATTTAATTGCTCTCATGGATGCCAATGGGATCGGAACAGATGCGACAATGGCTGAGCATATCCAGAAAATTCAAGAAAGAGAGTATGTTCGTACTGTGCCCCGAACTTCCCGCGCGGCAGACGAGGGAGGAGAAGAAGACGATGCCCCGGCTGCACGAGGAGGGCGCGGTGGCCGAGGCGGTCCTCGCCGGGGAGGTCGAGGTGGAGGATCCACAACCGGCGGGAGAGGGGGGATTATGGAATTTATCCCAACGCAGCTAGGTGTAGCCCTGATCGAAGGGTTTGACAGGATGAACTTCGAGACCAGCCTTGGGAAACCATTTTTGCGGAAAGAGATGGAACTAAAGATGAAGGCTATTTGTGAAGGCCGTACTACTAAAGAAGTCGTGCTAAGCGAGAGTATTCGGCAATATCGTCACGTCTACATGCAATCAAAGGAGAAGCTGACGGTTCTCAAAGCGGTTGGTTTATCCCTTTGTCGTCTCTTATTTGGGGAGGAAATACTAATTCAATATGAAGGCGTGTCGACAGTATATATTTCAACAAAATGGCGGCTGATGGAGAAGGTAAATTTGGATTTACTAATTGACATGGTCAAGGTACCATCGAATCAATATGAGTATTTTCTCGTGTCCTGCCATGAAGTAGGTAGTAACACATAATACGCACACAGAACAGGATTTTCACGGGCCGATTCCTTGTTGGAAGACTGCATATTGTTGATTGAGGTTAACACGCCACAAAGTCTTGCTCTACAACATCTCCGAACATCGGCCCTCCAGTTGCTCGTAAGCGATGACGCTCAGCATGAAAGTATCCTTCAGGCAAAATTAAGTTATACGGTGGACTAGGCTAGTTAAAGACGCGTGCGAGGCATAGATTCGCGAATTGGACAGACCTCAAATGCAGGACCTAGGTAGCCAATTCGTCGGGATTCGCCCATACGAAGACCATACGTGCGTCCAAGGTGCGTATCACGATGATAGTGCAAAACATACTGCATACTGCATACTGCATTATACCAGACTATATTACCCGCGTATCCCCACCGAACTAAGTAAGAGCATCTCATCGGATCGCGCTATGCTAAAACGTGGGGGAATCATACTGGATGATGGGCTACTCTGGCGAAACTCTGGCGGGGTATTTAAACTCTACGAAGTCGAGATGCAGACGCAACACGCAACCCTGAGAGCCCCTCCCCAAAATACGACCATTCAGGATTGTGTACTACCCGACCTGAGTACCTGTCTCGTCCCGTTTTTGCTCTATCACACCTTAGAACATCTATCGCTATCTACGTCTACCTTGGCTCTCGCCGTACCATCGTCATCATTGTTACCTACCACAGCCAACGATGACGGCGGCTTACGTCTGAATATCGTGACCTGCGGCGTACGGATCTACCTAGATAGGCAGCTATTGCAATGCTAATTCATAGTCGTTACAGAGGCTACCTAGGTAAATACTAATTCCGAATATTTCATCCCGGAATCAATTCATTGGGCTACTATGTAAGCGTGTTACGTCTTTTCGTCACTGGCTAGGGCTACGACTAGCTAAACATTGGTGGAATGGGGTCAAAGTCGCGCATCACGATACCAGTTCCTGACCAATCATAACTGGGCGCATGCGCAACGTGAGGGATTCCTGGGACCATGGCCTTTCAAAAATCGGGAATCATGTGGCATCGAATCAACCTATCTAGTAGCGCAGCCATGGATTCAATGGCTTCGAAGTGTATGCACCATTGATAGCCGGAAAGCTAGTATGGAACTTACCACTAAGCATTCGAATTTTGCATCAAAATGTACTTAGGTAGGTAGGTAGTAGGTACACGAAACTATCAGCGTAGCCGACGAACAAGCGAAGCTAAGATCACACATGGTCAAACAAGTCTTAGGTACAGCCCCGTTTCTATCGATTCGATTGACGGGAATGAGATCTCCAGCCTTCTTTCTTGCCTTACCTATATCGGTATCGTTGTCATTGGATCGCAATAAGAGTGTGACGCGAAGCATATGTAAGACCTGCGGGAGATTTCCTGCGAGCTGATAACGCAGGCTTCTAGTCTCGGCTAGGGCACAGGCATTTCTCCAGACTGCAAAAACCCATCGAAAATCGATTGGCTTCTTGGATTAGAGATAGTGCCATTCCATCCCTTGACATGCGAGATAGCCGGGTGGCCAAATGGGCGGACGGTTTTTGATGTGCTCGGATCAATGGCGGTTTTTAGCATCAAGCCGTTCCCCAAAGCAAGACCGGCACACGCCCCACGGGTTTCTCTGTGGGACGCCCCAGAGATTCAGCACCTGCGCAATGATGGAATTGATGGGGATGGCATGTCTTTTATCTTCTTGACCTTACTGTATCTATCCATGCCTGTCACCGGGGTATCGTGTGTACGTACATATTGCTGTGTTGTCCAGGCTGCCAGGCTGCCAGGTACCTAGGTATGTAAGTAGATTCAGGGCAATCCGAAAGCATGTGGCCCACGTCATGTTGATCGGGTTCCTATCTGCCTACCTAGTACCTAGTACCTAGTACCTAGTACCTAGGAATAAGCTGCATCTCTCGGGAATGCACCGAAGGTTCCATAGCGATAAACAAGTCAGGCACCAGAAAGGGTGGGAAACAAAGACTGGACGGGAGACAACAAAGAGCTGCGAGGAGGCTGCATACTTCATTTTTCTAGGTATCTAGGACCTAGGTATGTACTAGGTAGGTAGGTACGCGTTCTGCAACGCCTGCTGTCGCTTATTAGATCTGTCAACTAACAGTGGCTGAAGGCCACACATCATGAAATGAGTCAAGTATAGATGATCAGTCAAACGAGTATATATCTAACCAGTCAAGGAAAATGACTGGTGAATTGATTCGACAACTACATAGTACATAGACACCTAGCACCTATCATAACCTTGCCTATCTGTCTGTCCATCTTTCGTCTGTAACGATGATAAGGCCATACAGATATGGCTTGCTTCAGTACAACACTAACCACACCCCGGATTCCATGTTAGGTATTACTACTACATCCCAAGTAGGCTGCTGGACTGCTGGGTTAGGTAGAGTCGGGAATTGGGTGTTGATGGATGATTGTGTACGTAAGGCTCCTACATAAGACTCAAGGATTTAGGCCATGACATGATGATGAATGTATAGATCCGTACCTTAAGAGTTCTTACATTGTTAAATTGAAGTTATTATTAGATATCAATGTACCCATGTAATGGAGGTGTGCTTAGGTCTTAGGATGCGGAGCATTTCAAAGCACTCGTGGACCTGGCATTCATTTAAAATATCAATTGAAGTCGCGGTCCAGCCGTACCTTACCGAATTCATGTATTGTACATTAGGGTTTGGTTTGGGCTAGTTTGGTTTTAGTTTACCTCGGAGTTGAGTGTGGGAATGGGAATAGGATTCAACATGTTACTACGTAGAAGGTTCGAATGTCCAACTTGGATATGTTCAACTGGAAGTGTTCAAGTGTTCAAGGTTCTATGAACTAGAAGGTACGAAATACGTACTATGTACTCTTCGATGTACAGTACATACCTACCTATTTACCTCCCCTGCTCCCCCATATAATGCGTAGTATAATGTTGATTTTTCCTTTGAACAGTTCAAAATTATTAGAGGCACCACTCTTTTTGCTAGGGCCACTTCCTGAACATTGTGTCCAAGCAATCAGATTCGCGTGTGGCTCCCTGTGCGCTGTGCAATTGCCTGCTGACCATGTTGAACAACACCCCCCCTTGATTTCCAGTTCCCATTCATTGTCTTAAGGCACTTAGCGAGCAATTACATTAGTAGGTCGCAGCCGTCGCCTTTTCCCACGTTGATCTTTCCTTTCGTCAAGGAACAACAACAACAGAGAAATCAACATCACCGCAAAATTGTAATTTTGCAACCCCAAGAGTCATCTCAAGTCACAGTCAAGATAATCGCGTCAGCTTTGGCCATTTTCGCCTATTTTTGAATTTTTTTTGTTTTCCACCCAGAAAACAAAATTTAATCAATCTGTTTGCCATTACCGCTTGCACCTACTTCGGACTTGTCCTTGTAAGTGACTCACCTATTCTTACCTGCCTGCCTGTCATAATCATCGAAACATTGCCAGCCATTGAAATAAAAGAATGAAAAAAGCCAACCTCAACTTGATACTTTAACCCGATTTTATATCTATAAATTTTCATATTCAGTGTCGCTTACATCCATAGACACGACTCGAAGTATTTAATAACTAAAATGGCAACCATGGCATTGGCTACTGCTGCTCGCGATATCCCAAAGACCTCCCATCCCAGCCGAGACAGCTTAACTGCTGTAGCGGCTGCTCGGAGTGTTCCTGTGACACGAACTCATTCTCTTCCGACACCCCCCAATTCCATATCACCTACGCTGCCACCCCATGGTCTCAAGGCCCAGCTGCAGAGGGCGAGGCTTGATACCGTCGACTCCGACCTAGACCTTCACGAGGGCACCGATCATAGTCCTATCGGTTCGCCGAGTTTCGAGTCGACAGGAGCCATCACCCCGGCGATGCTGGCCAAATTTCATCTTCCAGACATCCTTCTGAACCACGGACCCTTGGCCATCCGCTATATCATGGGATACCTAACTACTTCGGTCCCCGGTTTTGCCGGGATCTCTCCACCGAAGGCGCGAAGGTTAGTCGTGGCAGCGTTAGAAGGACGTGGACAAGGGCACGGTGTCTCTGAAGGTGGAGGAGTTGGTGGAGTTGGCGGTGTCGTGGAATTCCAGAAGGTCGGATGGGGTCGGTGGGACGCTAGGCGACGCGGTCAACCTTCTCGAGATGCATCTCGACAATCCGGCGGTGAAGGTAGTGCCGGATCATATCCGACTAGCATACCAATCTCAAAAGGTGCAGGGTGGAACGCTGACCGCTCTCGATTGAACGCACGTGCCACTAGCAACGGCAATTCTGCGGCCTTCTCTCACGACGACAGAGACGTTAGCATGATGGAGAACGAAGCCGATAAGATGTCTCTAGACTCATTAGACGGCCCTGCTTCGGCTTCTTGCTCCTCGGCACCCGACAACGAAGACATGGTCATGAACGACGATCCCGAAGACGCTACCGATGACGAAGACTGGGCAGCTGTTGGAGCTGCGGCACTGCGGGCGGCCTCGTACTCCAATCCTATAGGGGCTCGTCAAGGAACGAATTTCCCCTCTCGTGTATATAACTCTTGCGGCCATCGATCATATTCCGGAAATAATACCGGAATGCTGCGGGAGCCACGTCTCGATAACATCGATCTGGACGCCTTGGCTGCTTCATCGGATGCTCAAGAGCGTGAGGCCATCCAGGCTCTTTTGCAACTCGGTTCTGTATAAATAATTCGGCATCGGTGGCGTTTAATGAGTGTAGCCCGGCTCGGACGGGTATGGTTTGGTTGGCTGTCACTGGCTGGGCTGGTTATCGTCTTGTCATTACTTGATCGGGCTGATGCGTTCGTCTCGATCACCATTGTTATCATCTGGCATCTTCTGGTTTTGGGGGGGTTTTTTTCGACATCCGGCGTCTCTGGCTTCTCGACGGCATTTAGGGTGCATTCCATACTTCCACTCCGGAGGGATTCCGGTTTTGGAATAATCATCCTTATCGATGGTACAATTTGCATGGCATTTCTCTAAACCCTGGAGGCGGGTGCATCTCCGCGGTTGTGAGCGGTTCGGAGTTTTGTCTTTCAACTTCTTTCTTCCCCTTTTTCTATACGAATCACGAACGCTACACCGAGTTGCCTGGTACACCCCATCAGAAACTTATCGGTTCCAGTCCGGAGGAATCGGATCGCCTTGAGCCAGTGGGAATCCCTCGTGCGCTCGGTGCCGATTGTTTCTGGGGACATATTCTCTTGCACATTATACCCCTTTGCGACGTACATACTTGACTTTTAATATCTCAATTTCCGCTGGCAGAAAACACCCTCCGCTTCAACATCACTCGCGGAGGGAGCAATACACGATTTATCATTCTTCCGATATTCGGCAGACATCGGAAGAAGGCGCTTGCATCGCATATTTATTGCAAGGGCATAGTTTGACACATTTAAGACTTTTAATTAATGCGTATCAAGAAGATGAGGAGAGACGAGAGACGAAGGAAGTTGATATGTTTAGCTGGATAGAGGCCGTAGTCAAATTGATGACAAAATATTTGGTGTGGGAGTGGGTGTGGGTGTGGGAGGAACAGGAACGATCAGACTCTTTGCGGCTGTCGTTTAACGCATGTACCAACAACGGTCTCGTATGCCGACTACAACATGTTACATACAATGATACAACTTACTTGGCCGATGGAAGAGGATCAAAAGCGACCGGTTTAGTTTGAGAGTCGTTGGATTAGTTGTAGCTGCATTCTAGCTCTTCGATATCGCCACTCAGAGAGAATGAGAGCACCACATATCCAACACGGATATGTACCTACCTATCTTCCCTTCAACTGTTCTATGTATGAAGCCGGTGATGAAATATGCTAAAATATCGAGTGTAGTACACTTATTAGTTTACGTCGTAGGTGTTTATGGATATCGTAAAAAGTACGATAGCTTTTCATTCCTTTTTTTTGTGATTGACAAGAAGGTAAGCATAAGGCCAATTACTACCTAGTTTAACAGTACTAGGCTGGCTTTAAAGGGGGGATATGGATCAATATGAATAATTTGCATAGTACCTAAGAAAGAACGCGTTAATATCTTACTCTAGTCTGCCGTGTTAAAAAGTCTCACACATATCTACTGCGGATATAATAAATAGAGAAGATTTGAGCACTCACCCAAATGGGTAGGTATAATAGGTAGTGAGTATATGGCAATTAAGCCTCGTAGCACTGACATTATTAATTAGGTAGTAATAGGTAGGTACCTAGTGTCTGGTAAACTTCAGTTAACCTAGGTACCTAGGAAATATGAGAGGTAAGTTTGCCCATCCCAACTTCTTCGCGCGAAGCCTAGAAGATAGGTAGGTAGGTACCTAGAAAGACCTATAAAATATAAGACATTACCCAGGATGTTAATAGCCATGTGCATTAACCCTACTAGAAACTTGGGAGACAATTGGCTCGAGGTCAGTTTCTTCGACCTTTTAATCATGCAAAGCAAAATCATGATGGGATATATACAGAACCTACGTAGGTGAAGGTATATGAATCGATCAGAGTTATAGAGATTCGAATATAAGGTAAGGGACGTATAGGTAAAGATTAGGATTGATTGCTTACTTGGGTATAAATGGATAATGATATCGATCATACATGCCTAGTAGTCATCGCTATATAGTATAGCTGAAAATGAAAACGAAATGTTGAACTCTATTGGTTGTTTGCGATTGGGACCTAGCCCCTTATTATTACTAACCCCTTTTCAATAAATAGAACTATACGAACTCACAAACCGACCCAAGTCATAAAGCACGCGGCCATAAGTTAATCTACGAAATCTTCAACGCGTAAGTTGTCAATCGATATCCGCATGCCCTTGAATATATTATTTCACCAAGTCTTAGTGGAAGAGAAGTAGTTAAAGCGGTTATAGATTTCAAATCTTGATACTTCTCGGTCAAAGTCGTACGACCTCAGTCAAAATATGCTTGGCCTTAACGGTCGCTCTCGAGCGTATCCGACCGTTGAACGGGGAGCTGAAACTGAACTATTAGTAAAGGCGGTCTAGGGCAGTGTCAGCAGATTGACTTCGAGCCAGCTACCTCCCTACTTACATACCTACATAAGCACAGGTCATGACACATCGATTGATACATATTACCTGGCATATGCTTCCCGCGATCCATTAGCGGCGTCCGCCCGGTGAGCCAAGGTGCCAAGGTGCCTGGATGCTAAGGCTGTTTGCTCAAGGTTTGACATAAGATTGGACTGTCAATCCGTTTTTATGTAGGTAAGCTTACTCAAGGTTTTGACAAAGATCAGCTGTGGATTCGCGGTTGTTCGGAATTGTATAAGAGATGTTCTACTTCGTACATATTCTATTAATAATAATCTCGAGTACCCTTGTGGCTTGACACATAATGTTTTGCACCTGTCCAAGGTTGGATTCATGACAATTGAGAGTCCTTAGCAGGGAGACCGAGAAACTGCTTGAATGATAATAGTCCAGCAATGTAATTACGTATGAAATATGCTTGGGGTTACAGTTGACTCATACATACCTACATATGTATATCAAGGACAAAGAGAATTAGCGGGACCTGAAGTTAGTTACGCATAGCAACGGCTCGACAGGACGTTCAAGAGAGGACAATGGCAATTGATATGAGAACTTCACCGAGTGGCGAATGAAAACCGTTCGAGCTAGATACTAGTCTCCTGGAGCGGCAGTTTACGGCTCCAGTGCCAAATGTGGCAAGAGACTAATTCAGCTTCCACATCTTGCTGCTGACCCGGTAATATACCTCGTTTGGGTACCTAGAAGACGGCTGTGCAACATAGACCACGAGGTCTACGAGATACCTTCCTTCTGGAATTTCTAAGGGACTGAAAGGTCCGAAGGTGTTTCAACAGGCTGGGCTAAGGCCATAGGTAATATACAGACAAGCAGAGTAGGTAATAGCTGATAAGTTCCCAGTTGTCCCATCTATACCCCATTCCGTCGTTGCCGACATCCATGGATGAGAGAGGTTGCTGATAAGTGCATGCCTAGGTAGGTAGCCAAGAACTTGGCGGGCGGAGAGGAAGATCAAGGCTTGGCCACCCGGCGGAGGGTCTGCCACCTTTTTATAATGAATACCTTGTCCATTGTACCAAGAGAAAACCAAGACTTTCTTCCGCTATCACATCACAACATTAACAATGTTTTGTTGGTGGGTTATATGATATCGGGGGAATGGATATGCAAGTCGAGTGTTATGTCATAGCGCCTATACTCCTTCATCTGCTCAGCTGTTTAATTCTTATAGATGATCGGGATGAATCATGATTAAGGCTATATTAAAAGAGTAGTTTTATGTATTATTTACGAATTACCGATCAACAAACTCGAGAAGGTTAGCACCTTACAATTGGCGAAGAAGGGATAGCATAAAAACAAAAAGAAGGGGGGAAGGTGTTCAATGTCGTGCACATACATAATAAAGTTGTTACAGATTTACAAATTAAGATAAAGTGTGGAAGTACATCCATAATATACCTATGTAATAAGTTACGGATGCTACAGGTTTACGGGTGAAGACTGTACATACATAGGTAGATAGGCAATAGGTACTTCGTACCTACCAACCTATCTGTAATTAAGTACATACATAATACCTGTAAGAGATTTTCGGAATTCTCATCCAACATGGTTCGCAACATATTCAGATGATTCGAGCGATTGTACGAGTTATTAAAGTACCTAGGTACCTACATATCTAGGTAGTTTGCATATTGCGTGTAGTACTCTAGTACGTAATAAGAAAATGATCATTTGAGCGTGACGAAGAATTATGCGAAAATGTGAAGGAACAATCCAACGCGAAAACAGACTGTTGCTAAGAAATGGAGTGCGAGAAAGTGCAGAAAGTGGGCGCAGTCGAGTCTCGGCGCAGGAGGAACCCAGCGGCCAAGGTTTTTCCAAGCAACCGTAAGCATTAAACGGGCAGATATGTCGAGACAATCATCGAATGCCAAGAGACGCCAAGCCCTTGGCGGAATCTTGGCGCGGAAGTCGTTACTGAGGAGGGGTAACTCAAGAATGGCAGTCACAACACACTGTATGGCGAGTCACTTTCAAAAGAGTAGTACTTCGATCGTTTGCCCCCATTTCCCTCCGTCCAATCACTCAAAGCCGACCGCAACACCCAAGACCCATTGCCAAGACTTTCCGCCTCGATATCGCCAAGGTCAAACGTCCATAATAAGAGCGAGCACGACACTCGATTTACATAAACTCGTCATTCCTCTCTTCGAACGATACATGATTTCTCCCCTTTGCTCATTTGGGAGTCAAAGTCAACGAATCTACAGTATTTACGGTTACTGCTGCCAGAGATTCGAGAAAAGCACATCTATTGATGCTCGATTATTCCACAAAGATCTATAAAAGCGAATCATTTCCTGTTTAGCACCGCTTTCTTAATCCTTCCAAGGTTTAGTCACATGCTGCTGAGCTTGGACCGTCCTGTTACCTAGGTATCATCCACGGTCGAGAAAAGGAGAATAAAAATAAGTTTTTTTTGGTCTTGGACCGAAGATTTCCCGTACGGATCAATATTTTCTCCCTTTGAAAAGTCACCATACGTTGATTGGTTGGAATCCGTCTATTATTCCTTTCACACCAAGCCTTTTCGGCCAATATCATCACGTGTAAAGGTCACGTGGATTTACTCCTATTTTATCGCAGTTGAATCTTGAGGTTGGAGCCATGTCGGCAGCACCCGAGAACTCGATCCAATCGGGCGGCGAAAGCTCCAATTCCAATGGAACCACACCAGCGCCTTCGACCGCAACAACTGCCACCTCCCAATCCAGTGCTCCGGCGTCAGATGACTCTCTCCAATGCCGATGGACCGGCTGTAGCGAGAAGTTCAACTCGGCAGAGACTTTATATGTACGTTTTTATGGTGTAAATTCGCATTGGCTTAAAATTGATTACCTCAACTGCTTCGTAAGTTATTTATAATTCATTACCGGAGCTGACAATTGTCCTTAGGAACATATTTGCGAGAAGCATGTTGGACGCAAGAGCACGAACAACCTGAATTTGACCTGCCAGTGGAATCAATGCAAAACCACCACAGTCAAGCGTGATCATATAACTTCGCACATCCGTGTGCATGTCCCTCTCAAGCCACATAAATGTGACTTCTGTGGCAAGTCATTCAAGCGCCCGCAGGACTTGAAGAAACATGTTAAGGTATGGAACGCTTATGCTTTCTTTAATTAGACATTTCGTCTCGCCGATTTTATACTAATTTTCGATATGGATATAGACTCATGCTGACGACTCTGTCCTGGTCCGCTCGCCAGATCAGCATGGATCTATGAACGGTGCCTATCGCCCCCAGGGCAAAGGTACGTTTTTCTTGGTTAAAATCAACCATTTCCCCAATTAGAGGCTAATTCGCCTCGTAGCTCCATCTAGTTATTATGATCATAACGGTCAGATCCGTACTAACTCGGCCGCCTATGGTCAGCCGCCGCACGCTGCTGGCCACCCAAGTAGCTACTACCAGCACCACGCCCAGACTTCCTTTGGTCAGCCTATGTACTACCAGACCATGGGCGGTCGCACTGATCACATTGGCTACCAGGCTGCTCCCGCGGAGTATGACAATCGCAAACGCACTTACGACGTGCTAAACGAGTTCTTTGGTGATGCCAAACGTCGCCAGCTCGACCCGAACTCGTACGCTCAGGTCGGACAGAGACTCTTACCCTTGCACGGAGTTCTTCCAATTCACTCAGGCTCCCTGGGCGCCGAGTACTTGCCGGCTCCAGGTGTAATGGCCGTCGAGGGACCTGCCCACGGCCCTTACCAGCAGCATTACTCTCTGCCGCCTATGCCCAATCTTCGTACTAAGACCGACCTTGTTCAGCTCGATCAAATCCTTGAGCAGATGCAGAGCACGGTATACGAGAATTCTAATACCGCAGCAGCAGCCGGAGTTCATCAGCCGGGATCTCACTACCTACCCTTGAACATCCGTCATAGCCAGAGCCCACCGCACTCTGCGGCGCAACAACCCATGCCCAACGGCGCATACTCGTCCGCGCATGTGGCTTCGCCTCTGACTGCTGTCTCATCAACACACTCCAACGGCACCCCTGCTGTAACACCGCCGTCGAGTACAATGTCATACACTTCGGGCCACTCCCCAAGCGCGTCTTCCTCTGGCCTGTCCCCCTCAACGCGACATAGCTCTACATCAGCATTATACCCGACTCTTCCGGCGGTTACGTCAGGCTACCCAGGCCAATCCGCAACTTCAACCTTGGGTCCAACCTTCGACACGGATCCCCGCCGACGCTACTCGGGCGGTATGCTGCAACGTGCCAGCGCCGGACCCCGACCTCTCATAGAACGCGAGCCGTCCACTACACCCCGCGCCTCAGAGTCCGCGATCTCAGCAGTCAGCTCGCCGTCTGCAGAATCGGAGGCTAGCGCCGAGGCTCGAGAAGACCAGAATTACGAAAACTGGCTCGAGAACATTCGCGTCATCGAATACCTGCGTGAATACGTCATAGACCGTATCAAGCGCAAGGAGTATGATATGGAGAGCCCCGCGTCGGCGTCGAGTGATATGGACGTTGATTCGCCCACGCGCCCGCCGAGCCAACCGGCATACCCGGCGCTGCCTTTGTAGGACGGGCGTGTGGGTTAACTTAGGACAGGATAATCATAACCCTGGGCGGGGGCGATGGCATTCATATCTAGTGTGGTATGAGTGACTCCTTCAGAGACTCCGCCTTACGTGCGGGTTGTTCTGCCTGGTTGATGGAGTGACATAAGAAATTCGATAACGAGTGTACATACGGGAAGGGAAGGGGAATGACACGGCGTTATGCATGCGGGGTGATGACTAACAAAACTTTCTTCCTTTTATTCTCCACCTTATTGCATTTTATTCAGTACTTTATTGCCTTGTCTTTGTAAGGGAAAATAGCTGTCATCTATGTTAAGGCTGTCTCATTAAAGGGGTTCTGAGGTAGTGGGCTATTGGCTGTTAGTCGTCAACAGACATATGCCAGAAAAATATAGTGGTATGACCGATTCAGCTGCGAAGAAATGTCCTGCAGTTATATGTATTGAACATGGATCGCTTGTTAATATCAATCAGTTAATGATATTATTGTATGATGATTCGGCGCATCTCTATTTGACGAGGCCTTCGTGAAGCTAATGATCGTAATCGTCTTAATGACAAAGTAAGATAGGAGCATTATTCATATATCCAAACCTTAGAGTACCTAGTTAGGTAGGTAAGTTATCAGAAATAGCAGAATTGTTAATGAACGCAGCCTTGTACGAGCAGCATTTTACATGTCGGAAATTCTCTATTATGTGATATATTTATCGGCTCTGTTTGCTCTCTTTTAATTACCCTAGGTACCTAATTTATCCTGGGTATTATTTCCTCTTGACCCTTGTCTTGTCTCTATTCACCACCACCACGTTTTCCTCGCCACTCCTCATTTCATATGGGGACCCGCTTTCGGGGATGTTTTTCTCTCTTTGACGATAATCTAGAACAGAAGCATAAATGATATATTATATGTACCTAGTAGGTAGGCAATTTATAACTGCGTCATATTAAATATCTAAATACCTAATGGTAGGAGTTATCGTGTATCATTTCATAGAATGCATATCAAGAGTAATCTTATAAAATATAAAACGCACCCAAATACCCCAGACTTATCATTCGTAATGATCGGTCACGTATTCCATATAATCACCTGCCGGCCTTGATACGGACAAAGTTCGAAACACATCAATAACCATTTCTATTTTATACTTTACTAGGTAGTGGTATCATTCGTTTACTGATTGGATCCGAAATAACGGCCTTCGACTATATTATGCTTAGTCATTCTTTCCTTTAAAAACTTCCCGAAACGCTTCCTTCATGTTGCTAATGCTCGATGATTCTTCTATATGATATATTCGTGAGCTTTCTGGGAAAACGTGCAGTCGGAATAAATCAAGAAACAAGTTTCGTGTACGGAAGGAAAAGGGAGTAGATAGAAATCTGAAAGAGGCGAGAGATTCGAAAGAGATGGCGTGTTTCGACGGTTCTTATATCACGTCCGACCTGGAACGCCTTTCTGCAAGGTTCGGTGGGCTAGGCGGAAGTCCGAATTTGCCTAGGAGGTGGCACGTATTTAGTGGAGGCGAGTCTGCTTAGCCTGGACCAAGAATATCGCATACACTTCCCGAAGGACACGGATACCGTGTGTGCCTAGGGAAGGATATTTGGTTTGACTTGTATTGCGGAACAGGGTGTTTCGAAGTGGAGTGGCGAGAACCCCTAAGCTAGCATTCATGACGCGTGTATAATCATGAAATTACCAGACTTACCGCCGCAGTGTACGTGCAGATTGAAATTGAGCTGGAAGGAGGCTGACAGAAATTCGGGAAAATTACCCGGGGGAATTGTTCTCAGACTGGGAGGCTTCTTCGCGGCATCTACGACACATGCACCAGCCACCAAGACTTCCTTGTGCCCACTCCCGACGTTGCTGCACGGAAAGGTCCACATCACAGTAGTGATTAAGAATCTCCTCCCCAGCTTTTATACCGCCTGGTGCGTTGCCTACGACTCTTGTCTCGCGGGCTTTCAACACCATCCGACCACCCCAGGTCCAAGTGACATTTGGATTACAGTCGTGGTTGGCAAGGCACCAAAAAGGGTGGACGGCGGCGACGTCGGGACGCCCATCTTTTGGATTTTTGCGAGCCGATGCGGTGCCGCGAAATTTGCCATAGAGTGTGTTGAACACCCATATGTCGTACTTGGCCAGGGTTGCGTATATATCGATATCCATCTTCTCGAGAATGTGAAAGGGTGTCTCGATGTTGTAGGTAAAGGAGAAGGGAAGCGTCCAATCGGGAGGCGGACCCGCTTTAGGGGACAAATCAATCTCGTTAGTTTTGGAAGATACAAAATCCCCCCAAATATATTTGATTTGGTTAACGTCAAGTGGATTGATATCTTGGTGGGCCGCCATGGCTAGTACACGCGCGAGTAGTAACAGATGAAGAGTCTCGTCGGCCTCTTTCGCGTCAGGATCTTTGGCGATTGAATCGACGTCCTTTTCGCAAACGGCTGGATGGTAAAGCGCCTGAGCCTGTTCAAAACAATGTTGGTCGCAGAACACGGTGTCGAAACATTCTGGACAATTAACAGCGGTTGAATCGCCCCCCAGAGGCGGCAACTCGCCACTGCAAGCATCACAGACCGACTCCTTGAGGCGGTTGTTAGCCGTTACCAACGAGTACTCTACAAGTACGTCTTCTCCTGGCGCGATATCTTCCTTGGCAAAAACACCAAGTTGGTCACAGGTTGGAATGATGTCGTATCCGTCAGTACGACTTGAACATCCTAGCAATATAGGCAACTGCGCGACTTTGACAGTACACTTAGGCGCCATCTTGACCAACTCGGCGTTGAGAAGTTCCAGAGACTCGTCCGAAAACCGATCGGGTTCATAGCTGTTCCAAGGATATACTTCCCTACGCACCATACCCCAATCGGGAAGATCGTTCACGTTGGAGACCGACCTACGTGTTCTGCGACCGGCAACAGTGTGAATATACCCTCTCGTGTTCAGAAGCTCCTGATTATCGGGCGAAAGAGCAAGGCCACGTTCGCAGAAATTGTAAGCGCTCTTCAGACAGCCACATAGAAGCAGGCTCAAAGATAATATCTGATAACAACGAACGGCGGCAAGCGAAGCAAGGGCGGCGATATCTTTGATGCCACCGTCAAGTTCAGGCAGGCGTGACTGTCTTCCCGATAGCGAGCCGTAGTCCAAGACGTCCAACAAAGGACCGCGGGAGTACGCCGTGAGAGCATCGAGGGCTAGATCGTGATACTCGAAACTTTCGTCGCGAACTTCGTCGGTCAATAACAGCGCCTTGTAAGCATCTCCGGCAGCTAAGTCTGGATAAGCTAGGTCGGAATATACCAATGCGCGCTTTATATAGAGGACGAGGTCGTACGGGCTAGCCAGCAGATCATCTGTTAGTGACTGGCGTTGGCGCAAAAGCGACTCGATCCGAGTGTCGACCTCTTCCTCGGACTCGTCCATCACTCAGAACACGAACGGCTAGTGCTCTTTATAGGTACCTAGGTGGGAATCGAGATGGATACCGATACCGTTTGGGGGGTAACTGAGTAGTGGTATGTGGGGGATGAACCGTACTTCTGGTCAAGGGCACGTCATGCTTGGAAAGTCCGTAGATATCTTGCGTACCCTGGCGAGTGCCCAGGTGGTAGCTGTCCACGGATCAGCGCGCGGACGAGCACACAGGTGCGACTCTTGTTTGGGTTTGGGTTTGGGTTTGGATTCAATATTTCGGTTTTATTTTATTTTTAGTCTTCTTTTTTTTTTTTTAAAAAAAAAAAAAGATGCCAGTCAGGATTGTTAGGATAATTGAGACAATTGGGATATATGAGATAGTTAGGGCGGTTAAGACGGTTAGGATGGTCTGCCGTGATTCTACGGTTCTGGATCTGGGCGATATGTTGCTTCTTGCTTGTTGGTTGTTTGTATGGTGGGATGTCGATGATCGCCGGCGCGCGTTCTCGTTCTCGGTCTAGTTCCCGTCCCCCCGTTTTCTCTTGCAGTCGAGCTACTCTGGAACGATATAGGAGGGCCGTAGTTGTAATTTGTTATGCCGAGTGATATGTCAAGGTGTCTGATTTAGGCGGGTCTATAGAGCGGTTATCCAAAGAATCAAGAGGTTTTTCCCTCTAGAGGATACTGCTTGCAACCACACAGAGAAAAAATAAAAAAGGTGTACAAGTCCGAACTAGACCCCTCAGACCCCTCCAAGTTTGTGTGCCTGTGTGCCCAAGCTAAGGTTAGAATGTGGCACGACCCTTAGGTGGAGCCGACCAAGGAAAATCTGGATGGAACGATCAACGAAGGGACCCTTGATGTTTCCCAAGTTATAAATTCAGGGTCCACTTACATGTACTGGTAGGTACTGTCGATTGTGTTAATTGCTAAGTAATTACCTCGATATTAGCTATTAGCGGTCCCGGCATTGCGGGGACATAAGGTTGTTTAACTTGTGGCTTGAAGATACATCTATGATACATGTAATAGTACTTACATGTACTAGGTAGGTGATAGACTGTACCTAGTATCTAGTAGCTTAACATTAGATGTATATGTAGGTACCTATCCAATTATACCAACCTTAGGTACCAGATAGGTAGATATGTACTGTAGGTATGTACTAGGCAGATAGACTGTTGTGGCTAGAGATGAATCCTTAATCGTACAATAGGTACCTATTACATATTATTTCTAGTCGAGGATCGTACAATGTTTCAATAGTGGGTATTCACTACTAGGTAATACCTGCCTAGGTACCTACATATGTACCTAGATATAATGAAGACCTTCATATTAAGAAAAAAAGAAAGTTAACTTTTTACTCCGGTCATCCCGATGAACCGACAACTCTTATCAAGAACATCGAGCTCGACGTTGAATGGTGTGATTTAAGCTACTACGGAAGCTTCCTGCAATGCAACACTGTAGTTCATGACATTTCCAGAACGCCCCACCCCAGCACGTTTCTCCGACCTCTTATCGCGTGAGGCTCTCTACCTGCAAAGGTAGGTACTCTCAAGTATGTGCCTAAACGGTTGAAAAAAGAAGTAAGAAATGATACCCATGGTAGTAGATGGTCTACCTAGTATCATACAAAGCATTAGGTAACGAAAGTGATTCCAATCAAGTTGACGAGCTAAATAGATAAGGATACTCTTTAAAGACTTCGTACCTAGGAAGAGGGGAGGGGTGAGTGTTTGAAAATAACGGGACAGGGACACTTGAAAATGGCGCTTCGTCAAAGTCCCACATAGCTCCCGTCCCGTTATCAGGGGAACTGTTTAAGACTACAGCAGGGAGCTTCATTATCGCCGTTATTACCCATGGATGGCTTTAAAACTTCGTTAGTGGTGATCTACTAAGTTGATTGGTAAGAAGAGCTACGCGTTTTCTACCCTCACGAACCATCATGAAGGAACGGTGATAAGGAGAACTTGCTGTAATAGTTCGGATTCAAATGTTCTGGAACCGGAAATACACTATGGAACACTATCTTGTATGTGCGTAGGTACCTATGGAACTCGTTCAATTTATGTATAGGGCGAATTGGAGCACGCAACTTATCTCTCTTGGATCGAGTACTACGCATCGATTCTCGCCAATTGCTTATGTTATACAAAATATTATACATGATGTGAATACCTAGGTAGGTAAGTAGCTAGGTCAATCCGAATTTTTGCTAGCCTCCCCTTCTTTGACCATACCCTCGCAGCCAGTAGCTTGACCTAGTTTCTGTTCAACCTTGCCAAATCCTTGAGCCGGGTCACGCTTGTCGCCAGCAGCCTTCATGGTATTCACAGCGTGGGATTTAGCTTGCTCTCCCGAACTTGTCCAAGCTTGCGAACCTGTCACGCTACCAATGGTAGACTACGTAATAATTGTCAGTATTGATGTCCAGAATTTAACTATATTAGATATCTTCATATTTTCATATCTTGAATGATAGGCAAGACTGACCTCCGTGGCTCCCTTGATGTACTCGGCATGGCCGCTTATGAGTGAGGGTTGTTGCTCGTTGTTTTGCGAAGACATGGTCGATTGATGGATTGAGACTGTTGCTGGGTGTTTGCCGCTTGATCATTGACGAGAAGGCTCTTTTGATGATAATAGCAATGTGGTTGAAAGACTACTGGTCTTGATAGAGAAGTCATACTATTTATGAATGTCAATTTAGTCTATCAAAGGTTGTGACGTCAATACCTGTTAATGACACAATTGAGTTACACACGGGAATATCTTACCTCAAAGTGTGAAGCGTGTGGGGACTAATCACGATGCGCCTATCCACCTACCTCCTACCATCGTACTGATGCTCATCTTCATCTTCATCTTCACTTTCATCCACTAGTTCCATTGCATTGAAAAGATCTTACCAAAAATCCAATCACTCCCTTTCAAAGGCTTCCAGTTCCCATAGTTTAATTGCCAAAGCCTCCGCATCACCAAGCCAGAGGCATAAATCAGCTTCCACTGTTTCTTTTAAAGATTTTTTCGTCATAATTGAAAACCATGACACCTCGGGTATGGGCTCGTATGTTTCGCCTTCAAAATCATTTAGGCTTTTATGCAGTGGTTTTTTTTTTAAAAAAAAATCGAGGTAAATGACCATCTGCTGACGAGCAAGGCTCATATTTGACAACTACGGGATAGTCGCGATTTTGTTGTGAGAATCGCAGTCTAGACACCGCGGAAATGTTTAACGAGGTTTGGTATTAGTTGTAGAAGGAAAAAACGCACCTTATTTATGCCTAGCAGTACCTATGTAGTACAAACCAGACGCGTCACGTACGAACCATACATAAATATTGCCTATAACGAACTCAGAATTGAGTAAAGGCCAAAGAGGTACTAAAAAAAACTCATTCTCGTGCTATCTGGACATCTGAATTCTGCCGTGATCTGGATGGTTGAAATTGTATGGACAATAGATATCATCTTTCACTAGTGGATATTAATCCAGGGCTTTTAGAGGGTTGTACGCTAAAATTACAGCATACCTAGGTAGCTGCCTAGGTAGGTACCTTCATTAAAGTGGGTGTGGCATAAGAATCTGGGGAAGATCGAAGCCCGGGAGATTTCTTGGCATCGAAGATCCATGCAGCCAATCGATCATTCGTAATCGATTAAAAATGGAAACCTTGATCACCTTACCTAGTAAGATCCGTGGATGCCAAACACTTCAAGATTCTGTCCTTTTTTTTAATACCTAGCTACATCGAGCTTTGATAAGAAGTACGATATATAGTTCGAGAAGGTCGAGGTGGCATTCGATACGTCAAATGAAATAGGGCTCATGCTGCTAAGAAAACCCAGCTATCTATCCTACGTACTATGTGCCAGCTATGATTTATCTCCGAAAGTAACATGTACGGTCGTTTCAGAACACCCGAGCGAGTAATTAGGCGAATGGTGATGTCAAGATGCCAAACAGAGCTGGGAAGATATATACTAGGTGTCTGTCCACCTAGGTAATTCCTCTTTAAACAACAACATGGCAAGCGGCCATCTACTTTTCATGATCAATCGTATTAGAGACCTAACGCTTACTTCGTTACCAAACGTCAATAACATTGAAACATGTCAACTACGATTGGCCTCTCGACACCGGTGCTTGCACCTCTCTTACGTATGTTCAAACTGCCTACCCACACAGGTCCACTGAAACTAGAGATTCAAACATGTAGCTCAAACTAATCTATGTCAACATATCAATAGCTATAAGTGGTACCTTTGCTCTACCATTTTCCGCATACTTCACTCTTCTGAGCTACCGCGTTGTTCATCATCGCCTCGCAGACAAGCAGTATCTTGGTGATAATTCATCCAAGGACGGTGATCCGAATAACAAGCTTTACTTGGCGACTCGTTGCCACCAAAACTTCATCGAGAATGTGCCGATCGCTCTCATCCTAGCAGCATTCGCTGAGCTCAATGGCGGAAACCGAAAAGTTCTAACTATAACTCTCAGCGCTCTCTTAGCTTTCCGAATTGTGCACGTGGAAATAGGTCTCATCAATGGGTTGGGCATCGGTAGGCCAATTGGGTACTGGGGCACTTTTGCTACCATTGCAACTTTGGGTGGCTATGCCGCATTTCTTGTGAAGGGGTATTGGGGACTTTGAGTCGGTGAAAAGTGTGCGTATTGATTCATTGATTCAAATAGGCGGAGACCGGAAACTGCAGTCCGGAGGCTTCTTGTTACCCGTGAGAGATAAGGGTCGTATATTACTGTACACACCAGTAGTTTTCCTGTGTGGTATTAGTGCGAGGTTTAGACATCCATAAATCGATTGACTTAATCCTCGCACCTGTCGCCATGATTCTACAAGCAATGTGAAGGTACTTCGGGGTATTTCTTGACAGGGGTTGATATCATAATAGGTATGGTCCAAGCGCAATCTCCACTTTTCAATGGCTACGAACATATGGAAGATTGACAAGCATTTTAATTCTTCATTTGTCATCATCATCTTCGTCGCGCAAATGAAGTTCATTTTCAAAAACTACGCATGAATTAAAATCATGACCCAAGATCAAGATCAAATTATTGACGAAGAATACGCGTCTGAGGAGGATTCCGACTTTGCTCCCGATGCAGCATCATTACGAGGCGACGGTGGCTCGGACGCACCAGAATCCGAAGATGACGAAGTTCAATTAGTTACAGCGCCGAACAAAAAACGCGCTGCCGACGCGAATGCTGACGACGACTTCGAAAATTCAGGCGACGAAGTGATAATACAAAGGGGGAAGAAGCGCCAGAAGAAAGACAAACAAAAAGATGCTAGTGCCGAAGATGACGATGATGGTGGACGTGGTCTCATCAAGACTCGGAGCATGCGAGCGGTTGAGAAGGCGGAGAAGAAGTTGCGCACAGCCACTGGTCCGGTCACGATTGATGTAGACGATTTGTGGGCGAAGATGACGGCTGTTCCCTTACTATCCTCAAATGCAAATGAAGAGGCAGAAGCGGAGAAGGAGAACCAACGGCCAACTCAAGATAGTACGGATGGACTGCTTAAGGGCGCCCGAGACAAGCTACAGCAAAACTTTGAGGGTGGAGGTGATTCACTATCAATGATTAAGATTAAGCGAACCTATAACTTTGCCGGAAAAGTGCATACCGAAGAGAAATTAGTTCCTCGAGATTCCGCGGAAGCGAAACTGTACTTAGCATCTCAAGACCCGAAGACTGCCGAAGACGTCGAAGCTGAAGATGGACAACCTAGAAGGAAGCCCCGCCGAGCATTCCGATCTATATTTGAACCCGTAGTTGAGGGCCTGGCTCAGCGCGAAGACCTGAATCTCGGTATGGACGCTAGACTTCAACTACGTGAACAGGCGAAGGCCAAGAAACTGAACGTAGTCGAGAAGAGTCGCATGGACTGGGCAGGTTTCGTTGATAAGGAGGGTATAAAAGACGAGCTTGAATTGGCTGGAAAGTCTAAGCAGTCATATGTCAACAGACAAGATTTCTTGGATCGTGTCACAGCTAATAAGGATGAGGAAGCAAGAAGAGCTAGGATTGCTGGCCGAGCTTGAGAGATAAGACATGAGAATATCTATATCTCTTCAATTCATCTCGGTTTCGCAAGCATATCAATTGGCCTAAGAGACATAGCAGCAATATGTTGGGAAAGAGAAACCGATGAATACCACGACGTGAATGTCTTACTTACAATGATTCTATCGGAATTTCTAGACCTGTCGCTCCTCGATATATCGTGACGGATTTGAGAATGGAGCTCGTCGATTTGGTTTGCGTGGAACTCTAGGCTGACTTCATCCAAGTACAGTCAATACATTTACGCAAAACCACCAACGGCCATACCTACGATACCCTATCCATAGCTAGGCGTTCTTATTAGTGTTGATGAAAAGAACACCTGAATCGAGTTATTACATACTCGAATAACGCCGAGGATGGTGGCTTTGAAAACCAATATCATCCTGTGTCATTAGTATTCGGGGTGCAAGTGTAGCTACATAACTACAATATATCATATATTAGAAGGCGTCGGAGCCGACATCTGATATCCATATGTCTATTCTAAGTCTCATGTTTATGCCACGAGATTAAGATACCACATTATATGATTCTTACCATATCTACTACCTAGTAGGTACTAGTTGAGATAGTTAGGTAATACCTACCTACCTTGGTAAGAATTGAAGAGATGTTAACAACAACGAGAGATCAAGATCTGAAGCTACCCCTGTAAAATACTTCCTAAAAAGGAAAGAACTTGGACCACTTACCCACAATTTTAAGAGTGGACCCTACTGTGACGAAGCTGCCCCTCCATATCCCAAAGGCTGGAGGCTGAAGCTGCGTCTTGAACTTCAACTTCAACTTTTACACATCCCGTTATACAACTCGCCTCTAACTCGATACCCTAAACTTAAGATTGCCAACCATGGCTGCACACATAACCTCACCTAATGAGCCGTTCCCGCGACCCGAACATATCGCACAAGCTACAACCTCGCATCGACAAGGCAACTTCGTCATCTCCTCGCGCAAGCTACCCATCTCTAAGGCAGGCCCTATCGACGCCATGGAACGATCCCTCGGAATTCCCGTACCGGAAATGATATTCGGAGACAACGTAGTCGCTATACGGCATGCGCCTACGGGATGGGGTATCGAGTTCAACGCGTACGATGCTCTAGATGCCGTCGACAAGACCGATCGCCATATGTTACAGGTCGCGTACGCCAAGAGCTGGAGCGCGAGCAGGGAGCAGACAAGTGCGGGGATTAAGGACGTAGTTAAGCCGTATGATTGGAGCTATAGCACCACGTATAAGGGCACCATTATATCAGGGATAGCGTCGAAATTTCCGCCGCCGCCGCCGCCTCCTGGTTCTAGTATAGATGCTCATACAACCACTGCCGTAGCCAAAACCACAGCTCCAGCTCCAGCTCCGTCAGATCCCGCAATCAATGAGAGCGCAAGCTCCGAAGCAACCCAAGAAAAAGAGCCGGAGAGCCAAAGCAAGCTATCCTTCATTCCCTCAACTAAGCCTATACCCCTCGAGCTTCTCAAACGCCGGGATCCAATCCTGTTCTTTGACGAGGTGATGCTGTACGAAAGCGAGTTAGACGACAATGGCATCAGCGTTTTGAGTGTCAAGGTCCGCGTCCATGAACAGCGCATGCTACTTCTAGCCCGCCTATTCATGCGTCTGGATAACGTTCTCATGCGCATCCGAGATACCCGCGTCTACGTCGATTTCGCGGCCGAGGAGGTCACGCGCGAGTACACTATTAAGGAGGCTGGGTTTGGGGATGTTAAAAGGGTAGGTTTTTTTTTAAAAAAAAAATCAGGACTTATCTGCTTCTTTTCTCTGCGATTCGGGTTTTTGGATTCCATGATGAGGTGGGCAAGGGTGGAGCGAATTTGCTGACTTGGATATAGAAACTCCTTATGACGGGGTTAGTTCCCGATGCTATAACGGTGGCAATGCGTGATGCGAACACGATCGCCGATTTGCTTCCCACCGTCGAGCAGACCTTGGAGCGTGTTTCACTAAAATCATGAAGAAAATTAAAGTAGAGGATACATCATTTACCAGTAGTGTAGGATTGGGGGGCGATTGGCTGACAGGCCAATTGACGAATTCTGAGATATGCATGGATTGGCGTTTAATAGGTGCGCGTGATTAGAACCCGGTCCTTTGCAGCGTCAGTTTGCGGGTAGACGCGCTGGTCTATTGGGATGGTCATCGGCTCCACAGGAAATTCTCTGGAATTAAAAAAAACATCGCGATGCACAACAAATAGGTAGCCTTGGTATTCAGTAAGCCAATGAACTTCCATCTGCATTCAATTGGTACCACCCCCATTGCCTAATGCCTAATCCTCTTGGTATTTTCAAGGCACCGAGCATAGCCAAGCACAAGACGCCAGCGACCCAACAAATGTCCATTCAAAGCATCATGACTCATAAGTAAGCAACGTCTTCCTTTCCCCTTTTATCACTGATCCAGGCCCTTCCACAGACTCAGCGCGCATCTCGTGGAGAACTACTCTGCGTCATCTCCTCGTAGTCTAGCTGCCACTTGTCCACCTCCTGGAACTTCCTCGCCGCGTTCTTCAACTCCTCGCCTACCCGCTGGATCATGGCTTGACTGCTCTCCCCGTCTCCTACAGGTTCTAAGCTATCATTCTCGCCCCCTTCTGTCTCATCCCCATCCTCTTCCGAGCCTTGATTTTCTTTGTCGGAAGTGCGGCCATATGTTACTGTAGCGCGCCTGTTGGCGTTGGTGGGAGCCTGCTTGCCCTTCCCGCGCGACGCGGGGCGGCCCTTCGTGGCAGTTTGAGGTCTAGAATTCCCTGCTCGGGATGTCGGGCGTCGCCGCGCGCGTACGTCCATGTATGAGAGCTCGTCGTCGTCGTTCCCTAGCCCAGAGATATCCACCTCAGCCTCCGAGTCATCATCGTCCTCAGCTCTAGCATTTCGACGGCGCCTGCGCGGCAGGAGTCCCGCCAGATCCGCGGTCGTGATCTTGGCCTCTGGCTTAGAAGCCGCGGTTCTACGTTTGGCCTTGGCGGCTTGTCTTGGCGGCGGAGATGGCTCGCGGTAGTTGGGTGAATAGGTAAGGGATGGGGGTGATGAGATATCGGAGCCGTCGTCATTGGGGACGGGAGTTCTTCGGAGTGCTGAGACCGGGCGTCGTGGTCGATTTCTCGCTAGGGTTTGGAGAGGAGGCCATATTTCCGACTCGCCAGCTGAGGAACCACTGCTCAGAGGAGGAGCCATCAGTTCCTCGTCCATGATGGGTGTAACTGGCCTGTTACTATATTGTCGGGCAGGTGGAGTAGATGGCGGAGATGAAAGGTCTGATTCTGATTGCTGCACTACAGCCTCCTCGACAGGCTCATTCTCTTCAAATGGCGAAGATCGAGTACGGCGTTCATGACCCTCGGCAGATTTTCGCTTGCGTGGATTTTCGCGCGGCGAGTGCGTTGATGTTTGGCCAGCATCAATCTCAGTATGCCTAGAACGTCTCTTGGAGACCTTGAGAGGAGTTGATTCGTCTTCGGGCGCAAATACATTATTCTCTGCTGGGTCTTCATCATGTTCTGATTCCGACTCCGGCTCTGACTCAAATTCGGGATTAGGCTCGATTCTTTTAGGAGGCGGCTTCTGTGCGGTACCAAGGATACTGGGTTCTCGCGCTCGTCTCTTGAATAAGCCAATGTTGAAAGTTGAGCTAAAGGCAGGGGTATTGGGACCCGTTCGGCTGCTTGGTCGAATGTAGCCGTCTTCTCTGTTTAGAAAGCTTCCAGCGCGAGGTCGTCGCTTGAATACGCTAGTGGTCATGGTAGACGTCTCGGCTGATCGCTGAGCGCTTGCTGGACCTGCGGTTTCGAAGGTAGTATTCAAATCATCAAACTCCTCATCGTCCAAATCCAGTCCTGACATATCTGCCATTCTCCGATGTTGCGGAGTCCCGGCAACTTTGCGCCCAAGCTCAACGGATGATTCCGATTGCTCGATAGACTCAATTACTTCATTGCTGGAGGTGGAAGTCATATTTTCTAGTCGATCCATGGCAAAATCGCGTCGCTGTCGGGCAGCTTCTAACGCCTTGGATTGTTGCATAGACGATGTTTGCGCGTGCGCAATTGAATTTTTATCGCGCATTGATTCCCGCCTTTGTTTTGCTTTTCCCTTCTCACGATCACTCACATCGTAAACATCAGAACTTGGCTCGATAGGTTGTTTAGGCATCGGGGTAGGTTCCGGACTTGTCGTTTTTGCGATTGTTCGGGTTGACGCGACGCGAGTCCTCTTGGGTCGCGGCATGGTTTCGTGGCAGTTAGGAATTGTAGCGTTATAGTACGCGATTTTTAAAGAAGATATCTGAAGAATACTAAGATTATCGGCCCATGGCAAAGAAGGCGGTAATGACAAAATAAGAAGTTAAGGTTATTTTAGTATTGTTTTTGTTATGTTATGAGAGGTTGGGTAGATGTGTAAGAGGTGGGAGAAGTGGGAGAGAACAAGCTTGACGCGTTGAAGCGCTAAACCGTGTTATGGTGGACCCCTCCGAGTCCGTTATTAGGACCCATCGATATACCTACCTAGTAGGTATATGACAGACCTGTACAATTGCCAATCGGACATGTGCACCTAGGTACATAGGTACCTAATGTACCTAGCCAGAATAGCGTCAGAATAAATGGGCCATGTGTGAACCACCCGAAATGGTACTGTATTACACTGTGTTTTGATCTATCCCCTACATTATCTAACTAGGAAATTGTCAGCTTTGCCACAGCATCAAAGAGTCTAGGGGATAGTAAATTTACAGTGTATTACAGTAGTATTAACACATGGCTCGCACATGGCTCACTTATTCTGACGCTATTCTGCTAGCTTATCGCCAAAGGTGAAAACACAACATGCATTCATCTTATTCGTCCGTCTGATAAAATAAACAAATTCTTCATCCGCATCCTCTATTTTCTTTCAAACAAAACATTTTAAACATGGAGATAATGGTCTAGTCTATTTCAGACATCAGAAAAGCTAGGTATTTACTGCAGAAATGGCACCACAATAAAGTCTAAGCTCTTCCCAATGCCGGCTCCCCAATTATAGCCACCCAAGCATTCTAATACCATATGTCCGTTCGCAGTGAACCTGATGTCAAAGTCTCTGCTCCCGCCAACGTCGACCACCTTTCGTCCACCTTGAATATTGCCTGATACGATAAGTTGCCAGTCGCTGTCCTCGATTTGAATGGAAGCCGTGCGGCCATAGACGTTGGTAATATTGAGCTCCGTGCACTTTCCCCATCGACCGAGCCAGCGTCCAAAGTTGATATATTCGGCGTTGTGAGGACAGCAAAAGGCCATTACATTGTCCCGGTGATTACGTACAATGATGTTGTAGGTCTTATTTTCGGGTTGGTAGATTTTTTGGAGGTTTAGGACCATCTTGACGGTAATGATGTGCGTTTGGGCAAGTCCAAGAGCCCACCGATTCGACGCGAGGCAAAGTAGTTTTAATGATATGATATGCTAAGGAGTCAAGTTCACTTTGGGTATAGAATTTTGTGTTTTTAAGAGATGAAAGGGGGGAGTTGCTCATTGGTAACTGCATATTTCCGAACGTAACGTGGAAATAGACCAATAAAATAGAAAACAAGTCATTTCTTGTTGGCTTGCTCCCAAATAAGACCTCATAGCAATCACATCGATCAAGCGTCCTTATTGGAATTCAGAAGTAGTTTTCTTCTTTCACCCCTTTAATATGCATGTCAGTAAGTTCTGTGCCCTCCCTTAGTATAGTAAAGCTTCAAACGGAATAACGAGAATGTCAATGCTACCAATACGGACTAGGCAACTGTGGTAACAAAGGTGAAGGCAGACGAGTGCTTCTAAGACCATGTACCCATTACTAGGGGGTACCTAACCATAATTTCGGAACTTAGGTAACTATTAAATACCATTTACATTCACAACCATAACGGCCAGTCGGAATTTTTTAGTTCTTATTATTATAAATTATTGACAATGATAAATTAGATATCTATATATGTATATATACCTACCTCGTAGGTATGTCTGATACATAATTAGACAGCTACCTAGGTAAATACTAGGTAGATAGGTCTTCTGATAAACAATGTGTTTAAAAAGTAAAGTAGTTAACCTAACCAAACAAGAATCAATAATCCGAGGATTGCTCATTCTATCATCGTGTAATCAATATTCGGATGAACTATCTCCCCCGGCCCCCTTTCTGCCCATTTCCCTGTGTATAATAGTTACCTGGTGCCTGATAACTGGTGCTGGTCGAAGAGCCGGTGTAATTTGTTTCTCTTCCTTGTTGGGTAGGCCAGTCTTGTTGTAGCGAGGATTCCGATTGTGTTCCGTAGTACCCGGAAGTTAAATTTTGACATGATACGTCGTAATCGAGTGCTTCTTGTGCAATCCGTTGGAGGTGCCCTTGGGATTCGGGTGGTTCCATTCTATAAGATTGTAATGGTTGTTCTTGGGATTGTAAAGGCTCCCCTTGGAACTGTGATGGTTCCCTTGATGTTTGTCGTGGTCCGATCTGTTGTGTATTTAACTTTTTATCTCTCGACTTTTGAAGTCCAGTTCTTCTGTTGGCATGGTATGCACACCGTTGTATTCCAGGCTCCCGAGGTTCGTTGCAGTCAAGGCAGATCCCCGACCTTAATTTTTTCTCCCGTTTTCTACGATCAATGTCTGCCCTTTTCACACGATGATATTCACAAAGACCGCCCGTCGTAACCGGAGGATTCCTGCAGCTTTTGGCTGCTTTGCAACCAAAACCTGTATTATCCATATTGAGGTGAAATTCTCGATATAAGTAATTTGATCCTATAGGTACATCGAAGTATGGGATGGGATGGAATGGGAAGTGGAAATAAGGCATTTCCGGAAGCGAATCTATGCTATCTAAATAGGTATGTTTGGGTAGTTCTTTTTTTGCCTAGGACTTCATCGTCGATTCATAGGGTAGACCTCGTGATTGTATGAAGGAAAAGGGGGGTTTACTGGTCTTTAGTGACTCTGAAGTCTAACTCTATCCACGAGCCTTTATGACCGACAACGAAATGCCTACTTATATATTAAGTACCTACCTAGGTACGTAAATAAATACAGATGAACAGTTTGAGCGGTAACGTGGAGAAATGGAAACTAATGAAGTCCGTACACGTACATAGCAGTCTTTCAATCTGTGTGCTTGGAGTAATGGTCTGATTAAGCCTGGGGAAGTCTATTTGAATTATTATCTTATTTGTATTGAATGCCCTAGTGAATATTATTAACGACCTTGTCTCCTTATCGAAGCTATATCAACTTCGGGTTCTTTATCTCAGGTTCTAACTTCCCGTGTATATGATGTTAGGACTAACATCACCTTGCTTGACTTGCCTGTATGCTACCCTACCAACAGTTTAGATCTAGTGCGACTATATTCTCCCACGATTTTGGTTTGGTTAGCCACAACCTTCGCGGCAGCGCGTTCCGGTTTCTCGACGATGACTTGAATAATATCTCGCAACCACTTTCAGCATAATTGCCTAAGCCTTCCGAAAAAGCTTTCCAAAGATCCTGCTTAGCGACTTGATTGTCGCCGGAGGTACGCCAATTTCTACTAGCCTAGCTACCTACGTAACCACTCGAGCCTACCATTGCTAAGATACTTGGAATCGGTTACTATGACGACACGTTACTATCCCTCATCCTACCAAGTCTGGAAGTAAAGGGGGGATGACGGCGCGAAGTTCTACTCTATTGCTTGTATGGATGTAGACTTGGCCATCTAAGTCTATATCCTCCGGCCTGAGGAGACGGTTCTTATAGGCGAATCGTCGAAGACGAAAGCATAACCACCACGAAAGGTTCCCTTGGATAAACCGTTGCTGGAGCAAACTTCGTCAATATAGATCATGAGTCTTCAGTCCTGCGGATAGAGGGGCGAAGCGCCGGCGGATACATAACCGTATAAGAATGTGTTCCCCACATGTATTGATCATACGAACGGGGAACATGAATTTTTGGACTACCGGATGCATGAAACTTCGATGCTCATTCTGCCCAGGACCCATAGCTGATGTTGCGCGAGCTACACTGGCTTCTTGAGAAACAAGGCGGAAGCTGAGTACCATTCTGGGCACCCTTGGTGCGTTACTCAATGTAAAGTTTACTATTATTCCATCACTGCCTTTCATATTGGCACCGTGTGTATAGAATCACGGTTGGTGTCGAGGGTTATTCGAAATTCATCTTCACCCTCTGACTCATCATCATTTGTACGCGTTCGTGCTGATATGGTATGAATAGTCGGGTAGTAGAATGTAGCAGCAGGTAATGAATGAATGGGTTTATAGACTGGTCGCTCTGCAACGAATTATCGGACAGCCTTTGCGAAAGACTAGGTACCTATGTAGGTAGGAAGCTGTCACACTTCAATCACCATTCCCGACTTAGTGACGCTGTCTTCGTTAGCGTAGTAAGAAGCGCAGCCTGATAGCCTCAGAGGGTTGTTAACAAGGTTGTCAAGAAGGTTGCTTAATAGGAGAGTTATTAAATGCACCTTATTAGAGAGGAAGTTGACGGAGTTATGTAAATGGAAGGTCAGGGAATTCGGATATCAACAATTAAAAAAGGTGTTTGGATCAAAATCACAGGTACCTAGGTAGTAGGTGCAGGTATGTACAATACCTATTAGTTGGTACCTACATACCTAGAAAGATGGATTACAGTGATCGTATTGTAGGTACCTACAGAAGTACGTACTCTGTTCTCCACTACTTCTAGGGCTAGGTGGATACCTAAGAAGGTACCTACTTACCTATAAAACTGTGTAATAGTGATCTATTCACTATGTATTGGTGGATAGCTGCTATAACCCAGGGAGCGCAACCACTAAAGAAAAACATCCAAGGATCACACAAATCGTGAGGACCTACCTACATATGTAGGTAGGCACCGAGTAATTCAATTCATACCTAGGTACTTACTGATTTAAGTCATGAGCGCCTGCCACACATGGTTTAAAATTCTGGCTGAAACTTTCGTATGGCTTCAGGTCATGATATGATAGCGATTGAAACACTTAATAAGGACCTTGAACTTGTTTATTACTTAAGTAAATAATAGCTTTAAATTTTATTTTTAAGGCTATAATATAAAAGGTCGATAATGTTTTATTTATAAGAATAATATTTTTTTTTATTAAAAAAGAAATTACGGGGATAGTTTTAAAAATATAAGTAAAGTTATTTTAAAATCGTTTTATTAAAAAATATAATAATATTTCGTATTTAATTATTATACCGGGAAATACCGGAAGGTAATAATAATTAAAATTATTTTAAATCGTTTAATATTATAATAATTATATTTTTATTATCGGATAATTATACGGTTTAAATTATTATAAATAAGTTTAAATTATTAAAAAAAAGTTAATATTATTAAAAAAAAGTTTAAATTATTAAAAAAAATATTATTAAAAAAAATTATTATTAAAAAATTTTATTATTAAAATTTTATTTTATTATATTTTTATTTTTCGTTATTATTTTTATTATTTCCAAATTTATTAATTTATAATATTAAAATAATATTTTAAATTATTAAACTTTTTAAAATATTAATATATTAATAAACTTAAAAACTTAAACTTAAAAATTTAAACTTAAAAATGAATTTAAAAATAAACTTAAAAACTTAAAAACTTAAAAAATTAAAAAGTTAAAAAGTTAAAAAATTAATAATATATACGTTTATAAATATACGCGTGTAAAAATAAAAAATAAAAAATAAAAAAAAATAAAAAAAATAATATAAAAAGAAAATGTAAAAAGAAAATATAAAAAAAAAAATATAAAAAAAATGTAAAAAAAAAAATGTAAAAAAATAATATATAAAATAAAAAGTAGTGTATAAAGTAAAAAATAATGTAAAGAAAATAAAGTAATGTTAAAAATCTTAAAAAATTTTTAAAGTTAAAAAATAATAATATTATTAATTTTATTAACGGTTATTTAATTTAAATTTAAAATTTTTTAATAATTATGAAATTTTTTTAACGATTATAAAACTTTTTTAATAATTTAAACTTTTTTTTAATAATTTAAACTTTTTTTTAATAATTATTTTTACTTTTTTAAGAGTGATACTGCCCGCGCAGTATAAAAAGTGGATTTTCCCGCGCAGTGTCATGTGATAGCATCGAGTGTACCTTTCCCCGCATACAAATCGCGTACAAAATACTTGTACTCGCGATGACTCAATTGACACAAGACAGAAACCTTATTTCATCCGTACACCTCTAACTTCGACCTAATCTCTTGCAACCCATTAATTTGGTAAAAGTACCAAACCAGCATCAATGGAAAGAGCTCCCGATGGAAATTCGATTGATATTAGGTGCAGTTATTACAGTTGAAAACTGATAGAGATATAAGTGGTTGAAGTGAAAGGCATACTTCGGCGATGGGGACAGCATTTCCCTTAGAACTGGAAGCTGTCAAATCCACCGCCGAAGTATACGTTTCAGTTCAACCTATTATAATGCAATCAATTCGAATCAAAGATCTTTGCAACCAGGTTCATATGAAAGGCCTTCAAGAGCTGAATCGATTGATACTAATTGCATACTACTAGCAGTTCTATTCAACTGAATAATCGGGCGAAAGGTAGATGATATACTTCATATATGAGATCAGGACCTTCTATACGAAATAGCCTATGTATGGCCTTGACTTAAACCACTCATAGCTCGATCAGCTTTCAACTGCAATAGCTGCAACCTATATCGATCAAATCCCCTTTGAACGCTCTTTCGATCGATACAAGGTTGTTATTTTCTTCAAATTAATAGGTTGCAAGAGATCAGGTTGAAGCTGAGGGTGTACATTTGTAGTGGGGTATTATTAAAGTTTCGAAAATTGTCAATTCAGTCATCGCTAGTACATGTATCTGTACCGCGATTTGTATGCGAGAAGAGGTACACTCGATGCTGTCACATGATACTGCGCGCCAAAAACCGGTTTTCGTACTGCGCGGGCAGTATTACTCTTTTTTAATAATTATATTTATTTTATAATAATTATATTTATTTTATAATAATTATTTTTAAGTTTTTAATTATTATTTTATTTTTTTAATTATTATTTTTATTTTTTTAATTATTATTTTTATTATTTTAATTATTATTAATTTACGGTATTTTTCGTTATAATATTTAAATAATAATTTTAAAAAATTTTAAAATGTTTATAAAATTAATTTCGTTAATTTATTAATTTAATTAATATATTAAAATATATATAATATAATATAATGTAATTACGTATAATTTTATATATATATTATATAATATTTTAAATTTTATAAAAATTTATAACGTTATAAAATATTAAAAATTTTTATAATTTTTAAATATTATAACGTATTAATTTTTTATATATATAATTTATAAATAATTTTTAAAATATTTTATAAATGTAAAAAACTTTAAAATTAACGTAATTTTTTAAAATTATTATTAATATTTTAACGTTTTAAAACGAATTAAATTAATTAATTAATTTAATTTAATTAATTAATTTAATATAATTAAATGCGTAATAAATTTTAAATAAATAAATAAATATAAATAAATATTTATATAATAATTCGAACCGGGGGATATTACGTAATATACGTTAAATTTTATTAAAAAATAAATACGTAAAAAAATTATACGTTATAATTTTTATAAATTATAAAAACTTTTAACGTTTTATAACGTTATAAGTTTTATAAAATTTAAAACGCCGTATAAAATATATATAAAATTATATATAATTACATTATATTATATTATATACATTTTAATACATTAATTAAATTAACGAGTTAACGAATTTATTCTTATAATCCGCCGTCGATATAATAATTCCTGGATTATTATGATAAAGCATTAAGTAGCGAATGCAGGTACCTAGCAGGGTTCCAATGTTACCGTAAATTCGGGATACCTTAGGTAGGTAGGTACCTAGGTATGCTGCGAATCGTACCTATGTATGTACCTATTCTAGGGTTAGCGTATTTTTAGGGACTGATTTTAGGTACATAGTTCATAGCCTAAGGTTACCTATTTAGGCGGACCTTCTAATACACGACCCCAACCTCAATAATAGGATGCGTTTTCCTTTTCCTGTCCCGTTACATCAAATCTTGCCTTTATAAATTCGGGCATGTTTTATGCAGACTTGTGCTTGGTCACCAAGTCGACGGTTATTGCGGTATATATCTCTAAAAGATAGCTTTAGCCCTGCATCCTTAGCGAGATTTGCAAGTCGCATAGCTGCCAATGAATCGCCTCCTCGTTTAACAAAATCATCATCCAAGTTCAGATTCTCAGTTTCAACCCCCAGAACTTTGGACCAAAGATTAGCAACTCGCTGATCCATATCCGTGACTATAGGTCGACCACCTGTTAGTGCTGACTTCGGCGTCCTCCAAGCCAGAAGCTCTTCTTTGTTCAAGGAGGTAATTAATTGTTGTAACTTCCGTCGGTCCCTTTTCCCCGATATCGTGACCGGAAGATTGCGGAGAGGTAAATAAGCTACAGGCAACATGTAGCGAGCTACCTTGCTTGATAACTTCTCTTCAATACCGTCAAGCAAGGCGTGTAGCTGGGCTTGTATCGTTATATCTATGGAAGATAGATCATCGGGAACTCTCGACTCAGGTCCCAGACAGAGGAATGCGATTAACATCTTTTCATCCTCTTTACATCCACGAGGGACCCCTAGTTCGACAGCAAGTTCGAAGGGAACAATAGTTTTCAAATGTGTTTCGATGTCACCTAGTTCCATGCGCTGACCTCGAACCTTGACTTGCATGTCTTTGCGCCCAATATACTGGAGAGTCCCATTTTCGCAACGGGTCACCAGATCTCCAGTCTTATACATGCGCCGTGTCTTCGATTCGGTGCGGAACTCTGGCAACTTAGACCACTCAGGATTTTCGATGAAGACCTGGTTTGTCCTCGCATCATCGCCGATGTATCCCCTTCCAAGGGAGTAACTCTCGATTACGAGTTCCCCGATCGCTCCTACGGGCACTAACTGGTCATGGTCAGTCGGATCCACGACCCAGCTTTTGTTTCCCACAGGATACCCTATGTTGGTGGGATGCGATTGGGATGTCATCGGTCCCACGACAGCAGAAATCGGGCCAACTTCACTTGGTCCATAACCACCAAAAAGATCGACGCGATGCACCCAAGCATCCCTCACATTAGCGCTTAGCGGCTCGCCTACTAGGACGAGGGTCTTGATGCATTTTGCATTCTCAATATTTAGTCTCGAGACAAGCGATGGAGTTAGCATAGCCCAATTCGCTTCCATCCGCATCGCTGCTTGGCCGAGGTCATTCATCCGATCGTGGTCTGAAGGCACGCAGATGCACGATCCAGAAATGAGCCCTACGAGGATGTCTACCAAAGAAGCATCGAATGCGTAGGAGGAGAACTGTAGAATTCGGCTACTACTTCCCAGTTTCAACTCCGGACCGTATGCCAGGGCTGAAGAGCAAAATGCCTGATGTTCGATTGCGCACCCCTTGGGCTCTCCTGTGCTTCCGGACGTAAAGATAACATAGGCAAGATTACTTGGGCTGACATTTCGGTTTGCCCAATCTTCCATTGCCGATAGAGTCTCCTTTGATACAAACGATTGATCTAGGAGGATGGGCCCCAATCCAATTTCTTTGTATTTGACAGAGGATAGACCATTTGTGATGACGAACCGCGCATTAGATTTCGAGGCAATGGATTTGACTCGATCTAGAGGAAAATTTTCGTCCAGGGGGACGAATGCAGAGCCAGCCTTCATAACAGCTATCATCGCCACTATGGACCAGACAGAATGAGGAAACACCAAAATAACCTTCTCCTCGGGCTGAAAGGCATATCTAGTGAAGAAGGTATGAGCCAATCGATTTGTAAGAGCTTCGAGATCTTGATAAGAGAGATATCCATCATGGGCAACGATCGCAGGAGAACCTGGGTGTAGTCGAGCTTGGTTCCGTATAGTATCATGTACGCAGCTTTCATACTTCCTTAAACTACCATCGTTCCAGCCGTGAACCCTTCTTATATCATTTCGGCTACAACGGGGGATATCTTTGATCTTGCAGGATGGATGACGCAAGATGAACTCCAGCGATTGTACGAACATGTCAGAAATGCTCTTAGCTAGCCAGCGCTCAACTGAATAGCTTGTCCGTAACTGACCCACTAATTCTTCCCCATCATAGATCAGCGTGAAAGTTATATCGTCCTGATCGTGTTAACGGGTGCTAGTCTCGTAGAGAATAACCTATGAACTCACCTTCGCAAACCCGCTTGCTTTGATTGGTATTAGGCTCATGTACTTATCTAATCCGTCGGGTGCAGCGGTGCAGTCGAGCCAACGAATAGTTGAATTGCAAAGTCTTTCGCCATTATACGTCGTGATTGACGATGCTTGGGCACCGACCTTCTCATCTTCAACTGTTTGAGCGTGCAGACTTCTGAGTACATCTGTGACTCGGTAGTCATCTGAGAGCTGCGCTGTACATAATAAATCGTGCTGAGCGAAACAACCGATTCCATCGATGCTAGTTACTGTGTCGCTCCACGTTGTCGTATACCTACAACAAGGTCGGTCCAGATTAAGGTAAATTTTTGATATAATCAACCATACAGACTGAAACATATTCATAACATCAACCCCGTCATCCGAACACCGGGAAAGCAAAGCCTGACCCAATGACACTGGCATAGCCACATTTATATATTCCGCAACTGTCGTCCGTGACTTAACTTGGCTGGCTGGTACACTATGACCAAAGATCGTAGGCTCCAAATTTCCGATTCGTTCTAGGGTATGAGGTGGTAGACCTTCTGTCCCCTGAAGGGTAAGCGCAACACCAGGCTGTGGCGCCGGAGAAGCCAACGAGCGATAGGCTCGTGATAAATCTGCCTGTATTCCAACCAAAGAGTCATCGTTGATAGAGACGGGACTAAAGCAAAGCCTGAGTAGCGGAGATGAGCTGCCGTCGTTTGTGTAGACGTGAACCACATGCATCGGCAACTCTGGGGTGAGATTTGGCAGTGGTTCTTGCTCAACCTTGGCCTTTAGGTCATCCGTCCCTCTGAAATAGACATGGATAAATGCAGCAAGATGGGTTTTGATTACTACTTTGAAGATGTCTTTAGTCCTTGGCTGCACAGCGAATATAGTCCTCAAACTTGTATGTTGATGAATCACCTTCTGCCACGCATGCTTAACTCTATCAATAACAACAGCTTTCCCATCGTGGAGCTTAATCTTGAATATGATGGTTTGGCGACCAAAGCCGTTTTCTGCGCCTAATGCATGACGTTGGTGTCTCGAACATGGTGTGACGGATTCAATATCATGTTCGTGGACGATAGTGCGTAGCAAAGGGAGGTCGAATTGTCGCATTGTTGGTGTAGTCCTAAAGATAAGGGGAGCTTTCCGGCGATGCAATCAAGGGGTAGGTAGCTTGAAAATATAGTTAGCATCCATCGATCCATCTGATATGGCAAAGCGGCATTTCTGATTAACATCAACGACTTTCAAGCACGTGCCGGACGGTCCCTGGGATAGAGGAAACGGAATTCCGAGATGCATCGGTATTCGGTAAAAGAAGTCATCATCACGGAGGATTCTTCGGTTATCCAAGCTTCGTCATCGGATAATCAAGGAGAGGGGGGTTATCTACCTACTTACCTACCTAGGTACCTACCTTTTATACCTAGTATCTACCGGATCGCAAGTCCGTGGGAATTTACGACTTATAATACGAATACCGTTATTATTATTATTATTTTTTTAAAAAAAAGCCATCACAATTTACCACCTCGGGTAACTATCAAGAAAGATGTTCGGCGCTATCCCTACGCTCATACAAGACGATCCAGAGTTTTCAGAATCGCCATCACTCGTCCTAATTCACGACGGCGGAGGAACCACCATTAATTATTACTTCTTGGGTGACCTTGACCGGCATGTTTGGGGTATCAGTAACGAGAGACTCGTTGAGGAAAATGCTTGGCCTGGAGGCATTAAGCAGATGGCTCAGGTATATTCAGAGCTCATTCAATCCGAGTTACCTAATGGGCCTTTGATATTTGGCGGCTGGTCTATCGGCGGTCTCATCGCATTGGAAATGGCAAAGATTTTTGCTGGCAATACCGAATTCCATATTCTTGGTGTCGTTATGATTGACACATTTCATCCATTAGCGAGAGATATTGGAATCAGCCAAGATATTTCAGCAATCGAATGGGGTGAAGCAACGACGGAAGAGTCTAAGCAAGTGACACTGAAGAGCATAAGAAATTGTTCCAAGTTCGCTCAGCAGTGGGGTCGGGATTCCTTGAAAGGATTTGGTATATCAGAAAAACTACCACCAGTCATTCTTCTCTGCGCGAGCGAGGGTTATGACATATCTATGTCGGAAGATAAATTAGGTTGGGAGAATTACCAGCATGATTTCTTTTCGCACGTCTTAAACGTGCCTGGAAATCATCACAGCTTGTTCGCTGACGAAAACGTGAGCGGGCTCACTGAACAGTTATCTGAGGCATGCCAAATTTTAGAAGAAGGCTTTTGAATCAATCTGTACCTACCTAATGGGTTATAAGGATACCGAAACCATATCTGTAATAATATCGTACTTAGGTAGGTAGGTACCTCTATCTAGGTACTCTGCACATAGATATTACATAGGTAACTTACCTAGTAAGGATTTGATTATCTTAGACGCCATAAAGTCTTATACGCTTTTGGTGAAGGTCCTTACAGCTGCCGTAAGGATGATACGCCAGACTGCATGTCTAGTACCTACCTAGATAGGTAGGATGCTGTGTTGATATCTATACCTAACTAATGGGCCATGTCTACTAGGCAGGTACTTACTTAATGGTCTCATCCCATGAATCTTAACACGTAGGACTAGTTGTGTAGAAAGCAAGGTTGCCAAGATTGGTAGCCTAGACTTGATGATAGACTTTGAAGAACCTCATACCGTTGGTAAGATTCTGACCCTGCCACATCACTCCTCATCTGTTTCTAGTTTTATCTCGTGCCCGTCACCCTCATATACATAATAGCTCAAAACACACGCAAAAAGAGTCACGCCGCTCATTATCCACCAAGGTAGACCGGTAACCCCGTGCGCCGACCCGTACGAATAGAACAAGCCCGCTGCAACAGGGCTGACTGTGCGTGTGAAACTGCATATCATTTCAGCTATGCTGTGGGTTCTTCCTAATGCCGAGGGGTGCGGCGACGAACTATAACGGAATTTTTAGCTTCAATTACTATCACCGCAAAGATATATGTTTCATTTACGTACTTATTAGTTAGTACGATCTGTGAAGGTACGACGAATGATGCGCTGCACATCATCAGCGTTTGTGCAACAAAAATTGCTATCCAAACGAAGGGGCCCTCCCGAGGAGCAGGTCTCGAGGAACTCGATGGGATGATAGAAAGGTAAGGAATAAAGAGATAAACCAGTGGAAAGCCTCTCATGAAGACGCGCCACGTTCTCATCATCCCTAATCGCTTCACAACTCGGGAGTAACCAAAAATCTGCAATGGGATTCCGAGTATTCCGGCATAAGCCAATGAAATTGCAATCTTCTTTGCTGGCAGCCCAAGGCCACCGACGAAACGAAAAGGAAGTCGAATATGGTCCTTTTCTGGGTCTGCTACCGGGTCGCTGAGAAAGCTGGGCCATAGTGTGTTATAGACTGCAACGTGACCTTCCATGATTCCATGTGCTATCAGAGTGAGACAGAGATTGCGGGTAAATATCTGGCGTAGAGGGAGTTTCCGCTTTTCGACTTCGTGGTTACGCGAGGGAGTACTCATTTCGATCTCTTCCTCTTGACTCAAGAACTGATCTCTTTCTTCATTCGCTTCTTCTTGCGCGACTACGGAATAAGGCTGCTGGTGGGAATCTTTTCTCCAGACCGTGAATAAAGATGCGATTCTAGCTGAAATGTCGAGTCCTAAATCATATTTATGACGAGCTATCGAATGCGTCTAAGGATGGAGCAACAATTGTCAACAGAGGTTTGTGGGAATAGAAAGTATATGATGAATTGGACACAAACCTCCTTTAATTTGAAGAACACTAATAAAAACGCGGTTAATGTGACCAAAGCACTGGCAATAGCTGGTGGAGCATAAGGGAATTGGCGGAAGAAAGATATTTGACCAAAAGATTGAGGGTACTGGCCTGCAAGGTCAGCCAGTAGCCCAGCAACCATAGGACTTACGATAGCGGCAATATTATAAGCCAAGGGCATGAGAACAAATGCTTTGGCTTGGTAACTAGGTAGTAATGAAAGCTGTTTAGCAAAATCCGGTGCTGGTTTCTGTACGATAGCAGGTCAGGTCAAGTGGAGGGAGCCTATGCCTACATACCGACGTTCCTTAACAATCTCGGACACCATTGTCCTAATCATAGCGGTATTCCCATTGACGGCACCTTCCAGTAGGCGGAGGATTACGGCCTGGCGAAAAGTGCGGACAAAACCGAATGCTGTCGTTCCCAAAACTTGAGGCGGAAATATTGTGAGTCGCGTTGCTTACAGTAGGTATCTCGATAGATAATACCTATGAAATAACTATATATATTACTCACATGACCCTCCCAGGCTGATTAGTAGCACCATTTTCCTACCTCCCCTTGAGGAGTCGGCCAAGTGGCCCCATAGAACTGCAGTACAACCTTGGGCGAGAGTAAATACTGTCTGAAGCATAGCGGCATCGCGAACGATGGCATCGGTTGGTCTTGACGGGTCAAGCGATTGTAGTTGATAGAATACGTATGTCTACGAGTGAATGAGATTCTGGGAGTCGCTAAGCTAAGAGTGGCATGGACCTACCGAAATGGAAGTTCGTACGACCGGTTCAGAAAAACGGGCAAGAACAATAATGAATAGTTGACCTTTGTTCGGCAGAGACGACCAGGCCACCTCTCCCGAAGTTTCTGACATTTTGCACTCGCGCTTGAGGTCGAGCGAGTCGATAGATACTAACTAGAGGTCTAGCTAGACTAGCGCAAGCAGGGACAACGGGAACGAGGTGAGCTATGTAAGAAGGAGGGGGCACACAACCAATTCAACTTCGGAACTCATTGCTCATTCCCCTTTCCCCTCCAGAGTCTCGTGCCATTAGCCATGCGGGTTTCCGGGGGTGGGTCGGTTCTTGTCGGTTAAACGCGGACTCGGACTCGGAATTCGGAAATCGCATAACCGGAACCCGGCCCGCACTCCCAGCTCCGGTTTATGATATTTTCAAGGTTAATTATGCCGCCTTACTAGGTACATTACCGCGTTTATTATGACCATAACGTAGTTACGAAGTTAAGTTTTACATAATAGTATATAAGTAAATAGCGATGAAAATAAACTTATAAGGTAATAGTTCCAAGGTTACTTATGGTTATGATGTGACTAAGTACTTGTAAGCAGGTATAATATCGAAAAAGCATAATTACTTAACTATGGAAAGGGTAGGTAGGTACCTAAAGGTTTAAATCGGGGGTTTCGCACATAAACAATCGCTAAATAAGATTGTATTATTAGGTACCTAGGTAAGACGTAGAAAATTCCGTAGGGCTAACATGGCGACCATCCATTGAAATGTGTGAGCCTAACTATTGAGGAAGCACCTAAGTTCTAGTAGTCGGATCACTATCAGGTTTGGATTTAGGTACCAATCAGCTGCTTATCTAATCACGCACAGGCCAAGGACCGCGAAACCCGTGGGAAATGTTTAGTTGAAACATTCTGTAATTTTTTTTTTCGACAATGCGACTAATAAATCTGTATTCAAATTACCATTACACATGGCCACGCAATTAACAAGCCATTCAATCCATTCCTGCGCGTCAAATCTCGTCCTTCATGAGACATCCTGCGGACCGTAATCAACCGATTAAACAGTCGACGAGGTATTCTTCGTTGAAGATTCTTGTAGTGTTAAGTGCCTTGACATCTTCCCATCCCGGATTTCCGTTGAACCACAAACAATGCTGGATGTGATCCTCGCTCCTACATAGCGTGTCTAGAACCTTCGTCTTCTCCTTCGACGCCTCATGGATTCGATGCATGACGTATGCACAATGCAAATGATGGAAACGACCATCTGTCCAAATCCATCCATGCTCGCCTGATTCCACAGCTTCGAGAGAGACCTCGTTAATCATCTCCGGCTCCAACCAATATGTAAAGTCCAAATCTCGCAGTATGCCTTTGTATTTCTCGTGCAATCCCACATTGAAACAACCGGGATGCATCCAGGTCGACAGCACTAGGTCATATACGCAGCCCGCTTCTTTAGCTTCCTGCCAATCTGGAGGACATGTTCCAAGCGATGTGGGCTCCGTCACAATTCCCTTGACGGAACTATTCCCAAAACCAGCTGTTTTCTGGCCAAAGGCAAAAGATCCTATCAAAAGCAGAGCGACAGCAGTACACTTGATGGCGGTTGTCATGCGCGAATCTCGCGGATTCTCCGGGACCTTAGATCGACTGGTCCATTCCTCTCTATTCAACTCCGCTGTTTCCCTCACCTCTTCCTCGCCGTCGACAGGGGCATTCAGTGGCATATACGACATTTTCGGATGCGATTTTAGCTTTAAAGAATTCCACCAAGGACCCTGTTCCATTTATCGATACAGGCGAAGGAAAAGAATATGAATGAGGGAAGACGGGGAAAAGGAAAGCACATATGCGTGCATGAGAATCGCAGATGCAGAGCGGAGCAGTTCCGACCTTATCCGAGATACAACTAGGATTGCTTATAAGGAAACCCGAATATTCTTTCTAAACCTCGCTCTGTTCGGTAACGTCTATGCAGGGATGCTTTCCGGCACAACCAGTTCATTCGTTCACAGGGATTCCTATGTACTTCGAGCGGCGAGGACATGCTATCGTAGCTTGGCACCACAATCCGTCAACGATATTCTCAGAGCGTTCATATCACACCGGACTACGCCAAGTCATGCCATAGGATTTCTGATCTTACTTGGGTATGAGCCTAGGTAGCGCAAATGGCTCTGCTCAGAGTCACAGAAGTCTGTCTACTAGGTAGGTATGTTAATGAAGATGAGAACTCGGCGCCTCATGACAAAGGGGATATCCAAGGTCATAAACGGTCGCTAAATATCCGAGACGAAGATGAGTTCGCTCGCATGAGCATATGAGTATTGCCTGCATAGCTAAAACGGGAGTATTAAAATACCGGGTTATTCGAACCTTGAGAATCCTTATCCGTCCCGTAGCAATTCAAATACCTTTCCGGTGCTATATCGTCGGAAAGATATGACACCTATAGAATGGTTGTTACTCGAAGCCCCTATATCTTTTTGGTATTCACGTCAGTAAGGACAGCAAGGACACATTCCTTTCATGCCCCCCAAAAGAAGATAAGGCAAAATAATAGTTGGAACTATGAATAATCCCGTGGAACAGTTGCTTCTCCAATTATATGCAGAAGTGCTATCAATACCCGAAGACCGAATCAGCCTTGAAGAGTCATTCATAGCGTTAGGTGGTAAGTAGCTCCCCGAGCTTAGTTCATATTGTCTACCTAACAAGAAATACGTGTAATGGTCTTGTGCTAATAGTGTTCTTTCCCTAGGCGATTCTTTTAAAGCAATCAAGCTCAAACGAAAATGCGATCGGCTAGGCATTCGGCTGGCACTCCGGGACATCTTCGCCCGGAAAACTATCACTACCATAGCCGCAGGCCAAAGACTAATGGATGACCGGCCGAAGCGGTCTCAAAAGAAGGAAAAGAAGGTACAAGCCACGGGCGTACATGGGCGCTACCCTATGATGCCCCAGGGCTATTCCTGGGATACAATTCTCGAAGAACTCGACCTTCAAGGCCGTAGCTTTGAAGCATTGAACGATATTGTTGAAAATATTTACCCTTGCAGTCCTATGCAGGAGAGTATATACGTGGCCAAGGAAACAAGGGGGAAACACCTCTATCGGATCCACGCGCTCTTTGAAATAGGGTCATCGATCACAATTGACGTATTGGAATCATCTTGGCAGTCCATCATAGATCGCCACGAGACTCTTCGTACGGTTTTTGTCCCATCTACGGACATTAGCTCTTCAAGAATACTTGATGCTGTTGTTTTTAAGACTGCACGCTGTAACTTGGAACGGATCGAGTGTAAAAATTACGCGGATGTATTTGCCTTCTATCAAGGGAATTGTATCGACCCCCAAGACTTTCCAAAGGGTCCACCTCATCGACTCACAACGTACCGCATCGAAGATGGCCGGTGCTTCTGTGTTTTCGAACAGAGCCATATGATCAGTGATGGGACTTCACTTATCAATACAGTCACAGAGCTTTGCGCTCTAGCAGGAGGTTCGATCCTCGATGTTGCACCAGGATACAGTGGATTTATCAAGCACAGACAAGCAGAAATACACCTAGATGAAGGCCTTGACTATTGGAAGTCGTACTTACGTGGTTCGCAGCCTTGCAATTTTCCCTCACTCTGGGTAGACAGTTCGTTGATGGCGCCTAGAGCACAAGCACGTTGCCATGTTGTTGAATTTCCCTTTTTACGTCACAAAGAACTGGGCGAGTTTTGTGCGAAACTGGAGACTACGGTCTCTACTACTCTTCAAGCAGCATGGGCACTCCTATTACGCGCGTACACTGGGAATGACGATATTTACTTTGGCTATACCTGCTCGGGACGTGATCTACCGCTAGATGGTGTCGAGATGATCTGTGGTCCACTGGTAAATCTGGTCATACGCAAAGTCATTTTGGCTAATAGGAGCATCAGGGACATGATCGAAACCATACAAAGTGACTTCGCCAACTCGTTACCATTTCAGGAGGTACCATTCATGCGCGTCCAACAACTTCTCGAAGCCACAGAGACCAAGCTATTCAACACAATTATGACTATACAATATGCACCTTTACTCGTCGATGAAAATGATGACTTTCCTTTGAAGCTGATGAACAACTTCAACGCCTCCGATTTCGGGCTATCTGTGCAGGTCATGTATTCAGACATTGCCACGAAGATGCAGCTAACATATTCCACGAATCTTTTGTCCGCGACGATGGCAGAAAGAGTGACCGAAACCTTCGTTTCAATAATCGAGAATCTTATAAATACGGACAATCTCGATAGCCCGGTTGGGCAGCTTGAAGTAATCTGTCCTTCAGACAAGCAGCAAACAATGGAGTGGAACCAAGAAACCCTGGATATACCGTTGTTTCCGGACTCTACAGTGCATGGTCTAATTGAAGAAACAGCAACCTGCACACCCGGAGCACCAGCAATATACTTCTCTGGGGAGACATTCAGTTATGATGACCTGAACTCTATGTCAACTCACCTAGCACTCCAAATGCTTAAGTCCTTGGGCCGTGAACAATGCTTCGTTCCATTATTCTTCGAAAAATCCGCCTTATACTCCATTTCCTTACTGGCGGTCCTAAAATGTGGTAGAGCTTTTGTGCCTATAGACATATCTAACCCGCTGTCTCGAATACAACGGCTCCTTGAACAGCTAGGCATTACTCGATCTTCCGGTCTAATTGTCTGTTCTGTGAACCAGTCAGAGAAACTGCTCTCAGCTTACCGGCATATCTTAGTGCCTAGCATTCGAGGGTTACGGGACGAAGTAACTAAAGCAACGGGTGATAATTCATTAGCGCCTTTTCCGATGGTACAGCCAAGTGATCCGGCATATGTAATTTTTACTTCCGGATCTACTGGTGACCCAAAAGGCGTTGTGGTCAGTCACGGGTCCTACGCGCATGCAGCTCGTGCTCATGCTGGCGGAATAAGTATCGGAACACAATCTCGGGTGCTGCAATTTGCGTCGTATGCATTCGATACAAGCATGGAGGATCATTTAACAAGCTTTTCTGCGGGCGCTTGTCTCTGCGTTCCCACGGAACCGGAACGCGAGACGGCTTTAGCTGAATTTATCAACCAATCTGGTGTTAATTGGGTTCATATCACACCTTCTATGGTTGATATGATCTCCCCGAACACAGTCCCATTGTTGACGACGGTGGTTCTTGGAGGTGAACCTATGACCGGTCGTAATGTGGTTGAATGGGCAATCCCTGGCAGACACTTGATACAGGTCTATGGACCTTCAGAGTGTTCCGTTACGAGTACAATCAACCCTGACGTTTCTGTGCATCGCGACGCCACCAACATAGGGAAGACGTTTGGCGGCTGTGCGACGTGGATAACCGATCCAAACGATCCCAATAGTCTTTGTCCTATTGGGGCTATCGGAGAGTTGCTAATGGAGGGTCCTATCTTGGCGCAGGGTTATCTACGTCGTGCCTCTGGAACGGAATCCGTGTTCATCACCGGTGTTTCCTGGGCACCGGAGAAGAGGCTTTACCGCACCGGGGACATGGTCCAATATGATAAGCACGGTAATCTCCACTTCGTGGGAAGGGCGGACAGCAGAGTCAAAATTCGTGGACAGAGAATAGAGTGTGGCGAAATTGAAAGCCAGCTGCTAACACAAAGCTCGGTATTACACGCAGTCGTCGTCGTCCCCAAGTCGGGACCTGGAGCAGGGCGGTTGATAGCTACGGTGTCATTGAAATCGAGCGAGGAGAAATCACATCGTGAACACACACAAAGCGATATACAAGTAGCAGCCTTGGAGCCTAAAAATGTCGCTGAATTTGCGAAAGCGCTTCACAACTGGCTGGGAGATCGATTGCCAGCTTACATGTTACCAGATCTTTTTATCTTTGTCCGCCACATACCCATGAACTCTTCAAGAAAATTAGACCGAAAACGAGTTATTCGCTACTTGGAACACCTACGCGAAGAGTCTTATCGAGATATCGTCAGCCAGATGGATGGACCGAACCAAGACCGGGGTGGTACGGAATTGGAATGCTCGCTTAAGAGGATTTGGTGCCATGTGCTCAATGTGTCCGAAAGCACCGTCGATTGGAACACTTCTTGGTTTTCTTCAGGCAAGTCTCAGGACATCTACTCACTGTTCTTCAACTGTTTTTACAGATCACTTATACTAGAGCTCGAAAGATACTAACCCGCTAGTTTAGGAGGTGACTCAATCTCGGCAATGATGCTGAGCAGCGAATTGAGAAAACAGGCCATCAGCGTCGCAGCAGCTGATATTCTTCGACTTCGCAGCATTGAACGAATAGCAGCTCATATTCAGGGTACGGTGTCTAATGATCTAAACGCAGACTTCCGCGACATTAACCTTATGAAAACCACCACCGACATGTCATGGGAGCTTTCGCCAATTCAGCAGTTGAGTTTCCAATTTGCACCCAACGCGGATTATTTAGACCAGCAGACGATGATCGTTGATACGGTCTTGAACCTTTCGGATGACACGATAATCGCTGCTCTGGATGCCCTAGTAACAGCACATCCGATGCTGTTAGCTAGGTTCGCACGGGAGTCATTTGAAGGAAATTCCGTATGGACACAACGTGTAGCATCCACGCCTCCTGCTGGGTCATCTTTTACTATTCGGTTTCATCGAGGCGGAAGCACCGTGGTTAAACTTGGACGTATTGCTGAGACTAAATTGGCTATCAATGTTGCCGAAGGTCCTATCATGGGAGTAGATGTCTTCCGTTCGACTTCATCAACTACAATTTCAGTAAGCATACATCACCTAGTCGTGGATATGGTCTCATGGAGAACAATTTTCCAAGATCTCGAAGACTTCGTTAAGGGCGAACACCTTATTCAACCAGAGCCAATCTCTTTTCAAGCATGGTGTAAAGTACAACATATCTATTCACAGGGCATTCAGCAATCACAAGTTCTCCCTGAAGACCGATTCCAGGTCAACTTAGAATATTGGGCTATGGAGAAAGTTCCAAATCTATTTGGGGACGCCGTTGCAACGAGTTTTAACATTGAACGGCCTGACATGGCGAGGCTGTTGGATTTATGCGACAAGTTGGAATATGATCAAGTTGATGTCGTATGTGCGGCCATCATAGGATCATTCTCCGAAATATTTCAAGCACGCACGTCTCCCGCTGTCTTCGTTGAAGGTCACGGCAGGGAGTCTCCCAGTAATGCAATCGATCTTTCCCGTACAGTTGGTTGGTTCACGACACTCACCCCTGTGGCAATAAAAGTCCCAGACAATAAGGAACGGAACACCAGGATGATGATCCTGGAACGGATCAAAAGGTTCAGAGAAGACACACCGTCAAAGGGTCTCGATTATTTTACTTCACGCTTTTTTCAGAAGGAGGGGATTGATGCATATCGTGAACACCACGCGTCTGCCGAGATTATCATGAACTTCCTAGGGGCTTATCAGCAATTTGAGCGTCGGAATTCTGTCTTTAAACGTTGTGATGACTCGGAACTTATCTCGAGTCTTTCGGCAATGCGTCGAGAGCAGCGGAAGATATCCGAGAGGTATGCTTTGATCACGATTGTTGCCGTTGTTGAGGACGGCGCGTTATCCGTTGAAGTCGAATGGAATAGAAAGATGAACTTTCAAAATGAACTCTCTTTGTGGCCGTTGAAAATCAAGGAAAACTTATTGCTATTGATCGAAGACTTGACTCTTCCGTCCACTTCACCCCATAAAGGAATTTCCGTGACTCGGCCTGAGCTCACATGCTTCGGTGTCGACAAGAAGAAGGTCTTAGCAAAGGTCACGAGCTTGGGTCTACCTGTTCATGATATTGAAGGCATGTACCCATGCTCACCTATGCAGGAAGGGTTGATGGCGAGTCTCCTAAGGGACTCGGATACGTCTTCAGCATATAATCAAACTTTTCTTTTGAAATTCGCCCCTGCTGGAGGTAGAGCCGCGGAAAGCGCGCAGCTTAAAGACATCTGGCTTCGTATAGTTCGAAAACATGCGATTCTACGAACTATCTTTGTGGAAAACGATGCTGGAGACTATGTTCAGGTTGTTCTACGTCACACTAATCCGGTAGTACTAATCAAGGGTAATGTTGATCAGGATCAACTCAGGGGTACTTTATTTGAGTCGGAAAATCAATTATTGAAGTCTCCCCTTGATGGTGTTCCTTTGCATCGTCTCGTGGTTTGCGAAACTGCCGATAAATCGACGTACATTCTCCTTACGAAGAGCCATCTTCTTACGGATGGTATGAGCACGCAAATTTTAATGCGTGATTTTGTCAACGGGTATGACGGAGTTGTCGAGGCGTATTGGGATCCGCAAAATTGCTACCGCGACTACATTCGGTACGTGAGTAGCCAAGACGCCGAACAGACAAGGAGTTACTGGGCTGCCTACCTCACCGGGGCTGCCACATGCAACTTTCCCAAACTCCGCCATACAGATGAACCTGAGGCCGTAGTGGCATCGCCACGTTCAAGTGTGTCGTTACAATTACACGGTCTTGGAATCGATTTGCGGCAGTTGTGTCGCTCCCATGATCTCACAGCATCAAATATATTCCAGCTCGCTTGGGTATTAACCCTAAGGATCTATCTGAATTCAGAGAGCATCCTCTTTGGATATCTATCGTCAGGTAGAGATCTCCCAATTGCTGGCATACAAGAAGCCGTTGGGCCCGTTGCCAACATGCTTCCCATTAGGAGCGAGTTACGCCGAGATATGAAAGCCATCGATGTGGCTAAGTCATTACAAGCCGACTATATTGAACACCTTTCTCGACAGACACTATCGCTTACACAGATACGGCATGCGGCCCGATATAATAACCAAAGCCCTAACTTTAACACTATACTCAATATTCAGAAGTCAGAGACCGGCGGGCTTAGACCTAAAAAGGAATTATCCCAAGTGGAACTTGTGAAAGCAGCAGACACTACCGAGGTATGTATTAAAATCCGTATCGTTGTCATATCAAGGGTAGTTATCGTAACAGGCTAACATTGGGACCTTCAAGTACGGTCTTGCTTTAACTATCACAGACAGCGAAGGCGAATATGCACTGTCTCTAGAGTATGACACGAGCTTGGTCTCTTCCCAGCAAGCCGATGGTATCGTTTCAGCGTTTGCCAACGCCATGAGGAGTGTGGTAGCCAACCCAGACTGTCCTGTTGCAGGCATTAGCCTGGTCGGTGATGGGGACCTAAAACAGGTCAGGCGCTGGGATATCAATGAACTTCAGACCAGGAATGAATGCGTTCACAACCTTTTCCAGATAACAGCACGTAACATACCGGGAAATGAAGCCATCCACGCATGGGATGGGAGCTTAACTTATGGCGAATTAGACGTTTTGACCAACAACGTAGCACGAAGATTGATCGACCTTTCTATTCAACCTGAAGAGATTGTTCCTCTCTGTTTTGAGAAATCTATATGGGGAATTGTCGCAATGCTTGGCGTCACAAAAGCAGGAGGTCTGTATCGCGCACTTGGTCCCAAGGATATACCTAAACATACCTCGTTTTGAGCTAACTGGTACAACATAGCTGCGTTCGTCCATCTTGATCCCTCAAGCCCCCTTTCTCGAAAACAGAAAATCATCGAACTTACTGCGCCTCGGGTGGCAATCACTTCGAGTCGTAACCAGGTGATGATGGAATCATTGGTTTCACAAGTCCTTACCGTTAGTAACGAGGCGCTGCCATCCTATGGTGTTGAAATAGGCGAAGTCAAGTGCGAAATCCCGGATCGACGCGCAAACCCTTGCAATGCGCTCTACGTGATTTTCACCTCTGGGAGCACGGGCGAGCCGAAAGGTGTGGTTGTCGAACATAGGAATTACTGCTCAGCCATGGCAGCAAATACGACCTGGCTACAGATCCTCCCGTCGTCACGCGTTCTACAATTTAGCAGCTTCGTATTTGATGCCTCTATGGAAGAGATATTCACCGCTCTGGTCGCCGGTGCCTGTGTTTGTGTACCATCTGACGACCATCGAATGAGCCCGGAGGAACTCTCTTCTTTTATGCAATGCGCTCGTGTCAACTGGGCCGCCTTGACACCGTCACTCTTACAAACCCTTAATCCGGATAAATTAATTCCGCCCTTGAAATTTATAACAGTTCATGCTGAGCCGATGAACGCGTCGCTGACTAAGCTCTGGAGTCCGAGGGTTCATATGCGTCCCAGCTACGGGCCAACCGAATGTACTGTAACAAGCACCGTTGGCTCGGCTTTTAATGAATTCTCGGACTCGTCAAATATTGGCTGGCCTGTTGGTTGTCACGGAAGAGTGACCGATCCACACGACCCTCAACAATTAGTCCCTATCGGCGCGGTCGGCGAACTGGTACTCGAAGGGCCTATTCTCTGTCGCGGCTATCTGAACAGACTGGCCGAAACAGAAAAAGCATTTCCAAGTATCCAAGATTGGTTCGATGGAACCCGAAAAAGAGTTTACCGTACCGGGGACCTGGTACGTTACGCTGAGGATGGGTCCTTACGCATTCTAGGGCGACGAGATACGCAGATCAAAGTTCGCGGACAGCGAGTCGAACTCAGAGAAGTAGAGAGCCAGCTCGAGCTATCTCCAAGCGTCCGCCATGGCTTGATTTTGCAACCAAAGTCTGGACTTCTACAAGGTCGCCTAGTTGCGGTGCTAAGTCTCACACGATCGTTCCAGACAGTCCCGTCAACCATCTCACATGGCGACACGATTCAACTTTTAAATAATTCAGCAACATTAAGCAAAGTCGATCAATCGACTGTATCAGAACTCTTAAACCGAATCCTATCATTCATCTCAGCTAAACTTCCATCCTACATGATCCCTCACACCTGGTGTGTAATGGAAAATATGCCAATTTTGCCTTCTTGTAAGCTCGATAGAAAGCTGGTGAGCAATTGGTTAGAAACAATTGATGAGCCAACACTACTACTTGCTCGCCAATTCATGAGAAGCTCGAGAAGTTCGGGCTCTAGTATCAGTTCCAGTGCCGAGAAGTTAGTGAGAGATGCTTGGTCAGAAGTCTTGGCAATTCCAAGGGGTATGCCCATTCGAATTTCATAACCTACCATTGAGGGGTTTCATAGAGGCTGACACAGTCTATCTAGATATTATCGATGCAGATGATCATTTCATTGCTCTTGGCGGAGACTCGATATCAGGTAAGTTACTAAGCATCCAATCTCATCTCAACACGTAAGGAAGCCTTTCTAACTGTTCCTGAATCAGCAATGAACGTCTCTCGCTTTTTGAACCAAGCTGGGGTGCCTATTAAGACACAGGATGTACTGAGAAGCAATAGCATTCGAGAGTTGGCATCGGTGCTTCCATCCCGGCAACAGCAGGATTCTATTCCCGTAAAGGCGCAGACAATGGTTCCGGGAAGTGGATTCGCAAGGCTTCCATCTGTTGAAGATGTAATGTCCGAGTACGGCTCCGACTCAACTAACGACTCCAAGATCTTGTCCATCATTCCCATTACCCCTTTCCAGCTGAGAACGACTTCAGCTCTCTACACGTCTTCCCAGAGGCCTTATCTTTACAACTTAGTGGCGGAAATTTCAGGTTACGAATTGTTCGAACAGAATCTTGACCCACATCGGCTTCTCGAGGCTTGGCGCGCAACAGTGGCACGACATGACATTCTCCATACTGCCATGGTTCTCGAGAGAGAGGGCAACGACGCGTACCAAGTCATTTTAGACGAGTCAGCTGCGGCCTGCGAGCTATATGAGGTCGCTACAGAGCAAGATGCTTTGAATGCGAGTATCGAGAAGACCAAGCAGATTAAAACAAGTCTCACCAAGCCATCCCTGAGGCCGCTTCTATGGCTCACTATTTTCACCACGCCAACAAAGCGAGTATATGTACATTTGCTGATGGGTCATATGTTGATTGATCATGTCTCACTCTCACACGTGCTTCATGACTGGGATACGTCTTATCGAGGTCACACATTGCCTAGGAACCCTTCTCAATTCAGAACCTATGTTCACGATATAGAATCGCGCGATTCTCAGGCTAGTACCGATTTCTGGACCCAGAGGCTATACGGAGTAGAACCTACGATTCTCCCCCCAACACACGAATTACCTCAGGGCGATTCGATCCTTGTCGAGGGTCTATCCACGATTAGCTTTAAAGTTGCCATCGATGGGAGCATGCATCAGTATTGTCGAGAAATGCGAGTCACGATATCTACGTTGCTCCAATTCGCTTGGGCAGTGTTACTTGGTGCTCATACCGGCCAAGAGTCCGTGTGCTTTGGACACCTTACTTCGGATCGAGATATTGATATCAATGACGTCGACGAGATAGTGGGACCAATGCTTTCCATTCTAGTCACACACGTAGTCCTGAGAAATAGGGGTAGTTCAGTATCTTTTGTCTCGGAAACTATTCAAAAATTGCAGCACGAGAATACTACCAGTATGACCCACAAAGTTTTCAATCTCAGTACCATTGAACATCAACTCAACCTCCAACCGCCTACCAGTATGCTCTTCAACACCCTCTTCAACTATCGGAAAGTGAAACGCTCGGGTCCCAAGCCAGTCATGAATCTCCGACCGATTCTCAAGCAAGACCCTCACGAGGTGAGTGAGGACAAATATTCAATTATAGCGATGTGATAAAGCAAAAAGAGGTACTAACTAAAGAAAACTTAGCAACAAATTATTATCAGCTTTAACGAAGTTGGTGACGCTGACTCATTGGATGCGGCTCTGACTTATTATGGCGGTATACACTCTGCTGGGAGTGTTCAACAGATGGCAAAGTCTTACACGAAAATCATTGCATCTTTGATTGATAGAGAATGTGAGAGTGTGGAGCAGCTCCTGGATCATGTGTCAGATAAGAAAGCTACGTTCTTCGCCGTATAATCCTATAGTCAACCGGATTCGTCCTTACCCGGATTATCTCATATATTACCTCATACATTACCTCATACGTTACCTCATACATTACTTACAGCTTCCGTACATATTCACCTAGGTATGCCTTCGAGATCCAACGGGTAATAATATGGGGTATTACAAATTACTCCGCGTCAAGCTGGAGCCGCCGCATGCCCGGTTGGCTAGAGCTGACTAGGGGAACCGGGGAAGCCACGGGACCGCGTTGGTGGCGCGATTGAAGCACGTCAAGGTGTAAGCAAGTTTAGAAATATTATTTCCCCAACTTCGATAGAAACCGTACGATATTTCAATTGTACCCTTCTTTTACCCCTCAGCCCGGAGTGAGATTGAGGCGTAGTCGCTTACCTTTACCGGGATACTATAGCGTCAGGGTAAGCGACGCGAGGGGTCCTACATACACGGGACATACCTACGCATACGTTTGTTTGCCGAGACTTATACTCCGTATAGTCATCTCGTATCAAATGGAAGTCAACAGGAGGACTAACAACAAAAACATTAAAAATAAAGGGATTTATTGGAATTAATTTATTGTACGAGGTTAACAGATTTCCTAGAAAGACAAAAAAGAAAGAATTATCAATTTATATCATACCTACAGGTAGGTAGGTAGGTACAAAACATTAGGTCAGTGTAGTTTATTCCTACTATGCGTGCGTACAATACCCAGGTAGGTTGTCGGTGTTAAAGCTAGGTGCTAATAACTTATTCCGTATCCCCTGATCTGACGCTATGATGTGAGGGATCCGATTAGCTTCACCGCTAGCTTCCATCGGTTCTTGCCCACCACTTGGCGACACCTCCCGCAAGATCCGTCTTTCTAGTATAAACAAGGCCTAGCGCACAGCAGTAGCTCTTAAGTCTGGTTTCTAAAGCCCACAAATCATGCCAAGCATCTCGGAATCAGACGATGCTCCCCTCTATCTCCGACCAGACGAATGCTCCAGAAAAGCCCCCAAGAATCATCACAAGACGTCGTGGAGCATGTACAGGCTGTAAACTCAGAAAGATTCGCTGTAGGCATGCTCAGTCGCCTGGTCATAACCATACTAAAATATCGCTAATGAGAGAAATGGAAAAGGCAATGGAGGAGCGCCTTGCTCTGCCTGTGATGTACGGACATCCATAATCGTCACTGGAGTAGTTCACCGCTGATTTATCCCCAAAGCGGAGCGGTTTCGTTTGCAATTATGAGCCTCGACACAGGAAACCCTCTTCCAGTCGGGAGCTCGATCTACAAACGTCAGAAACACCTTGCGTGTTAGACCGGGACAGAGATTCGTCGCCAAGATCCATAGGGGGCGGGAGCATCACCGGACCACAACCCCCCTTTCTGACGGATAACTCATCTACAATGTTCTCATTAGACACCACTGATTTCGATTTTATACTGTCGCCCGAGGCAGCTTCACTCCCGAATATCTCGGAGAGCCAGCACATCACACATGCTCCTTTTTCATATGATCATGATTCTATCGAGGGGATTCAGAGTTCACAGCATCCAGCATTTAATTCCGCGACCTTTCGATCCCGGTCGCTAGAAATAGGGGATATTGGAGACAGAAGAAATATTGATACTCCTCGTGCTCCTTCACCTCCAATATTAGAACGAGGAGTAGTTTCTGCGGTTCCCCAAGTATGTCATCCTCCATGTGGTGTCGAAACAAGATATTAATTGCCGTCGAAGGGATTGATGCAGTATTTTCGAGAAGATGTGGAAGTCGACTTTCGTTCCTCTACATCCTTCGGCCTAGCAAAGTTACCTCCAACACGAAAAGATTCAAATAAGCATCGCGAAATCTGTCGGATATTACATAATTTAACATCGAATGGACAAACGTGGGCATCGCCATCGTTGAATGTTAAAGATGTTAATAAGAGTATTCGTTCAATTTGGGTAGGAGAAAGTGATGCGACTATCCAGGGATATATTGAAGGCAAGTCCCATGAGGATGAGAGTTAATTACATCTTTCACTAAATACTTACCTACCTACCTATTCACTCAGCATGCTTCGAAAGTAACGCAGAGTAAGCAGCATCTCAGTAACAGTCCGCTGTCGGCACGAAATGATTAAGTGTATGTCTCAGAGTTCAAATGTTTCTGCGGAAGGCCGACGTCAACAAGTATTTGTCAGAGGCACGAGAGACATCCTCGGAAAATATCCTGTTATCTCTCTTCAGCGATGCAATCATTGCAATGGGATTCGACTCGCTGCGTAACCAATTTTCGGAAGGGCGAGGTATCTCGGTGAACGACACGGAATATCTTCGATTAGTTCTGGATGCATGGTTTGGTTTGTACGAAGTACATAATGACCTACTAAAACTCCAAGTAAGTGAAGTCCGCCTTTCATTCAGCATATGACGCTCGACTCTATACATAGAATGCGACTAACACATACTACTAATTTCTCTATTTTTACAGACGGCTGTGCTACTTGTACGTATCTCTCTTGCCAGGTACCTACTAGTAGGTAAATATTGTCGCACCTATGTCTGACTTTGGCCAGAGTATCATCGCTTTGAATATTAACGACTCTCGGCTCCCTGAGATCTTGGGTATGGGGATTCAATGCGCTCGAGATATGCGACTTACTGATTCGAACGTAATTCGGAATACATTTGGAGATGCTGACGACCAGAAGCTTGCAAGGCGTACCATCTGGGTTCTGTATTGTCTAGAGACAAATTCTTCCGTATATCGTGGGATTCCTCCGGTACACAACATCTTCGACTACACTCTCCAACACGCACAGTGTCATGATTCCTGTAACTAACGTCTTCAAGTTACTCCATTCCGACTTCATTAATCATCTTCCTACGACGCTTGATCATCCAGAAAAGCACGACCCTTTAGTCCTCCAGGTAGTGGCAGCAGGATTGATCGCTAGGTGCTTTAGTCGCGTGTATGGGAAACCAATGTTGGCGAATTCTACATTGGAATTGCAAGATTGTGTCTCGGCATTAGGACAGTGGCGCCGTTGCTTGTCAGACCACATCAGGCAACTCATTTCAGGCCAACGATTCGAAAGCCTTCACGAAGACGACAATGCCGCTGTGAAGCTGCGTTTATTCTGCTGTTACCACGAATGTGTTTATTTCTTATTCGGACCCTGGCTTCCACCTCTGTTGGGCTCTATGTCGCAGACCCTTGGTCACGATACAGAGACACCGGGTTCTACAGAAGACCACAAGCTTGTGTTAGCCGACGCACTCGGAAGATGCTTGGAGTCAGCTTACACGATCATCTCCCATGCCAACGAAATCGTATCCGTGGACAAGACTCTGGCAAAGTATGCTATCCTCCTTTATCCATTCATTAAATTATCGATATTTTCTAACGACGTATCCTAAAAGGCGTTTGCGTGGTTTAATGATAACTTCGGTATGCGTGATTACCTATGGCGTCCAATACGGGGATCCGGATATGAGAAAGAGGTCGCTGGCTTATTTAGGGATATGCTGCGGAACATTCAGTGGCATGTACCTAGCCGACAGCTCGTTGCCGTTTGAGGAGATATTAGACTTGGTCAGAATTATACGATCAGATAATTGAGGAGTCCCGCCTATACCGTACCTAAAATCGCCAAGCGTACCGACTGTGTAGGTACCTACCTAGATAGGGGCAATTAAATTAACCTATTACGATGAAATTCATCATCTCATTGTAACTCAAGAACCAGAATCTCCCTGGAAGTGTTAGTGGCTATTGCACAGAAGTTACCTAGTGCCCCACCAGGGCGCTATTTAGTATTAGGTACCGGTTCGCTAACAATTTAGGGCTGTTCGTCTAATTATAGTGCGCCAAACCTGGAATGCCTAAAACCGCCCAAAAGTTCAACAAGGTGTGATGGTACAATACCAGGCAGGTCCAAGGTTATTATTTGAGCGCTAAACAACGCTAAGTCCCTTCCAAGGTTTCCACGCCCCTAAGATCATTATTATCAGGGCATTTAGCGGTAAAAGTACCTACCTACCTAGGTCCATTGAACAACTTCTCTATTTTCTAGCAACTCAGTACCTATAGATACGTACCTACGTACCTACCTACCTAGGAGGTAGGGACGAAATAAAATTCTAAAGACAAGTACCACAATCTACCTCTTACAGATGGTCACGGAAAAAATCATAAGGCAAGCCTATATCCTCTCTCGTATTCATATATGGCCTTATCGTCTCACAGGTTCGTGCGAGCGCTCATGAAACCGTGTAGCTGGTCCACAAAGATTTTCACATGTTTTGAAACCTTCAAATTTTCTTCATATCTCTTCACATCTTCGACGGATTCCTCCTCAGATGCAAGAATCATCCTTGGGATTTTGACCTTTGCACCATCGGATAGATTGATCCTAGCCGGCGATGTTTGTACGGCAACTTTGAAAAAGAGGTTCTTCATCTCCAGCAAGTATACGAAGTAGGTACCTAGTAGGTATATTTTCGGTCTTTCGGTCTTGAGCCAGTAATAATGGGACCATGCATTATCTCCGAGCTTACCAATAAAGATTCCACCTAACTTACTAATTCATCGTAGATTCCAAAGTCCCAACCTTGAAGTTTTGACGCAATTAGTCAGCTACGTGTAGAACGGTATTTGTAGACAACTACGCCGCATCGGATCGCAAAGTAGGTACCTAGGTAGGTTGGGTAAGTATCTCCAAATCACGATATTCCGCAACATGGCTGGAATACACCGCCAGAAAGCTTGCATTGCCTGCGCAGATTCTAAGCGGAAATGCGACAAGCAGCTCCCCGAATGTCAACGTTGCTTAGATAGAGATGTAGACTGTGTATATCCCGAACCTAAGAGGCGGCGCAGAGACTATATTACGCACAACACCCAAGCTGGGGTCCCATCCCTTGACAACTATGCCGGTGGCGATACTTTAGAGAGCGGTCTTAATCTAGGAGACTGGGGCTCGGTAGGAGAGGTCGATTTCGATGTTTCCCTGTCAGACATGATACCATACATCCCAACGGTAATACCTGAAGGCGATGGCATTTCTAGTCCACCATACCCTTGGTTTCTCCAAGATGAGACTTGGGCAATGCAACACACCAACGAAGAGGCGGCTTGCATGACCTTTTCGGAATTAGAGCCTCTGATTCGTGCGGTCGAGGAAATGTTGCGATGTTGGGTCAGCAATGGGCACAATAGCTTCATCCATCGGCGACTATACGAGAAAGGCATGCCAATGTGTCTTCAGGACGCTTTCACGACACTTGCGACATATGTTAGCCGATCACCAGCGATGACGGAGACAATCCTGCAGATTGCGGAGGAACGCTCGTCGACACTAGCGCGCCAGGGTCTACCCGTCGCCGACGGCACACGAGGGATGTTAAACCATCTGGCTCATGTCCAGGCCCTATTTGTTTACGAGTTTATACGTCTGTTTGATGGCTCGATCCGATTTCGCGCATCTGCCGATAAGCAACTCCCCATTCTTCGGGGGTGGGTCGCGGACATGTGGGAAGCAGTAAAACGATACCGAGGGGAAGACGATAGCCATCAGTCCTCGTGGATGACAAGTGAGTTCGATAGAGAGTATGGATCTGCGTCGGAGATATGGCGTCTATGGATTTTGACCGAGAGCGTTCGACGCACTCATCTCATTATCGATACCGTTATTAATGTATATCAGATCATGACAAGGGGTTGGGCCGAATGCACAGGTGGCGTGATGTTTACGGCACGTCGTGGGTTGTGGGATGCTGAATCTGCACTGGAGTGGCTCGAAATGTCTCGTGCGAAGCCGCCACTTCTGGTGCCGTCTCTGAAGCCCGGGCCATTGATCTCGCAACATACTGCTGATGAGGTTGATGACTTCGCAAAGATGTTTTGGACTTACATAATCGGCCCAGACAAGATTCGGTATTGGATTTACAAAACCGATAAGGAGAGCGAGTCGTAATCTACTGTACTCACATCTACATACCTATATACTATGCAGTACCCTCCTACTGCATGGTGGTAGTAGGAATCTACTAGGTACCAATCTCGAGAGTTGAGGAAACTTCGCGCAATCCCGAGTACCAGGTAAATAAGAATCCCAATTATATACTAGGTAGGTACCTACCTATAGGTACTACAAGGTAATTCCAGTATTGTACCCACTATGTAGATACCTACCTAGGTACCTAGTAGTACCTATGTAGTAGGTACTAAGGTACCGTACTCAACATCCTTACAACGGATGGATTTCGGACTACATACTACTAGGTAGATGTTGGTGATAGAATTTCCTCTTTTACCAAATGCTTGGCGACATCCATGGATGCATGTAACATGTACCCCCAGGACCCAAAGGAATTGGAATTGGACCTCAGTCACCTAATGTACTACTTAGTATATAGGTACGATCAAATAATTTACATACCACCTTCGATCTAATCATAAATCCGAATCTACAGATAAGAAATAAACTTCTTACCAACCTATGTAAGTAACCTACCTTCCAGTTCATATACTATATTTATTCTGTGCCTATATGCACGTGCATTTAGATTTGTGATGGATCCTTGTGACGTACCACATTCCCGGAATCCCCATCCCCATTATCCCCACTGGGTAATCCCCCACGCACTAAAATACGTAGGGTAGGCACTAGAAATATTATCTGTTGGCAGCAAACTCACTTGCGGAGTACACACGGAGCATATATCTCGCCGGTTAAACCGACTCGACACCCGTCAGTTCACGTAACCAGGGTCTATACAATGAGCCACACCAACTCACGACATTCGTACATCGTGCTACGAATTACTGCTTATGAATTCCCTAACAGATGTGGATATCTAATGAGTGTTCTGTGTTGACACAGGAGTGCCGCGCGTTTCTACTCTCTTCAGGGATTTGCGAGGGGTCGAGATAGAATACTACGGATAGTCGGTCAGGCCCCTGACTCCAAATATGGGGCCGACTATATAATAATAAAGTGTGTTCTCCAAACAGTCGGAATCATTCTCCAAGCTCTCTATGCGACAGAACTGACTTAGCGCACTCGTTCAAATATGACAGCCCCTTCGATTCTCCTTATTCCTGGCTCTTTTGGGATTCCGGAATTCTACGATAACATCACCGAGGCTGTTAAGGCGAAAGGTTATGAAATCAAAGGGTTGCGTTTGCCGAGCGTTGGCCTGAAAGATGAGCCCAGAGGAATACCACCAACATTGTACGACGATGCTGCTTTCATTGCCAAGGAAGTAACAGTTCTCGCAGATGAGGGTAAAGATGGTGAGAAAGTCCCTAAAACTCTAGCATGATCCTCTCTATTTCTTTACGTAATATAATATCAGCTAAAAGTCGTATAAGTTATGCTCATTGGACACTCATATGGTGGTATCGCGATCACCCAGAGCACCAAGGGGCTAACAAAGGGGGAGAGGCAAAGACAAGGAAAGAAGGGCGGTATCATAAGACTTTCATATATTACAGCACTGGTGCCTCCCCTGGGGGTTTCGTCTATGAATATCCTGAGCACAATACCTGACGAAAACCGCGTTAAGCTTGCAACTGATGTTTGTTTCCCCTTACCCTTCATTCCTTATCAACCGACTCGCGCCTAACACGGGGACAATAGGACAAAGGCTGGCTTTATATCAGCAACATTCACGAAGCAGCTTTGATAACACTCTCGGACTATTCCGACAAGGCTGCGAGGGAAGCGCTTGTCGAACAATTTCAATGCCACTCCTCTGTCAGTTTTACCAATGAGTTGACGTATGCCGGATACAAGGACGTCCCTGTTTCTTATCTATTCTGTGAGGAGGATTCGTGTGTTATACCTCAGACCCAAAGAGACGGGATAGAGGTGGTTGAAAAGGAGAGTGGGAACAGGGTTGATATCACATACGTCAAGGCCGGTCATTGTCCAAGTGTTACTACCCCACAGGAAGTGATCGACTGGATTATTCGCGCCGCAGAAAAGGGTGAAACGGTTTAGGTGAAGAGTAGGCACTTATTGACTGTCACAGAACGTATAAGGATATCACCATTACTCGGCCAAAGCTACTAGGTACCTAGGTAGTAGGTAGTCATTTATAAATTACTAAGCCTAATGAGCCCATATCCCCTACAGTATGAGTATGGTCCGTTTTCTTACCAATCTTATAAGTTTCTTTGATATTATCCTCTTATCCTAAGCCTAAATTTCCCGATAAAGAGCTGAAGGGATATATATAGCGTTGATATCTCTGTGCCACGGTGAATGAAGTCATTTATATGAGTTATCGAACGGATTCAATTCGGAAAATAAAGAATCGTGACACAAACAGCTATACGATCAAAGTATATAGGTACCTATCGCATAAAACAACTTCACTAAAGATGATAAGGGGGTTCGGAGCCCTCCACTGCAGCGTAGATGGCGGTAACGGCATCAGCGATCTCAACAGGAAGGGGACCGGACTCGATTGCAGCCAGAGTCTTGTGCAATTGCTCAATCTTGGAAACTCCAAATATCACACCATCGCCCTGCTTCCCATCCAACATGCTGTGGAACACCGTCCATCTCAACGCAACTTCGTGGCCGTTGATGCCATATTTATCAGCCAGATTTTGAATGGTGGCCAACGAAGCTTGGACAGGAGCCTTGCTATACGACGAGCTGTACAGTTTCGCGATGTCATTCTTAGATGTACTGTCAGTACAAGCCAGGATATACTGATTCAAGGACTTACGTCGCCTTTCCACCGACTGGAGTTCCCAGCATGGCCCGAGAAGAAGCCGCCCGCCGCAGGGCTAATACAAATGTCAGTCTCGGAACACTTCATCTGCCTACCTAGATATAATAGCTTACCTGTAAGCATAAAATGCCATTCTGTGTTCGCGTAAGAGTGGGAACAGCTCTTTCTCGCCGCCCCTGACGAGCGCGTTGTAATGTCCCTGATATATGCTGGGTTTGTTGTACCCCTTTTCTTCGCATATCTCGATGAATCTCTTCACTTCAGCAGCAGCGTAATTAGACAGGCCAAAATTCTTGAATTTTCCTTGTTGGTGAGCATCGTTCATCGCCCTCGCGGTGTCCTCAAAGGGTGTATGGCGATCAGGAACGTGTAAAAACATGGTCTCCACGGCGGAAGTGTTGAGAGCTTTCAGCGACTTCGAAACGCTCAGCTCGATATTCGAGGGTAGGTGGTCCCCTGGATGGCCACTATGGACCTTAGTGTCAATGGTAAACCGAGAGGCTGCCACAGCTCGACCGAGTCGTTCTTCGCTGGTTCCCGGCGCATTCAAAGAGTAATCATGAGCGGTGTCGAGATGGGTATAACCTTGATTGTAAAACGCATCAAGAAGGGCTTGGACGTCTTCTTCACTATCGAAGGTTGTGACCGAGGCTTTTGTACTATCGCCGATCTGTCATCATCTAATTAGACGTTTCTGTGGTCGTTACATACAGGACGTACATACAGTATGAGTGCCGAGAATAATCTTCGGGGGTGTCTTAGAAGACATGACGTCTAACAAGATAATTGTAATTGCGGAGTGTAAAGAAGGTACCTAGGTAGGTAGGCAATATGGAATAATCATTGATACCTTCTTCACAACTGTACCAAGGGAAGCTACCATCCTTTATATACCTACCTAATAGGTACTTAGTTGGCATATAAGTACCAGTGATATTGACAATTCTCTACGCCGTCTCCCCTCAACTGCTTTGAAATCATATTTAAGATACACGTGAAAGATTTATCATAATCTGCGGAAATTTTTCTGGATAATCTTCTGATGAAGGAGCTTTGACATGGGCTTGGAGTTGTACTTCCGCAACTTTCCCGCAAAAGAACCGCACGTTGCCCGCTCGAGCATCAAGATGTACATCGGAGTTAAGTAACATGCGTCTCTTTTATGTATCTATGCAGTTAAACATACTATTCTATCGGTAAGGATAGCTTCCCTTATGGTAACTAAGAGTCACATTGAATGAATTCTACTTGACTTATTTATCCGGCTACTAATCTTACTATGTTGATATTAGATATTTAAGTAGGTACCTACCTAGATAGGTATATTTTGAACATTATTATTAAACTAACGAAAATCTAAAAGCATAATATGAAGAGACGAGTTTGGAGACGAGACTATCATTGAAAGTGATATACCTACACAACATGTTGAATATCACTTATTAAGATAGGCGGGTAAAGAAGGGGGAGGGGATAAAGGAGAATATCAGATAATAGGTACTAGGTCCAGCCCGCACAATATCATTCAATCAATTAGGTTATGCCATAAACACGTTGATTATAAATTATTGAATTATTTCTTTGTTCGTCGTCATAATTTCCTTTTCTATGGATGAATTTCAGCAGCCGGTCTTTTATGACATCAAATTTTTATATGTACCCAGGTAGGTATACCTAGTACCTACCTACATACTAGGTAATTACTCTGTAGCATCACAAATATCCTATAATTAACCTCTATAGCATTTACCGAGGAAAAAATGCAAGATATCTTATGTGGATAGATTATTCAAAGGGCATCATATCTTTTCTTTTTATCCATCTTCAGGTTCTGAGACAACGTCCCTTTTCTGCCACGGTGAAGTGAAGATGAGAACGCGCACACGCCCAAGATTCCTGATCCGGGTGTCGAATCCTAAAGGAACGTGCACGCGCGGGATAGATCATATAAACCACATGATCGACGGGTAAGATGTCCGTGGTGTGGTTCGGGGCATACACGGAGAGTGGAGAAATCGATAACCGTACCTGGCCTATTAAACGCCCGGGGCGTCATCACCTGGACCGGGGTGCGGAGCTTCCGTTGAAGATAACGACCACTCTGCCACTATGCACTGAAAGAAAGGAATGTGATAAGTGCTGTGCCATTGTCACACAGCAGCCGGGGGTGCCTGATTCAGCTCAGCAATCACTCGGCCGGACAAAAGCGTGGCATTTGCATGGCTTGTGCTGGGATCTCCAAGATAGAATTACGTCAGATAGGTGAAATCATTGGGCGCCATCTGAAGAATTGCTTTTGAGTAGCATTCGATTGCTCTAGTTCTTACCGATCATCTTTCAACATTACTCTAACCCGCGTCGTGGCGCTCTCACATGACGACACTTTATCCAACGGGCGTCTCCGGACTCGTTTTCTATACCCCGGCCGCTGAAAAGAGAAAGCCGAGATGGTTTATTTAAACGAAATGTGGTGGCGCAGCTTTCGACCGCGAGTTTGAATTGTGAAGTCGAATCTAGTGAACAACGAAGAAAGTGACCGTCGAATGTTAGGTATTGTAGACACAAATAAACATCATGCCGGCCACAATATCCCCAACTACCGTCCTGATCAGCGGGGCAAATCGAGGTTTAGGTAAAGGACTACTCACACGTTATCTTGCCAAGCCAAACCACATCGCTATCGCTGCCAACCGTAATCCGGAGAATGCCACATCGAAAGCCCTGGCTGAGCTACCCAAAGGCCAAGGTAGCCGTCTCGTCGTTGTGAAGCTCGATGCTTCGATCGAGGCCGATGCTGCGAAGGCAGTGAAGCAGCTCATCGCTCATGGCGTCGATCACTTGGATATCGTTATTTCCAACGCCGGTGTCTCCTACGCCTGGCCCAAGGTTTCAGACATTACGACCGAGGAGCTGCAAGGACACCTTATCCCTGACCTGTTCGGTTTGGTATGGTTATACCAAGCTACTCATAGACTTCTCAAGAAGTCCATGGATCCCAAGTGGATAACAATAGGCACCGTGGCCGCGAAGCTAGAGGTTAGTACGTCCCTGAGCAAGTGCCTACCTACCGGTAGATAATTAGTATTTGACCATATATACTAACTACCTATTCTCAGTAGGAAACCATTCCCTCACCTTCGGTGTCAGAGCTAATACATATATAGGGAGCAACCGCCAATCCCCAATGCTGCATACGCGACGTCTAAAGTGGCAGCCCATTGGGTGACCAAGAGAATCAACCAAGAGGAAGACTGGATCACGGCTTTTGTGATTCATCCAGGCTGGGTCGATACTGACATGGGCCAAGCAGTAAAGACTAACCTCGGACTGACTGGTAAAAACGTGAAGCTGCCAATAATAACAACGGATGAGTCGTGCGACGGGATGGTGCACCTGATCGACGTTGCTACTAGAGAGTCCCATGGAGGGAGATTCTGGGATTATGAGGGCATGCGGGAGTCTTGGTAAATATCTTATTCCATTGAATAGCGTTATACCTCTTGTTATTGTATTTATTCTGTAGTTACTAGGTAGGTAGGTAGGTATTAGATCTTGGTATTGAAATTTGGGGCCGTTTTCTGTGTATTATTGAAAGTCATTTAACCTGGAATACTTCGTACCTACGGTACATAAAACACGAGATATTAGGTACGGTGGTGGGTACCCCTCACAGTGCGTGATGGGTACATTCTAGGTACTATTAGCACACTAGGTACAGAGTACTAACCCTAAACCTTTTAAATGGGTACAGTGGATTAATAATTACCGTTTTAGGAAACGCGTACGAGCCATTTGTTATCGATAGCGCAAGAATATACAGAAATTTTGTGAAATTCTGAAGATAAGTAAGGTAGCTTCACATTTTTACCAGCAATACCCGCCACGACAGACATCGAGGTCGAGGTTAGTTCCGCAGAATGCGTTCTTTCCTGTCGGCGCCTATATGCCCAGCATGTCAATTCGCAGCGAATAGTCGAGCCGTTATCCCATTCATCTCTCGAACATGGCCAACACAAAGATTCTTCTCCGGTCGAGCAAGAGCTGGTCCCTCGAGAATGGTATTATCTGATCGCGTTGCACGCCCCCCAAGACGAGATGCCCAAGATCACGACAGCTCAACACCTCACCGAAGGTCACAAGGGCCGTTTGGTGGCATGAATCAGACATATGCAAACATACGAGAGCCTACATCGAGAAACTCGTTCCGAAAGAACGACGATAGAAGTGGTGGGGATAGGAGGGGTGGACAAAATGATGAACGGCGGAACAAGGCTATGAAAATGCGGGGCTCATTGGCGACAATATCATATGGACACAGGACGAGGACGAAGGCAGGCATGACAGAACTAGAATCGTTCGATAAATTCGACCTTTTACCCTCCATCAAAGAAGCTATATCTCAGGATGTGCTGAAAGGTATGGTCGGTATTAAACCTACTCCTATCCAACGACTTGCCATCCCAGCCTTACTAGGCCAGACTGAGAGTAGGCGATCTTTCCGATCAAATAAATCCAATGAGAGGCAGGAATTCTTGCTGGCAGCGGAAACCGGTTCGGGCAAGACTATGGCATATCTTTTGCCAGTAATTGATGCCCTCAAGAAAGCCGAGGCGGCTGATCCTGCTATTGCAGCTTACCAAGAGTACTTCACGAAACAGATGAAGGAAATGAAAGAGCCAGGATATACCGGTCCCCGCGAATTTGATCCTCATCCAACAACAGCAAGGCCAAGAGTTGTTGTGTTGGTACCAACGGCTGAACTAGTTGAACAGGTAGGCAGCGTTGCTAAGAACTTGTCTCATCTGGTCAAATTTAGAGCGAGTCTTTTCTCTGCCAACATTTCGGCCCTGGTCATAAACTCGAACATGTACAAGCCCTCGGGGATCGACCTCATCGTGTCGACGCCTCACTTATTGGCATCGATGGCTGATTCGGATCCTAATATTCTATCTAGGGTTAGTCATCTGGTAGTTGACGAGGCCGATTCTCTCTTCGATCGTAGTTTTGCCCCTGTAACAACGGCTATCCTAGATCGCGCGCTGCCATCTATGAAACAACTCATCCTATGTTCCGCCACCATCCCCAAAAAACTTGAAAGCTACTTAACTTCCGAATTCCCGGCCATGGTCCGACTCACCACACCCAATCTTCACGCCATCCCTCGACGTGTCCAACTAGGAGTCATCGACGTGGTGAAGGACCCTTATCGAAATAACAAGGACCTTGCTTGCGCGGACGCTATCTGGACTATCGGCAAAGATTCCGCGCGTCACGAGAGTTCCGTGCCTGGAGAGGTAGACGTTAAGCGTATCATGGTTTTCGTCAACGAACGCGAAAAGACGCAGGAAGTAGCCAACTACCTCGTTTCGAAGGGGATCGATGCTGTTGCGCTTCACCGGGACACTGCTGAGCACCGGCAGTCAGAGATGCTGGGCTCATTCACGACTAATGAACCGATGAAGGCCGCAATTGACAAGTCGCCGGTCCCGCCACCCGGCAAGGGGCGGCGGATTTTGCCCAACACTAAAGTTATCGTAGCTACAGACCTAGCCTCGCGAGGAATCGATACCTTAGCAGTTCGTCACGTAATATTGTATGACGTACCTCATAGCACCATCGATTTCATACACCGGCTAGGCCGCGCGGGTCGTATGGGTAGAAGGGGACGAGGAGTCGTGCTTGTAGGCAAAGATGACCGGAAAGATATCGTGGCTGAGGTCAGGGAAAGCATGTTTATGGGTCAGGCGCTTATCTAGAGGCGGACAACTGTACAAAGTCAGCAGTGTGCAATTCTGTATAATAGGAACCTGTATATCAACTCTATGAACCTCAAGATACCTTTGAAAGGTTTTCTGTGCACACATTCATGTTCGTTGTTGGTCACTACCTACCTAGCTCACCAAGAAAAGACGGCGAGATTATCTACATGGTGAATGATAGCAATATCCCAAACGCATAAGAGCTTTAGCTACCTAGACTGCATGATGTAGAAATAAAGTAACAAGGCTACGCTACCCTAGGTTCCCTCAAGACCAAGTGTGTTTCATGATATGAGATGCCGAATCAAACTGTATGGGAGTTGCAAATCACCTAAATCAGTTACTCAACGGTTATCGCCGCATTTTTCTGCATTCGATGAGGAGATACGGCTTCTGTTTATGTCATCCATTCATGCCACCCATTTTATATGAATAAAATAGGGGTTATACTGAAATTAACATCACGTAAAACGCTATCATGAATAACGTACCTAGTAGGTAGGTACTAAGTAGGTAGGTATCTGGTCAAACAATTTCAGGAAATATTGGAATATAAGGTACTACGTAACTATGATAAAGCTAGACAGAACATTTCGACTACCTTCGTCGTGAACCTACCTAGGTAATCCTAGCTGGTAGGTTTAAATTTAATGTAATTGTACTCTATGCTGAAGTTTGGTATACAGATTAATATTAGCTTAAAAGGTCTATTTATTGATCACTGGGACGTCAGAATCATGCGGGTGGGTGCTATTTAGGTGAAGAGAGAAAGGGGCCACGCAGAGCAACATTGGACGTCCAATCTGGGGAACCAAATGGAATCTTCACCTCCTATCCGAGGACACTTGTCTTGGACCCTTACACCGCTTTCTGGACATGCATCTTGCGGTCTCTTTTCCGGAAAAGCAGATCATTGTCTTGGAAGGGTCTTTGATAAAGTTTACAAGGAGCTCGTCTTCAACTAGGCAGTCCTAGGAGCATCACTACCACAGACTAAATTATCAACTGCAATAGTAACCCCGGGATGTCTTAAGTAGAGGCGGGCAATAGGTATAACACATTGAAATAGTAGATAATTCAGGTGGAGTTATATAAGGGTCTAGGTTTCTGTAGACCCTTATTCCCCATCAGGATTTAAGTCAAAGACCCTAGATCGTCGTAATCGCTAGCCATCATTAGATGATAATATGATGTATGTACCTAGTATGATGAAAGACACCGCCGGCGCGTCTATTCCGGCGGTTGCAGGGTTCTAGCAAAAGAAAAGACGAAGATTAAGACATTTAGCTTACTTGCAATGATGCGGAATTTACATACCAGTCCGAAGATCTAGATAGTTCCTCTGAACTCGCCCTTATTTTATAAAATATGCACCTGCTTACTGCCTACCTACCTAGGTAATAACCTAACCTAGTGCCTAAGTGATGACTTTTATGGATGACAAGCGTATAGGCAGGTCCTTATTATTTATGAACGAGATTTTAAGGTATATATCACATCCTAGTAGAATTAATCGGTCCTGTAAGCCGCCTTTAACGTGCATTAGGGAAATATACTAAGCATCTTTTTCAATTGGCTGTATGTACCTATGTATGTCCTAACACTTTTCTATCAAATTTTCTACGTATCATATGCAGGACTAGATTCTTTGGCTCAATGCCTAGGTACGAACCCGTTTCCTGATTAGGTAGCGATGGTAAAACTTGCTGGGAAGGTGAGGAAAGTAGTACTATGATGTATGTAGGTAAGTAGCTGGGTAGGTAGTCGTCACCTTAAGCCACACCGTTGCACATCAAAACTACAGCGGCGGGATCGCCGCAAGCTCAGACGTTGAAGCCGCCACCCATGTCGAGAGCTCAAGCGCATTCCCTTAGGAAGAATCGTAGGACCAACGTAGCATCCTATGTGTCGCAATACGAAGTATGTCGGCATTAGCGAATAATAAGCTTTGATACTCGTTTCGGTTGCATTCGAGTGCTCGCACTATCTGGCTTAACATTGAACTTTTGACGGGTTTCTTCGATGCTGGTTAGCGCCGTTGGTTAGATCGTCAACTTGAGTTCCTAACACATCTTAGTAATGGAATCTAGACAACAGCTGAAACCTGACCAATCAGCGATCACTTTCTCCTTGTGGATGATTTTCCGCAAGCCATCCATACTAACATTTGCTTTTTCTAGAATAGCAAGTAATAGTCTTTATGACCTGTTAGTTACTGATTCGAAGAAAGTAATGCGGCAATAAATCCATTGAATAGCGTCTTGTATCCTCTATTTCCTGGGCTGAAGTAAAAATCCAAACATTCCAATATACACCTAGGTACACACCTATTCGTAGGTAAGAAAACTTATGTCTGTCATTATTAGGTAAGATATTAGATTGGGATTAGCAAATGCAGTAAGTAGCATAGAGCTTTAGGGGGCTTTGCGTTGGAGATGTGCAGCGTGTGCAGCGTCGATGAAAGCTTAATCAGGATTCACCGCAAATCATGACTGACCCCGGCGTGGATCCCGCTAATTCTTAACCTTTCTAACAGTCTCCTTTTCTATCTCCTATCATGGACGAAGCCATGAAAGGCTAAAAAAAAAAAAAACTAGCCTCGTGCTTGATGCTGAAACTGATCTGCGTTTAAAAGTTAAGGACGTGTTTTTGGTCGAATGCCTAGAATAGAAAACCCGGATTGGTAACAATGCTTATTACCTGGAGGTATGAAACTGGATATTCATTGCTGAGGTATGATATGCGGAATTGTTACGCGGAAATCGATGCTGTCGTCTAATCTCCGAGACGACAATAGTGCCCACTTAGTTACGGTTGTGCTCGGCCATCTTTACGATAGTACACGATTTGTTTCCTTGGTTTCATCATGTTCCCATAAACTTGATATGGGTGAGGGTTAAATTAAGGATAAGGATAAGGTTAATACAAATTTATGAGCTAGAGATGTTCGCGAACGAGATGCCAAGACTGGAGGTTGCATTGGGAAAGGACCAAGAGAGATGAGGATGGAACCTTGCACGGAGGGTTTGGAATCTTGGGCCAATGTGAAGATTTTCCATCGTCGGGGGCTAAGACCATGCCAATCAAAGATTGCCATAGGATTGCTCGCTAAAGACAATCAGTGATAGCCTCCGGGACCCATGGATCTCCCAAAGACGGGGACTTACTATTTTCGGTGGTCTTGGCACTTCTTGTGTCAGATCGCCGGTTTCTCCCCCGTTCTAGTGTAGCGGAATTGGCCAATGAAAGATTGAAACAAGTGCTCCAAGTCTCTCCCCCATATTCTGGATGTCCCACCCTGCCTCAGATCTTGCTGAAACGTCGCGAAATCCTGCCTACGCCTTTTTAAGCGACGTTGACACTAAATGCCGCTGAGAGCTTCGACCCGTCATCGTGAAGGGGGAAAAAATTCAGCAACTGTAGTGCGACGGCACGTGTGTTTTAGACCCTGTCACTTATGAAAGAAAGGCGCCTCGAGCGCCAAGCCCTTGACAAGGCTTTCAACGTTGGGGCTCACTTCGTCATGGCCCCAGTGAGAATGCATTTGAAGACTAGGATGCGAGATATCTAATGGTAAATGTGTATAAGTAGCCAAGAAATTCGCGATAATTCAGATGATTTTTTTTCCCTTCTCCATCCCGTTCTAAGCACTCCAAGCATCCGCTTCGTTTTTCTTCATTCCATCTCTTTGCTCTACTTCGTGTTCATACCCTGGTGGCCGGTCTACCGTTTTAAAATAATCACTCATTTTTCATCGATCCAGTGGACGTTCATTGAACAATTTCAGCTTTCGCCTTCTCTTAAACCAGTCAAAATGAAGTTCATCAACATCCTCGTTCTCGCTACCGCCGCCAGTGCCCTGGTGATGCCTCGTCACCACGCCGGTCAGAAGGCAAACGGTGGCAAGAGTGAGTTCAGCAGTCTCGGTCCGCTTCCGAACGTCCTCTAACAATGACTTGTAGATGTAGCAGCAGCTGGTGCTAACGCCGGCGCCAATGCCAACGCGGCGAACGCCAACAACGCCGCCGCAGCCGGTGCCGCTACCGGCAAAGCTGCCAAGGCTGCTAAGGCTAATGCCGCCGCCGCGTAAGATGCTCGCACTTTTCACTTCTGATCGTTGCTAACATATCATAGCAATGCTAACGCCAAGAGACACCATGCTGGACAAAAGGCCAACAAGGGCGCTAAGGGAGCAAATGCCGCCGCTGCTAAAGCCAATGCCAACAACGCTAAGCGACATCACGCCGGACAAAAGGCTTCTGGTGCTACTGCGACGAAGGCAACGAAGGCGAAGGGCAACAAAGCTGCTGCTAAGGCTGCTGCCGCGTCCTCTTCCGCTGCCGCCGCCGCTGCTGCCGCCACATCCGCTGCCGCTGCCGCTGCAGCTTGTAAGCATGCCCCGCTCCTGTTCTAATGATAATTAGAAGCTAACTGGTCCTCATAGAAATTTAATAGCCTCTCGGATACCTTAGCTACGAGATGTGGATTCTTGGATTTACTGGGTCCCGCAATGATTTCTCGGGTTGCCGACCTAGTGTTGGGCATATAACTCGGGATGTTCATAGGAAACTATAGATTAGTGCGCATGAGCAGAGTGTACATACAATAAGGAATGAAGATAATGGGCGAGATCGTCTACTGGATATTTTGACCTGTCCCTATATGTTCCGTGACATCGGTGTACGGCCGTTTCGATGTGGGTTACCATGATTTGCATTGACAATACGAAATTCTTAGTACAGAAGCGGTGTTATATATTCGAGGAGTATTGTTAGAATTGGAGCTGAGAACTCGGCATTTTGCTAAGTCTGAAATAAGTATCAAAATACGAGCATTGAAGAGCTAAATATAGAATCTGACTTAGAGTTAATATCCGATAATATGCAACTCTTGATTAGAAGGTACGGATGTATATACCTAGGTACCTACTAGGTAGGTACATACGCTAGCAGGCTAGGTAGGTAATCAGCGAGACATTTCCCTTTGTCAAATGCTTTTTTTTTTTTTTTTTTTTTTTCGGAGCCCTCACCTTTTCGCCAGCCAGATGATATATGGTGACGCTACTAGGCTGCTAGGTACAGCGCCTCTTACCGCTCTGCCACTCTCCAACAATTACGACTACTACTACTTACTAGGTAATACCTGAAGTACCTACCATAGTATGATGACATAAACGCTATTCCCGGCATCTAATTTACATCGACTTAGTGGCAGAATTCCATTGCAACCCGACGGTATTGCGGGGTTTTATTTCTATCTAGCACAATTAAGTAGGTACCTAGTAGGTATCACAAAAAAACAGTTCCCGATATTTTAGGGTCGTTACGTATACCAGATATTGATCTATGTTATGAAAAGGGGCATGTACTAGGTATTTACCTAGGTACTAATAGTGCAAACTTTGAATCTACAAGATTCGCTTAATAATCCACACGTGACGCTCGAGGTGCTTTGACCACCTCAGTAATTAGGTATCTATACCTAAAAGGAACTTACCTCGGCATTGTTCACGTGAGTTTCATACCTACTAATCTTATTCCCAATCATGAAGCCATTCAATCATTCATTCTAGACATTCGTATCATATATCACAAGGTTTTTGAGCCAAGCCTCAAACAATCCCCGTATACTTCGTGTTACCTAGTAATTGAGTATGTGATGAATCAGTTGCAGCTGAAGTTGATCAATTATACCATCAATATCACAAACTTACCATCCCATTTCCCACCTGTCCAATCAGAAAGCGATTCTCGACGTATCAATATATATCAATGCCTTTGGAGGTCATCTATGTAACTCGGCACGGGGTAAGAAGCTGTACCTCTAGTTCACATAACAAGCAACCGTTTCTAATTCTAAGACTATCCCATTTCACCCCCCGTCCCCCCCCAATTTCAAAGAAGCCGCTCGAAATGTATCTATTCGAACGAAAGCTTACTTTTTATTAGTTCCGTTCCCAGTGGACCGTTGACCCATCTACCGGCAACTATTCATCATTCATTCCGTCTCCTACGGGGCTACCTACCGATCCCGCTCTCACGTCCCATGGTGTTGACCAAGCAAATCAGTTAGCCACACACCTGCTAGAACTTAATCCTCCCATAGAACAGGTCTATTCTAGCCCTTATTATCGATGTATGCAAACTATTCAGCCATTCGTACGCAACTTGAGGCTTCTCCAGACCCAATCGTTTGGTAATGTCTCGGGAAGTATTCCTAGCATTCGCGTAGATCTCGGGCTTAGTGAATGGTATGGTTTAGCGCGCTTCGACCATCCGTCATCCGCACCCCTGGATGAGCTGCAAGATTTCTTTCCCGAACTTGACCGAACCTACGTCTCTAGTCCGGCCCCTTCACGTCGCGGAGAGTCTCTGTCGCGGCTACACGGCCGAGTTGCGAAGATGATCGACTTCATTATCAGACATAGTGACCAAGAGGGCCATAGAGCGGTGATATTATCTACTCATGCAGCGGTCGTCATAGCCCTCGGGCGGGTTCTCACAGGACAGATGGAGACGGACTTCGGCGCATTTACTTGCGGACTAAGCAAATTTAGACGACGGGGATCCGAAGCTATTCGAGCGTCTCCAAGTTCTAACACCGAGACGAGAATTGAAGCTACAGTTCTGGCGGCGCGGGACAAAAGGCAAATAGGGGTAGAGATAGGATCGAGGAAAGCTCATAATGATTTGGAAACCGATCCTGCAAGCAACGTCGATCCCTACCCACACGACTCACCACGATTTGACCAGGGATCGCAGGGGGGGAATAGATCCGGACTTTACGGAGCCTGGACCTGCGAGCTGGACTCTGACTGCAGTTTCCTTCGTGGCGGCGAGGAAAGAGGATGGTGAGTGCCTCTTGTTTAGAATTTCCCTCTTTGTGATCTTCTAGCAATTAGCTGAGCAATACTAGGAGATTCTCTGGCGACGAATCATTCATCGAAACAGATGATAATGGTCTATGGCTGCCGACGCCATCTTGCTCTGATACGGCCGTTGACAGCCACGACAGCCACATTGACCCAGTAGTTGGGACCCCGAAGCTCTAGTCTCAAAACTACGCAAACAGTCGCTGGCTTCAATACGCGAGCCCGCAATTTGCGCACGGATGAAATGTTTGGCCAACCTTTTGTCTAGACTAGGTATTAATGTCTTATTCGGCTGCAAGGTCTGCGACACCTTCAAACTTTTCTACATCATCGCCGACCTGCCCGATAATATTTTGTCGCTAAAAGAAATACCGCCTCCAGTTACTAGAGCTCCCCAGATGTTTTTTGTCAAAGAAGGCTGAAGTTCACCCAATAACTTCTTTCCGTTTCAGTGTAACCGTAGTACGACAACGGCTGTCATTGTTATCGGTAATTCTGGCGTTCTGAGACCAGCGCCATCATTTCATGAAGATATGGCTTATCACCTGACATGTTTCAAACCAAGGAGCCTCAAAGACTATTGAAACATCATCCAGTACTTCAGCGAGCCGAGAGCCGAATATAACCATATTCGCGGTGGCAAGGAATGCTAGCTGTTGCAAAAGTACAACCTGGAATACAGCTGGAAATTGAGACAGTCTTAGGATGTGGACAGGCTCTATGAAATTTCAGCGTCCCGCCAATATGATATGTCATAAGTGCACATCTCACCGTAAGCCAGTTTCATCATAGCGGGATATATAGGCAGGTACCTATATACGTATCTCGCGTGTCCAGATCTCGGCTTTCACCCCGACAAGTACTCGTGAAAGGCTCAAAAGTATTGTTGCGCTAAAGCTAACTTCGACGGACCGTCGGTCTGTGTCCTTGGCGAGACGGGATTCGATCTGGGGAGAGAATTTTATGGTCTCCCAAGACTAAGTAGCTACAGAACCCTGGTGATCATTCTGGAGAAGCCTTGTTGTTAGCGTCGATGTGTCTTAGTCGACATCTGTTGGCGGCCCCCCATTCACCCAATAGGTTCGCTCGACTTCTAAAAAACACCTGAAGCTGCAGTGTGTCATATCATAATACCCATTCCGCTCTACTCCTAACCTTCATATACCTAAGCATGCCCCCATGCTTGGCAGCCCATTGGCCAGAATATACGCCATAGACACGGAAGAAAAAAAGGAATCAAAAGAAAAACAAGACTCGACGACATGGATAGGTATTCGACAAGAAGGATTGGCTATGTGGACTTAGAAGCAGGAATCAACTGAACACCATTCAAGCTCAAAAGTCATAGTCACAGCATTTGAACCCGGATCAGCTTGGGAGCATCACGGCGCTCCATGTATTGTTTTACTACTTGACTAGTGAACAGCAAGTTAGGAAGTTGAAAAACAGGGTGTGGTTCAACAGTCGTGAAAATAATTTTGAGAGATATCGGCTTCATGCTTTCCATTGGACTTGGCAGACCAAGTCACACGCTCTGCGGACGATGCGCGGACGCTTCCAACCAACATAAGAATGCAACTTAGGTGTCATTGGAGTCTCGTTATGAGAGGATACAATCCGCAACGTCGTTTTGACGAATTTCTCTACAATTTCACGCCGGCTTCATCTCTTCTCAGGCCTAGAAGTGGTTCACTTCGTACTTAGCGCTATCCCATGTTCTGCACGAGTATTCCAATCTGGAAAGAGCCTTTTTTCCTATGCATAATTTAACCTGCCTGCTCATAAGTGCAGGGCTATGTAACTAAGAATTCTTTATCTGCAAGGCATGAAAACAGAGCCGAGTTGGGTAAAGATTGTCTTAGAGCCGACTATCCACCCTCGCCATGCCGGTCCGAGAGTCGAAAAGTCGAGACCGTACCATACCCCCACGACATCAACAATCCAATCAGATGCCTTACAACTCCATCACCGCGCTTATGATGATCAAAAAGCAGTCTTACCGCGCGCGCCTTGTGGGCTTGAGGCGGTATTAACATCTTATATGAGAATCCTATTTTTTTTTAAAAAAAAAATTCGTAATAGGCTAAGCCTCTTCCAAAGAGGGCACGGCACACACATACATACCTAGTACCTATGTACATTGTTCTCCTGAGTGGTTGGTAGAATGGCTGGTTCCTTTCGTACGCTACCTAATACAGAATCCTCTTCGCAGGCTGACAGCACATCTTGCACAATTACGCCCTCTCTCTGCTCCCTTCGCAATTATTCAGCGCATAACCGGCCCGCCTTTTATTCATCCCCTCTTCGGTTTACCGCCCCTGGACTTTCTCGTGGCCATCATTGGCCTGCCGGTCCCGACAGCTTGGGAAGCCTCCAGGGTCACCAGCGAATGGCGCGGCACAACACATAAGGTGCTGGTCACAGTGCAAAATATGGATTGGATGGACTGAATAGGCTAGAACAGTGAAGCATAATCCCGAAGCGATTAAGTTTTCTCCATCTCAGGTGGGAAGGGGAGTGGATTGCGTCGCTGGAGTTCTATCGTAGACGATCTCTGCTACTAATGCCCAGGGCGCACTTGGCTCTGCACCTCGGTTTATCATCCTAGCGGGCTCTGATTCCGGGTTCTGTCGTTCTATGCATGACCGGGCACCATCGAATTAGTCACGTAGCGCCTTGAAACAAATGTGTCAGGGTACCGGGTTTGTGTCGAGGGTAGCCTTAGCAAGACTCGAGCCCCCCTTGCGCCGTGATCTATCCACGAATTGTGGTTGGATTGGCTCCTCTGCTTGAATATACCGCCACTAGATCAAGCGTTGTCATTCTACCTGTCATTCGTTCTCCATTCCTTCCATACCACCTCGGCTACCCATCTCTGTCGAGTTTGGATTCCCCAGCACAGAACGATCTAATTCTCCGCAGTCGTTCATGTCTCTCATATAGCCACCAATCTCCTGACTAGAGAGAGGCTAAGATAAAGATCCCTCTGATGATATACGATATACTATATTTTTAGAGACAAATAGGCGTACCTATCAATTCGAGCCGTGTTATATATCGGAAGCTAAGAGACAATCAGCAATAGTTTCCTCTAGCGGCACCCGGGGTGTTTGTTTGTTCCCAAGTTGCTTTCTGAGGCCGATCTACTCTTCAGTAGATGTGGCCCTATGTGTCGGGAGGTTGTTGGTCTTATATTAAACACAAGGGTGTGCTTGGCTGACCCCGGCCTCCACTTGCTCGCGCTTCTACATCGATTCAGGAGTCATAAATAGTCTCGCTCCCTTCACGCTCCGCTCCATAACTAGCGTTCTTTATTATCTAGGCATCTATTCAGTTGTTTGCCCTTGCTTTCAGTAAGGCTACCCTCAGTCTGACTTCTATGGACGACATGCGAACTCAATACAATAAAATCACTACTAATATGGAATCGATGACTATTCAACGAAAGCCAACCTTAGACTCCTTGTTTCCGCTCCGTACGTTGCAACCTCAGTCGTCTCAACTGAACTTTGGTCGGCTCCCAAGTCCCCTGGGATACAAAGGAGCGGACGGCGCAATCCGTCGCAATCCTATCCCGGAACCGCCTTATTCTCCCATAAGTAATAGTTCTCGCGCCTCATTCTCCCAAGCCTCGTGTACAGATTCCTGGGAGGGAATATCGACCGCACCTTCGTCTCCACAGACGCCACGTTCTAAATACGAAATCGACGAGACTCTTGTCAAACTTGAATCGATACCGCCACGCCGAGGGGCCCTCAAGCATAGTCGTGATAGCTTGGATGGAGGTACCAAAGAAACCAAACTTACCTCGATCGAGCTACCAAGTCTTACTCATCTACTCCCCCTAACTGGACATGAGAATAGTAATGCCTTTTCTCACCCAACCGCCAGACCTCTGAACCGAACTTGTCCTAGCCCGGCGTCTAAGACTGAATATACGCACTCGAAGAGACCATGGCAGTCACCACCCGAGGATCCCATCATCCAGTGCCTCAATCTTTGGAGAAAGGAATCCGGTGATGATAAGTGTCTCCTTTCACAGCCGCGGAACCGAGATGGATTCTCACTTCTTAACATCGATCTGGATTTTCGGGACTCGGCACCTGCTCCGTATCGTGAGAAGCAGCAATACACGCCACCACGCCACGACTACTGTCAACAGCCTCGCGAAGAATCCCCGTCTGGGTCAAAAAAGAGAGAACTTCCGGATGACGAGACCGATGAAAAAGCCCCGCACAACAATCTTAAGTATTCAGTGGAGGAAACGGACTACATCCGGTTTAATAGGTACGAGATGAAGCTCTCGTGGGAAGAAGGGAAGCTCCTCTTCCGAGATAAATTCCCGATGGCCAATGCCAGGATGAACCGCCGCAAACAAGGCATCCAGGGCGTCCATTATCGGGATAACCTGCACCTTCCCCACCTCGTCGATAGGGGGAGGACGCTGGTGTTTTTGCCTAACGGACACGTCAAGTCTACGGTGGTAAAGGTTCGTGATCAAGGCGAAGACAAGCCGTACTTCAGCCTTACCTACCTATATCCTGAACGAGCACTGCTTTACGACTGGGTGCCGCCTAAGGTTAAGCAAGCCGCCGCCTATATCGGTAAGTACTAGATTACCTAGCTATTTCCTTGAACCAAGACGAAGTGTTACTAACTATTACAACTAGTTAAAGAACGTATCGCCCAGAAGGAAGCAAAGAAACGTGAGGCTATTCAAACAGGCGAATGGCAGGAGAAAGATGACACTGGCACGTGCGCTTGCTGCCCGAAGCCGGACCGCCATAGGGATGACGACAACCAATTCACCCCCAAGCCTTTAGCGGGACGTCGCCCTTCGCGGCCAGCACCTAGACGTAACCCCAGAAGACTATTTGACTCGCAGAATATTACGCAACCTGAGATAGGCGTAGCCTTACATGCCCCCGAACAGCTTCACAACCATCCCGGCGCCAAGCGACGAAAAGTTAAATCGGAAAACATCTAAGATCACATCCACAAACACACGAAGCGAATGTGTGGCTCCAAGTAAACCGAAATATGACCCTTTTTATCCTACGCACCTGAAAAGGTACCTAGGTAGTCATATTTGGACTTCCTCGCCTTCTTTTAATACTATTCACGATATCCTAGACGGTACATACCTATCTATCGTTCCACACAGCATATTTCTCTTCGCTTTCTACCAATTTCTGTGTACCTACTTAATTATATATCGAAAAAAATACTCGACACTGGCGAGATATTAGCTTGAGCTCGCCTTACCATAGATTTGTCACCTACGAATTTTTATCCATTCATCTACGTATCGATTTCATTCCTTTACATATTACTCAACGGGCGATAACCGGGCCGTGGGCAGCAAGGATAAGGGGACAAGAGAATAAGGGACGGTGGCATGATGAAGGCTTATTGGCGTATAGGGGGAGGCTTGTTAGGGGAAACATGGTAAAATGTTAGGGGGGGAAGGGAGGGAAAGGAGGGAAAGGGGAAAAGGGAGGTATTACTGATACGAAACTTGGCACTTTGGGATTAAACAGAACCAAACTGATTGTGTGTCTGACGTGGGATATGGATTAATGAACGACGGAAACGGATCATAGACAGGGTCAATGTACTACTACTATTTTACCTCCTTTCTTTGGTTTTCAAACGTGTCTGATGTCTTTTCTTCTTTCGCTCTTACCAATGTCTCTCCGAAGTCCCCGACATCTACTTGTTTAATATGGGGTTCCTTAGGTATATTTCATATTTCGGAGAACTTACCTATTAAGTTAGTCAGTCGGTCAGCAAGCAGTTGTTTGTAGCTAGGTAGCGGACATGCAAACATAGGTACCTGAACACGGACAGCATCAAGGCAAGGAGGTTTTTTTGCTAGAGGGGAACGGTTGGGGGAAAAGCATATCGGGTCGGTTCTTTGATATATCATTTGTTATTGCTGGTGCTTCAGGGCTGTGTAGACACTGTCATGTATCTATCGTCTCCGTTATCATCGTCTACCGGTTGATGAACCATGGGATGTTATTCACTTGCCCCGGGGTTTAAACAGCCCTCTTAAAACGCATGCTATATTAACGCGTTGTCAATATAATACATATCATACGGCGAAGACGAGCCTCGGGTCAAATCTAGAACATCGGGTGATGCAATGAGTGTGTGATTTCATCACAGACTGGCCGGAATCACCAGCTGTGCTACCCTCTTTACACGAAGCGTTTGGGTCTAAGTTTGCCTGACAGTGCTACCGCGCCAATTAGAGTCGTTGCTATTTCACATCTTCTCGGCGGTTGAATACTGTTCGTGAAATTGTAGCGCAATGCATATTCGGACCACTCGGAAGTCACATGTAGGACATATAAATCGGGGGATACAGAGAAGTAGGGCGGTATGTTTGCTTGAACCCTGTTCATTCAAGTCTCGGCATAGTCAGATAGACAAACCGCCTTTCTTCTCCCTCGCGGGGTTCATATGCCCGTGACGCCCATCCTCGGCGTTTAATTCTTCGCCGATGCTTAGTTCCAGAGTGTCGGGTCTTGTTGTAAACCAACATACGTCCCACTAAAATCACCTATTCGTAGATGCTAGCGCAAATTTCGCGATGCCCACGTCCCACAGGATTGCCGCGCGGTATTATCGCGCGCTACTTTGTGCTCAGGGATCAGTATGGCACCCTTACAAATTCCTCGTCGCGAATTCACGATTAGGCCTGCCGATGTATGTGGCGAATCTTCCCTCTTCACCCTTCTCACTGAAAGTTGCATCATCGTCGTCATACTCATCCGCTAGATCATATTCCTCGAGATCTGAAGCATTGCCAGTTCGGAAAGAGTAGGGATTCTTGTTGAATTCATCATCCGAAGCAACCTCCTCATCAGGATAGTCTGCGGTGTAGTAATTCTCGGCTGTAGGTATGTTAGAAAGATCGTGATATTGTGCTATCTTGGGAAAAGTGGTACGCACCATTCTCGTCCTCCTCGTCCTCGGCCCATTCCTCTTCGCTATCACCGTCATCGCCATAAAAGTAGTCTAGTTCGGGATCTGCTTCAATTACTAGAATGCCAATCTTATGTGCCGGCACGTGCTCTCCTATCTTGCTAGCAGGAACACGCTCATAGGTCTCGATAATGTAGTCGCTGTCGCCGCTGTCACTAACATCGACATCAGAATCCACCATCTTTCTGTCAGCCGAGACTGCATCTTGTGCTTCTTCGGGATGTCTTTCAGCATATCGCATGACTGGCTTCGGCTTGAACTTGAGTTGAGTCTTGGCAGAAGATCGAAGTTTGTTCTCCTCCTCAGCTTTCTGAAGATTCAGTCCGATTTGCTCCATTGTGAAGGCGTTCATCTCGGTAGTCATCATATCCATATCTACATTCCATCGTTCCGTTAAGGACTTAGGGAGATCGGCCTTGTACCTGTCGCTAGGCTTCTTCCCCTCGTCTCTCTTATCCTCCTTCTTGAGATATTTCGATATTCCAGGCTTCTTGCGCTTTCGCGGCTCAGTATTTCCCATGTCTATTTCCACCGTGGCCGTAGGCGTAATTGCCTGATCGACTTCGTTGACGAATGACTGGAACTTTTCGACGGGCTTAGACGAGATTCGCTTAATCTTACGCTCTACGAATAATGTCGGCGCAGAGCGCTTTTTAGAGATACCTCCGTCTGATCTACCGGACAGAGATGATGATGCTCTAATCATATCTCTTTTCGACATGTGAAATCTTCGTGGTTCAGATACAAGATCAGCAGAGCCGGTAGACCTAACGGAGGCAGCATCGGCTGCTGATTCAGTATTGATGTCATCGTCGATAGTCTTGTCACTAGCTATGGTTCCTGGTACACTAGGAACTTGAAGAGTTAGGGACTCGGAAGGACTCGAAGTTGTTGATTGCTTGTTGCGAGATCGTGATGATCGTGATGATCGTGAATAATTATGAATGTGGGGATTGGGAGGAATGTCGAGGAAGGCGGCTTGTTCTTCTTTTCGCTGATACACGAAGGCTTCACTTCGATGTCTCTTATTTTCTTGGACACCTAGAAATGGAGAAGGTTAATTCACTGATTTTATGACGTAAATCGTAACAGTATGCGACAACTTACGAAGGAAAGAGACCGGTGCCTCCTCTGTGGCTTTTCGCTTTACGCGAATTAATTGCGGCGGCACAGACATGGCGACCTAGGCGACGTATTATCGCATGTGTTGAGGAGACAAAGTAGTTTGACTCGTTGACGAGGTGTGAAGTAAATGGATTTTGGAAAGGTTTAAAGTGGGGCAGATGAATGCGACTGTCCTTTGCTCGTGTTACCTATGTCATCTGTGTAACCTGTGACCTGTGTACCTAGTAAGTCAAAGAGGGGGGTATTCGTATGGGGGAGGTATTCGGCAGCCCCGCTTTTGTGGTGAGACCCTGATCATATATGGTATAGCGCGGTACATTGAGAACTAAAAAATAAATTCTCGGCTTTTCATTGGTTTATGAAACCTTCATTACTATTTTAGGTATAGTTTCTTAACAATGACCAATGAGGTCTTACCACCAGGTCCAGCTAGGCTTAGTGTTATTTCTTTTTCTTGTTTAGCGCGCATGACTTATTTCGGTAACCGCTAGCCTTCCTAGGTTTAGCGCATTTTCACTCGGACCTGGCCAATTGGCTTGCGAGTATATTAACCCGGATAAAGGTTTTTTGCAGTCCCGATCATATCACGTGATACTTGGGGAAAGGCGAACCAATCAACGAGCTCGATTGAGCGGGGACTAGCGTGGGTTTTAGGGTTAAAATAAAAGGTGGCCGAATGATTTTATGGCGATCTATTGGCTAAACGCCTGCGCCAAGTCAAAATGGTTAGGGGTTAGGGCCAATTGCGATAAAGGTCTAAAAATCCAAATTTCCTGATTAGTATAGCGTAATCAAAGCTAATTGGCTGTTATCTTTTTTGAGCTTTATAAGGCATAGCGTATAAGATTGAGGCTTTTGATTGGTTGAAGGTTTTTGAAAGAAAAAAAGAAAAAGGGACATCGAATAAAGTGGTCCGTTTGGCTGTATCCACTTCTCATTGGTTGAGGTCTCACCACAAAAGCGGGGCTGCCGAATACCCCCCCCATACGAATACCCCCCTCTTTGACTTAGCCTGTAACCTGTGTCAGCTGTAGCCTGTGTCACCAACTATGTCGGCTTGCAAGTGAGAGACCCGTTAAAAAAATCTTACCGCCCGGCAGAATTGCGGGGAGCTAATAGTAGCTAAGGTGTCCATTTTTTGACACGTGCTATCGCGTTATCGATAACTCGCATAGCACTTATCTAAGTAATACTATGCAGAGTGTGACAACGGTCGCAGCTCGCCGGTTCTTACCGTAGATGCACGTTTATCTTCAAGGTTTAACGTTGCTTCCATTATCACCTTAGAAATTCGTAGTTCGCAATTGCCGATCTACCTGAGGACAAGGACGAGGACCTTTTGTTCCGCTCTGTTCCGTTCAGCCGTTTCATCATTCTTTTCTCTCTTTTCTTTTCTTTTCACTTTCATCACCCCAACAGTGACACGAATCGCCCAACCTGCTCTGCTTTACCTCCACCGCAATAGTCAACATAGTCTACACACCAACATGTGCTGACCGAGTCAACGAAAGTCCCTTTTCTCCACCGCTCTCCACTTCTCCATCTTACATCGTGAATCATACGCTACTATCCTGCCATCTCACCTTTCGACCATCCACGATGAGCCTAGTGTTGCACGATTCGCATCCCATCGTTTTTATGGAAACTTTATATCAACCGAATTTACATCATGCAATATTTCATAATAACCTAAGAATTTCCATAATCTCCTGGGTTGTGCAGCTTGTACGTCCTGTGGCTCTGTGGCTCCAGGTCTGTTTCCAGATAAGAACAGAACTTGTCTCTTACGTACAAGTACGCATGCTACGCGCATACATAGGTATACATGTATGTACGTACACGTACAAACCGCGTACCGCAGTATTAAGATGCCTCGAAATGGTCCAATAACAGGCATAGGGATGCCAGCGGGAGTGATAAGTCACCTTGAAGTTCTACATCTTCTGCATCTTGCATAGCAGGTATGGCTCCGGAGAGCAGACCCTGAGAGCCTTGGCTCTAACAAAGGTTGGTTTGTCCAGCAGATGGAACGGCCCAGACAGGCGTAAGGCATGCGTCAGGACGACGCAGCTGGCTAAAGCTGGCCTTAATCAGGACCACCACCACATCATAGGTCGGTAGGAGGTAGGTATCTTTATGTATCTTTCTGCTTGTCTCGTATGATGGATGCCACCATGGCCACCACGGCCACCACGGCTCAAAAATTATCCATATATACAATCTCGAGGATGTCCTTATTTCCGACTGTTATTGTTTCCTTCAATGCTTTCTTCCTTATCCTACCTCAGTACCAGGTAGTCAACTTCGTTGTTTCATCTTCCTTCAACGAGGTCATTTCCTCTGCCTCGTTAACTATTACCAATCCGAAATCTTCAAACAGCTCATCAGCTATCATACATTGTAAGTCGCCGGCCGAACATATGTCAGATTCCTAGTTGTTCATTTGCATAAAATCTCGACCACCAAGCAATCAGCACACCCAATTGCAGGCTGCGTATATCAGAAGTCTCAGATAATACTATATCAGACACTTTATATCTATTCGTCCAATTTCCAAACCCGCGCTCCGCGATGGAATACTGACGAGCAAGCGTACGATTAGGTCTAAATACCCTGCAGGCAACGTTGGGTTGCTCTATCCGATTGCTTGACTTCCGTGGATTACTCCCGAAAGTCTTTAAGCTCCCTCCTACCTAACTACTTGCAGACCTGAATCCGTGCAGTAGCATCCGAAAGAAACGGTGGCCCAGTACAGTTAATGGCCTCGAAATAATAATCAGCCCGTAACACCCTCCTAATTTCATGGAGGCCGTCGTCGATCCTAGACTTGTCAAGCCGACTATCTCGCATCCCATCGACCCTCGACAAACCTCTATCAAGCATGAGCTTGTAATAATACAGAAACAAGCTCCTCTATCGCCCGACATGCCTCGCCGAAAAGTCCCCATTACCTTGACGTACCAAAAGAATGGAACTGGCCCTCCCGTTTATGTAGCGGGATCCTTTTCAAACCCGCCATGGCAGCCGCAAGAGATGGACGTTTCTATCGACCAACACGGAATCCATATATTTACGAAAAATATTATGGTTGACGATGGCTCCGAAATCCAATACAAATTCCGAATAGGCTCAGGAGATTGGTGGGTCTTGGATGACAACTCGGACACAGGTAAATTCTTGTCCCCGTAATATTTTGCTCAATTTGCAGCTTCCTATGCTAAGACTAGACCATAAGCCGTCGACGAGAATGGGAACACAAACAATATCCTTAGAGTTTCCATCAACTCTATCCAAGAGGCAGAGGCCGATACCAAGGCGCTAAATCGTGTCAACTTGTTGAAGGGGTTGCCTACCAACAGTGGTAGGCAAACCCCTAACATCGCGAAGACCGCCGCGGAGGTGGCTGACACGGCACGTATCGTAGATCCTGGGACACCCGAGCCGGAGCTATCAGATGCTGAAGCAGGCAGAATTGGCATCCGGCGACTATCACACACCCCGATTAACGAAGTTGCTCAGACGGCTATGGAAGTTTCCAAGACCGCCGCAACGTTGGATGCGGATGATAGCTGGCACTCGGACGACGAGACCGACGCCGAAGACGGTGAGTGCCCTGTGTTTTCGCACGAATTCATGGGACAGGCATCCGACGCCAAGAACCGACGGGAAAGCAAGACTGCGTCGGACTTCGACGATTCAGCTATCGATGTAGAGAACGTGGATTTCGACGATCCTCAATTGGAGACGTTCCCATCCAACAATCGCGAGTCCATTTTGGCTGCGGTGCGACGTATCTCAACTAGCGTAGACGCTGATCGCACTGTTGTTGAGGGGATTCCACCTTCACCTGTCGTTCCGCTATCCCAGCAGCCAAGTTCTGCAGAAAATCCACCAAAAGACCAACAAAATCTGCTGCCCGACGATGCCACAAAGCAAGCTGGTTTGGTTCAGTCTAGTACTAGAAATTCTCTGGGCTCCATAGCGGAAGACGACGAGTCCCACAACGACAACGCAGACGAGGAGCCGGAGGAAGAAATGTCCCCATTCGTTCAGCATCCTGGACCCTCGTGGGGCGCTGGGTCGGAATGTGCAGCTAGCGTAGATTCCAACGACGAGGGCATCGCTATGAGCGTCGAATCTAAGCGAAGGGCCAAAAAGTCCGAAGACTGCTCTCCCCTGGATTCCGCCCCAGTAACCCCACCCAGTACCAAGGTCTTAGAGGTCGCGGAATCGAACTCCAACGAATATGCACCCGCACCCGCGTCCGAAGACGACTCGAATGCTCCGACCGGCGCTGATGATCCACATGCTGCTGAAGAAGCTTCTAAGAACGGTCCCACTAATGTAGTACGTGGTACACCCACTGACACTCATGTGAGCGACAGCTCTAATACAACGAGCATAAGCGAGGGGGAAGCCAAATCGACGTCTATCGACCCTAATAATGAAACTGGTCTGCGAAAGCGAACGGCTAACGAGCCAATCGTGTCTTCGGCACCTGCCCAGGATACGGATCGGACCCCAAACTGGCTTGACATCTGTTTACGATTCGCACTTGTGAGATGGATCGGAGGTTTCGCCGGGTGGCTATACCGTCGTAGAAACAGGGCGTACGTGTTTCTTCTGTTACTCCAACTTTGCGGTGGTTCTATTTATGTTTATACTTCTAACACATGTTTAGGCTCATGGCTGCCGGCACGGCTGTTATCGTCGTTGGCGTCGGCTTGTTATGGCAAAACCCCATCAGCTTGTAAGGGACATATGGACATAAAAAACGTGGCGAGGCTGGCGGAGATCGTTCGAGATAGGCTGCTTAATATTGGATCTCCCTTCCTAACACCTATAGTCTTATCAACGGCCTCCGAAGGTATATCGGATTAGAGCTTGGGTCGGCCCGTTGTGTATATTTTTACCTAGGTATCTAATATGAAAATGGTGTGAAGCGGTGTGCTGAGTGTCGTAAATGATGATCTGGTGGTTGCATAACACATGTTTGCTATGTCGGTCCGAGGTTATTCTCACATACTCAATCCATAATTATCTATCCATTGTTTAAGTGCTTGCACAAATAGAAAAGCTGAAGTTGGCCAAGTCTTGCGGATGGCATTGCCCTCTTGCTTAAGTACCTAGTAGTTATTTACCTATGCTACCGTAAGACAATAGGGTCACTCTTAGCATATACCTCACCGACTTATCTATCTATGAACATCAATCACCTACCACATCTAGCAATGCGTCCGTAGCTTCGCGCAAGGGGTTTATATTCTGACGCCTATCGACCTGTCCCAGTCAAGTGGAAGTATTACATTACGGACATACTTCTAGAAAGAATGAATGTAACACTAACGGCATGCGGTGCAACGTCGACGTAGCCAGACCCAACGGGGCGGAACTGAAAATTCCCAACGCTACGATAACCTAAGTCTTTGGGCCTGTATGAGATGTTAGTATCATTGGCGGTGCCATAGACTTGTAGCGTAATAGCACTGCTCCTTACCTACCTAGTACCTACCTAGGTACGTATAAACGTGGGCTAGGGAGTAATGGAGGGAGGGGTGCGAATATGAGGCGGCTTATCTCATCGAGTTGGTTTCAGAGCAATGGGCTATGCTTGTGAGGGATAATGAGATGAGCTACAGCATATTGACTACCTGGAATCATCCTTACCAGGTAGGTAGCCAATTATTCATGTAAACGCATATGTACCTAGGTACCAAATTGGTGCTAATATATACGAAATATTATATCCATGTGGCTTCATTCATATAGATGAGTACCTCCTCATTAGATACCTAGTCTATCAAGTGAAAACACTCTCTATAGATCAAACAGTAGGATGTCACCACAGCCTGTCTCTCATAGATAGGTACCTAGTAGGCACCTACCGAATATTCGTTGTGTTAATTGAGTAATGCATAGTAACGAATTATATTTGTATATCAGCGCCCACACAATCCGCTGTCCAACACACACCCCATTCTAACGAGATATGGATCTGGCCTTAAAAAATCTGTCTAGTCTACTATAGACTTCTAAGCATCTAGCTAGGTAGTTATACATGCGCCACTTCTGTATGATAGTAACCAACCTCACCCTTTACCAAGCCTTCGGTCCAAAGGTCTCGCCTGGCGGGACCACGACTTGGATGGCCTTGCCTTGGTAATCTAGTGTAGACGTAACGACATCGTTGCCCCACCACCTTGGGGCTTCGATCTCGTTTAGAGTAAAGACGAAAAATATAATTAGCGTTGCCAGCGCAAGGCCCAGGTCGAGGCCGGCAGAAGTAAGGTAATTCAGGCGGCTCCACCATCTGAAATGGCGTTTCTTGACCAAGTATTGAAATACATAGCCCACCAGACCCCAGGATAGGTAGTTCAATGGTGTAGCCGGCGGGATGTAAGCGGGGCCTCCGAAAATCAGCGGCGCCATAAGGTGTTTGGCAGGTGAGTGGGGCCACCGCTTCGCCGCGTACCAGATGGCAATAGGAGCGGCAGCGCCGATGACGAAGAAGATTAAAAGTCCGGAGTAGATTTCTCCCGGGGAGAAGACACGGGAAGGCCCTATGAGACCCCATATGACGGACGCTAAAATTAATTGTCAGTTGTCAAAGTCAACACATTGGCCTTGAATGTTGAGAGCATACCTGAGAAGAAAACTCGACCTCCAGGGCATGTGAAGCGCTGAGGCTGTGTCAAGTCGCAAACCCCATCGATATGATTAAGCGCAAAGTTGAGAACCGCGACTTGAATAAAACACGAAAATGTCGTAGCCACAACTTGGGCCATGAACATGGTTCGCGGAGGTATTTTCATATAATGTCCGAATTTGAGATCAGAGACGAAACTCAGAGCTTGCGACATCGTGATGTATCCGTACGTCTTGAACCTTTTCGTTCTGTTAATAGGTAATGTTACATATGAAGATGATGAAATATTGTGATAACTTACAACATAAGGGCAAGTGGCCGACCGGGCTGAATATAACCATAAACGAACTCAGTCAAGACATTTAGACCAATCTGATGGTTCGTGACAGCCTGGATGATGCCGATTGGCAAGGAGAACGCGAAAGAGATAGCCACGGCAAGCAAAAAAGCCCACCAAGTCAGATTGGTTGGGTACGCTAGAACTGAAAAAAAGCCGAGCGCCAGTACCTGATTGATCATTAGCGATTGAGCCTCCAAGATATTCCATTGATGGTATAACGAACAATTGCGAACAGAGTAAAATACCACGACGATGGCGCCTCCTTATATTTTTGCATTAGTTTCATATGTACTGCGATCCAAGTTAGTAACTACCATTGTAATAGTGGCGTAAGCCATAATAATATGGAAATTCATGAAAATTGGCACATACTGTCAGGTTTTTCGTTCGTGCTATTTCTATATTGAGCCCAAATAGTCTTGCGATGATGAAGATATGTGTAAACTATTAAGGCGGTGATGGCTGCAAATGATAGGCCATATGATAACGCGAATGTAGTGCTGCATCATGTGTAAGTTTGGCTAACGATTAAATAATAAAGGTATCGAACCTGATGAAAACAGGAGAGTACGCCTTGTATGCTTCCTCGTCCAAGGTGAACTCAGGAGTCAATATCCTCTTTACGTCATATATCGCACCAGTATTGTCGTACGTAGAAGAGTCGCTCATAGGTAAGAATTGAGAGTACCATACGCCTGTATAATGGAACAATGTAGTGAGTACGATATAGAATAGCACGACGCCAATAGTTGTGTTGGCGATAGCGTTCCTAAGGGTTCGTTAGTCAACGAATGGTGTCGTTTAATTCAAAGCCAAATTGTAGGTAATTAATTGAAAAAAAAACGTACCATGGAGGGATCAGAGGCGACCCGATGTATCCTGCAATTTGTGTCCAGTCGAAGGTAATAGGTAGTAATGAAATACCAGTATTACCGCCAAATAACTGATTCACTACTACGTTTTGGGGTGCCATCCATGTTGCAAAAGCAAATACACTTAGACATTGAACGAAGTAACCGGGGATGAAATAATACAGAGCAGAAACAAGTGTTACAATGCCGAACCATCTATATCTCGGCATACGCCCACCGATAATCGAGGGGTCTGGAGCTTGATGTTTTTCATACATCGCGCTCATCAGGGCGACAGCAACTAGGTTACCAGGCCAGATCATGGAGGCTGGGTAAACTAGAAAGGGCCATGTTTATTAGCAATTCATAGTGCATACCTAAGTACCTACAGTAGGTACCTAGGTAAAGGCCAACAAGACAGCTCACCTAGAAATTTCCTCATCATGCCTGCGATCCCGTATCCCAAAGACTGCGTTGAGACTACTAATACAAGTTGAAATATAATGCCAAAATTCTGTTTATAAAATACAAGTTGGGCGAGGATGATATCCGTAGCGTAGGCGACGGAAAAAGAAACGCCTGCCATGACGACGATGATCGAGTGTTCTTTGATGTTAAAGGGCCCAGGGTTCAGATCACATCTTAGCCCGAAGATCTTGATTTGCCGGTTTGGTATTACTTTCTCCCAACCACGGCCAAGAGGCCAGGCGATGATCTGAGCGATGAGAGTCCCTAGACCGATTGAGGGCTGTCTTAAGGAGAATAGAGTATTCGTTGAAGCGCCGATGAGCACCAAAGTTAAGCCGATCGTCCAGGCTCGAAGAGTGTTACAAGGAAGATCCTCATCGTAGTTAGGGACCGTGGCTCTGACTTCTTCATATGGCGAGTTCTCTTCGCCTGCCTTAGATGAGGTTTCATCGTCGAAAGATTCCAAGCTCTGAGAATCCATTCTGCGAAGTTCTATAGCCTCCTCCCCATCGAGATGCCCGTCGGGATGGTTAGGATCTAGTAGGTGTTCAAACTCTTCACCTTCTTCATAATCTTCGTCGTTTCGAGCGCTAGGATCAGACCATTCCGAAAGGCGCGGCTTCGAACCATTGGCATTGCCGTTGGTCGGGCTATCATGATGATGCGCATCATTCCCCTTTGTGCGGTGCCTCATTTCAGCCGCACTTTCGTCGAGGTCTGAACCATCGTAAGAAATACGATTATCTCTTTTTATCCTTCCCTTTCCAGCCGTCCCAGACGGCTTTGAAGACCTGTTATCCATCTTACGAAACTGCGATAATTTGACGAACCAATCAATTTAACTTTGACCTGAGCCTTAAGTACCATTGGGCGGACTATTAGGCGAATGATATTCTCCAATGATATGCCAATTGGTAAAGGCCTCCGATATGGCTTACACGGAGTGTCCGTGAATGTTGAAGCAAGTGGTAAGCCATAAACTTTTTCTGTTCATACAAATATTGCCCGTTTCCTAGTATAAATTCGCAGTATCGACACCATTTACAGTATTGGGGGAGGTTATAGAATATCTATTCGAGGTAGTTCTGACATAAGATGATGTAGTCGTGTGTCGTCCCCTTCAGCCACCACCCGAAATCAAATGTTTGAAACGTGTTCAAACGCGCATTCGTTTATTATGCTGTAGGCTCTCCCCAACGACTGAAGTATGAGGATTCTAGTTAATTTAGGTAATAAGGATTTGTTATTTGGACGATTGTTGAATTGATTTTAAGATTGTCAATATTGCAATTGCAATTGTTGTCTCGTGTATGAGCAAAGATGAGATGTAGCTCCTGTGAATTGTATCATCAATGCGGATGGTATTGTACTAACTAAAATTAGACCATAACCGCGTGGCATAAACCTGGCGCTCGGGACCGCTATTGCCCCCTACTCATATAGCCCTGTAGCTTGTATTGGGCAGATACATAATAGTACATATTAATCCAATGCCGCTTCCCGCTTCCCGTCTTCCGATCCAATAGAAAAAAACTCGGTTAACTTAATAATCGCGTAATTCATCCGCGGTTCACTTTTATGAATTTTTATGATTTCTCAACAGTGATCATTTCTAAAAGTCAGCGAATTTCTATGAGAATCAACTTCCTAATGGTTTGATTTTCTCAGATACGCTCTGCAAACCCGGATTTCCAGGTTAACCCAGGTTATGGCAAAGAATGCGCCGGGTTGTCATCACAGGCCTCGGCGCCATCACACCTCTCGGAGTAGGTGCTCGACATTCGTGGAGTAGGTTGATCGCTGGACACTCCGGCATCGTGAGTATTGCGGGATTTAAGCCAGAGAAGAAATGGCGCGAACTTACTAGCACGGTGGCTGGCATTGTGCCAAAGTCGGGTACCGGTGAAGGCCAGTGGCGACCAGACGACTGGCTGTCTGCCACAGATCAACGCCGCATGTCCGCGTTCACACAGTATGCAGTAGCCGCAACAGAAATGGCCCTCGCTGATGCTGCGTGGAAACCGAAAAAGCAAGAGGCTTTAGAATCGACCGGGGTCTGTCTAGGAAGTGGCATTGGGAATTTAGATGATATATACGCCACAAGCCTCGCATACGAACAAGATGTGAGACCTAGTGAATGACATTTGACTAGTATTTCATGTTTACTAATCATGTACTGATATAGGGCTACAAGAAAGTTTCTCCGTTGTTTGTTCCAAAAATCCTCATTAATATGGCGGCTGGTCATATTGCCATGAGATACGGCTTTCAGGGCCCTAACCACACTGCAACGACGGCTTGCACTACGGGGGCGCATTCAATAGGGGACGCCTCGCGCTTCATAGCATTTGGAGATGCCGATGTTATGGTTGCAGGAGGGGCAGAATCGTGTATCCATCCACTCACATTTGCTGGATTTGGAAGATCACGTTCTTTATCCACCGCCTTTAACGATGATCCATCTTCGAGTTGCCGGCCGTTCGATCGCCAGCGCAATGGGTTTGTCGTTTCCGAGGGCGCGGCTGTCGTCATTCTAGAGGAACTGGAACATGCTAAAGCGAGGGGTGCTCGGATATATGCCGAATTAAAGGGGTATGGGAGTAGTGGCGATGCTTACCATATGACAGCTCCACGCGAAGATGGGTCGGGGGCATATCTCTCCATGAAGAAGGCTCTAAAGCACGCCGGAATCAAACCTCGCCAAGTGGATTATATCAATGCGCATGCGACTAGCACTCTTGTTGGCGACATTGCCGAAGCCCATGCGATTCGCTCATTGATGATCGGTGAAGAAGGATATTCTAACGAAAGTCATGTTGCTGTCAGCGGTACCAAAGGATCCGTAGGACATCTTCTTGGTGCTGCTGGTGCAATTGAGGCTATCTTTTCAATTTTAGCTATCACCGAAGTGAGTTTTAATCCCTATGATATAATTTTGCGGCGATTATTCGTAATTGACATCTTCACTCTCTATAGAACATACTTCCCCCAACACTAAATCTGATAGAACCTGATGTTGAGCCCAAGTTTAATCTGGTCCCTCTTAAGGCTCAAGAAAAGAAAGTTGATGTCGCTCTATCTAACAGTTTCGGTTTTGGGGGTACCAACGCAACATTAGTCTTTTCTAGATTCAAATAATTTTGAATGTTCTTATTAAAAAATCGGGAAAATTATATATGTCCCTGCCCCTCTAGAGCTATAGGAATAATATCATATTTACTACCAAGTTGTCTTTACGAAGTACATATGTAGATCTTCAGCTTTAGATGACCAAATTCAAGGAAGGAAGTATCTTGTACCTACCTAGTAATACTAGGTAGTTATACCAGCTATACATATGTACTTTGTACCCATACTGCCTTATCGTAATCCCTGTTGAAGATCCTAGGATTGGACAGGGGTCCAAGCTTCTAGCTTTTTTTTGGCAATTTTTCATCTTTTCTCTGATGCGCATATGTCAATGACGTGAACATCGACGCTTGGCCTCAAAGACACTCGACTAGGTATACTCCATATCTCAAATGTTAATGACTACGCATATACCTACAATATAGACATCACGTTATAAAATGGCGTGCCGAAGCTGCAGAAGGCAGCTCGCTCTGCTTATGCGACAAACAACTACGGCCACAGAATTCCAAAATGTCGCTATATTACGCCAGTTCGTCGCTACTAGACCTCCTCGGTTGGACCAACGAAGGAATTTCGGGAGCACTCCCCGCCAATTAGGCGTTCGCGATATCATCGCTCAAGTATTCAAGAATTCGGCTGAGCCTTACCGGGTGGTTCAAGCTACTGAGCATATATACAAAGCATGCGCTCGCGAGGCGTCGTACACAATATCTGCGAAAGATAGAACGGCCGGGACGATACCTAAGACGGCGGAGGGCGAGGATTTGGGCGAAGGGACGACGATGTGGCACAACGGTAACTTACATCCCCCGATTCTAATACACGTATCATTGCTAATATTTGCTGTCTCGTTTTCCAGAATTCAAGCTCCCCCCAACCTTCAGCACATGGTCGCAAGTCACGATGCTGCACATGTATTTAATCTTCGCTCGACTCCGCGACTTAGACCGAGAGGTGGCCCGATCGTGGCAACGACAACTTATAGATCACTACTTCTTCGATGCCGAAGAGAAGATGGATTTAGTCCACGGCATAAGCTCTCGGGGTTTACGACATCGATACCTCAAAGACCTATTTATACAATGGCGGGGTATCATAGCTGCTTATGACGAAGGCGTTGTCAAGGGTGATTCCGTACTGGCCTCCGCCGTCTGGCGTAACGTATATAAGGCGCGGGACGATGTCGACGTGCGCGCGTTAGCTGCGATCGTTAGTTGGATGCGATTATGCCTTAAAATGCTGGACCAGATACCGGACGAGTCACTTTATTTCCAGACCGAGTCTGTTTTCAAGTGGCCGGCCAAGAATGAATTCATGCTCGTAGATAAGCCGGTAAGGGAGCTCGAGGACGCGTTGCAACCAACAGTAACGAGTGCTCCCGCAAAAGCACCTGTGAAGGTTGCTGCGAAGGCTACCGCGTAGATTTAGGTATAGTTATGGGATATGATGACGGCATGGAATAGTATCATAATGGAGTATAAAAAAGATTTGGCGAAAAAAATGCGCCTTACATGCGATAAAAGTCACCATTCTCATTTTGAGATTATTCACTGTACATATTATATAGAAGCCTGTGACAAAAATCAACCAGCCCTCTCCCACAATTGAAACTCATACCTCGTCCCATTCTCTTCTTGAACGCCCTCCGGTACCGTCTCTCCCGTCCACACATCGAGTTCGTCCTTAGACTTTTTCACCCAGCCATTTGTACTTTGCTCATCTAGCTCTAGCGGGAAGAACGTATCGCACTCAAATCCTGCCGATTGGATCTGCGTCAATAGCACACGCTTTGCAGCTGGCAGCTTCAGCGCCGCATCGTAGATCTGTGCCCCACCAATGACGAAGGCTTTTCCCGCGTTGGATGCGGATTTAAGGTAAGTGAGAGCATCCTCTAGAGACTTTACTCTTACTGGCCCTTCAATCTGTACTTCTCCTTCTCCCTGTTGTGTGGGTGAATCGTTGGGATGCGAGCGACTAACGACGATGTTGAGGCGCCCCTTCAACGGCCGAAATTTTGGTGGTATGCTATCCCATGTCTTGCGACCCATGATGACGGCGTTTGTGGCTGTAGTGCTGGTAGGAGATGACGACGTAGGTACACGCTTGGTTACACGTGCAAAATAAGCCATCTCTTTTTTTAAACCCGTCCAAGGCAGGGTGCCATTAAGACCGATGCCCATATTACGGGTTGCAGCCACGATGAGGGTGAGCTCCGGGTGAAGCATTTCTGTCGAGGAGTTGGTCATTTGTCTCTTTCGTTTCCGAAGCTTTATCGGCAAATGGTAGAGTTAAATTAAGTGAAATATAGTGATCTCGCTCAATTAGTGATATGATACCGAGCAAGTTTACAAGTTGTTTGATTTTACAGTAGGTTGATGAAATTTGCACATAACAATCTTGGAATGGATCACTAACAATTCTTTTTCGAGAATTTAGCTCCATTGAGTCTTTCCTCCCGAGGTCCAGAAGCATTTCATTCCTGGCTTTTTCTACGAATTCTAAGAATAATTCTATTATAAGGGATATAATATCTAATTATAGCAGACTTTGATATTATTAGATTTAGAAATCGTTACATTCGTTTTTTTTTTCAAAAAAAATAATAAAACCTATTCGTAAGATGTATTATAGGTACTGCTATATAGAGTTTACATGACCCAGTTTTGCATTTAGAAAATGAGAAAAGGGGTACCATCCTTAGGTACCTACCCAAGCGTCAAGAATTCCGTTTCAACCATTATCAGAATGCTACTATCATCTATAGCACATGATATATCAATTTTACCATATTCAAGCTAGTAATTCAAGCGGCAGCGGCAGCAATCTTTCCTAACCCATGTTCCTGTCTCTGCTTCTCTTTCTGTTCCTCCTCCATCCTCCTCATCTCCTCCCTCTTCATCGCCTCCTGAATACGCACCCTCTCCGGTACCAATCTCTCCCTCTTCCCCGTCATCCTCCAACCCTTTAACATATCTTCGCCTCCAACCGCATTCATCGTTTTCCGCTCCACCAAACTATACTCTCCGCCCTCCTCCCTATCGAAGCAAAACGGCTTGTTGATACTCACCGGCGGATTCGTAATGATCCTCACATCACGCCTCGCATTGCTCGTCGCACTATGCAGCATAAGCGGATGCAGCAAATATACATCCCCCACATTCCCCGTCGCCTCGACGAAATCCCCGTCATTACAACTCTGCACAACATCGCAATACCACTGCAAATTCCTCTCTTTCCCCATCGGAAAGTCCGGGTGTCCCCTCGGCACCATCCTCGGCGACACGCCCTCAGGGTGTTCATAAAGCTGTTTCGCCACGTTCTCAATCGCCTTCGGGCAAATCATCGTCCCACCCCCCTCACTCACGATATCCGTGAACAACGGAATAACCAAAAGCGCCTGCTCGGGACTATCAAGGTAATGCACGAAGAAATCCCCATCGACATGCCACCCGCCCAACTCCTTCGGCGGAACCGGGCTCCCCTCGTTCTCCTCTGTGCCGAGGTTCACGATCAGCGAGTCCCGCCAAAGGTCGCTTTCGAGATTAACGCGGTCCTCGCCGCCGCATAGCTCGCAGATCGCGGCCCACGCCTTCGGCGCGAACGCCGCGCACGAGAAGGTCCGGTGGGACGGCATGTTCGTGCGTTCTCTGCTCCAGGTACGCTTGTCTGTCGGGGACATCCCGAGACGCGTCCATACCCCGTCGGTTATGGAGGCGGCTTGCTCGCGCGTGAAGCAGTTCGTTAGTTTGAGGTACCCGTGCGCGAGGAAGAAGGCTTTTTCTTCTTCCGTGAGGGGGGCGGGTGACGATGCCATTATTATGAGTTTTTGGGGTCCGAGTGATGAAGTGTTTTGTCTGTTAGGTGAGTTGATTTACTGAACTAGGTGGAAGAGAAAGATATACGCAGGATGCTCGTTTTCTGTTGAGATTGCATTTCTTTATCTTATATTCGAGATGCTACATGCATACCCCCCCTCCGTATGCTAGCTCTCTATCTACGCGGGGAAATCGGCATATCGCGCCGCGATCCCATCACCCAATGGAGAGTGAGGCGATTTCGGAGAATTGTTGGAGAACTCGGGTTACTTATGTGTTCATGAGTCGACAGCATTGTGCCGAAACTTGGAGTCGGCAAGCTGCATGATGGTACAAGTAATGGGTACGGGGCCTTCAAAAGAAATATAGGATGCCCATGACGTTCACAATTTCACAATTATGTGGTATAATCGACGAAATTCTTATTGGGGGGATCTTAAGTCTATAGGGATGCATTCTATCGTCTATAACTAAGTATTTAGGTACCTATACCTAGTGTATAAAATGTCATAAACACTAGATCTATACGAACGGCAAATCTTGAGAGGAACGCGATACGAACAAGCGAGAATATATATCATCACGGCGTCGCACCACGAAGATCGCTTAGCTTGTCAACGTAGTATGCCGGAACGGCCACTGCATCCTTGGCCTCCCAATGCTCCTTTTTGCTCACGCCAGTTAACACGGCTAGGGTCCCTCCCAAACCACCCTGGATACCGAATTGGATATCGGTGTTGAGTCTGTCACCTACCATGCAAGTCCGTGCCCGGTCGAGCTTGAATTTCCCTTCAATCGCATCCATCATAGCCTGGCTCGGTTTCCCAAAGGCTAAAGGTGTTTGTCCTGTCATATTGACAAGCGGCACGGATATGGAACCGGCACCAGGAAAGAAGGTATGGTTCATGGGTAATGTGCTGTCGAGATTGGTTGCGAGGAATTTCGCGCCCCGTTGGATGTACTGGAAGCCCATGGCTAGCTTTAGATAGTTAATATGGAAGTCCAATCCTGCGAGCACGATCCCGACGTCCGGGTCTAGTAACGACCCATCGGCTAACCCGCTGAAATCCTCGGGTGTTATGTCCCGTCTCAAGGCCGGGTCCGTACCGCCGATAAACGGTACGCCCTCGGTACGTAATTCAGATTCGATACCGCTCTCCCCTATAACGAATACCTTGTTCTTAGGAGCGGGCAGTTTCAATATCCGCGAAATGTAGATCGCTGATGAGTAAGCCGAAGCGAAGATCTCCTCAACATCGCTAGGGATACCCAAAGCCGTCAACTTCTTCTGATAATCGGGCCGGGACTTCGTAGAATTGTTTGTGACGAAAACAAGTCGTTTTCCTTAGAGGCTTTAGCCGTCACTGTTGATAATACGAGATGTATCAAACTTACCCCTGGATCTTAGAAACTCTAGAGTTTCGACGATACCCTCAAAGAGATGGTCACCAGACCATAATACTCCTACACATTTTCAGCTTTTAACTCCCTTAAAATCTGTAGTCGTCCTAACCATCGCAATCGAGTAAGAAAACCTATAATAAAAGTAAGATTCGCTACACGGTTATTGATGGCTGAGATTGAAAATGACGCACGTCGAATTTATCGAGAAACTCGTTAAGAGCGGCAGAATCGCCGGTTAGAAATTTAGGTAATTGAGTCATTTTAATCCCGATTCAGCTGAAAAAAAGGGAAAAAAGGAATGACTGGTCTAAGAATAGAAACAATCAATGAGATACTGGCACTGTCGTCGAAATGAATATGTTGTGTAAGTATCTATATAGAGTGGAAATAGTTGTAAAAGTAAAGTTCTTAGACAGTCTAAGACACGCAGTCCGGTGTTTGAGTCAAGCACCTCGGATCCGCTCTCCGTCCGTTCCCGGCGCCAATGTTGTACGCCCGGATAAGACAGAACAGCAAGTACCTACCATATCAACACTCTACATTTATTGTAATATCGTCCAATCTCATCCGATCTTGACATTTGAAATTTGCTAAACGACGAATTAAATGTTGAGACATTCAATTCTACGCTTCTCTTGTTCATGGCTTATCTATACCTACCTAGTAGGTATTAAATATAATTTAATTGGTGCCGAGATACCTACTTACACACATATCCATACACCAAACTGACTTACAGAATACTCGCACGCAAGGTACCCGATCATCCGGATCTACTACAGGCATTGCAGTACCGAAAGGCTTCTGCAACCCTTCCGCGCTTCCGCCTTTCCGCCCTTCCCAGCCTGACCACGTTGCTGCTTGGTTGATTGCCATTGGGGATATGATCTATTCGTATAAGTATTCTTGCAACAACCTAGAACGTGAAATTCCGTAGACCGGTAAAATCATTACGTGAACTCGTCATCATCGTAACCACACACTTCCGTCGCATTGTATAGTAGGTACTCAGGAATGTGTAGGTGACCCTAGAGATATTTTGTCTGCTGCATTGAAACCCTACCTGCGCAGCCTGCGAGCCTGTGCCTGGATGGGGTTGCGGGGAGGCTTGCATGTGAAAACATCCTAGCGTATGGTTGGGCCGTGATTGTGATATCGTGATTGACGAGGTAAGGTCTTCAGTTGCTGGAAGTTCCAATCAATACATATTCACACCGAACTAAATGACTTGCCGCCTATCTCTTCGGATGACAGCATACGACAAGGTTGTCGAGTGGCTCTGATCCCCCACCAATGAATGGGATCGTGTAAATTTCTACCGAGACTCCATCGCGTGCTACCATGATTAGGTAGGCTCTAATAGTTGGGAGGTGAGCTGTCCTGGAAAATCCCCAAGTCTTTAACCCATGTTACCTTAGGTATACCCAATCGCCTACCTTTAGGTACCGAAGGTGAGAAGAGCGGTGGAAATCATTCCATAATAGCCTCATGGATACGAAAGTTGCCACTTCTGACAGGTAAATTCTGGCAGGTTTTGATGAGTATCCAAATTCGACATTTGCATTCGAAAGTAACCCATAATGGTGAGTATGGTTAACAATATCGAGTCGAAAATCATCGCTTGGTCGGAAGGTGAAGGGATAGGAAAGTTGGTAGATGGTGGGGTTCTAGCAGTCTACAGATATAAGACGCAAGGTGAATGGGCAAGAATTGGATGACCCGAATTAACCTTCTTAAGGATCCGTAGATGTTGCGCAGACCCCCACCAATCCATTATCGAGACCCATTAATCTTACAAGCCTCTTCCCTGTCCCGCCCCTCTGGTCCGTCCAAGATCAGTAAGCCCTACGTCAATCCACCCCGCCATACCTAAAGTTACGTTTTCTCTTCATTGTTCTTCCCTTCATGCTTGGTATCTACAATGTACACCGAGAATCGTTACTGATATTATAAATGAGCAGTCTTCGATGCTATAATTAACAACTTGAACTTGACCAAATTTTCGCCACGAGTGAATAGGATCGGACCAAACGGGAGAACTCTTCCCCTTCTTATTCCGTTCGTTCCTAAAATACATGATATCCACAGCTATATCTTCCAGCACCTAACATTTAGATATCTCGTATACATATCACAGAATTTGGTTTTCTTCCCTTGTCATGGTCAATTGACAGCGCCTGTCAGTCCAATAACGAAATCGCCGGTCTCAACGCCAAGCATCTTAGTGGTTAGACTACTTAGATCCTTAAGTACATACCTGGTACTAATAATGACGAGTGGACACGCCTTAAGCACGAGGGGTACGTCGTTCTTCGATATCGATCCTTGAATCTAGCATCGTCACATCGTGGACATCCCAGAGAACAATTTAAGCGATATTCACCTTTTTTTCTCTCTAAACATACACCTGTCATACCCATATCTATCGTATCTATCATATATCTTCCCAATTCCCAACATTTGACTATCGCAAAATCTTCCCTGTCTTATCGATATTCATCAACCTTACTTGAACCTTCCACCCTTGACAATAAGCACCTAAATTTAGGTACGTAAGGTGCTTTCCACAAGAAAAAAAAATCACTCGTGAAAGCTGTACCTACCCCACCATCGTCCTCCGCAAACAATTTAGAATTCCCCAAATTCTATCTTGCCTCATTTATTCTATTGATTGATTCAAAACATAACATATCATACCGTATCCTTTTCCAGCTTCCTAGTAACTCACATATACATACTTAGGGTCACATCATCATCCAGTCGAGATGCCGGGAAAACAACCCAATCTATTCGCCTTCGGCGATGTCAACACCTTGGCACCCGCTCTACGATCATACATCATCACAACTCAAAATGCTGGTATCACACGCCACGGCGTCTTCAAAGTTGCAGTTTCCGGTGGCTCTCTACCTAGCACCCTTGCGAAAGCCCTTCTAGCTATTCCAAAATCTGAGGAGGACATTGTTAAATTTGACAAGTGGGAAATATTTTTCGCCGACGAACGAGCTGTGCCTCTCGACCACGAGGACAGCAACTATGGACTCCTCAAGACAGAACTGCTGGACAAAATCCCCCCTGAGCTAGGTGCACCCACCATACATCCCATCGATACCCAATATTTGGACGACACGCAAGAGCTGGCGGATCGGTACGAAAAAACCCTCGTTGGCTCGTTTGCCAAGGGTGATTCTGTCAAGCTTCCTATCTTCGATTTATTACTCCTCGGTTGCGGTCCAGATGGCCACACCTGCAGTCTCTTCCCAGGCCACCCGCTCTTACGTGAGACGGACGCCTGGGTAGCTCCAATCGAGGACTCACCTAAGCCGCCACCCCGACGTATCACCTTAACCCTTCCCGTCATTACGCATGCCGTTAAGGTCGCCTTCGTCATCATGGGCGGTCAAAAGAAGGAGATTATTAAGGAGATATTCGAGCAAGGAAACGGCCTCCCATGCGCGATTGTCAACGAAGCGACGGGCGAGCGATGCAGTTGGTTCACCGACAACGCTGCCGTAGAGGGTGTCAGCTTTCCCCGGCGCGGATTTCTATAAAAGCTGATGTCTTAGGGCTGAGGTGAAGCGAATATGCTGCCGGGTGTGGCGTTTCGCTAAGGGGATCGACTGGTCGGAGGGGAAAAAGACGGGAGAGGTATTGGCGTCCACAAGCGGCTTATGAATGTTATGTGTTCGACTGATGACGTTATTAATCTAAGTTAGAGTGATGATGGGTGGTATTTACGGGCATGATGAAACGTGCGCATTTTTAATCTAATGCATTGCCACGCCCACGCAGTGAGGTGTGATCATGGTCTCTATCAGGCGGGATTCTGGTACCGAGCACGCAAATTTATTTTTAGAGAAGTTCCTGCTTAGACCTTCTTTCCATGGAGAGGGATTTTTTTGGGGGAAATATTGATTATATTTTATCATGATTTTCCTACGGGGTTGTGATATTACTGGTTATGTTGCTGTGTTATATGATGCTACGTATGTGGGTGTGATATTGAACTATCTAAAAGGCACGTCGGGTCAGAATTAGTGGCATGATGGATATCCATATCTTTTGGTCAAATACCAGATACCTACTAGGTACTCAATTCGCTGGAAATGCAAAAGAAATTGTACGGTTATGGCGGCTAAGTAATAATTAAGTTCCTTGGTAATGAATTTTCTAACGAAAAGTCAATGCTGAAATCATTAGGTAGATGTTTGTTATCAGCTAAAGAAAATAGGGGTTGGGGAATGTTTTCGGCATCGATTAGGTAGGTAGTCCACGGAAGCTTTTACTGCGATTTATTGCGGCCAAGAGAAACTCGAGATCTCCAAAAATCGGTTTCTTATCTACCTAGGTAGAGTAAAAATTAAAGATCTTAGGAGCGTTTGCATATCACTCCATCTTATGATGTTTATTCTATTTCGATATATTTTGAATACCCCTAACACCAACCATCTATCAGCGCTTCCTACTTTAAGTGTTCTTTTTAGTCTTCTACCACGTAATCTAGTTCTCCCGAGGTCTTAACATACTTCCTTCACGTCAAACCTAATCTCTCCCTCTGTGCTACATACGGCCTTGAGCTTTTCTTGCATCTTGTCATATCTAGATACGTATCAACTGCCTACCTTCCTTCAAGCTTCCTCTCCCTAACCCAAGCGCTCGCCAACAAGGCACTAAATGCGACGATAATAACCGGAATGAAGGCCCACTGTATAGCCACCGCATAGCAAGTCCTTACTATATCCGCGATCTCCGGCTCAAGCTTGCGTATGTAATCTAAGCTCTGACGGACACCCTCTTCGATCTGTCGAGCGCGGTTATCATCGTCGCCGAGGGAGGCGGCGAGGCTTGTGCGCAGCACTTGCTGCAGGACAGCTGTCGAGATACTAATTCCAAGTGTCGTTCCCAGCGAGCGGAATAGATATGAGCACGCGATAGCTACTGCGGTGTCTCCGGGGGCCGCGTTGGCAATTATAGCGATGAGAGTGCTGGTGATTGCTATTTTGAGTATTAGCCATGTGTTACTTGAACACGTTCGTGAGATTCTCCTATAGAGAGGGAAAAGAGTTCATGGATGTATCTAAACAAGAAGGGGATGGGGGAAACTATAGGGAAAATGGGATAATACGGGGGAAACGTACAGATACCGCCACCAAAAGCAAGAATACATAGCCCTACGATAACGCCTGCAGTTGATTTCGCCACCACGCCGGTAAATGCCACCATCGGCGCCACGCTGATGATCATAAGAGTGTACCCAAGCAGCGTGATCCAATAATACTTCCCAGTTCGGCGCATGAAGAGGCCGCCTCCTAGAGACCCTGCAAGTCCGAAGAACGTGCTAGGTATGAACACAAACCCAGACTCTGTAGCTGAGAGACCCATAGCAGCTTGGAAGAATAGTGCAATGAAGAATAGCACGCCCATCTGCGCCGCGACACCGAAAAAGTTAGCCATATACGCCGCGAGCAATGGCGGGTCTAGGATGATGTGTCCCGGCGCAAAGGGTTCCGAGGCTACTTTAACTTCGACTAGAATAAAGAGAGCGAATAGGACTGGAGTCAAGGCTAGAGGGATGATGGTGATCTTCTTATCCCAGCCCTCGTTGCTACCATTGTCGAGGCCGAACAATAACGCAAATGCGGCCGAGACGAGAATAAAGGCGCCTAAGAAATCAACGCGCTGCACTTTAGAAGTCCAGTGCGCGTGGTCCGTCTTGGGCAGATGGAGTACTAGATACACAGCTAGCCAAGCCACCATGGATAGTGGAAATTGGGCGGTGAACGCCCACCTCCAGCCGATACTGTCGGCTATTAGACCACCGATGGGCGCGCCTGATGACATACCCGCGGCGAAAATGATATTGATGTAGCCCTGCCACATACCGCGGTCACGGAGAGACACGATATCAGTCAAAAGAATAGTAACGACGGCATTCATACCGCCACCACCAATTCCGGCTACAGCACGAGCTATACAAAGCTGGATGATGTCCTGGGATAGACCACATCCTAGACAACCTAAACCGAACACAAAGTATGCAAACAGCAGGGACTCCTTACGGCCGAAGATATCGGATACCTTGCCGTATAACGGTTGGAAGGCTGTTAAGGTAAGAAAATAAGAAGTGGATATCCAACTTGTCGAATTCAACGCGTTGAGCTCACTGCCCATTCTGCCATATGTGGCGATGGTTAATGTCTGATCCATAGCAACTAAGAAGACCTATTGCTATGGATTAGTATTATGTACATTATACTATATATAGTCGTTTTAGAGGAATCTACTCACACCAATGGCCATCGCCGGGAATAGCGCCTTCAAATTTACTTTCAACTTCGGGACATCATCGCCTTTCCGGGTATCGTCATCAGAGTCACTGGCCTGACCATTTTCTACATCTCCCGTTTCGCTAGTACTGACGACCGAACTGTTCTTATTCGGGAATGTGCCATTGGACCGTACTTCGGCGGCGTTGTTTGCGGCGGAAGCATTGGGACCAAGCAAAGGAGCGGTCTCAGAGGACGGCGCCCCTTCGGCGTGGGTCGGTGATTCGGAAGGCATTTGCCAAGACAAGACTTCACAATTCACCTTATAACCGTATAATTATGAGATAATGCCAATACTCTTGTCACACGACACGGAAAGATGCACTGAAGTCAAATTAGTGAAAGAAAGCCACGCAACAATGAAGGGCCGGCGGATTTCGCGGATTCGGTTCCCCTCCGAGAGGCGGAGATTGTGTAGAACGTGAGCCAACGGTCGTGCATCTCCACCGTCACACTATCGGTCCATTCGATTGGTCGTAGACGATTGCTAATCCGTACGAAGGATTGCATGATGATACCCTACAGCCATGGTGATAAGGCCTATATTCTCATTAGGATCTGATATTAGGTAGTTTGTAGACAAATGAAGGAAACGGTTGGGAAGTTGATTGGTATAAACTTATTTATTGATTTTTGCATTCCTTTAAACGCAACCAATTATGTCAGAAGTTTATTCCAGACGGCTAAGTTTAAGCTTAGGTACCTACCTAGTAGGTACTCCTTGTTACACCAATCTTTGAGTGCCGGCACTACCTACCTATCACCTATCCGTTGGTAGGTAATACCAGCAATGTGTCTCCAGACAAATGAATTCGTACATACCTACCTAGGTACTTACTATGAAGTATGCGATGCACTATACTCACGAAAATATTACACCGGTATATGCACCGGTATATGTCGACGAATGCAGATGCAACAACTCCTTCCATCTACCGAATTACATGGCAAGTAACGGCCTAAAATGGTCAGCTAGATGCACGTAACCGCGATGTGTTCGTACCTGTGGCCATCAATTTAGCAGACCGAAACCCGGGCGTGTGGAATTCGTGCTGCATTATTCGGGTGAATACAGCACTTTAAACGCTAAGACATGCCTGGACACGGTGGTCTGGAACCTTTTCAGGGGTCTGTTTCTCCTCAGTCACGGGCTTTCCTCAAGTTTGACGCCGACCCCATTGATATTCCTATCTGAGCATGTGTTATTATGCTGGGGAACATTCGCTCTTTAAAATGAATAAAATACGAATAAATAATTATTGAATAGGTAAATATATCGAAATGGCCGTATATCGATTATTAGTAGTATTTCGGGTTCATCCCAATTTTCGCGGCTGCGAGGTGTGAGGTGTGAGGTGCGAGGTCACGAAATCGTTGCTGACTTTCGTCCCACGCACATGGGATATCTCGATCACAGCGGCACTATCATCTATGATCTACATTAGTGGATTAGTGGAACCGGAAAGACAACCCAAATCCCCGAAACAGCGAATGACTTGCCCCATTCTTTTGCCAATACCCCTGATAATTAAAGGAGATTTGACATCACAGTCTTCAAGAAATTCTCTCTTGGCTGCCTTGTGCTTTACGCTTCACTCCGACAGTCCGAAAGCTGAATCGCCGCTAGCTACCATGGTAGAAAAGCTGTCCGCTTCTTGACGATCACTTACCGCCGATCGACGTGGCTTTTTTAAATAGCATCCTCGCATGAAGTTGATTCTCACTTTCCAAGATTCCCTTAAACTCTGAACTTCTAACGTCAGAAGTTCATCCCGATCGCGTCTGTGCGATAAGCCCTAATATTATGTACATACATCCAATACACGTACATATATGCATACATACGTGTGTATTGGATGCATGCGCGTCGAATAGCCACTCATAGCTGAGCGTCCCCTCGCCCGATATGTAAACCGCACCAGCTCCGGAAGCAATGAACCGGATGTAAGGGAATCACGCTTTTTCTTCATGGCTTGATTCGTGAATATCTCGTAGGACTTGTAGGATAACCTGGTTGCCTACAATACCGCGCAGACGAATTTCCGGTTGTTCCGAACTTCGAAGGTGCCTACACGTGAAGTTCTAATAGCCAGTGATAGGGTATTCCAAACCGGGATAGAATGCTACATATTGATTTCTATCCATTTCCCCACTGGCTCGTCCCATGCCAAAGACGGGATTAACCATGCCTCGAAGTAACGAACTATCAGTCACATCGGTCCTATGGTCAGCCCAACGAACCCACTTTGTGGACGGAACCGATGCGTGCTGAGCAAGGACATCTTCACATCTCGCAGATGCCTTTTGCAGACATCTTTCACGGCACAGCCTCAACCTATTTTTGAGCCTTTTAACTCTTCCTCTATGCTCGTACCGAGGTATCGGCTCCTGCAAAACGCCATGGCTGAAGCGAAACTTTCAATGCTGTATTTCCGAAGACACGTCTTATTCGAACTCACTGCAGTCAGTTGTAAGACTTTTAAATGAGACCTGTTTTCGAGATCTCCATGCGAGTTGCAGGTACCCGAGTGAGATAACAAGGTTCTTCCATCTTATCTCTCTCTCTCTCTCTACCACTTTCCTCCTTGAGCTTTTCATTTATCCTTAATATCTCCTGATAGCCCTCTTTATATAATAAGATATTTTCAAGATGTTTTCATCTAATGAGTGAAACCTAGCATCAATACCGTCAATTCAAACCATAGCGGCATCGTTAGCTTCAATTTTTAGCTAAGAAAGATGACATCTGAAAAGAGAAAAGCGAAAAAAAAAAACGCGAAAAGGATCCACTTAGCCCCATGTATCGATCAATCAATTAAAAGTAGATCACCCTCTCGTCGAGATGATCCTGTGGCTGAAACGTCCGGTCAAGGGTCTATCTCCACGAGGGGCTAACGCGACGTGCAGATTCGCTACTCGGCCCTGTTCAATGAAGGGAGGCGAGAGGATTCGCATATTGCAGTGACAGTCATACGTAACAGATCGAGCAGGCCTCCAGGTTTCCAGGCAGTCAAGCCAGGACAATCTTCGGCTGGTCCAAGAAACTCACGTTTCCATTTTTCCCTTGCTTCTTTTCCTTACTCAATTCCACAGAAGTCTCGTTGGAAGCTCTAAAAACATCGTTAGGACCCCATATATCCAGAGAGGCTTTCCCCTTCGGCTCGTCGAGATTCTCTCGTTGTGGATCCTTCGAGCGCGGTACCTGCATCAGATGCGCTGTCATCCCTAGGCTAGCAGGCCAAAACCGTAGAACAGGATCAGGTCAAGGGTGCTAGCAGATGCTTGGTGAACCCACCCCGATTCGACGGGAAACCTATCACTTATTACGTCTGCAACCCTGATTGCAGGCCCCCGTCTCTTCTTCCTCGACCTTATCGGACGAAATGATCGGGCATTGTGAACGACCACGAAGTATCTTCTGTCATTCTGGTATCACAACGCTGTTGTTTCGCCCTTCTCACCCCTTTTCCCCTACCAGACCCTCTTATCCCTTCTCATCCAGTCGATAATACGTAGTAATGGACCGTCCTACCCTCCAGACCCCCAAGACGGGTCGCTCGCGTTTCTCAAAAGCGTTGCCTGCCCCTCCACCACAGTTAGAAGATGACAAACCGTCGACGGTTTCTCGAGATCCCCCATCTTCGATGTATTCGCCATTCCCGCCTAGGAAGGATAGTGTTAGTGTAAGGACCAACACTAGCATCAGTCAAATCAGTCCAAGCATCAAGTCGGATTTGAACTCGCCTCTGCCATCGCTGCCGCCTTCACTGCCTCCCACTAATACAATGGCGTCCACTGTTTTGCAAACGCAGACTCGGTCCATTCCAAGGAAGCCTGTGGGACTCCCAGCAAATCCAGCCCCGGTGGCTGGGGCTAGCGCTGCGAAGTCTAAGAAGATGAAGCGCGTCTCTTCTATATCAAGTCTCCTATCAGCTTATTCCAATACCTCATCGGACTCTGTTCAGAGGTCGTCGCAAGGCAGTATTTTTACAAAGGATAGCGAACCATCAAATTCACCCGAACGGGAGGGAATGAATGATACCCAACCGTCGCTTTCAAAGACTCTGCCGGTGCTTCCAAGTAATCCATATGCAGACGATCTGCCGTCAGTGACGGGTGAGATAATATCGGCCGATCTGCCACCGCCGCCACCGCTGAAAGACCCGACTCGACCGAGCACACCTTCGAGTGCCCGGCCCGTAGACTCATTCCCGGCACCCCCTCGATCTGGCGCTCAAGATGGGAGCCCCCCGTCCACAACGCCGAAACCCGTAGGTGACTCACCTCCAAGAAGGGAGATCTGGCGTCGACGTGCGTCAGTCAAATCTGACCGAAGCCTCCTCGTCCCAGAGCTCAAATTAGCTGATTCACATGGTTCTACCGCATCCACATCCACATCACAGCCTCCAGCTGCAAATACCGCCAACAGCGATCTTCTTCCACCCCCACCACTTACACAAACTACTAGTAGCAACACTACTTCTCCGTTACCTCCTAGGAGCGCCTCGCTTCCAGGCAGAAATATTCGACCGACTAAAACTGAACCACAACAAGAAGACGAGATGCGCAAACTTTCGTCAAAATTCAAGGGGCTCACCACCCGAGGCGAGAGTGCCAAGGAACCCGCTAAAACGCGCGACAGTTCTAACGGAACCAAGGACGAGTCTATTAAGTCTGCGTCCAATGCGCAGCCCGAGGCGCAACCCGCCGGTCCTATTAAAGATCATCGCAAGGTGGAGCCGCCTATTAACGTATCCATGAGTTCAGCTGAGACGGTTGCCCATGCGCCTAGCCCGGCAGCCGCGTCGTCGGAACCTCCCCCAAAGGAGTCCGCGCCAAAGTCAATTTCGCGCCGAGCCGTCGGAAGTCCTATCGAGAGCCAAAAACCGGAGTTCCATAAAAAAGGAAGCTCATCCGATCTAAGAATGCAGAACCTTGGACTTCCACGTCACCCACGTTCTGCACGAAGCAACTCTTCGTTGCGCTCACCCCAGCCCACTCACGATGTTCAAGAGGCAGTGAGACCTAGGGTAGTACCGCAACCACAACCGATTCCGACTATCGAGATGACTACTACGATGCCGGCGGACTCAATTGAGCCGATGAGGAAGCCTGAACTTTTTAACATCGTAACGGCGTTAAACGAGCCTAACATCTCGCCAAATCTTATGACGACCGATCGCAAGCCTTACCGAAAGGTTTCTCCAGATGTACACGCTACTAACCTTAGCGATATTGGCGAGTCCATGGAGAACGTTACGCCTGAACATGCCGAGAAAGTAAACGAGGCCCTATCTCGCTTTCCTCGGAACGTCGGCCAGGCCATTCCTCCGACCGATGCCGTCTGGCAAGCGCCTCCCATCACCTCTCAACATCACAACTGTTACGTGCGCCATTCTAAATGGGTTCCTGTTAAGAACTCTAATTATCCATTGGCGTGTCAGACCTGCGGCGTCCAAGACACCAACTCACGCAAAACCTGCTCTTGGTGCAACTTGCGCGTCTGCTACGGATGCCACGAAAGACTTATGGGTCGCTACAAAGCTGATCTTCGGATGTTGATGCAGAACATGGAGACTGACCAGATCGAGGAAAAACGTCGCGAGAAGGGGAAGCAGAGTGCCGCCTAAATCTTTCTCTCTCGTTATTATCCTTGCCTAAGACGCTACATGTTGTCGATATCATCGACTTCTTATACTGCCACTTCTCTTCTTCGATTTATCTTAACACTTCGGACTTACCTGGGGTCTTTACCCCTTTCGACATTCAACGTATCTCGCCTATAGGAACTCTCTGAACACGAGAAAGTTCCGACGGCCGACGACTCGTTTATTCGATTCTCGAGGGATTACGGCCGGGGGAGAATAAAAAGGCGGATTGCATATGGACTGAGGCGTTTATTGGTACGACGATACCACTACTTATCGATGTATATACGGCGGGAAAAGGATTCGTGGGCCGCGATCCTACACTTTCAAGGAATAGGGGACATACTACGAAATGGAGGGAAAGGAAAGAGCATAATGGATTCCTGGCTCGAAGCCGGACGATGATACCTTTTGCTATAAATAAATGGAAGTGATCAATAATGTCTCCTATCCTTGGAATCTTCCGTAATTAATGTGACAATGAATCGCAAAGTTGTAAGATCACAGATTCAACAATTGATAACTTTGAACTTTATGTTGCTCGATCTCTGACACCTTCCCATCTATCCGTAGATCTTTCTACCCGAAAGGTTAATTCTACATCCCGAAGGGAAGACCTACGAAATTTAGTATAGGTACCTAGGCTGCTAGGTAGGTGCTATCTAACAGAGGGAGATCAATTGTAGTTACACAATAACCTATAATTTTAAGTAATACCTAGTACCGTTATATATCATGCAGCAGGCGTAACCTTATGACGCCTCATGCAACCTCCCATCTTAGCCCTATAAATGCTCAAATAGCTGTCGCCGGTTGTTTATTAGCGGGGATCTCTGTATGTCAGGTACGATAAACTTAAGCCCTACGGGTAATCGATAGTGGGGACTAGAGCTTTATCTCTCCACCACTAAGAAGCACCTAGGGTAGGAGCCATGGTAACTTCTGAATTCAATTAAAGTCAAGTGCACGGGACCAAATACAATACAATCAAATCAATACGACCTACATAATAAGACACAAGGACCCCTAATTCTAATCCAAACATCACCTGCAAATATTGAACCTTTTATACTCGTCTAACAAAACCGACACCTTGTCTTATAGGTCCTATAATGTCATCTTCCACTAGCTTAGGCCGTACACGATCAATTCGTAAACCTACAGTTGGCAAAGACGATCCGAGCCAACGAAATGGACCAACAACACGTACTGAGGCTAGGACACATTCCCCTAGCCGACTACCGGTGAAGCCCACGATGATCACTCGATCCGCTGCAGCGAGCGCAGCAGCTTCTTCGTCCGCTACTGCTTCAAGAATTAGAGCGACAGGCTCAACTACAGGTAGAGCTGTATCTAATCCTTACAACAAGACTTCATCTGCACGGACAGACAGCAGCGGAAATGCTGCGACGAAACCCTTGGGTAGAGCAACCTCTACTCGTGACCGTGATAGACCACCAATTACCTCCATGAACCGTACTGCGACCGGTCGACCGAGATCCTCTGGCGGGCCACCTGTAACGACGGCGCCTACCCGACCGGGACATACACGATCGAGATCCAACGTTACGAGTTTGACACCGGCCACTACACTTCGCCCAGTATCTCAAGTATCTCATGCGACCGCCACATCTTCGTCGTCCGGCGGTGGCCGAACAAGTCCGACCACAAGCACGATCACAACGAGCTCGAAAATCCAGACACGGTCGCAAATCCGCCAACGCACGACATCTCAATCTCAATCCCAATCAACCGCTACCACGACGCAAGCCCCATCCAATCAACCCGCCGGCCTTGTCAGCCGCCCCGCATTCAACACTCATCAACAGCATTACAGCCCCGCCAAATCCCTCGCCCCCAAACCTTTAACCTCGACCTATCTCGCGCCCCCGTCTCCCTCTAAGCTACCCGCAAACGTCGCCTTATCCGCCGAGACCAGTCGTCTACAGACGGAGCTGTTACAACTTTCGCTCCTACACCGCGATGCCGCAGCCGTCGACAGCGAATGGCACGCCAGCGCCCGACAAAAGCTCGGGGATAGATTCGCGCGGCTAGCCAAAAACAATGACACCCTCCTTAGTCTTGAGCGACGAGGCATTGAGGCGCGGAACGTGGCAGCGCTCACTAAATGGGGTAATCCTGGCACCAGAAACGGGCTAGGTCTAGAGGAGAAAGTCCAAATCTTGGACGAAGTGCTAAACGGGGTGTGGCAGCTCGGAGAACCGGGCGGACGATACGCGCGCGTGGTCGCCGGCTTCGAAATCTGGGCCGAGCGCATGGCGTCCATAGTTATCGCGCAGCGTAGCGACAACGTCGATGTCTTGGTCGAAGGCGAGGAGGTCCTATTTCTAGGTGAACTAGACGCAGGATGGAAACACGATTGTATCAGTCTTCAGCGCAAACTCGAAGGATGGCGTATCGCGTTACGAGATCTGGGCGACGTCGACTCTCCCCCCGTTTCCGACTCCGACTCTAGCTCAGAATTAGAATCGCGGTCTAGTTTACTTCGCATGGTGGACGGGTGTCGCAATCTCGTCCACGATATGCTATCCGAACTAGCAGTGATGGCGCAGATCGAGCGGGATGCGGCGCGAGCGGAGAACGAATGGATCGAGCGCACAAATAGAGCCATAGAAGACGAGGACGACGATACCCCCGCGGCGCGGGCGTATGTACCATTATGGAAGCTGGCTGCGTGATTTTAACACCTGGTTACCTTTCCTACCTCTTTACCTACTTTCCTATCTGTCTGCATAAGTGTACTGTACTATTAAGTTAAATTGATGGCATAATGGGAAACGAAAGGATACGATACGGAACCGGACTGGCGTTCAGCGATAGGGTATACGCACTACATATTTCATGATAGGTAGTGATAATAAGATAAAGTCGAACTAATTGTAATGTGCGCGGTGATAATGATGCGATTGGTTAATTTATATACATCGTCTCGTGATGTAGGTATGGATATATGAGGAGACGAATCACACATGAATGAGCAGAGTATACGCATTGTGATAGGGTATAGAGTCGTAGGCATTACGGGGCGATCAGTATCAAATGACTTAACTAAGAAAACGTAATAGTATCGGACTATCAACACAAACCGTTCATCGACCTGTTTTTCTAAAGGAGAAAGAATATTCTAAATTCGTAGCGACGTAGACAGCCCTCTCCCGAATTTTCAATGATAGGTAAGTATACCATCACTCCCATCCCCTATCCTCATACCAATGAATTTCACATAAGCACATCCACGAATACCCTCCCCTCAACATCACCGATAATTCAACTCCGGATTCGCCCTGAAGTTGCACCTACACCTGCACTCAGGCACTGGACATTCCACATGTCTCGCGAACCACTGCCTCGCGTGATCGAGGTGAAGCACATGCTCGCACTTCAGACAGAACGTGGGAAACCGCGCGGCGACCCTGACCTGCGGATCGGGCGAAGCCTCCGGTTTATCCGAGCGCGGGACGCCGACGACCTCGAGACACACGACGCACCGGGGGAGGTGGCGGCCGCAGTTGGGACAACTGACGCCGGCGCTGATGTTTGACGCTGTGAGCGGGTTGACCGACTGTTGCCCCTTGCCGGATGATGGGAGGGCTGTGCCGCCCATCTTCGAAAGCTCGTACTCGGCGTCGCAGTACACGCAGCGCAGGGCGATTTGTCTGGAGGGCGGGGTGATGGTAGGGATGCCGCCTCGCTTGCTCTTCTTCGTGCTTTCCACTTCGAATTTGGTTCGTTGCATGAAGGCTTTATGGCGCTGGAGATATGCCCTGTAGCCGTTGCGCCACGCGCGGCACCGGTAGTCGTTGATGTATTTTGGCGAGCATATTGATAGGACTAGGGTAGCCGTCTGGACATCGTTGAATTTCTCGACGTATTTTGCGAAAATATCCACGAGTTTATCTGTTATGCCCGTAAGTACAATTCCTTCGATGTCGCCCGTATCTATCGCTTTCTTGAGCTCTTTCTCGAGCCATCGGGTAAGCTTAGCGTCGTCAAAATACCGAAGCGCCACAAACGTGCGTTCGCGGAGGGGTAGGGATTCTTGATCTGCTATATACTCCCAATTATCCGTTGCGATAATAGATGATATCGCTCTCAGATATGGGTCTGTGTTAGAAGCGGCAGTGTCGTCGAAATTTAACCGGGGTTTACTGATACTTTTATCCTCTTGACTTTTGAGTTGGAGCGCTAGTGAAACGAATAACAGGTTTGGATACTCTGCGCTGGCTTCCCTGAGTATGTGAACTGCTTTGTCGAAATCACCCTCGAAAAGTGCATGAGCTGTTCTCATCGTGTACCATAAAGAATTTCTCTCAGAAGGCAGCATATCCGCGTATTCGCCAAGATTTTCATCGGGCGATCTGCCCCATCCACAGACCCGTAGGGCAGCTAATCGTTGTTGAAGTTTTTTGGTCTCGACGCCATCGTATACTGGTTGTCTCGACTTCCTGTTTGATTCCTGCAGACAACGTTCCCATGCCGCAAGGTCCGGAGGCCTAGTACCATCTAATAACCTCACCCCACCATTCAACCCTACAGAACACATTAGTTTTCGCACCGAAAGGGAACTATTTATGACACATACCCAGATCGCCGCTCCATATGTTACAAACACCCATATAACTTAGGTCGATTCCTTGGGTTACCATTCCCATGTCAGAGGCAGCTTCGTCGGCCCCTACAGGCGTTAGTGTCTAAAGAGAATCCGTCAAGTAATAGAGATACATACCAGAAATCCAACCCCATAATCCTCTCAACCAAGGATCGTCGGCAACTATGTCTCTATTCGCAACGTAGTCAAATAGATATTTCTCCTTGGAACGAAGGAGCATTTGATGATCAAGAATCACTTGTGCTCCTTTAGGGAACCCCTTTGTATCTAGTGTTGATACGAGCAATCGTTCATGTAATTCCCTGTTAGACGGTAATCCGTTGAGCTTTCAATGAGTATTAGTAAAGTGTTATTTTTAATGAACGTCGTCGATGAAAATAGTTCCAGTACCTTATTATCAGGCTTTTTCGATGCCTCAAGATTTTCTTTAGAATATTTTCTCAAAAGTCGTAACTTGTCTGCCGTCTTGGGAGCATTCGTAAGTAGCTCGGCAAGTTCTATATCGCTTGCTTCTAAGTCGTATATATGGTCGCTAGTAGGTGCAGGGGATAATAGTGCTTCCTGGACTACAGTATGAGCGGACCCCTTATCGGCTCCAAATAATGGTATGTCTTCGAAGGCTTTATCAATATTAAGTGAACCTATCATATCAGAATACTGTGTCGGTTCGAATTGCATCAGAGAGTGATAGTCATGGCCTCCTAAATAGGAATTAGTGATAATTGCCTTTCTAGAAAATAGAAACAGTATTACCTTCTAATCCTCGATGGGGCGCTTTCCAAGGTATCATCTTGAACAGATGTTCTGATGTATAAGATGGCTTCTCAAGAATATCAAAAGTTCCATTGGCTCGTAGAACTATTGCTCGCGGCGTTAAAGCGGGCGAGTCAAGATTTAGCCAGTCAAATGATACAATTCTTTCGTCCTTTCGGTCTCTTGTATAACTCATATCCAGCTCATATGATCTTCTAACTGCCAGAACCTCGGGGCTGTCCTTGGGATGGACATCGGAAGTAACAAATTCTTTCTTGATGTCCAAGACTTTAAGTTGGCCAGTCCGAGAGAGAATAGCTATCAATCCGCTACGGTCTCGGCAAAAGCGTACAGATCGTATCAACGAGCCTCTGTCTTGAAAATTGGCATCTTTCACATCAATTGCTTTATCAACGTTAAAAGCCGCCCCCCATGGCAGATTGTCCGTATCGACAGCATCGAGATAGAAATTAGAGCAAGGTGATCTCGAAGTCGCACGTCGATCCCATATTACTAAACCTGGCTTGTCTAGGGAAGTTGAAGCGAAATAGTTCTGGTCTGCATAGTCAATCGCCAAATTGTTGTTGCATTTGGTCTGGTAATTGATTACTGCGCCTTGCGGATCTTTAAACCAGTTAGTAGGGTTATAAAAATATCATCTAGGACAGAGAGTCTACCTCGGAGATCATAGATACGAATGCCCGAATTTTTAATACCGGCAACTAACACCTGGGGGTCGTCTTCAAAGAACTTCGTGCTTGATATGGAGATACTAGGCTCCAAACTGATCACCGGATTCATCGAATTCTCGAGCGATTCCCAATTGGCCCCAGACTCTAGCGCCGTAAGTTTATTTACGTCGAAAATTTTGAGGCACTGGTCATTTCGAACGCGTTCCAACCCGACAGCTAGTAAAGTGCCTGTATTAAATGCTACCGCTTGGCAGGTACGTGTGATCCTAATAGGGAGCTCTAGGTGAGCGCTAGAATCGCTGTGCAGGTTTATAAGATCCACGGTGCCACTCGCGGTCCCAATAGCAACGAGCCCACGATGAGCAGGCGACCAGTCGTACGTGGTCAGCGGAGGTATCTCATCATACTTGGATGTCTTATGAAATTGGAAATTGCCAGGCTGCGCAAGGCCCGTAGGCTCGTATAGCTGTACGACTCGGTGTTGTAGATTGACGTGGAGAAATGTATCGTAATTCGGATTCGGGGACCACTTGATGAGGCCTGGCTCCGGTCTATCCATCTTTGAAGTCGTATATTGTGACATTATTCGAGAGGACTCCCTCTACTGGCTCAAAAAGAGCCTAGGTGGGCGTTCATGAGAATTGACCAAGGCTGCTAAGTGCCATTATTTGGTGGATCTTGCATAGAGGAATCACTCATGAGAGAAACAAGCAACCTTGGTGATGATTTAAAGTCGCTCTATAAGAGATTCAGTGATGAAAAAATAAGCAAGATCCTAATTGAATAGATTCAAGTTGTCTCTATTCAATAGAAAGCTTATAACTGGCTATGAAGCTCAAAAGTTGTAAGTTCAAGGTTGTCGTCGCGATAGCCCTTGCACATAGCGATTCAATTATCGATAAAAGCTCTAACCCCGCTACTAGCTCTAACGAATTGGCCAATGAAATCGACCATATCTCTCCCATATCTCTCCCCGTAGCGATAGAATACAGAACAGGTTTAGAGCTATTAGGTACAACTTTTACTTAGATCCTTAAAGGCAGCTCATTTCTAGTCCTGCTGGACAACATTGAATGAGTGACCTTATAGCGATCATACATAAGACCTACATTATTTCGGCGTTTGCAATCGGTTTTTGGTAATTTTGACGACATCAATAATCGTCTAACCCTGTCTTCTTATTGCCGAACGCGAAGCATTGAAAGCGATGGATCTAATGGAGTTAACTTTCTTCAACTCCGTCCACTAGCCACGTTGATATTCATAGTTGTATAATAGTATTTTTGAACCGACATAATATGGTTGGTGATAAATATAATCGGGGGCGTGAGTGTAAGCAATGGACTTTATTATTCGGCCTAGCATTTGTAGGATATATAAGACTTGGCATCTTCTTCAACCTGTCTGGAAGGATCTCAAGAATCAACACGGGAATACTCCACTTACCAGCTCTCTATCTAAACATTCATTCACGATTAATATGGCGAGTCTTGCGGAAAACTCTCTCCCAGACAACTACACCGGCTTACAATTCCATTCCTCATCTTCACCTCCCACCCTTGTATCGTTGAAGACTCCAACCCCCACTGCTGGAACCGTTATCGTTAAACCGCTATACTCTATCATCGTTCAGTATGCTAACCAAATCTTCACAAATGGGAATCCTAGAGGTTATAAATATCCTTTGCCTATAGTCCCCGGTGGTTCATGCATTGCTCGCATAGCTGCCGTGCCATCAGATGCCACAAGCCTAAATCCAGGCCAGCTGGCATTCGTTGAGTTGACCGTAAGATCTCGAGAAGACCCTAATATTAAGGTTTTGAGGTCATTCAACGAGGGCCCCACCGAGGCAACGAGAAGATTGATGGGAGGATGGCGCAACGGGTCCTGGGCTACGTTGATGAACGCCCCGCTGGAGAGCGTACACGCCCTAGATGAGGGTATTCTAGTTGGAAAGCTAGGATATAAGCTCGAAGAATTTGGATCGCTCTCCCAACTAGTCGTACCATACGGCGGCCTCGCGGATGCCGATTTGAAACCTGGAGAGACTGTCTTGGTTGCTCCGGCTACCGGATCTTTTAGCAGTGCTGCTGTTCATGTTGCTCTCGCCATGGGAGCTAGGGTTATCGCTATGGGAAGAAACGAGACAGCCCTCGCTGAGTTGAAGAACCTCGCAGAGCCCGGAAGGGTTGAAATTGTCAAAATTAGCGGTGATTTTGAAGAGGATTTAAATGCTCTATCAAAATTCGGACCAATAGATGTCTATTTTGATATCTCTCCACGTCCAGCCAGTACAAGCTCGCACATCAAAGCAGGCATATTGGCTTTGAGAGCGGGTGGACGTATGAGTTTGATGGGAGGAATTCCAGGTGACATTGGCCTACCCTACTGGCATATCTCACTGAATGGAATCACGATAAAAGGGACATTTATGAACACGAGCCAGCAGGCCAAAGATCTAATAAAACTTGTTGAAAGGGGGGTATTGAAGATTGGGTCTAGAGCTGGTATGGAAGTAGCAGGTAAATTCAAGCTGGATGATTGGGAAGACGCGATTAATGCTGCTGCTGCGAGAGGAGGGCCAGGCAAGAGTGTGTATTTCACTCCGAATGCAGAGTAGGCATTTTCGAATTTGAATGAGAAGAGAATAATTCGCGGAATAAGATAACAAATATTAATATCGAACGGTTAAAAGCGATGATTAGTAATATGCCTCGATATTTCTATATATGACTGTAAGGAGGCTTCTTATCCTCATACCGATAAGGAAAAACCCACCTAAAAGTTATTGATGATGTTTTTGTCTGTCAATCTTCTAATTACCAACACCTGCTTTACCAATCTACGAGTCAACAAACCCGAAAACAACCATCCCCGACTCGAAAACAGCGCGCAAGATGGGCTCTAAAAGGAAGTTTTCCGAATTCCATGCGGAATCCTCCGGGAATGCAGAGGCTCGCGGTCACAATTCCGGGTCTCATGGACCTAAGAGATCTAATCATAAGAAAGCCAAGACCAACCCGAATAACATCAATTGGGTTAAGAAACGAGCGCGAACGATCGAGAGGCGATTTAAGACAGGCCAGAACATGCCTGCGAATATTCAGAATGATTTAGAAAGAGAGCTGGCCCACCATCAACAAAAGATTGAAGACGCTGCCGATGAAAAGAAGAGGAAGGCTATGATAACGAAGTATCACATGGTTCGCTTCTTTGGTAAGGCACCGCCTCTACTTCCTTAAATATGAAGGTTTGACCTAACAATACATGTAGAAAGAAAGAAGGCAGACCGACTCGCGAAAAAGATCAAATCCCAGCTTAAGACAGCGACCGATGAGAAGGAAATCGAGAAACTGAACGCGGACCTACACAGAGCAGAGATCGATAGTATCTATACTAGATACTTCCCATACAGGGAGCGTTATGTCAGCCTGTATCCGGTGACGGCGCAAGGAGAAAAGAAAGAAGATGCTAGTTCGGCGGCACAGGCGCTACACGACGAACGACCACCGCTATGGGCGGCAATAGAGGAAGCATCGGCAAAGGGCGTTCGAGAACTTATCATTCTGAGGGAACGCAAGCTCGATGGGGATTCAAGAAAGAAGACCTCCACCACCCAAAAGTTGAAGGAATCCGAGAGTGCAAATACCAGCCATGCCAAAACCAAGAATTTTGCTACATCTAAATCCACGAATACCCGAAGGGGCGAAGAAAAGAAGTATGGCGATGAACCCGAACCTTTGGATGCAAGCGATAGTGATGGTGGCTTCTTCGAGGAAGGCTGAGGGAGGTGTTTCTATGAGACAAACATTCATGATACCCAATTATTACGAGATGATAGATGACCTAGCTTCATTTTATTGGCAGGCATATTGTCATCATCGCATTTCTAATCCAATACGTTTCTCAAAATGCCATTTGATTTTATTTCTATAGAGAAATAAGTCTCGCACATAGTTATGACTTTAGCACATATAAGTGGCGTGGTTTATCGGATAATTCACTTAGCCGGATAGTAATTAATTACGTAAGTTTAAATCTTGTCAAATAGAAGATCATCCCACTTTCAACTTGCAACATTCAACTTTTGACCATCAAATACAACGTCGGTTTTTCTAGCTTTCTTCAGCGAAGGAACGATTGCGCAACATGTACCCACGATGACTACGGAACCAGGCTCGCCAAAGCGGCGACATATACTTTCCTCTATCAACCCTGACCGCCGTTCGGAATCGCCTATAATAGAATCTTATACACCCCCCGAAGAGGCGCCACCTCCACATCCTGATACAGATAACGAACAACCATCAGCATCACTAGATGCTAACGAGGAGACTACGGAGGCAAGAGAAAAGAAGAAGACTTCAAAATTCCGATTCAAATCAAAGAAGACCTCGCGCTCTCATCGCCACTCTTCCCGCGATCGCGATCGTAACCATGACCAAGACCACAATGCCGCAGACGAAGACTCCTCCCACCGTCGCCATAGACACAGACATCACCATCACCACCACCGGCACAAGCGACGCCGCTCTCGCTCCCCCACGCCACCAAACCCATTCGAGCCACAACCGCTAGACACAGAAAGCGCGTTCCGGGAATCCCTCTTCGACGCAATGGCCGACGATGAAGGTGCTGCGTATTGGCAGAACGTATACGGGCAGCCGATCCACGTGTACCCTAACGCGCGTGCAGGTCCCGATGGCGAGCTCGAGCGCATGGACGACGACGAGTACGCGGCCTTCGTGCGTCAACGCATGTGGGAGAAGACACACGCGGGGTTGCTGGAAGAGCGGGCTAGACGGGAAGAGATGCGGAAGAAAAAGAAGGGTGAGGAGGAGGAGGCTAGAAGGCTGACGAGGGAGATGGAGAGGAGTTTGAGGAGGGGTGAGGAGAGGAGACGGAGGAGGGGGTGGAGGGTGGGGTTTGAGGAGTATTTGAAGATATGGACGGGTTGGGATGGGCGCATTGAGGAGATGGGTTGGCCGGTTAGGAGTGGACGGCGGGAGGATGTGAGTGCGGATGCTGTGAGGGACTTTTTCATTCTGGGAATCGATGCCGAGGATGTGGGTGAGGCGGAGTTTTTGGCGAGGTTGAAAGAGGAGCGGGTTAGGTGGCATCCGGATAAGATTCAACAGAGGGTTGGTGGGAAGGTCGACGAGGATGTCATGCGTGATGTCACGGCTGTTTTTCAGATTGTGGATAAGTTATGGTCAGATACCCGGTCTAAACGGCAGTGATGCCTACGACCACATATTTCTATTTTATTAGGAGTATCGGTTTGGTTTTTGGAATACAATTACGTGGATGATGGGATGCTGATCCTGAGAGCGTTCAGACGAAAATAAATATTTAGCATGATATGAATCATTGTTGGCGTGAAATCATTGCTTGATAGAGATCGTGCCGAGGATCTTCATGTAAATATTATGGTTCGTTTTCCTACCCCTTATCGTGTTACATCAGTTTGAAATCATACTGATATATATTGGATCTCGTACAACTTGTTTCCCCTGATATTTACTCGGTCATCAAAAAGCGTATATAGATCAATCAACAACTTCTACTTCAGCCATAACTCCCAAATGATCCGTAACCCAAGGCTTTTCATACCCGTAAGACGACACGATATACTCACTCTCTAATTCTAGTTCGTTTCTATCAAGTTGGACATCTATGCCGAATCTTTCAAATTTGTGCAACTTAAGACTTCCCGTGAAGTACACCTTATCCATCCTTGACAATCCATACTTATCCCTCTCCTCGGTTGATGCTTGCTGCCCCCAAGTATGCCCGTCATTACTATCTTCCTTGCCACCTAGCTCGAGATATGCGTCCTTGAGACCATTGTCTGAGTGGAGCGTCTTGTCGAAAGGCTGTATTGCGTTGAAATCGCCTGCCGCCAATGCGCCATCCACGCCATCCTCGTGCATATACTTCGCCATAACCTGCACCTGAGGCGGTCGAAAAGGAGGATCGAAAGCAAGGGATTCAAGGTGCGAGTTACACAACCTGATAGTTTTGGTTTGTCCACTACTACTGCCGTCGAGTAATATGTCAATAAAGAAGGCATCGCGACCCATGCGTGTCTTCTCGTAATGCACGCGGAAGCAGGACGTGATAGTCAGACGACGGTCCACCAGCGTAATGGTGCCGTAGTCATCCGCCCAGTTCGAGGTGTTGATGTCCGTGAAATAAAACTTCTCCCTAACCCACGGCTTATCCCCAATCGTACGGAGATCTTGTGCGATGCATTCCTGTAGAAATATGACCGAGGCCGTCGTTGATGGTAATTTCTCCAGAAGATCTCCAAGATAGTCTAAGGCGGTGTTCATCCGCTCTTTGGCGTAGGGGATCCGGAAGTCTATATTCCAGCTGAATAATGAAAGCCTCGTAATGCTCTTTCCGTTATGTGTCTCACTCAACGGGCTGACGTCCGCCTGCTGCCATGAGTTGTTATACGCATAGTACGGCTGCGGGCTCGGATGATCCGGATTGATACGTTTTCGGGATGACTGATCCATGGTTGTTAATGGGCGAGGTGAGATATGAAGGCGTTTTCTTAATTGAGCTGCTATTTGTCTTTTTAACATTCCCTTAGAATAGTTAAGAGAAAATCTTGGTGAATGAAGTCATCCTTCTAAGAGCTGAACGGTAGGGTATTGATGTACTACCTACCTAATGTAAGTACCTGGATATGCATATCCTGAATATATGTAACTCGATTTCTACATAGTATATCACAGTAAAAGGTATATTACTTTTAGATATATTTCTAGACTTTTATACCAGCAGCCAAGAATCCTTAACCCTCAACTCTGACGATATGAACATCAAACTCGTGGATACCTCAATTGCTATTCCTAAAGCTTGAAGGCTCATTGCAACACAGTCGATTGCAGATGCTACAAAACATGCAGGCGATCGAGATATTGGTTACACGGCTGGCTGCAGCGTTCTCACACATGGCGTGCTTTGGCGAGACAAATATTCTTAAATTTCAGATTGTCACTGGTTAAGGAATGATGGCTGCGAGTACATACCACCGCCGCATTCAAGATACCGTCTTTTGATTGGTTAGGTACCTAGATTATCATCACCTGGGACGGGATGAGTATTTCAGCTTGAGTAATATCTCAAGTTCATGCAAGATAAAGATTCAGGCTATTTTCTACCTATTCAAGTTCCCTCTTTTATTAGTAAGATTCTTTTATCCCATACTGACTCTGGCTATCCGGTCGGTTAAGGGATGAATCTAAAATCCCAGCTTTTCTTCACGTTCACCGTCACCAAAGCCCAAGGAAAGCTTCCCGAATAGTAAGTATGTCCTGAATTGATTCTTTTCAAACTCAATAAGATGAATATCTTCAAATCATCGGTAATTATTAAATTTCAACTGTATCATTTCTGTGGTTTGGGAATGGGATTCTAGTCCTTTGGTGATAAATGCTTAGGTATGGCGTGGCGTGTGCACCACCCACTTGCCCATCATGGTTTAGGTAGAGCCACAAAACCGATGTGATGGTTCTGTAAAATAGGCACCTAGACCCACTATGTAAGGGATGAAGATGTTGCGGTAAGTAGAATATTCCAAGCTTCGACATGCACACTGCTACTGAATGTCTCATAGGCGACGCCACGGCTGAACCCAAGACAACTTCTGAGAATGGGATCTTCGGATATCGCACCCTCACACGCGCCGCAATGGCTTGTACCATTATCGACCGTACTTCTCGGCTCTGGCGTGTTCTTCTGGTGCATCGCGTATGTTCTAATAACACGTCGTAGCATCCAGACGCGCTCATACGGAATGCCCCTCTTAGGTCTGGCGATTAATGTCAGCTGGGAGATCGTATACGGCTTTTACGTGGCCGAGATGCTGTTCGAGAAGCTCGGCTTCACCCTCTGGCTCATACTAGACCTAGGGCTAATTTATACCACCGTGAAGTTTGCACCTGAGGAGTGGGCGTCCACCAACAAGTTCGTCGGCCGACACATGGCTTCTATCTTAGCTCTTATGCTAGCGATAGGGTGCTGGGGTCACTACGCCTTTGTCTCGTGGTGGCTATCGCGTCCGGGAATCGGTATCGGTGATAAATCCGGCAAATGGTACTATGGCCAGGACGGATATGATACGACGGAGTTGGCTTATTGGTCAGCTGGGGTTGCCCAGCTTGTTCTTAGCAGCTCCAGCGTGGCAATGCTCGGTATTCGTGGACATTCTGGAGGAACTGGATATATAATTTGGTGAATCCTCTTTCCTCCTGTCCCTCTTTGTCCTGCCTATTATTTCGCCCCATCTTAATCACTCTGAAGAACCCTAAATCTCTTCTAATCGAATCGAATTCCTTGGAGCTAACATTAGAAAGGCTATGCAGGATTACTGGGTCTCTCCTTGGTCTAGGCTTTTGCAACGGCTTGTTATGGTGGTATTGGCCAGAAGCACATTCTTACTTCACTCACCCGATGAGTATCTTCATCGGCGGTGTGTCTCTCATATGCGACCTTGTATATCCTTTCGTCCTTTGGCACGTCCGCCAGTCAGAAAGAGTCATGGCCGATGGAAGATTGGTAGGAGCCCACATGATAGAGCCAGAGAAAGAAAAAGGACAATGACTAAACAGCTCCGTGGCGTTTCTGCTGACTCATTTTATCTCACCTCCCTCTTTACATAAGCATTGGAGATTATTTTTATAAAATGTGGTTACGTAAGTGATATATTGGTTACTAATCTTCGTGGCGGCGAGGTTTTAGGACATTATCTAATACGCCAGGAAACAATCCCTTACCCTCATAGATCCATTCCCGCTCATATATCCATTCCTGCGCTCGCCATGCAACTATGCCATCCGGCCTGACTAGAACAGCACCTGTAGATCCTACATTACATAACCTATTCCACGTACCGTCTCGATCTGTCCATCCTTCTTTATTGTCGATAACTTCCACGTGGATGAGTTCGCTCTGGAGCGGCACCCATTGAGGTGAATTCACCAAAAGCAGAAACGAGTCATGTCGGATCAGATGCCGCGTTGACACTTCTTTATCTCCCCTTTTCAACCAGGCATGCGGTAAATTGTGGCCCGGGATAGTCGAAGGATGGTAGTCCGTAATGTCATACTCACCGTCTTCTAGCAATTGACCATCATGGCGTGTCTTATCGCCTTCACGGTTTATGTCTGCGCTCGGATAGAACCAACCGATCTCTATGCCTGGAGCATTAAATTCAAGATCTAGATCTTCTGCCGCCTTCTTAACCGCATCCCTCTTCGCCTTGTATTGAGGATGGTTTGGGTCAGAGAATGCCCTAACCGCTTCGAGATTACTTTCGACAGCTGCGTCGGGCGAGATCCCGATAGCGGTGTCCATCACATTGCCATGATTGAGCATATTCGACAGACTGTTCGACGCGACCCGACGAGCGATAGGCTGTCTCTCAGCTTCATAGGTATCGAGGAGATTGTCGAAGCGTTTTGGATCAGGCGACCGGAGAGCAAACACAAGTTTCCAAATGAGATTGTAAGCATCCTGGATCCCTGTGTTCATTCCAAGCGCACCCCACGGCGGGAATCGATGAGCTGCGTCTCCGACTAGGAAGACCTTTCCACCTTTGCTCCTATATTGCTGTGCTACAATCGCGTTAACCGTCCAGCTGCTGATGCTCAGAAGATTGATATCTAAGTCTGGGATGCCTAAACTCCTTTGAATTCGCTTAATCGTATCCTCATTCTCGAAAGTACTTGGGTCTTCTGGCAGACGAGGGAAGGCGAATACCCACTCCGAATTTGCCTCTCTTTCTGGATAGTAGGGGCCGATATGATAGCAGTAGCCCGTCCCGAGACTTCCTCTCATCGTTGGATTAATAAGCCAGGAGAGAAAAACGTTCTTATCCGGATGAAGAGCCTCAAGCTCAGCTTTGAAGTGCACGGTCATCATCTCTACAATGTCTTGCTTTCCTTCCCAATCGATCCCGATGTTTTGCGCAAACCCACGACCGCCATCAGCGCCCAGCACGTATTGCGCGTGAACTTCTTCCTCGACTCCATCTTTAGTGCGAACGAGAAGAATCACCGATTCGTCCTCTTCCCGAACGCCGAGAACTTTCGTACTGTATCGTATAGCATTCGGGTTTAGACTCAAGGCTCGACGCTTCAGGATGGGTTCTAAGCGTATCTGTGGCAATATACTATATTGGGCGGGGCTGTTACGCTGATATTCTTCGGAACGCTCCCCAGCGCCCCAAGCTTCCCTCTTCACTATTTCGATATCCTCTTTTCCTAAGCCGGTATACCACGCGGTATGAGAGACTGATTCAAATGGAGCACGGTGTTTGATGAGTTCTTCCTCAATCCCCAAATGCTGGAAGATTTCAACTGTTCTTTGATTGATACCCAATGCCTTCGGATGAATCGATGTGTCAGGATATTGCTCAAATACGATATGGTCTATACCACTCATAGATAAAAGAATTGAGGAAACGAGCCCGACTGGACCGCCACCAACGATTGCGACGGGAATCATGGCGTGTTCAGGGGTGACGCAGATGAATAGTAAGAAAATGGTACAATGAATGGTTCGGTATCAAAAGATTATGAATCCGTAACCGTCAGCCGTTATTAATCGTTTTGTTTGGACGGCAAGTACCGCTATGAGCCAGGAAACAAATCCATGGACCATGGGCGACCCGGGGCTTTCGGTTGTGAAAACCGACTCAAGCGGAGGCGCGATGCGGGGTTTATGATAGAAATCCCGATCTCATTACCAACCCCTTTATGGTTTAACGGGGATGGTCTTTACCTACAACAATCGTATTACCTCAATAATGGTTAGTATTATTATTTTAAACCCGAACTTAGGATTTTTCTAACCTTGAGAAAATAGCCATTCCATTCGAGTTCCACTTCGGAATCGATAACGCTACCCACTATAGACCTCTACTTCTGAAAGTCAACTATCAATATATGATAATAACCTTGGAAGCTTGTAAGTAGAGATGAGATTGACGATCTACAGGATGCATTTATAAGGGGTTGGCCTAATTAGAAGATGATCCGCAGGAACCAAAGGTCTTGCTCTAATTACCTAGAGAGGAATTGAAAAGACGACGGCGCATCCCGCTCCCGGAAACAACGATGGAAGCCGGTTAACAATTTACATGAGCTAGGTACGCACGCCTATTGTCATGACGGAAGGAAGTTACGCCACCCAGTAGTAAGTATGCAAGCTTACCTAGTACCTACCTGAAAATCGAAACGGGTACCTCCGCATTCAAGGTTATTTTATGGGGAAGGAGTGGTTATTCTATATCGACCAGTACGAAAAGTTTCGTTTTATTTTGGAAACTCCGATATAGACAATATACTGATTGAATACTGAAGCGTATATTGAGAAGATGGTCATAAGTGAATAACGCATCTTAAGGTACCTTTCAAAGAAGGTGATATTGTGTAGGTACCTACATAATATTGAACGAACACAGCAACTCCGTACTTATAAAGACCTTGGCGAGCAGCTAGGGCCGCCGGACCATCATCGGCAGAGCTTTCTCCTGTGTATAAAGCAGCTCGTATTCCCAGGCTTCAACAAGTCATTCCACACTTGGGGTAAGTCATAACTTCCTAGATGTTGGCCGGAAGAGTACTAGGTATGTATCATAAACTCATTTATATAATTTAATTCTTCAGAATATTAAGCACTTAGCTCATCCATAATCACCTAGTTTCCATCATGAATACGACGAAAATCTCCTTTTCCCTCGATGCTCCTCCTGGTACGGACATCTGGAGAAAACCGCCTAGCACAAACGTGTTCAATGGTACTAACTCCCCTCATTCTCTCCCCACCTCTTTGCTGACGCCAGCCAGCTCCGATCACCAATACTGTCTCGGGCCCCCTTAAGAAGTTTCAATCAGCTCGTGTTACCTTCTGGGCCGAGTGGACCGAACGATATGACCAAGCAGGTCTCCTACTTGTGCCAAAACGCCTGTCCGATGCTTCTGTAAACCCACCCGAGAAATGGATCAAGACGGGTATTGAATTCTACCTCGGACAGCCGCAGCTTAGTACTGTAGGTTGTGATCGCTGGGCGGACTGGAGCGTCGCACCCCTGATACTAAAAGAAAACGAGATCGAACCTGCGAAAGCAGGGGGTGTCACCATTGAGATTGTTCGTGAGGGTGATGAGCTTGGGAAGAGTCTTTGGGTGTATAGGGTTGTTTCCGACAAGGATGGTAGCGTTGTTGACAAGATCCCACTGCGGGTACGTACCTAGTATTATACGCACCTCCCCCTTTATATTATCTTAAGAATCTTGAGAGGAAATTTTGACTAATACTTGTTTCTGCAGGAGATATGCTGGGTGCTCGCAGACGAGGACGAGGCCGGTGGCGAAGAATGGACCATAGATGTCAGTCCGTTGGTAGCCCGTCCAGGAAAGGACACGGCCGACTCACTCAGTGTTGATTTCAAATTGTTTGAAGTTCAATGGCTACCCTGATGGATTGGGGCGGCGTACGTTAAGATAAAATCTAGTTAGGGATTACCTTCAAGTACCTACGCTTTACTTTCTCGAAATCAACCTGAGGATACCTAGGTATACATGTTCATAAGTCATCGTGGGATTGTATGTAGTTGTTCGTGATAACTACCTCTACCTACCTGGTATCAAACAGTATATTAAAACTACCTAGATACTTGGTAGGTAAGTACCCGATCGTAATTGTTACGATGCACCTGCACCTCCTATTCATTAATGACACACTCTCAGTTTTCTGCGACAAATGACAGGGTAACTAGCAATATCTGCGTAATGTAGGTAGGTAGTGCCTGAGATATCCTCTGTTGCTATATTTATGGCACATCACGCTGTGGCATTCTCCTTGCATGATTCTAATCTTCAAGAAATTTCTGTTTGCTAGGTATGGATGAGTTCTCGCCTAGAACAAACCATCTGCTACGACTTCCCTTGTCATATATGACTAGATTCTTGAAGGAATGGGACATATTGACTTGGTGTCTAGAAACTACATCCATTGATGACTCGAGCTTTATATATCTATATAACCTCAGCGGGTCCCATAGACTCGACACTTTTCTTCCCTTCCCCCCGACCGACCCAGATAACACAACCAATTTGAGTCGTTCATATAAAGTTATTATTTACCATGAAAACTTTTGGTTTAGTAACCAAAGCTCTCCTCGGAGTAGCGCCTCGGATAAACGATGCCTTATTCGGCAGCAATGACTCTTTTACGATAGGGCCGGTTGTGCCATGTGCTGCGCTCACTAACAGCACTAGAAGTGTCTTCGCAACTCCTACAGTCAACATTCCGGATCTTGCGTTGGTGTCGACGATAAGCCTCATCACTACCCCTGTTGTGCGGTTGGACGCTGTGCGGAATGATGAGGGGGTTACGTTTTCGGAGCAGTTGGTAGACAGCGTACCGCCAAGGATCACCATCGACACGATTATAGCTGTGGTCAGACCCCAAGAGATCACAGAGGCTGATTCTGAGCAGGTAACAATTGCGCCAGCCTCACCTGGCCTATCTGATATATCCTCTCCTATCTCTGTAACGTCTTCGGATTACCACTGTAGGGGTCGGGATTAAGGAGGAAGGTCTGCCATTCGATATGCCTTATATGATCAAGAGTGACGTACAGGGCGATGTAAACCAACTTCTACTCTTCCCTTCACATCACATTCTGTTGATATATTAGGTAATGCAATGCCTAAGGCTACGCGTTGAAGCAGATGGATACCTACATACCTAGGAGTATTTATACTTTTACCATAGAAGTAAATATTATGTTCTAGTGGTACATGGGGTTTCCTGGATTGGGAGTGGTGATTGGGTACATCTTGTATCTTGCATAAACTAGCCCTATGTGCGTTGCGTCCTAAAGATGGATGCTCTTGCTTTTTCTACTAATACCTACTAGGTACCTACATACTCGTTACTTTGGTAAGGGTGCTAGATATTAGCGACTATACCTAGTAGGTTATGCGTGATTTATTTGGCGACACGATTGAATACCTGAGGTACTAGGTAGGTACTTGATTATCAAACAGGTATATCTATCTCAGGCAATCGTAGTCGTCGCTGGCGCCTTTGTGTAACATATTTGAACGTGTCCGTGCACCACCAGGTAATTTAGTAGTTAATAGGTACCTACCTACACTATAAGAGGGGCCTACTATTTTGCAACGTCCCAACGCGGTCGCGTGTTTGCTACTTTAACACTACTAAGTACCTATTTTACAATCCCATTTACTTCTCGCCCACCTCGTTACGCAAAGCTAACTTTAGAGATACTAAATAATATTGAAGATATTCGTCATGGCAATACTGGAAGAACTTCCCGGTGTGGAAGTCACCGTGGTAGTTGCCGGACGCGATGCTGTCGAATATGACGATCCTGATGCATCGGAACAGCCAGCTGGGGTAGAAAATTACCCTACTTCGACAAAGTACATCGAATGCATCGACGGTACTAATTTCAGTATTAAATACAATTTCACTGGAAATTACGATTGGAGCTATCGAAACCACTCCCTTTGTCTACGGCTCAAGGCTGATGGGACTTATCTCCGTGGTGTCTTAATTGGGAAACATCACTTAGTCGCCAATCGTAAGGTATATGAAGTCCAAGACAGAGTATTCTATAACACGGAAACACGGGAATGGCAAGGCCAGAAATTCAAGTTTTCCACCGTTACAACTGGTATTAGTATACTATACTTTACACGTGCGGGAATGGTTGGCTGATATATTCATACTTTAGTTGACGACGTGTCGAAGGATCGCATTCGAGGCGACATGGAGGTTGCTAAGAACCTTGGAACTATCGTGATCGAAATTCATCGGTGTAAAATCCTGGATAACTCTCCTCCCCCTACAAAAGCCGGTAAAGCTTCTGAATATGAACTGTCCGAGAAGAGTCTTAAGGGTAAAGCGATATCGCATGGTACATCGTGAGTGCCTCGAGCTAAAAGAGAGGAAATAAACTCAATACTAACCTCAATCTCGTTCTAAGCCTTTCACCACCCAACAAAATCGGTGCTCTGAGATTCTCTGAGACGGAGTACTTGGATAAGGCGCCAATTGCGGTATTCCAATTTCACTACAGATCAAGAGGTAAAAAAGGATGGTATATTTCGATTCTCGGACAGCTCTGAACTAACTTCTTAGATGCTCTCAAACGTGAGATGATTATTCCTCGAACTCCATCTCCTAGCCCAGGCGCAAGACGAGGTATTGCCCACATGTCGCGGGCGGAATTGGAACGGTTGGCTCGAGAGAGACTCGAACAGCTGCAGGTATGTCGTTATCATACGCCGATATGATTTCGTAAGTAATTAACTTGGATTAGGGGGGTGGTAACGTGAAAGAAGAGCGTAAGCCTGCCATCAAGAAAGAATCGAAACGGAAGGCGGATGCAATTATCGACCTGAGCGACGACAATCCACGGCCTGCGCCCTCCCCGGTATTCATCGATCTCACAGACGATTAGGGGGTTTACTTTAGAAATTGATATGGCATTAAATTTATGCTAATGGATGGTTAGGCTAGGAAAGCCTTCATGAATGGAGTACGGTTTGTTTCTAGATACTCGGGTACCTGGGTAGGTAATTAGTAGAACTAGCTTTGTAGAGATGCATTATAATAAACTTGGGGAGTTTAAAAGTTATAGTGGGGGAATTAAGTAGCTGGATTAGCTGAGCTGGCCTACGTACCTAGTACTCCCTTGCATCGGTCTAGGTATAGTGGATGAACCCCAACCAATTTTCAGCTCCCCACCTGCCAACAAGACATCAATTAAGTACCTAGTACTACCTAATAAGGCATTGTGTGCTGAAGTAGCTTAATTTTTTTTCTCCCCTACACTACAACATCGAAAATCCCATCTCTTTGCTTCCCGAAGCTATCGACGTTTAGCATGGCCGACACATCGAAACCCGTCAAGAAGGCGTCGCCTATCAAGAACGGCTACCTCATCCTTTACAATGCCGTATCTGCGGTCCTCTGGCTCACAGTGCTTAGTCGCGTCGTCAGCGCCAATATAACAGGCGGACCTCTATTGGTGTACCCAACAGTCGGCGAGTTCTGCAAATGGACACAGACGGTGGCTGGTATGGAGGTCTTGCACTCGCTTCTAGGTATGTTCTGCCTACCATTGTACCCTCCATGCGCGAATAGCCATTGTGCTTGTGTTTTAAGCGGCCTGACGTCTCCGTCTCAACCTTATACCCAATTAGTTGCTAACTGGTCCTAATACAAACAGGCGTCGTTCGTGCCCCCCTTTTCACGACCTTTATGCAAGTCTTCAGCCGATACGCGATCGTATGGGGTATTACCGACCTATTCCCCGAACTAGCCCTCGGTAGTGATAGCGGTGATAGCTATTCGAGCTTGGCCTATTCGTCGATGCTGGTCGCTTGGGCTACTACTGAGATAATTCGATACTCATACTTCGCTCTGGGCTTGTCGTCGGGCGGAAAGCCACCGTATGTCCTACACTGGCTGCGATACCACGCCTTCTTTATCTTGTATCCTGTCGGCATATCTAGCGAGGCGTACTTGATCTGGCGTGCTGTTGAGCCCGCCAAGGAGGCGGTCAGCCCTTTATACTCGACGGTGCTATTCGGATACGTGGCATTGGTGTATCCTCCGTGTAAGTGAATTCTGCCGTATTCTAGTTATTGAAACATAGTTACTGACGATTAGAATCTATAGCCGCCTATATCCTGTATACACATATGATGGCTCAAAGAAGGAAGGTCATGAAGGCAGCTAAGACGTCGGACAAGAAGGCTTCGAAATAGAGCTAAATACCTCAGTCATATACTACCATAGAACTGCGAGTTTCAAGAGCATTTTGCGCGAAATAATATATTCATGGATACCCCAAAAAGGGGGATGGTGTATCATAGAGGTTGTTCGTTGGTATCAAAACAAATATACAATAGAATCAAACTCAGTACGCATTGTACTATACGGTCACGCTTCGATCGATTTGCGCGTGCTCGTTTCATACCACTCGTTGCGTGTCCAGCGCACAATCAGTTGCTTAGCATCTTCGGATAACTTGTGGTATCCGGGGTTCTCCTTCGGCTCGAACATAGCTGTGCGTGTTTTAGCTGGTATGCACTCCATTAAAGAGAAAAATGGGACCAGTCGATAAAAAGGGAGTGGAGAAACAAAGAGATAGATTTACCCATATGCGCACCGATTTCTTCCTTCGCCTTATCATTTATGGCTTCCAACCACAACCCGGACTCCTTCTTCGTGGGCACATTGCAGAAAGTGCGCTGGTTTCCCATGACGGTGCCAACCATGCTGACCTCCTTCGACGATGCCGCACGTCCTAATCGTGTGTATAGGTTGGCGAATCCGACCCCCATATCTCTGTGAATACAGACCATGCGCGTCACCCGTTCTCGAAGCTCTGCTCCCCGCGCGAGACACCCTACGAACTCTAGATGGGAGCTAACCCACGTGAACCCCGAGTTGAGCTGGTCCCGATTCATGTAAGCCGCTGCACCACCTGCCGCGATGGCTCCGGCTGCTCCGGCTATTACGGCGACACGTCCCCACCCCCAACCGCTATCTTGTTTTTTCTCCTTTACCGGCTCCGGGGCCGGTAGCGCTGCGGGCGGCTTCTTTGCGTTGCTTCCACTGGATGCCTGGTTGTAGTTCCCCCAAAAGATACTTGATAGTCCGTTGAGTTGTGTTAGCGCAGCAGCCGCGCTATTGTAGTGCCCCTCGGCGCCGTGCGCCACGACGCCGGGAGAAATACCTAGGTACGGGGTATCGAAAGCTAGTACGCCTTGGATATAAGGAAACATGAGACCATTGGTTAACGGCTCACCGACATTAGGCGCCACGCTGTCGCCGTCGTCGTGGGTAATGGGAACTTCGGATGCTATCGCTATGGCAGTATCGGCTGCTACGATGCCGCCCATAGAGTGTCCTATTAGGATAACATGAACGGATGGATCGATAGTCGGGGAGTGCGTGCCGTTGGCAACTTCGAGGTCGATGACTTTGTTTAGTAGCCAGTCGCGGAAGCGGCCGACGCATTCTTTTAGGTCACCTCGGGTCTCATAGCGAGGATAGGTAATGGCGCGAACGGAAACTTTTGGTAGGGAAGCGCGGACGAGGGAGGCGAGATGTTGGGCGAATTCGGACTTCTCGCCGAAAGTGTCATCACCCCCTTTTATTTGCCATCAGTTAGAAACAGAGGAACGGGGAACGGGGGAAAGAGACAAAAGGATGTATCATGAATGATAGACGTTAGCTTACCCTTGAAGCCATGGATAAAACACAACAACAGTGTCTTCTTCATCTTGTGTCCCCATCGAGAAAATAATATCGGATGTAAGAATTAAAGCTGAGGGTCGAGATGGAAAGTTTCAGATAAAGTATGGCCTAGAACTTCATAATACAGGCACTAATTGTTAGTTGAGTAGGGCTGTAGGATCAGCGCCAGAACCCTTGGAAGGTCCACTATGACCCGATGGTTCGTTCTTGCTGAAATGACGTTTCTTCAGCAGGTGGACCCACCTATGATTCGAGGGCGACTCCCCTAATTTGGCACATATTTATGTAAATAAGAGCATTTAAGTGCATAAGCCCCAGGTCATTTCGAAATTTGATTTGTTTAAATAACAGAATGCGGACCTTCACAACAAACCCAAGTTTACATTCATGTTGGTTCGTTCAATGTCGAGCCTGAAAACGCAATACATCACGAATAGGAGTCAAGTCCGATATCAGGAACCCTCCACTGGTACCATGGTCCAATATCTGATCTCCACGACTCCAGGTCCTGGCGATCATTGAATACAGCTGTACTCCATACCATCATGAGATCTTCGCGAGACATAACTTGAAACAACCCTCCTATCAAATCGGCATAATGTGGCTATTAGTAAGTGGCCGCTAATCTCTGCACTAGGTATTGCCCGCTATTGATTCCTTCGTATTTCCTCTCCGTCTCAGCAGCGTACGTTCCGGGAATGGCTTCGATAAAGCTCTTGTAATTGGGATTGCAGAAGTACCTTAAAGCGCAGTTAATAATTATTCTTGAAGTCAATCAGGACTGAATAAACTTACGCGATGCTATATCTGGCCGGATAGACATCGGTGTCTCCCGACGGTGGCTCTACCACACGATGGATGGTGCTTTTGATATTATCGTTGCTCCATCTAGCCAACAAATCACCGGCGTTCACCACACATGTATCCTCGATTGGCGTCGCATCGACGAAAACACCTGTTGGGCTTCGGACCTGCAAACCACCACGAGAATCTTGGAACAACAAGGTTATAGAACCGTAGTCGCTGTGTGCTCCGGCGCGAACTTGGCCTGGATTGATGGTGAAGACGTCCTTTTTGACCTCGGGGTAATGAAGAAGTCGGAGGGTGTTATCACCCACATCGGTGTAACAGTCAAACCACGCCTCATCGATACCGAGACCGACTGCTATGGCACGCATGACTTCCATATGAAGATCCTTGCATTTGTTATGGAAATCAAGCATTGTCTCCTTGAAGCCCACTAGTTCTCCTTCCTCATCCGGCCAGTGGTTAGGGTGGTCAGGTTCACCTTCGCGGCCGATCTCCAAGCTCTCTTTTAAGTCGGGCGCGGCGTCCCTCAATTTCTTGACATCGTTTATGTCGGTCAGTGTCGTGGTTTTCTCGCGGCCCGGTGCCGAGTAGCCCCTATTCGCCTCCGGAGTCAACCAGCAGTGAGACATCTTGGTCTCAGTGGGCAGCCTAAAGTACTTCGCTGACGTCTTAAACACATTTTGACGGTACTCGGACGTGATGGGTAGGCCCTTAAGGTAGATGAAGCCAGCAGTTTGAAAGCCGTGAAGGATGGCCTTGGCGGTCTCCCTCCTCTGCTCCGGATTTCCATTTAGGAAGTGGGAGAAGTCAATAAGCTACGTATTTCCTATGCTTAGTCACTCGTTCTCCTAGCTTAGGATTGAATACTTATCCTAGGAGACCTACCGGGATGACAAGGCCCTCGCTTTTCACTGCCGCTGCCTCCATTATTGTTTTTAACTTATTGAGTACACAGATCAAAGCTGCTAGACTGATTTCTTATAATGAAAAGTCAGTTACTCACACGTGAGTTGGCAGGCTAAGCTGGAGTATTCGACGTAGAAGAGGAAGATAAAACACTCTTACTTACTGCGAGTAAAGTGTCGTCGAGTTGTGCTACGATAATTATTTGAGATGAGAGTGAGTGGAGGTCGGCCACTTCCGATAGGAAACGAATCCTCGTGAGAATCCCAAACCTTTAATATCTTTTGGTCTTTGCGCAGACTCCTTATCAGTGAGGCCAAGTATCCTGTCAGCCAATCCGAAACTAGAGGAAACAATGCAGCTTGATATCCAATTCGACCTAGTATATAGTACAATTACTCATGACTAACGATATCGAAAGACCTCGGGTATCGCCCGCATATATCGGAGATATCTTACTATAATATCTCGGGACCCCACAATAGATAAGATGTCTCCATTCAGATGGGACATGGACAATGTGGGGTATTGCTGCGACATACAAGATCCAAGGTTCGATCGATCCATTTAGTAAGATCCGTATAGTTTACCTTGGTTATCTTGGTTCTAGGTTTTAGGTTGTATGTACTTTCCTCCACTTCCCTAAGACGATAACTCGCATGTATCAAAGGTAAGAAACCTAAAAATAGGGGTTGCTCCGTACCTACATAGATGAAGAAGCAGCTAAACGAATATTCACAGGTTGGACTCAAAAAGAACACCTTATTTCGACAGCTTTTGTATAACCGGCTTACAATTATCGACGTTTTATATCTTCGTTGAGAAAAATATAGATCGAGTTATTTCACAAGGATTGTGAGAAATTAACACGATGGACTCAACGACACCTCGTGTGGTGGATATCCACACTCACATGTATCCTCCGGCATACGTCCAACTCCTGGAATCCAGAAACAGCATCCCTCTAATCCGCAAATTCGCTGGTGCGGAGGCACCTCGTTTAATAATTCTACCCGCCGAGGCGGAATCGCTAGACAAGAGTACTTCTGAAAACCCGGGGAAACCATCTTCCCACCTCCCCGGCCGGCCTGTAACAACTCACTATTCGTCACTAAGCCAGAAGTTACACTTCATGGACACACATAAGATCGATATCTCAGTTATCTCACTCGCAAATCCCTGGCTTGACTTCATCGCCCCTGAGGACGCCGGCGAGACGGCTAAATCCATCAACCAAGAATTTTCGAACATGTGTGGCGAAGCCCCAGGTCGCCTCTTTTTCTTCGCCACACTACCCCTGACTGCACTCCCCGAGACACTTCTCGCAGCTGTAGGATACGTCCGCAGCCTTAAGTACTGCCGAGGCGTCATCCTCGGCACGTCAGGTCTCGGAAAGGGGCTCGATGACCCAGCATTGGTACCCGTATTCCGCGCTCTAGCCTCTAATAAGTTGACTGTGTTTCTGCATCCTCACTATGGACTCCCGAGCGAGGTTTGGGGCCCGCGAGCAGCTGAGTACGGACACGTCCTCCCGCTAGCCCTTGGCTTCCCGATGGAGACGACGATTGCTGTCGCACGCATGTATCTTGCCGGCGTGTTCGACCAAGTACCAGAGCTTCGGATGGTGCTCGCGCATAGTGGCGGGACATTGCCGTTCTTAGCAGGGCGTATAGAGAGCTGCATTGTACACGACGGACATCTTGTAAAAGAAGGGAAGGTAGGGCCAAGCAGAAGGACGATATGGCAAGTTTTAAAAGAACAGATTTTCCTCGACGCGGTCGTGTACTCGGAGGTTGGGCTGAAGGCAGCGATCGATGCTAGTGGCGTGGATAGGTTGATGTTCGGGACGGATCACCCGTTCTTCCCGCCGCTAAATACCGACGAGCAGGGTGAGTGGGAGAGTGTGACGTGGAACGCGGAATCGGTTCGGAAGGCTTTAGGGGAGGGTAGCGAGGCTGCGCGGGCAGTTATGGGTGGGAATGCCGTCGAGATCTTGATGTTACACGAGGACGATTGAAATATTCATATTTATGTGAGAATATTGGTATACTCATGGTGCAACTCATCGCTCCAACTCCCTTGGTCTCTCACTTACACAGTAAGGAAATCTTCGAGATGACAATTCATAGTCCTTATATAGAAGAGAATTAACTAAAAATCAATACAATAACATTCACCAAGCGAGAAACTCTTATTAGATGTCTTGTGACGAGTTGCTTTAAGGGGTAATGGTGTAGCTGTCTTCGTTGATCCTCAGTTCCAACTTCTTATCCTAAACGGCCTCGGGTTCCGGTAAATTACTTACGATTGATGATAGCACGGTCTTCGTCAACCCTAGTTAGCTCTTTCTTCAAATTATCTGTCGGCGAGGCTATATCCACAACGCCGTTACAACATGAACGAATGTCGTGAATCCACAAGAACCGGGTCTCTTGTCTGTCTACCTGAGGAAGGCACCAATTAATTTCTTTCAAAAGCGGATCATCTCATAAGTAACATGAGCTATGGACAATTTTGTCAGCTGCTATCACCAATCTCACTGGCGTGTCAATTTACCTCTACTTTTCCATAAAACATGTTAACCGCACTTTCAATCTTCGATTTCCACACAGCCATTTCAACCTCGAAATATGGAGGCTACCAAAAATCTCGTGTGTGCCAATTGTGGTGCTGAAGTTTTAACAGATCTTTATACGTGTATGAGCTGTTATGATGTACCCGTGTATGCGGATGGCGAGCTCTTCGATGTTTACTGCGATTCGAAGTGCCAACAACAACATCTGGTGGAGCATAAGACTAGATGTGAGCCGCGAATGAAACGAGTTCAGCTTCTCAGAACGGCAAAGTTGATGAAAGCTACCTTTATGACGTTCCGCGAATGCTTGTACGGAAGGCCGCTGGTGGCAATCAATATCCGTAACGGCGAACTCCATTTACATATCAACCCGGAGCCTCCATTCGATACATGGTATTACCCATTCCCTGATGGGATCACTACTACTACCGAACACAAAGAGGCAGCACTCTCCATCCAAAACTGCAATGCTTGCGCAAGCATATGTAGTCCTCTAGCCCGCCACTTTTTAGAAGGTGAGTGACTAACTCGTATGAAATTAATATGGGCATGACTGACGAAGGGAAAGGAATCGCTTTAGAGATGGAATTATTCTGCCTGGACGTGAAGCCGCGAATACTGGCAAGATATATGTCGCCAGGGGGCAACCTGGATAGACCCGCCGATGACTATCCCCTGCACACCGTGATAGTCGTGTCCATGCAAGACGAACGATGGGTTATCGACATAACGGGAAGCCAATTTGGTTTCCCAGATCTCATCTGTCCCCTGGACACGTATCTCAAGAAGTGGGAGGGCCATCTCGAAGCCTTGCCATGTCCTTACCCCGTGGGCGAAATAGCCGATATTGAACAAAGCAACTTCTTCCCAGCCAGCTCGAGCGTTAGAGTAAGCCCCGAATTCATGGCGCACCGCGCCCACGAAGAAGCCGGTCGTTATCACCTCAAGGCACTAATAGAGAGACGGTTCTTCGACGCCGAAAATCCGAGTCTCGCATCCGATTACCTGAACCAGACCGAAGAAGAATTCCGAGATGGACTTGCAGGATGGGTGGTTGAGGTCAGAGAGCATATGATGGAATTCGTTCGACGTATGACTGGAAGGTTCCACCCAAATGAATAAGTTCAAAGACAGTCGGTTTTGAAGGACGTTAACTTGTGTAAATATCACGGTCAACCCATTTTCTTCGGCGTTTAGCCTTTTGCTTTTACTTAAAAATTCAATCAAACCAAAGGAACTTGCCTACTAGGTACTACCTACGAGTAGGTAATGGAACGAATCATTTCCAAGTTGTCGATGTTATCGAAGGTTAGAGATGGGGGGTCGTAGATTGTAAACATTTATTTCTTGGGCATACCTTAGGTTAGTTGATAAACCCGAACCAGGAAGTGGGATAATAGACCTAATGTTAGTCGATATTTAGGGGATTGGTGAGGAATTATAGCGTATTTATAGTGCGTGATCGTTATAATTAAAGAGTCCTAGAAAATTTATAGGGGGCGCACAGGGCTTACTTAGGTAGGTGCCTAGGTAGGTAGGTACGCAGGCATAAACTTCGTGTTTTCTTTAAAACCACTCGAAAACTACTAGTAACATCCCCGGAGCCTTTGGGGTGCTGTAGGCCGCTGAATTTTAGCGAACTTATGCGTTGAGTTCGGCTCCTGCTCCAGTCTGAAACAGAGCGAACAAAGCCCCTCCCTTTAGGCGGCCCCCAAGGTTCAGGTAGGTGCCTAGGTACCTACCACAGGCGGTTTATGCGGTCACTGTTGATAAATCCAATGCTCGAGGCTATTTCAATCGTCGCCGGTCTTTTGGTTATCATTTGCCGACTCACTTTATTAAGATTTGAGCATCAATCTATCTCCCTCGACCATATAAGCTTCCATTAACAATAAACAGAATTGTGAACGAAATATCGCTTGAAAACCGATGATCAGGGTCCGGCATCGTCGCTTAGCGAACACAAGAATCAACCAAAGCCTGAAGATCATGGCACCGACTCCATCCATGTTTAGTTCCCATGGTTAACCATTGGTATCTTTTACGATGCAACTCCACGCGTACGTACAGCCACAGCGCTTATAGGTTGGATGGAATGATCATTGTCATTGGCAGTTTTGATTGCTATCAGCATCGAAGTGCAATTTGCAACATAACGCCACCTGCAGGAGTGAATATCATAGCCACTACTATCGCCGTATAGATGGATAAGATGCATCTTAAGCGTGTTTACCTACATATAAAGCGCTCGCCGAAAGAGGGTGGTAGCGGTGGCTTAACTACCTAGCAATATCCAGACTTGGTCCCTGTCGAGTGATAAAAACCCTGGAGGTACTCGGTCGATTCCAACATGGGCATTGAGCAGCTTCGGAAATTCTAAGTTAGCCCGTCGAACACTCGAGGCACAATGTTCGTTTAGAGCTACTGGCGACACGGTTCCTGATGAGAAGCTTCTGAGTTTAAGATCGAACCCTATGGTCCTAAAGCTTCGTGGGTACGCCTTCGACCATATCACCACCCTATCCCAAGCCCCCATAAAGGAACTATACCCCAATGGATCACAGCATTTCTACAACGGAAGAGACGACATTTTTGGGGTATTTGGCCGCATGATGGACCCCGGGGGCTTCGATACCTTAAAGGAAGTGCTGCTCCAATATGCGCAGAATCCGGAGAAGGTTCAGGAAAAACTTAATAATCACTTCCGAACACACCGGGACTATCTCCCGGGGGAGGCAGTGAAAATCCTGAAGATGACCCAAGGCCACTGTGAAAAGTCGGGATGTTACGAGACAATAGAAACTTTGACATGCTTGGATCGCTGTTTCTTCCGCACATCAAATGGTGCATTCGTGTTTTGTCCATGGACGGCACGAGAGGGTGATGTGGTCACGATGCTCTTCGAGGCGAAGGTGCCATACTTGTTGAGACCCGTTCGAGGCTACATCGATCAAATTGTCGATGATACCTGTGCTGATGCATATCAACTAGTTGGTGAGTGTTATTTGGACGGTTATATGAATGGCGAGATCTTGGAAACACAGAATGCCTTAAGCATTCAAGTTTTGTTATTTGATTTGGTGTAACTAGGTAGGTAGGTGGGTAATCGGTTCGCGAGGAGCTTGTTGTGTGTTTTTGACAAGATTCAGGATGGCCAATTGTAGATTGATTAGAAAGATTCGATTGATTACATAATGAATTGGCTTACATAATGGCGGGGTATCGGAAGGTCGTGGGGACTCAGGACCTGATGTCCCTGGGCTTGGATTTAGGTAATTGGATTAGTAAACAATTTATTACCTAGTAGTACCTACCTCCTATAATTATAATCTTTGTCTACTAGGTACCGAAGGCAAAATTGGCCGAAGATCATGAAAAAGGTAGTACCTAGGTAGATAAGATAGAACCATCGCTCTCAATTAGCATGGGCAATATCCCAGTATTTTAGGGCAGTTGTCCAAGTATTAGTTACGGCGCAAAAAGAGGCCATCGTGATTATTATTTTCCCTTTCTTAGTACCTGCACAGTCATCAAGTGTCGGTGAAAAAACTTGGAATGATTTATCTGTGCCTCATTACCCCAGATTATACTACTAGGTATGTACCTAGTAGGTATTGTACCCGCAAAAATTCAGTGAAGAACGACCTGAAATAAGCCTGAAACAGTGAAACGAAAGGTCCTACCCACTGGAAACAGCAACCCCCCTGTACCCAGCAGCCTAGACTAGGCTGCTTAGCAACTGCCTGCTAGGTGCCTACCGTAACTTTGAGGTGTGGAATTACCTTGGTTCGGAGTCTAAGCGATTTGAGGCACAATCACCAACACAACGGATGCAACGCTCCAGATCGGTGGAAACTAGACTTATTAAGTGTGCGGGATAAAGTTTTATTGAGAATTTGTAAGCCGCTAAGAGAAATTCGTGTAGCCGGATATTCATGGGAATCGCAATCGCATCCAAAGAATGCAATTCTGCGACCCAAGCCACAATTATATCATTCTGTTTGTCAGCAGAAAATATACCACCGCACACCACTGATTTCTAATTGACTTATGTCGATGCCTTGTTGTCCATTGGTAGACAAGCCAGGTAGATAATATAAATATAAATAGGTAGTGAAGAAGACCTCTGTTTTCTTCCGACTCGTAAGTCTCATTCTCTTTCTCACTATCACTACATACTAGACACCTAACATCCGACATACAGAAGCTCCAACCAGTTCTCAAAAATGTCTTCCCAAAAAGCTCTTGTCATTCAGCCCGAAAAGGTCGCGGCAGTGATCCCCGATGCTCCCATCCCCAAGGTTCGTCCTGGCTTCGTCAAAGTTAAGACTGTCGCCGTAGCTCTCAATCCTACCGACTGGAAGCACATCGATGGATACGGTGCCCCTGGCTGCTTTGTGGGCTGCGACTATGCCGGTATCGTAGAGGAAGTTGGTCCCAACGTAACCAAGTCGTTGAAAGTCGGCGATAAGATCGCTGGCTTTGTTCATGGTGGTAAGTTTGTGCGAGAAAAGGGGTTGCCTCGGGGGTGCCCCCACCAAATGCCTATCCATACGTATGCTTACTCATTCATGATTATAGGAAACTCTGATAGGAAGGATGATGGTGCCTTCGCTGAACACATTGTGGCACATTCCAACATTGCCATCAAAGTCCCCGATAACCTCCCAATAGAGGAAGCGGCGACGTTAGGTGTGGGTGTCACTACCGCTGGTCAAGGACTCTACCAATCACTCGGACTCCCCTGGCCTAACGCGCCGGCCAAGAAATCGTTCCCAATTCTAATCTACGGAGGTAGCACCGCCACCGGCACACTTGCAATCCAGTACGCGAAGCTTTCTGGTCTCCAAGTCGTCACCACTTGCTCGCCCCGTAACTTCGATCTCGTCAAGAGTCTTGGCGCAGACCACGTTTTCGACTACAATTCGCCCACTGTAGGAGCCGATATCCTGAAAGTCACCAACGGCGAGATCGCCCACGTCTTTGATTGCATCTCCGAAGGCTCCTCTCCCGCCATATCGGCTGAGGCGATCGGTCCTAAGGGTGGCAAATATAGCGCTCTTCTACCGGTCGAGTTTCCTCGAAAGGATGTTACCTCTGCCATGACTCTGGGCTACGTGGCTATTGGCGAGACGTTTTCCAAGTTTGGTGTGGAATGGAAGGCTACCCCTGAGGACTTCGAGTTTGCTTCGAAATTCTGGAGTCTTACCGAAGATCTGTTTGCCCAGGGTAAACTAAAGGCCCACCCAGTTAGTCTTCGTGAAGGTGGCCTGGAGGGGATCCTTGGAGGTCTAGACGAGATGAGACAGGGCAAAGTCAGCGGAAAGAAGTTGGTCTACAAGATTTGATATTTAGGGGGGCTTATAATGAAATCCTGTTGCTTGTCGTTAGCTTAGCTACTATGAAGTAATATATCCTTGTTGAAGTATATGGTAGACGTACAATCAATTGTATAGATATCGAGTTTTGATTTCCATCGGATGTTTGATCGACTCAGACGGCAGTATCCTCTAGATTATCTTGATGTAACTATGTCTATACCGAACGTAGTCTACGGTCGAACCATTCTCCATTGGAATTCGGCGCCGAATTACCTAACCTGTCGGCGTATTCGGAGCCCTAGAAACGCCCCCGACTTAAAATGCAACTCTATGCTTCTTAGTGGGTAACACGATGAGGTGTCATAATGATATGTAAAAAGATCCTTGTAGAATTGTTGATCCATTATGAATAGGATCTTAGTTAATTCATAACGGTTTATATACACTTGTAGTCAATCCCCCAGTTTTCGGTACTTACTAGGTAGGTAAGTTATTTCCATATGAGGACTTTCCATAAGACTGAAATTATATGTTAGAAAATGGGGGTGTTTTTGCGTAGGATGTTACCACTATCCCAAAACTCGAGTTAAGGTCCATGGATGACATGCCGAGATACGTGCCAAGAGTATGTTGGTGTGATAATGCGTAATAGTATTCACTATTATTGGATGATCATTGATTATAAATACATATCAATATATGCAGGAAGGATCAGATATGTCACTGCTAAAGCCCCGAGAACATAATGTAGCCCGGGAGCCCGGTCTCTTGTGGGAGATAAATAGGTTCCGTGATCCCTTTTTCATAGACCTTAAAACCATAAAGATTCATCAGCTTGTTAGGTCTCTCGTTCTACCTAAGTACTAACAGTCCTTGTCATAATAGGTACCTAGACAAACCATTAGTACCAATCTTCTTCTCTCTATATATACCTACAATATACCCACTTCACTATGACAGACATTGATTACTACCAGCGGTTAATAGAAAAGTTTTCTTGGGATAACAAGCCACTTCTATTAGCTGCAGGAGCCAGCTATGTTGTTGGTTATCTACAATATTTCTACGCAATCCGACTTTCATTAAGGGAAGGGAAAAGTCCGATGCCCTTTTGGATGCACTTATTCTATCTAGCCCATGATTCTACTTGGTCGTACATCCTCGGTTCAGCTGCTACTCGATACAATGAGCACTGGTTTCTTAGGGGCACCTCTACTGCCCTCTTCGTTTGGTCCTGCTTGGAGATCTATTGCATTCACAGAGCGCTTACAAAAGATCGAGAGGCTGAATTCGCGACTACCTTCAGTAGTACCCAATTCAACGTTCGCTCCATAATCACGTATGCGATAGCGATGCAGCTGGCAATGTACGCTGTAGTTCTTTTGGGAATAATGTTGATGGGCGAAAGATGCTTGATGCAATGGTTCTGTCTTACAAATGTACTCATCGTCATCGGCCCAATCCACGATTACCTACGAAGGGGCTCAAGAAGGGGGCTCTCTCTGGGCTTTTGTGTTGTTAACATTGTCGGAACAATCTGGACTTTCGCTCCATTCGGTTTTTGGGTTTTAACGATCCCCGAGGTTTTCGACAACGCCATATATTATGTTTCTGGTGTCATACTCACAATTTGCGTTGTCTGGGAGTTTTTTATCGTTGCACAATATCCGCCGAAGTTTCAGGGTATAAACAAGCCTGTTCCAATATGGTAAAACTGGATATTCATCATAGACTCGGAGTGTGTGCTTTATCTTAGAATACAATTTCAGTACACAAGTTGAAATCTTTCGTGATTAGTGGTCTAAATTGAAAATCAGGCTCAAACTACGAATTTTCTAAGTACATATTATTCATTTAATAAACGTATATAGGTACCTACCTACCTACCGTGAGAAAATCTGGAACTCTTTCGCGTAATGGTTAGTGAGTTCTTCTTTGGTATAATATAGCTAATTGATATTACCTACCTAGGTACCTAGGTAGGTAATCCTCGATTGGGAATTGCTAGATTCGGCCATTGTTGGAGGCAGTACCCAATCAGCTACAACCGGCTAAAATGAAATAGGGGCTTATACGTTGGGGGGTTTAGCGCTATTCGCAGGCAACACTAACATCCATGGATGTGACTACCTACCTACCTAGGTAGGTAGGTAGGTACTCATTAGTTCGACATGAATCCAAATCTTGTGTTATTCGTGAGGATTACGGTATAATACCGTGTTGATGAAACTATCATATTTTAGTGTATTGAGATCCTCTCATAGTGTATCACGAAGGAAAAGAAAAGCTTAAAAATTATACACTCGAACATGAGAATTTATAGGAACCTGATATTATTATTTAATTTTAGAATAATATGACCATGAAAGATGAGATTTAGTTTACAAATTATCCTTTTGTTAAAATGTGCAAGAGAGATTCCACCGCCTAAAAAGTTTCCAACTCTTCTTCGCCGATGATAATGCAACTAACTAGGTAGACATTTTATTATGAAAGTTCAATTGGCCTATCCGCACCTCCGCCAACTGCGCCGTCTCCTCCTCCTGCTGGAGGGATTGGGGGTTCAAAAAGGATTCTCCTGCAGAGCTCTTCAACCGCTCTGTCCTGTTCAGAATCAACACCATAATAATCTCCATCTCTGGTTGTTATAGCACGCGTTATCCAACTGTGCATGGAGTCTAGGGGTGGACGATCTCTAGGATCTGTCGCCAGACACTGGGCAACGTGAATTTTCAGCATGTTGTCAACCGTCGGAAATGGTCCTTGACCTGCAACTCTCAACGGGAGAATCGCATGCGCCTGTGTCCTTAACTGGAATGAACCATGCTCTAATTCGTAAGGGTCGCAGTCGCCCGGCAGTTCGACCCTTACATACGGATCCATTGTTATCAACATTGACATGATCTATCATGCTTGTCAGAAGGTGATCAAAACATCAAGCTATTCTCTTGGCTGGGTATACATACTGCTCCAACATCCCACAAATTGCCCGGTACGCCGCGAGGAGTTGCGCCCTGGGCCCAAGCCCACTCGCCAGTGAGACCAAAGTCGATGATCTTTAGGATCGGTGAAATTCTGTGCTCTATGTTGGGAAGAAAATCTCCAATAAGAACTAAGTCTGTATTAGCTTATTACTTCTCCAGCTAGTCAAAGTACCTAGGTAGGTATTCATTGAGAGGTGTCCACATACTATTCCCACGATGGAGGTCGTTATGTTCCAAAGTTGAGGGTCGAACACGTTCCTGTGGTATTTCGTCCTGTAGCAAGTCGTCCGTACGTTCAGCAGGCCACTACACCCAACAAAGAATCAGTATCGACTAGAGACCATGAATTATTTAGGCTGCCGGACTCCCAATAAAATATGATGATGATGATAATGGCGAAAGCAGAGGGCATCAGAATGACTTTAGTAACCAACGAAACTACTTACGGCCATGGCGGTACAGGCTCGTATCACTATACTCCCGTCAGCTCAACTATCATTACGAGGTCTCGTTATATACCCGTGTATGAGAAGGGAAGCAATTCAATCGACGGGTTGACTTACAGCAGAAGAACAATCTCCAGAGTAAACGATTTGGCAGTGGTGCCAATCCCATAACGAAGACATTATCCATGAAACGCTTCAGGCTGCCGTTTGGTATCCATTCTAATATAAGCCATTCTCCGGAAACGTTGGATTGCGGCCCATTTTGTAGAGGGTTATCGGGAATGTCAATAACCTGAACTATATGCCTGCTACCGCGCAACCTCTGTATATTTCCATAATGTCAATCTAAGGGAACTCTGTCTTACTTTCCCGTAGTCTCTTCGGAAAGTACATACCATTAAGTACCCTTTCTCTGCTCTCAATGCATCTTCCGCATTTTGCGTCTCAAAAGCCCTTTTAACCAAGAATTCCTTCAAGTCTGGTTGGCTAGCATCAGTGTACCGCACCTGATGTGCAGAGCCATAGTTCCCATAGGCTATTAATCTTTTATACTCGAATCGGGGATTGTTAGAGAAACATTCTTTAAGAACTTGGCAATTTCGTTGCACATGATTACCCATTTTTGTGTTTATGTGAGCGTGAGTGAAGAGATCGGGTACCGATTTCGTAAATACCTAGGTAATAATCACTGACGATGATTACTATGTTATCTGGATACTAGGTAACGATCACTTAATATTCTTCGGATTCTGGCCATTGTTCTTGTAATAGGATTCATCAATCCCATTGCGGCCAAGGTGAACAAGGAGGTCGGCCTCAATGAACAAGAATTTCTTTATTCTACCTAGGTAGACAATGGACTCTGCAGAAAGGTATACCTCGTCCTGGTGGTATCTAGTAAATAGATAGATACCTATTCCCGGATTGATAAGTAAGATCGGGGTGCCCATCTTAGTATCAATAGAATCCTTTATCAGGATTTGACTACCAGCTAGGTAGGTAGGTACCTACTCTTGGTATGGATTTCTTTCAAATCTATCGCATCAAGTGTTGCTACCTAGGTACCTATGTGCATTTGAAGACATCACAGTCAAACTGAATTGTCTGAGACCGCTCCAAATCCTCATACAGCCTACAACCCAAGGACATATCTCTCTATTGTAATACATCAAACCATTCATTGATTCGAATGTTATAATAACGCATACCTACCTACTCCCCACTTCCCTATCAGGCCTACTTTCAGTATATAATCCGACGCAGCCAACCCGTTTCGGAAACAATTTCCAACGTCGTTACGCGGCCAACCGTAGATGGGGGTCCACGTTAACCCGACCTTTGGTCAGCAAGTCTTATTCTACTGTCGGATAACACGAGATACGGTTAGGTGGCAAAGCCTTGTCTTGGTCCAGGCGCGTTTCCGATACCGTAGGAAGACTTGGCTATGGAAGCGTCGGAACCATGTTCACATGCACGACCGCCGGGATAGTCCGATATACGGGCAGAAAATCAGTCCATCTTCCAGCGTCAACGGAGCAAGCCCGAGATAATCCGAATCACGGATTGCTGATCTCGCCTTGCTGGATTACACTGCATGTCATACGGGAAGTATGCAGGGCATCTAGAACTTCGAGGATCTCCCGCGTTCACCCCTTGCGAAGTCGCATAGAGGCTAGGTCCCTTTGGGGATATATCATCGTGTATTATTGCCTACGAATTATTATTTGTCAACCCCCTCAGCTCTTTTTGATTGAAGTTTTAAATCAAGTTATTCGACATAGTTATAGCTGCCATATCTCGGAAATATTCTAATCGCGTAACTTGTATCTCCCGAAAAGGAGAGTATAGCCATACATGACCTACCTCGCAACCGTAATGGCGTATTCATAATAATGCCAAGCATGGCCTGTCAGCCATAGGCCTTTTCTAATTCTAATACATGGATTCCAGTACCTGGCACAATACCAAGTAAGTAGAATCTACTAAGTTGAATTACAAATGCCTTGAGCTTAGGTAATTTTCTGTATGTAGGTAGGTATAGAATAGGTAGATAGCTATAGGTAGATTTGATTAAAGGGGTATAGAAGCTTTACATGTCTGACCTCACCCCAATCGGGTCAGCTGCCGAAGACATCGAATCAGCACGCAGCACTACGGCACATCGTGGTACCTACTAGCTGCTTCGTCAACATTATTGTTCCTTTAATTCTTTTCGATGTAGAATCCATACCTTCATCATCATTATACTATCCGTATGCTTGATCTACTACTACGTTCAATCTCACCACGATATAAGATATCCTGGGTCACCGACAAGATCAGCTTACTCACTTTAGGTGCAACCCAATTCAAGAAGGTGACCGGTTATATATGTATGAGATGCAAAGCAGTCAGTTCGTTGTGTTGCGATCCATATTAACCATCATCTTACCTTTCAAATATCGCCCCCCTCAACATAAAATTGCCTTGTGATCGAAGTCCACCGCCAGATCCACGTAATTTGCCTGCTACCTACTCTCATTCAGATGAGCGACGGTATGCGTAACTTACGTAGAGGCAAAGGCGATTGCTTCGCGACTAGAGCAACGCAAGTCGGAGATCTTTCGGCCGATAATATAAACCCAGCGCGACGGTAACAAGGTGGAGGTCAGCAAATATTATCAGATTCCCCATGGATTCCCGAGACTAATGATTTGGAAAGCTCTTCGTGCCTGATAGATCTTGCTCTATTTTCGAGCCCTGACAGTTGACAAGTTAGTCTTGTTGGGGGAGAGCAAAGAGGGGCTGCAGGCATTGTCAGCGACTGCTTACCCGACCCTATGGCGGCCGCAGGTCTGCATTCTCGACCCTGCTTACAATTCGCCTCTTGCATACGGCACAAGCACGGCACAGGCATGTCCCGCAGCACGCAAGCTACGAGTTCTGCATTAGCCCGAAAAGAAAAGAGCTCTTTTAACATACCAATTTAGGGATGTGAACGGCGATCCGTGTCTTGCATGAATTCATCTCGACTGAGGATGAGGTGATGGGATCTCATATTCGACGGCGCTCGTTTAGGTATGCGACATTGGGCATGGCTATACCAAGAAGACTTCTCCGGCCTAGACAGCAATGCAGAGATCCAGGTTGGTCTACGATTCGGAGATGGCCTGAAGCGACTTCAGACCCCGTGTTCTCTGCTATTTCTGGGTGGCTAGAATATCCGTCTGCATTCGCGTAAAGGCTTAAAGGATATACCGAGCCACACAGTCGGGAACATTTGACAGGGAGAAATGAAGAAATTTAAGTCGGGTGTGTAGGGTCCGGACTTTGATGATTGATAGCGCAGTAGGTCAATTATACAAGCACGTCAGTAAACACTCAGAACTAGACGAGCCTGTTGGAAATAGGCAATCATGGTTAAGTGTAGAAAACGGATATTAATGTTTCTGTTGGAATTCCGCGAAGTCAAGAAGAAAGGTCTAGGCTGCATCTAATCAATTCCTCCCACGCCTTAACCTTCCAAGGTTATCACCCCTATTTCTTTCTTGTGGAAAGGGGTAACTCACTGATACCTACCTGGTAGGTAGGTATATACCTCTATATATATAATTACCAATCATCGAGAACCTTCAATTTCACCTGAGGGTTTTATGGGATCTAGTGTTGGGTTCTCTTAACCTAGTATCCTTTGATGTTACCAACATCAGAATAATAAATTGGCCCTTAAGAAGTTCATTAAACACCATATGAACATTACCACCCACGCTTAAATGTTTCTGATGCATCGCCTGATTGCCAAAGTGAAGAAAAGAAGCCTGTTAGAATGTTGTCTAGTCGCGGCCATTGCAAAACCCTCCATTCTTCATTGAATGACAACATAAACCGTACTACGGTTTGGGAAACAGATGAGTCAGTGTCTTAGACCCCGTAAGCCCTCCACATTCCAATGGGGGAAAAGCATTCGAGTAACACGACTCATCTGCTCTGCAACCAGTATCGGTCAACTAAATAATCATGTCGGTATTGTTCAGTTGAGGCATTCGAGTATTCAACCATTTCAAGTCCCAGACAAGGAGTACCTCCATACCCGCCGACAAACGGGCTTTTTCGATACTATCAATATAATTCAACAACCATATTGACCATATATAGAGGTACCTAATATATGAGGGTACTGGGGTATTAGGTACCTGCCTACCTAGTAGCCTTCATTGATAATATCATGAAGCTTTTGTTGCCTTCTCCGTGTAGGTACCTATATGGCTTGACTTCATTTATTTTACTTTTATCGTCGTTTACTTGAGATGACGTTGAATTGAACTCCGTGATCATTATTCTTCCGGGTCCACACAACTGGACCTTGGGTAGAATTGATGCTACCTACCTAAGCAGCTAATAAGCGTGGGAACGCGATAAGAGTGATTCGGTGATTCGATGTGCTTGTCTATTAGGTCTCGTGACTGTATTAGGTGGATATGGCCACAACTTGGAACCGGTTGCCCAACCTCAGAGAATCCGAGCTATCTCCCAGTGGAAGAATCGTGTGGTCCCAGATAGTAGTGATGTTGGGTCGTAGGAAGCGGTGATAAAAGTGATAAAGGAAACGTTCGGGTTCCCCATCGAAGAAAATCTCGCTACAGCACATGGTGAGCGGACCACTAGGCCCGTCTAGGAACTGCGATTGCACGACTCTTCTAATTAGCGCAATGATTTACGGGACCAACAAAGCATGCCGGACCGAAAGTACGGGGCATGCGGTCCATAGCGTCTAATTATAAATGACCGATGCGCTCATAAGGTAAAGATGTACGGCTCATGATGCGAGGGGGGCATATATAAGAGGCGATTCTGTTTTAGTCACACTTTCGGACTTGAGCGAAATCGAAGTTGGAGGATTGAAAAGAGCTGATTGAGATCGCTGGTCGGATTCTCTATTCTACATAATACAATTAGCACGAATGAGGATACTATGGTACTTCCATTTCCATCTTTCATCACCTCCAAACCGGGATGTTCGCCAAGAATCCTGTAGGAAGCCAGGCAAAAGCTTGACTTGACAGCTGCTTTGGTCAAAATTGCTGACACTGTGATGAGTTCAGATGCTTGAGATGTTTCGATCTAAAATCGTCTAAATCGTCTAAAATCGCCGCTTACCTAGTTCTTATCTTCAGAGCTAGATAACTAAGCTCAAGCCAGTATCCCGCGCATGCCAAGTAATTATGCGGCGACTTTTTTCAAGAAACAACCTTGAAAAGTTGAAAAGAGTGAGATAGAAGAAAAGGCGCCGCGCCGGCAGACGACGGCAGACTAGCGGGTCACATACGTAAACGAAGCGCTAAGACGGTGGGTTTTTACCTAGACGAGCTAGCCTAGCAGATAGACTTGGGAGACCTGACTGCCTGGCAGCCTGGGAAGGACCTAGCAGCTGCCTGCTAGGAAGACTTGGGAAGGGACAAGGGCAGGGTATAAACGCTTAGCCCCTGGGGATCCATGGATCTTCGAGTAATCCCAAGCAAACCGACAAGCTGATTGCCGTTCTCGATGACGTATTTGGTAATGGTCGACGAATACTAAGATGTAAACGTGCTTAGCGCCGCGATTGAGCGTCTCTTCTTTTCGCCGCAATCCAAATCCTTTCATTCTCTTTTTGACATCTTTCGTGTTCATTATCGCGTCTGAAATCTTCGCGACGAATCCTTCGTCTCTTCTATTTTTTTATTATTTTTTTTAGTTACCCCAGAATCTGCAAATGTAATAGGTAGGAGGTATCTTTTTTTAAAAATGCCCCGTAAATTAGTTTAATCATCTTCGCCTTCAATGATCCTATTTACTCCACTCCCCTCTCCTCTCTCCACTCTCTCACCTTGATACTCACCGGGGATCGTGATGTGAGAGTCGTTACATGAATTATCTAATCACGACCAGGCTTCCAGGTCAAGAAGGTCAAAAAGCCAAAAAGCCAAAATAGGTCAAGGAAGCTAATAAGAGGATCATTCATGACATCCGCTCCCACCCATTTACCCCACGTAAAGTCGGCAGTTTGACATTGGGTAGCAAACATGTCGTCTCATCTTACCATCTTACATACCACCACAGACGGGGCAGACAAAATACATAAGTACAATACATCTCTCGAGATCGAATTGGTTACCGAGTTACAGTAGCGAGTCCCCCAGCTTCCCCCAGTCCCCCCCAGTCCCCCCCAGTTCCCCTTGGAAAGTCTGGAATGAAACCCCCGACGGTGTTGGGTGGTTTGGGTGTCTTAGCAGCTTAGGTATCTCGGGGTCTTGGGTGCCACTGTCTACGCAGTCCAAGCCGGTATCACGGAATTTTGCGGTCTTTTCTGTCCCTCTTTCTTCTCGTGCTGTCGTGGAGGCCGTGTGCAATCGGTGTAACCCAACGTCTGACCCTTTTTATGGATTTTATGGATTTTATGGGGTTTGTGGGTCTGTATGCGCCGTAGTCGACAGGCCAGACAGGCTAGACCTGACAAGTCCGAAGCAACCGTGCAACGGGTGGTAGGGCAGTAATTGAAACGAATGTGGTGATGTTTGTTGGAGGTAACAGAGGCTGCGGAGTAAGAGCGCTGAGAGCTACTGCTATGTAAGTACCTAGCTTGGTACCTACTTGAATATCCATCTAGTAAGAGCTGATCAGAAGCTGCAGGAGCTAATCACAGGTTATTAGAGCTTATTAGGAGGGTATCAAGCGAAAGAAACTGTAAAGACGGTTGAAACCTCCCCCATACCCCCCCATACTACTCCCCCATACAATCCCATACAATCCTATACAGCCCATACTACTCTCCCCCAGCTTCCCCCAAGTCTCCTCATATAATTGCGCCCCTCATATGACATCATATCATAATATCTTTGCTGAGGCTCATGTTCACCTTCGTCATCTTTACTTTGTTTGTGCATCTTACTTTTTTTCTTCAGATCGTCTTAGCCGCGACTAGTCGTGTTTCCCGAAGTCTCGAGTCTTTGTACCTATCCTGGGTAAGATATGCTGCTACCTTCAATGGTGGTAAGGGAAGGTACCTAAGGAAGATACCTAAGGAAGGTGCTGTATGTCTGATATGTGTGTACCTACTTCTTACCTTGGCTGTGAGGTCTAGACGTATGTACGTAATGGTGGGTAAGTTCATGTATGTACGAAAGTACCATGTTTATCTTTTTTCTACCTGTAATTTTTCTTAACTCTTCCCAATTCCCCTTCCTTCAATTCCCCCAACCAGATCTCCAAATAAAAATATTACAGCTCGAAAAAAAAAGGAAAGAAAAAACACATGCATCGAACAATGAAATTAAATCAGACAATTATTTCCCGCATTCCCCAGAAAAAAAATCAAAAATCGGAAATCAGTGTGCCATAGGCTTGCATAGGACATGGGTCGTCTGACATGAATCCTGCATCCGGTTGACCCCAAGGGGAGCCCCGGATTTGCTAGGTCGTCTAGCCTACCAGCGTACCAACGTAACGGACGTCTCTTCTTGTCGGATTTCTCCCGATTTCACACCACCATCGTGCCTTGTTGGCTGAACTGGCTGAAGCAACCAGAGGCAACCTGGAAGACTGGAAGAAAGAACATTCTAAACCAGCCCAACCTGCAGCTAGTGCTGTCGTCATACCTGTAGGCGCGGGTTGATGGCCCCGTTCGAACTGCCTCTTCCTTCTTAGAAGCCCAAGTTCAAGTCCATTCCGAATTCCAGCCGCCAATTGCATACAACATACGTACAATCCGTCAATTTGACCATTCACTCTTCCTCAAGCCCAATGCATCCCTGCTTCTATCCCATAGGGTTAGTCCTGGCATCTCCATGTACAGAAGAGGAAACGAACAGGGTCCCAATGTACATACTTACCTGGCTACCTACCTACCTACCTATCATTCTACCTAGTAGGTAGTATAACACTCTAGCTGTAGCTGTCGAGTAGTTGAGTAGTCGAAGTCTGGTAGCATGATCCTTTTTTCCCCCTTCTTTCCCCTTTGCTGCTTTGTTTCCCGATGGGTGGAGATGGAGACACCGAGATATACATCCACTCGTACCTACATACAACACCCCGTACATTCAGTTCTGCCAGTGTGGATTGGTCGATTTACTACTAGGTATGATACCTAATACGTACAAGCTGACGGCTCGAACTGTCACTGGACTGTCTCCCGAGGTCCCTGATGACTTCCCACTTTTTTTTGTCTGCGGTTCGGTCGCCCTCTGCCTCGCTTGTCGCCTCTCCTAAGTACCTAGTCTTAGTTTCTTATTAGTTATGTATGTACCTTGTTATTTCTGTCGTTACCATTATTAAGCTTTAGATCCGTCGCCGTCATCTCACGTATATAAACTGGAGACTATCCCCAGACCGGCGTGCACGTTGTCTCGAAGTCTTGTTTCTCCTAAGCTCTCTTGTCTCGGGCCTAATCTGTGTCACTCAAGCCACCCACATCATACCTTCGGGTCCGCACCTAGGACTTCCCGATCCAGCTTTTGTTTATTATTTCCCCTCCCTCTCTTTCCCCTTCCCCTTCCCTTCCGGCCTGGACGGTCTTAGTCAAGTGTTTCTTGTTACGAGGGCATTTCATGTCAGTAACAGGTTTTACTGTCCTGCCCGCCCTTTGAAGTCTTATCCACTTCTCAAACGCGCCCTAGATATCCAATCAGCCAGCCGGCCAGTCAACCAACCATGGACGGTGCGAAAAAAGAGTGGCCCTCCACGTTCGGGCCAAATGACGAGCGTCCGACCTACAGCTCCGAGGAGACCGTGGGTGACGTCAATGGCATCGCCGTCGCCGACCAGTCCATCGCCGCGAGGGTAGCCGAGAAGGAGAAGGTGAAGGCCGAGACAGGCAAGCGAGAACTCAAGGAAGAGGACTGCGAGAGCGAGCTCGGCTTTGCTTTTTCCACCTGGAAGAAATGGTGGATTCTCACCGTCATCTTCCTTGTCCAGACTTCGATGAACTTCAACACCTCGCTCTACTCCAACGGTCTCGAAGGAATTTCGGAGCACTTCAACGTCAGCGCTCAAGCTGCCCGTGTCGGTGCCGCTATCTTTCTCGTCGCTTACGCTTTCGGCTGTGAGCTGTGGGCTCCGTGGTCTGAAGAGTTCGGTCGCAAGCCAATTCTACAGGCTTCACTGTTTCTCGTCAATCTGTTTACCCTACCCGTCGTCTTAGCCCCCAACTTCGGCTGCCTACTAGCCGGTAGATTTCTCGGCGGTCTTTCTACCGCGGGGGGTAGTGTGACACTCGGAATGGTGGCCGATCTATTCGAGAGTGATAGACAGCAATATGCCGTGGCCTACATGTAAGTCAATTCCCTTTTCTACCAAATCTCCCTGGAGGGCAGTAGCTGTATCATGCTTCGTGTTGGTCCTATCCAATTTGTCTTCCGAAACGTCTGAGCTACTCAGGTAGCCAATTAAACTGGGAAACACTTGTACTGATTCTCTGTTCATCATAGTGTATTCTCCTCTGTTGGTGGATCTATCCTCGGCCCAATTGTTGGCGGTTTTGTCGAAATCTTGCCTCCCGCCCAGGCGTGGAGATGGTGTATCTGGATCCAGCTGATCTTTGGCGGAGCTGTGCAGATTCTGCACCTTCTAACCGTACCAGAGACGCGAACGACCATCATGTTGAACCAAATTGCCAAGAAACGCAGAAAGACAGGCGAAGACCCCAACATCTACGGACCTGACGAGATCGAATCATTCTGGAGCCGATTCACCCTCAAAGAGTTGATCTATACCTGGTTACGACCTTTCCGCATGTTCCTCACAGAACCGATCGTGCTCACCCTGTCGCTGCTTTCTGGTTTCTCAGACGCCCTCATCTTTATGCAGATCCAATCCTTCTCTCTTGTCTACAAGAGGTGGGACTTCAACGCCTGGCAAATTGGTCTCGCATTCGTGCCCATCGGTCTTGGTTATGTCCTCGGTTGGCTCCTCTTCCTACCTGCCTTCAAGAGAAACCAGCGCCGACGTGAAAAGCATCCCGAGGATGAGCACGCCCAATACGAATCACGTATGTCTCTGTTGCTTTGGCTAGCACCTTGCCTGCCGATCGGTCTTATCATCTTCGCATGGACGAGTAGTGGCCCGCCGCTCCATTGGATTGGCTCCATGTTCGGCACCTGCATTATCGGTATCGCAAATTATGCCATTTATATGGCCACCATCGATTACATGATTTGCGCCTATGGACCGTACTCCGCTTCCGCAACCGGCGGCAATGGCTGGGCTCGTGACTTCTTAGCCGGTGTCCTCACCATCCCTGCGACTCCTTTCTATACCAACATTGGCGCCGAGAAAGGCATGAACCTGCAATACGCCTCCACCATTCTCTTCTGCATCGCATTTGTCCTGGTTATTGCCGTGTACGTGATTTACTGGAAGGGTCCGGTCCTACGAAAACGCTCTCCCTTCGCTCAGAGTTTGGCCCAGGGTGCTGCTGAATTCGGCGGCCATCATCTTAGCCACGTCCACTCCCATCGCCCGTCGACGGCGGGTGACACTCGACCACCAACGGCGACTACTACTTCGCGACCCCCCACCGCGCCGAACGCCCCGACCATCGAGATTATGCAGAAACGTCCGGGAGATCGAATGTCGGCATCGCGACACAACTCATACTATTCTAGTCAGCAAGCCGCAAGCCGACGCCAGAGCAGACAAGCTAGCCGGAATGTTAGCAGGCGCAACAGCCTCGAGCATCATCGTAAGTCGGTCGAAAGCGACAGCGAAGAAGGCGTCTCGCATCATCATCTCCACCATCGACTCCAAAACCTAAACACTATCGCTTCCATGCCCACTAATCCCAACCCCAATCCCACCAACCCCCAGCCTTAGGAGGATGTCGGTCAGAGTCATTGGGGCGTGTCAGTAACTGACTTCATGGCGCCGGTGTGGGAAGAAGACGCCGCTGCTAGCACCTCTTCTACTGCTAGAAGACGGAAGGAATAAATCTGTATATAGTATATAACGCATTAAAGTAAAACAAACACATGGAGGCAGACTCGGGAGGTGCGCAGCAGCAGGGCAGGGGACTCTATAACGATGTGTCTCGACCGACAGAGATTATTCGGTCGAGTCGAGGTAGCTGACCATCTCTGTCTTTTTATTATTCCTCCCCACGGCCTCGGAAAGGGGTTTCCTCCCATCGCTTGCCGGAACTGAAACGTCGGAATGACAATCCATTGGGGAGGGGCGTTCTTCTTTTGAGGGTTTTTTTCTCACCCTGCCTACTAGGTAGCCGACCTAGATAGTTAACGTTTTTTTCCAACGAGGAATTTAAATCTTTCGTCACGAGACTTCTTGGGTGCGGTTTCAGCTCCGTTGCTATTCTGATTGGTAGAAAGGGAACGTAGAATGGGTATTATGTACTAGTTTCCATACCTACTACTACTACAACACCACTACTGCCGTTGCTACTACAACCTACATCGATGAATCGAAAAAGAAAACCAGAGAAAAGGGGAATAAAACCAACACCCCAATATTCGCAAGGCTTTGATTCCATGAAATTTACTTGCCGACCTGACGCGTGCATACGGGCGTAACGAGGGATGACCGCTGTTGCTACCCGCCAAGTCCTACATCCGCGCTGCAAAGCAACGTTGCCGGGTTCCTCCTTTCGACGTACGAAGCCTCTCTACTCCTATTATTCCCAATACTTCCTCTACTGTCGATACACATGTCGTTGATGTGGGAAACATGCCTACCTACCTACCCATCCATCTCGTTCCGCCTCCCTATCACATTCAATATCTGGGCTTCGGGTGCCAGTATTTGAGCTCGTTTCTCAGAATCGCGTGATGGTGTTATTTCCTTGGCTACAGAGGGAAGGGGGCCGGCTTATTTCTGAGAGGAATATCTGAACAGGAGTTTGATCCACCTGCTTACTTGGGTACTGTTGCTTAGGCTAAAAATCACAGCTTCCTGAGACAGAGGTTTGCGAGGCTCCATAAATTCTTCGGGTCGTCCAAGTATTTCCTAATTGCCGACGCCGCTGAGAAATAACGGCGAGAAAAAGGCTCATCTACTTTACACATTCACAAAAAAAAGGCAAGAGCTGTGACAATATACACTTGTGTCTATTAAACTCGATTTACTTTCGTACGTAAAGTTACGTCACTTTACACATGGGTAACGACACCCAACTTGTCCTTCCAACCCGACACCTTCGAAGCCGTGCCGCCAAAATTGTGGAGACGTTCCCCCATAAGGTACGCCTCGTCTCTGATGCGAACCTGCCAGCCCTCGAACACGCGGAGCATGTTCCGCGTCATGAGAAGTCCTATCCAGAAGACTGCCATGAACGGGTACGCGAGCCGGAACGTCAGGACCCGCATTTCGCGAGTCATCCCCTCTTCGATGTCTAGCACACGCTCGAGGACTATCCGGGCTGCTATCGGCGGCACGGCGATCATGAGTAGCGACGCTACGACCCCGGGAATAACGAATGCGCGCGTCAGGATGCCGATGTCCGGATCCAGCCATCCGCGGCGGAGGACGGCCCGCACGGCATAGGCAGGTCTACCGCCATATAGTGTCAGTGCTCGGGAGCCGAGTTTGAGGTAGAGGATGCCCAAAGTCCAAGCTTGTATGACCCGGATAGTGTGGCCTTCTCGCAAGCCGTCGAGTCGTCGTGTGGTATCTATTCCGGCGGGGTACATGTACGTATGTAGCGGCATGAGTAGGTAAAGCTCTACTAGGAGTGTAATGAGCAGGGGAAACACGACAAGTAGAACTACGTAAGTGTACAGAAGCCGACATGTGTATGATGTAAATTGGAGGGCACGTTGAATTGCGTGACGGTCCACCATGGAATCCGCCGCAGACGTAGTCCAAGCTCTCAGCTTACTGAGCATTGATTGTAGATGGAAGACGAAGTAGCCTAGAGAGCCGAGGATGTAGACGCCGATGCTGAACGCATATATATCGTTGGTCCGTATGTGGGAGGGGATAAGAACATTGAACATGCGGCGGCCAAAAACCAGCGGCACGATCGTGAAGCCGACACCCGTGACAGCCGCGAATATCCATATGAAGAGGATAAACAAAAAGATGCGTAGTCGAAACCAAGGTGGGATATAGACGAGCTGGTAATGAATGCCCGAGTACAGGTCCGAATCCGGCCGATCTAGCCTTCCATCTTGTCTGATGTCTTGTTCCGACACGTCAAGGAATACCGTCTGGCCTTTGGGAATCTTAACCTGGTCGGACGCTGGCGATCGCACGAAGCGGCCATCGGGGATGAGCTGCCGGGACTCGACAAGCTTCTTTTTCTTGGCATCTTGAAGAATCATCTCGTCCGCCGGGATCTTTGAGGAGGGCTTCGCTTTGCCTCCCTTGAACGTGTCTTGCCACGTCTTCGGAGCGACTTCATCCTCTTTGCTAACTTCGAGGAAGACTGTGCACCACCAAGGAAGATTTTGATAAGGCGAGTCTCGGGTTAGTGTTAACGTACCCTCTTCATCGACACGTCTCTCTCCGAAGAGGAACCATGTCAATCGCAGCCCCCTCGCGCACTTACGGAACCACCACGTATACATGGCGTGTAGGCCGTCGCTCGGCTTGAAAAATCTGACAGCGAGGGGCATCAAGAAGTTGTAGAAGAGAAGGTCGATAGGAAACTCTAGTACGGGCTCATTAGACGAGTAATGGATCGGAAGGACGTTGGGGAGCGCTAGGGACAAGCCCCAAACGACGCCCCCAAGACAGATGACGACGAGTGCTCCATAGACGAACGCCGAGAACAATATCTTTCGAAGTTGTGTAGTGACGTTTCGTTCGAGGACATCGCGCACTGGGTGGAACTCGGGATCGTCAGGATCCCGGATGAAATCTGATTTCTAGTTAGCAAAGCAATTTTGGTAAAATGCAAGTAAAATGAAGAAGGTTGGGGTTCAGGATTCGGAAATACTTACACAGCACACCTTTCCTCATAATCTTACGACACATGGAGACGAACAATGCAAAATGAAACATGTATCCCGTGCCGACGAACCAATGCACAAATATAGACGTAAGCGGGTAGTTGTAGGTGAACAGTAGCCTAGACTTGACGGTCGTCCCCTCGAAGAGAGGAAGTAGCGCAAAATCCAACAACAGGCCGCAATACAAAGGAAATATGAGCATTTCTATACTGATAATTAATATTACTTTCATAACGCCGCTGGCCTGATTTAATGCATCGATAATTGAGGCTTCCCATTCCTGGGCTGTTTGTCCCGAAGAAAATGGTGTTCCTCTGGCGAGGTAAAGCCCCGCAAGGATCGACAGAGAAACATATCCTAGGAGGATAGCCCAGGTTCTATCATTTGCGTCCCAATGAGCGAGCCCAGGGTTCGCAGAAAGGGGTGACTCGGGGAGATTGAGATTCAGCATCCATGATCCGGGTTGAACGGCGATGCCGGGGATGGATTTCAAGAATCCAAGAAGTTCCGGTCCAAAGACGGAGATCCATGATTGAACAACGGCCCATTTAGCTAAATAGTCGCCACCAAAAACGTAAAGAGTGAGATTTCCAAGAGACGAAAAAGCGTATCGGATATCACTTTTTACCATGAGAAGAGCTTCGTGGCTGAGGGCCGAAAAGTTGCGCATCTCACTAACGGAAATGAGTGGCATCTCAGACATAAAACTAGCCAGGATCCGGTCAAGGGCCCCGAGGGCAACACGCCTAGTATCGATTCTTAACGTATGCATTAGATGTTTCCCGTGCTCAATTTTGAATAATAACCTAAACGCCTCAAACAGACTAAACGTAAGAGTAGATGTGTAGCCAACGACTAGTAGAGCAGCATCTTGGACGAATTTAGACACGCTAAAGACTATTCGGAGCAAGCGAGCTGGATTCGCCATGATCCATACAGATACGCGGCCAACGTTGTAAGGTATGAAGATGCAGAGGAAGATGGAGATTGAGACGAGGAATGCGCAAAATATGGCGTTCTGGAACAAGCCTGCGATTGGCCCGCGCATGCCGATTAACTCCATAATGCCTTCGAAATCTTCAGCATCTTCGACAGCCTCCGGATCAAGGCCAGCAGCGACAGCAGCTTCAACAACATCGGGTGCCATCTCAGCCTCGTCTTCTTCCCTCCCGAGTACGGGGTCGTTATCGAAGAATTGGGCATTCTGATTATCGCCGAATATATCGACGGCGTCCTCGGGCTCAATGTCGTCGTGGGGGCCGACTTCGACGTCTCCCCACATGAAATCAGCTACCCGATCTACAATACCACCAGCTTGTCGCGCTACAACGACGGTGGGCTCCGCATCGTGAACTTGGTCGATCATATTGATGGGGTTTTCGATCGGGCCATCCTCGGCCGGACCGAGCAAATCATACTCAGCGGCTAATCTGTCTTCGGAATCCAGCTGCATACCCAAACTCATTTGCAAATGCGACTCAGTCTGGCTGGCGTGCTGCTCATCCCTATCGAACGCCCTTGGTTCCAACAACTGAATATCATCGATGTCTTCGTGGGAATCCACTGTGGCCGATGTAGAATTAAAAGCAGATATAGCCAGAGTTGGGCCTGGTAACATAGAAGTTCCTTCATGGAGAACGTCATGGGGGCTGGAGGGTAGGTCAGAGAAAGACCAGTTGTTATTCGCAAGAGGATTTATCCTCTTTGGAGATCGTGGTCCATCCGAAGCAGCTCGAGCTCTTGTTAAAGCTGGTACGTGGGAAGATGGCACGCCGCTAGCGGTATTATCGTTGTTATTGGGTGAATACGGATTAGCTTCGCCGAACTCACCTCCCCAAGACGTCCAAGAATCAGCCTCAGTCACAGAAGCTTGTGTGGCTTTATTTTTACCCTTATTATTAGAACCTTGGCTCGCCGCAGTTTCCCCGTCGTCAGTTTCGGCCCATGTCCAGCTTGACGTGTCGCTACCGGTCCTCTCTGGTCTGGGAGACCTAGATCTATCCGGAGAGCTGCTCGGGTGGCGTTCGCGTTGGGAGACTGCCGAACCCCTAACCCCGCTTCCGGAATCCGGACTGCTCTCATCGGAGGCTTTTCCGGCGGTAGCCATCGATTGTGTCACGCGAATCCAATATCGCATACGATCCTCTAATCCTTCATCTCGAATGATTTGGAGAATCTTTTCCTGGTCACCGCCGGCCTCTCGATATATTCGCAGATATTCCTTCACAGTACTTTGAGATGCATGATCATTATCTTCTACGTCGGTAGTTCCTTCGAATCGGTCTAGGGCGGACCGATCAACAAAAACATGTTGCGACGGACCAGCCTCGGGTTCTTCATCCCGCTCCGCAATTTCGGAGTCAAAAGTGAAAGTTCTAGTGATAATGCCGCGATCTTCCCGTCCAGTGTCAGCGTCGGGTCGTGTAGCTCGCCGTCGGAACCCCGCAATAGGTCTCGGACGGGGATTGTGTAGACCTATCATATCGCGAGCACGTTCTCCTTGGTTTGCACCTTCCTGCTCGTCATAGGCCATTATCAGGTCACCGCCAAGATGGATGGAATCATCATCAGAATCCAAATCGTCGTCGTCTTCAAGATCCACATTGCGTGCCATAGGATTGTTCATAGGGCCAACCGGAGGAGGAGGAGCTTCGTTTTCTCCTGCGGCAAAAGCAGCGCGCATGTTTATCTCCGGTTGCTGCTGCACCACATAGTCCCTAACCAAGATGATCAGGATGAAACATACAATAACAAGCAAGGTAATGATCTGGCCCTCGAGGACGGCGATGATGACCCGGTTGATAGCCGGATGTCGTGTGAAGTTCTTCAAGATAGAAATGTCACTCAATAAAGAGGACGGGTAACTAACAGGAGGCAAGGTTGCGACGTGATCGACAGCGGTGACATTAAGAAGCTCCTTGACACCCGAACTTGATTTTTCAATGACGGGAGTCAAGCCCAGTAACATCGCAAGCCACGATGAGGGGTTAGTAACCAATGGCTTTGATATGCTTTTCAGCAGTGTAGACACGGGAATCTGCTCAATTACGCCTCCAACGCTCGCGGCAGTAGTCGTAGCAGCGAATAAGGGAGAAGAGGCGCAGGTAGTTGTGTACGTGATAGAAAAGGAGGACAGGTCATCCCGACCTATAGAAGTGCCATTTCTACTGTCAATTACAGGCGGGCCGGGACCAAATCCTTCATCGCTAAGCCAGAACAAGAATGACCAGACGGAGCGCATGAGATAGGGAAGCCAGCCTAGCCATACACTAATGACCAAGATGGCCCTCAACCAGACGAGGATATTGCGGACTAGATATCGGGCCATGTGGGTGACGAAAATGTAGAAGGGCAACCGCTTCGGCATGTCTGGAGAGTATAGTTTAGTAAAGCGGAAAGGCGTCTTGCATAGCTCGCAATGTTTCTTTTGAGAGTGCGATAACCATTCCATCAAGCAATCTTGGTGAACATATTTAATGCTACCACTGCATTTACACGGGTAGAAGAGAGGCTCTTCCGGGGTACCCTCTCCTCTACATATTCGACAAGTGTCGGGATCGACGGAGGCGTCGTTGCCGAAAGGCTTGATCCCAGATGTAGAATGTTCGGACATCGTATCGGGTCTGGCCGAGGATTGCCGTCGTCGCTCGATGGTATTGGGGAATTCGGCGGCTAGATCGGGCAGCCAATCCGCCATGATGGGTGAATTACCGATCGGCTCTCGATTCAAGATAACGGTCGATGAATAACGGTTCTAATCAAATATCAAAAGCTTAAAAGTCTTGCCCAGAGGGCTTCCTCCTCAGGTTTAGACCATGGGATTTTCGTATTAACGGGTGCGGGGAACGAGCAGCCCGGTATAGAAGCGGATGTGATGCTCAAATATCTATGAGGCGGTGATAGTCGGAAGCATTAGGCTATGCAGGTTGTATTATGTTGGGCGATAGGTGTTGGGTGTTGTGTAGGTTCAAATGGAAGTGGAAGTGAAAGCTGAACGTATGACAGCCTCGACCTTGTCTCTTTGTTAAGTCGGTAAGGCAAAGGCGAAGGCGCAATCGGGTGGTTTTAGTAGGTTCCTTAGGTGTTAAGTCGGTTCCTTGGGTAGTAAGAAGATTGCAGTGTTACCCACGACGTGTAGAGGGATTGTTTGTTCGGTACCTGGTAGTGGTGGATGACGGATGACGATGGACCCTTCAATGTCCAAATACCAAATTGTTGGTATGCATATATCGTAGATGTACATTAATTGATTAGGTATCTAAGGGATAGAACCTTGAGCACTACCCACTTTCTCGAGTATGATGGTATTTCAGTGGCAGTGGCGATTATTCATCCAAAATTTAGTGACACTAGAGGGGTCTAGGTCGCTGCTGCCTCTCCAGTCACGGCCTTACGAACGATTACGAAAGCGGACTTCTCGGATAAGCACCGTGTGAATATCGGTTCATTCCTCATAGTTTTGTATATCTTTATACTGTATTTCTTTATCATAACATATCTCTATTGAATTCACTCTTGGCATCCAACAACCAATCGTCGCAACACTAATAAATCAGAGTTCTGTAGCAATTGGACAATGTGTGGCTTACCTAGCAGCTGCCTATTATTCAGTATCAACTGAAGACTTCCCTTCATGTTTATTCCTTTCCAAGATTACGAAGACAGGAACTTCTCGAATCTACGCGTCCTGAGATGATGAAGTGCCGACATTCCGAATATGAATATGAATATGAATGGGAAAAGGAACATTAAGAACAACAATCTAAAAGGTGTTAATGGGTTCTCAATGCCGCGTAGCCGCATACATATGCAGCTGGCAAGTTTATCAATTTCCCTGCGATCGGGTTCCATGTATCGTTCCAGTCAGTTGGGTGTGCCAGATTAATGATCTATCGGACTCATAGTTTCTTGATATATTATCTGTGAGTCTTCTCGTCGAAGCATAAGTATATAGATATATGGAAAATATAGTTCATCATTATAAGTGCTTGCGAAATGAATAATATCTAGTATTTTATGTAGGGGCAGATCATCTCTCACATCTCTCTTGGCCAGATATTTTAGTTGCAGAAGCTGTGTTCGGATGACGTCTTCAGAATACTTAGGTGTGACAAGATGTGGGAGAGGATGATGTGGAAAATAACTTGATTTTGTAAAATTTTGATGGATGTCGCAAAGATTCTTGTCTCTTAATTTAACCTCAGGTATGATCAAACTCTCTCTATTACTCTAAGATATATCTCCATATATGCACCTATTAATCGATCTCTAGATTTATATAGCACTAAATAATCCTATCATCAATTGTAAGTTCATAAAGATATCCACGTGCTTTAGATACATAGTAGTTCGTACATACATCAAACTAATCAAGGCAGGTGCGATCGACTTCAACTTGAACCCCTCATGTCTTGCCTACATAATGTGTACCTGGACTAACCACTCCCGCGACAGGTCACAGAAAGTATCATTCCTGTGCAGACTACCAATTTCGTCATACCTCCCACAACTCTCTCAAGGTTCATGCATGTACATTCGATATCTTGCATCCTTCACCTGCTCACCTTTCATCAAATCCAATAACACCATCACTTTACTTGTTCATCATCCCACCAGTTCTTCTGTAAGAGCAACCTTGAAGTTCAATATCTCTTTTATCAAGGGAATAGGTACAAAATCGGAGAATAGGTGCCTAACCGAGACGGATTAGACGATTAGACGACCCTCGCCCATTTTTTAAGCCTTTCAACCCCTGCGTCATCCCTGATCATCTCATTTTTTGTCACAGGGAGCCGAAACGCCAGCCTTAGCCCTAGAGCTCCTTCAACCCTCCAGCTGTCACAACTATCGTCAAAGCTTCCAACATTCTAACACATCCGTACCCGCTTTCTTCGACGTCTAAAACCACATTCTTATCATCTATCCTCTCTCGGACCCTCTCGACTTTCTCAACAACTACTTAATCAATTGCGAAACCCCTATATGAAGATATATTCGATTCCTAATATCGTGGACTCGATGTTGACTTTGACTTGGAAATAAAAGCTAATTCTTTCTTTTCGTCCCTTCTACCCCGGTCGGTTTCATTTTTTCATCGCGTCTTATTTACATCGCATCCGCAACACTATCATCTCAGTAGACAACGTGTCAACTATTTACCTATACCTTAATGTAAATAGTGTTTTTTTTACTTTGATCGAAAATCAAGGCAGTGTTACCATGACTGTCGCAAAGGACGACAAATCTAAGTCCAGTACGAACGGGTCGGCGAAAGGAAAGAAGGGCATCAACGGAAGCAATGGAGTTAATAATATAAACGGACATACATTAACTTCAAGGCGGAGAAGCCTCGAGCCAAAGAGGAAGAGCTTCTTTGCATGGAGCATCAGTATCATTGCGAGGTAAGGACTCTGATACACATATTAAGGAATTACAAACTGATTTATCTTCTTCTCCAGGTTATTATCTTGGTACTCTATCTATACACTCATCTTCCGATGTCCGTCTACCCTTGACGCATGCAACGATGCAACGCCCAGAATCTGCAAACCCTATTTTGGCATCAAATCAATCGTATCGCCGCATGTAACTCCGTATTATGATACTTACGCCGCCCCTTACGTCGACGTTGCGAAACCGTATTACAACACCGTCGACCGTATTCTTATCACTCCTACCCGCACATACGCTGTCAAATATGGTGGCCCGCGTGTGGATCAGGCTCGCGCTTTCAGCCAAGCTCAGTGGGAGAAGAATGTCGAACCAAAATTAAGCAAGTACCAAGGTTTGGCAAAGACTCGCTACGATGAGACGATCGCACCTCATGTTGAGGGTGTCTCGGCTGCTGTCTCTCCTTACTACGAAATTGCACGGATCAATGCTATGCAAACCTATCACGAACTTCTACTCCCGAGCTACCTCTTCGTCCAGCCGTACGCCGCTCAAGGGTATGACGTTGCGTATGCCTTCACCACCGATACCGTCATTCCATCGACGATATGGGGTTGGAGCAAAACATACGCCTTCCTTGATTCTACCGTCTGGCCTCACCTACGAGATGTCTACGTTATGAAGGTTGAGCCGCAGCTCGTTCGCATTGGCGAAAGGTTAGGCAGATACAAGGAGAAAAAGGCCAAGTCGGTTATCGAGGAAGCTAACTCGTAAGTCCCCATCACATAATACCTATATTCGCCCATTTTCTATATCCATTACTAATACTTTAACAGGTCGACCCACAAGTCTACTTTCGCGAAACCGACTGCCTCCACCACCTCGTCTACCGCTCCTGTTATACAAAGTACTGTCGAGTCTGAACCCGAACCATACGTAAACGAAGTAGAGTCTTCCGAAAGTCAACAAGAAATAGCTGAAATCAAGATCGATCAAACCAAGTCACGCACCCCAGAAGAGGTACGCGAACATGCCGCGAAGACCGTTGCCGAGGATCTTGAGCTGTGGGAAGGGAAATTCGCAAAAGCTGCAGAGGAAGGCGCTCTAGAAATTGATGGCCGCGTCGACGATATCGCGAACCGTATGATCGAGAGACAAGTTAATGGCATGGGTAAATCCCTGGTAAGACAACTCGACGAGACTGCCACTGCTGAGCTCGAGAATCTCAAGAAGTCTATCGTTTCTATTTTGACAAAGTATACCGACAATGCCGAGAAGAGGGACGAGGCTTTACTAGAAGCCGTCCGCGCAGCCGGTATCAAAATTAGGGACAATGCCCACACCGTTCGCACTTGGCGCCAAACTTATGAACAGGAGGCCGAAATTGCCGTTACCAAGGCCGCCGAAGAGCACTACAGTATCCTTGAAAAGACGAGCGATCTTGCTCTCCAGAGGATTGGCATGAAATGGGCATGGATGGAAGGTGTCACTTACCAAGACTGGAAGAAGTACCACGAGCTTAAGGATCGCTTCGAGCAGTGGACGGATGAGTTCAAACAATTAATTACTACTCACCCTGGTATTCTGGCAGCGCAAGCGGCTGGTGTCGAGATTGAGGATGAGGCGATGGGCATAGCGCAGGCCGCAGCCATGGAACTAGGACGATTAAAGCAGGTTGCTACGTGGAAGGCGGTAGCTGGCGACTTCAGTGACGATTTCGACAGCGAGACTACCGAGTTGGCGGCTATTGAGGTCGCCCGGAAGGCTGCCAACGCCGACCAGGTCGCTAGATCAGCGGATTCCTCTACAGTTGAGGAAGTCGAGAGCGACTCTGGGTCAGCGGCTCAGGAGAATGTATATCAGGACATCCCCGCTAATGCCGAGACAGTGATTGTGTCGCTTTCTCAGCCAAATGCGGAAGCTACCAGCGCCAGTGATTCAGCATCGACCGCAGCCTCATCTTTGGAGACTGAAGCGGTAGCTATAGATGATAAGATTGATATCGACAATTCGGCTGAACCATCGTCATCTAGCCCGGTAGACGTTCCAGAACAGGTTCAAGAAACCATCATCGAAGTACCAGATGAGCCAACTGCACCAGTCGAAGAAGCTGCCCCCACAACTACCATCAAATCTGCTCTCTTTGGTGCTGCAGCTCAGTCTGTACCCTCTCGGCAGCCTATCCTCGATGACGACATCGATTCGTCTGCGTCAAGCGTACTATCAGTGGCACAATCCGATATTCCGTCCAGCATCACCTCGGCTGCCCAATCTGCATACACAGCTGCGATCGCTGGGGCAGCCGATCATTATTCGCGCGCTATGTCGGTCGTCTCCGCCCAGATTCACGGACAACCGAAGCCCGTTCATGAGGAGATGTTCAGTTCGGTGTCGAATGCGTATTTTGGTGCTGTTGCCTCAGCCAACTCTCGGCTAAATGCCGCCGTAACGGCCGCATCTCAGGGTGTCTATGGTACTCCTACCACCAAGTGGATCCCGGGCGCGCCAACTGTGCCATCTGTAGACTGGGAAAGGGTTCAGTCTATAGCCCAACAAAATCTTGACGATTCGGTAAAGTGGGCGTCAGAACAGTATGTGGCTGCAAAGGTAGCAATCGGCGCTGCTGAACCTACACCCAGCACATATCTTGAGGGTGCGGAGAAGAAAGCCGGGAAACTCCTCGACCAGGCCAAGCACAACTATTATGCGGGTTTAGGCCTAGCACATGCTCGGTATTCGGAGTTTCTGTCTGCGGCATCGATAGCCGCAACCCCCACTCCAACCAACATCCAGGAGTCTGCCTCGTCCGTCGTATCAGTGGCTGGCGACGTTGTCGGTGAGAATTGGGACGCTCTTGTTAGCCGCGTGAGCTTACAAGTCTACGCCGCTCCTACGCCGACCCCGTGGTATGAGAATCTAAATGCCGTAGCTGGCGATCTTGCTTCCGCTGCCGGTGACTTTGCATCATCGGCTACAGATGCTGCATCAAGCCAGGTCTCCTCCGCGACAGAGTTAGTAGGAGATTATGCCTCTTCAGCTAGCGATGCTGCTGCATCTCAGTACTCTATTATTAGCTCATTAGTCTCCGAGCTCATAATCGGAAAAGAGCCGCCTTTTACCGAGTCAGTTTATTCACGTCTTGCTGGAGCATATTCCACCGGCATTGCTTCAGCATCAAGCATCGCTAGTGTCGCATCTGCGACGGCAGCTAGTGTGGTGAGCGAGGCGAGTGATTCGGTCAATTCTGCTGCCGATGCAGCCGCTGAAAAAGTTAAGGGCACAGCCCAGCACAAGAAGGACGAACTCTAGATGTTGACACCATCAACACAAACACCGATGACAATTGTCATTGTATGTAGACAGTAATGATAATCACTACGACGTACACAACGATGCGAGATTATCTTGGCAATTAAGCTGAGCAAATTTCGAATCGATCTCTTTCTCTTTCGCTCTTTTGGAACATGGCATATACCCGGAGCGTTAGGATGCGTGGGCATTTCTCTTCCTGTTTACATGGTCTTTTTCATTATCCTGATATGCTACTGTTTAAAGAATATGGCACCCTTCCATCGATCATTTGTAGACGTGTAGGGGAAGAGGACCAGGTCAGCAGGCGGATATATCTGGTAAATACCTGGGTAATTTTTGCGACATCAGTTTACGAAAGACCCTCATATGAGTAAGGATGACGATTGGAATGGTTTGTGTAAGGAGGACGACACCTGTGGGGAAGTCTTCTAGGTATGAGAAAAGGTTCCAGTGGTCTGTCGGGGACTTGGGGTTTTTTGGAGGACGGATCTATTTTGAGATGTATCAATAGGTGTATGACGGTAACTAGGAAAAACTAAGTGTATCCACGGGGTTATTCAAGTCAGTTATCCATTTAAAACGCATTTGTTGTTCAAATTCCCATATAATCGCCGGTTGTAAAATCTGTTGTCTCGACAGATCGAAATACCCCTGTATGTCCCTGTCACTACTGTTACTTCTGGAGGCAACAATTAACAACCATGTAGTTCGCATAGTACAAGTACACGGAGTCACTTGCTTGTGTCAAGATAAGTTCCACCTTGAATTATTATCAGCAGTCATTAATCATTACATTTATGCATGGGCGAGAGCCTTTGTCTCTATGATGGACATTCCCCTTTCATATGCACACCCTCCATTATGTGTAGTCACACTCATGCCGCCAACACGAGATTATTCCTCCGTTCCAACTCAAGGCATATGTACGTCCAAGGTATCCAGCGAGAGTCGAAAGGGGGAATGAAAATATTCCAACCAGTTCACGGATTTATAACGTAAACCGGAACGAAGGATGATAGTCGCCCATATTATCAACCTCTTCCTTCGGACGATTCAGCCGAGCGTCTCTCTTACCAGCATCGCGCATCCTATTCTCGATGAGCATGCCCGTAAAGAGCAGCAATGCCGCGATACCGCCAACCCACATCAGTGCTAGGGATGTACCGTAGCCAGTGGGGTAATGCGGGGCTTCATCTTGGCGATAAACGAGAGCCGCCACGATGCCTGTGATATTTCCGAAGGCAACCTGAGCGGCAGACGCAAAGGACCGCTTCCAGTTACCCGAAACGTTGTTTGAAAGCCACGCGAGCGCAATAGGCGGGCAGATGAAGCCGCCCAGCGACACCAAGAAAACGGCGGCGTATTTGGCATCGCTGGAAAGGTGTGCCTGGCCCAGCAACATGCCGTAACCGATCGTCGCGATACAGCAGCCTAGAATGATAAAGCTGAAGCGGTGCTTATAATGATCCGAGAGGTACGCTACTGACACCATGCCTACGGCCGACACAGCGTACACGGGAATGGTATGTACCTGTGCGGCCCGCGCCGTCCAGCCAAACTCGCTTAGGATCGTCGGCATGAAGAAGGTCGTCGCGTATCCCGTGATTCCGACGCCCATGTACGTGAGCGCGCCGAGCCAGACCTTCCAGTCAGTTAAGATGCGCCGGTATGCGTACGCGTTAAGCATGTCCATGCGTGCTACAGCACCTGCGCCGTCGTCGGCAAGCCGCAGCTCCAGCTGCTTTTTCTCTTCAGGGGTCAGGAACCGGCATTGTTCTGGCCAGTCGACAATTAGGAAGAAGGCTATCATGGCAATGGCCGCGGTAACGGCGCCTTCCACGATAAAGATCCACCGCCAACCGGCAATGCCGTGGCGTCCGTCGAGGGAGGCGATGGCGTAGGCGAGGAGCTATAGTGGTGGTTAGTCCGGCGTTATTGATCGGCACCTTGAGGGCTTTTACCCCTCACATAAGGAACTTGAGACAAAAGAGAGGGAAGGGAGATGCGAGACATGAGAGAAAAGGCCGATGTGCATTGACGGGTAGATGCATAAGATTGGGGTTGGAATGGATTGAAATGGTACTTACGCCTCCAAAGGCGCCGCCGATCACGGTGGAGCAGAAGAAGAAGCTCATGCGTGTCTGGAACTCGTGGCGCTTGTAATATGTGGATGTCAAGTAGATGATGGCGGGTAGGATGCCAGCCTCGAAAGTGCCGAGGAAGAATCGCAGGACGACTAAACCTTGGTACGTCGTCACGAAGCCCATGCACATGTTGATGATAGCCCAGCATAGCATGAGGGATGAAAGGTAGTATTCTGGCTTGGTCTTGCGGAAGATCATGTTGCTCGGGATCTCGAAGATGATGTATGGGACGAAATAGACCTGTGAGATGTAAGACCGAATTTCATAATCTAGGCAGAATCGGAACGACTTACAAAAAGGGCGATGTTGAATCTGTTTCCATACAGATCCAACTCTTGGGTCATGCCCTGAATGCGGGCATTGCTAATATTAATCCGGTCGAGGAAAGACATCATGTAGATGATGAATAGGATAGGCCAGACGTGCAGGTCAATCTTGCGGAGGAGGCGCCGTTCCGCATGAGCGTCGATCATACCCGGAGGAGAGTCGGGTAACCCGGTCACGGCCACGGTGCTTGGCGTGTATGTTTCCTTCCCTTTAGCCATGTTTGGGGAGGCGGGCTTACCCTTGGCCTCATGGGTTAGTCGTTCATCCGACGCGTTCGACGACATATCCAAATAATTAATTCAGAAAGTACAAGTCGACAAGAATGAGGATTGAGAGACTCGAAGATGGGAGACCATAGTCGGACTTGGTTTGGGCTCGCACAACAGGATACAAAAACGAAAGACAGGGGTGACACTGATTAAGATCGGAAGGGAGGCTTCTAGATGGCGGGGTTTTGAGTACGTCTGAAGTTGAGACGAAGATCCTTGGTCGAAGAGAATTAGGAGAATTATAAATTAAAAACGGTTTATTAAAAACTTCCAGGTTGTGAATTCGAAGTGAACCTTAAAGTGTTTGAGCAGTTGGAAGTCTCGATGTGTACCGCGCAGCTGCCGCGTACCTGGAAATGGTAGGGAAAGTGTGAACATCTTATCCTAAAATAGCGAGGTCGGTGGCCAGTGCTTTCCTTTTTGAATGCTACCTTAGCAGCTTAGGTACACTATTGCCAATATCTAGGGGTATTCAGCATTCAGCTCCAGGGCTGTACTTTACATCTTACATATCCATTAACTATGTAGAAATAGTAAACATGTAGCCCTTCGATTCTTTTTTTCTCCTTCAAAATTCTACCTAGTTTTATCGCGAGACATTTCTTCTCCGTCTCATGGTGGATAAATAATTCAAGACATCTCCAGCCCACAAGAACGGCGATGTCCTAGCGATGAACCACCACCTCCAAGAACGTACCGTAATACATAACGCCACAACCAGTATCCAAAGTGCATATCGATATAGATTCTTATTTGCCAATAGGTACCTAGAAAGTTTCTCGCATATGTTTGCATGGCTAGTATGCAGGTAGGCGGAAATCGAAGAGAATGGTCAAACTTCTTTTGCCCAAGACCTCAGGGGGGCACTGCAAATAAACAACGAGCCTCTACATAGTACGCCTCTACGAGTGGGACGTCGATGGGATCATTCATGTACCTCGACATGTAGGGTGACACACATGCATGTGATACGGGAGCATACATGCATGTACAGCGTCCAAAAGCGAGATGTACACAATGGACAGTACGAACACAACGCACGTATACATTGGTATACACATCCCGTGGTACTGGCGTGATTAAATTCATAAATGTTCATTGGTGGTGGCTAGCTCTATGTAAAAGCAACCGATGCGAAGATACTTCTATGACAGTATCGACGCTAAAGAGGTTGAAATATTTATAAGGGATCCTCCTACAGGAATCATCCCCTTAGTCATCTGTTGTAACAACTTTGCGATACGCGTGAGCAGTTAAAACTAATATTATAACAAAAGTCCCTATCAAAGAACCATTTCTACATAGAAAAAGCATCAGAGAGAATCAGTCGTCACCTAGTATGTCCCACTTATCCGAGGAGGCGTATGCGCCCACGGGATTATGTTGCCAATAGTCGTTTGTGGCAACTCGCCACATAATTTGGGCGATGATAATAGTGGCTGGAAATTTCTGTGAACTATTTTCAACTGGAATGATCTCTAGTCGATACTATGAACCTCATATTCTACACAATATTCTTTGTACCCCAGATATGACAATAATATTGAAGTACATGTATTATCTAATAGCTAACCATTTGGACCAATGAAGCCCCTTTTCAATTTTATGGTCCTTAAGCTACTCGCAAAGGCGATTGAAAACATCCGGACGTAACACAAATAAGATGGCTACCGATGGCCATGTCTCACATATGAGATGAAGGTTACCAGCTTGGAGGACTTGCATTAAGGGAAGAAGGTGAGTAAACACGTCTCTCATAGACCAAGTTCAGCTCTTCAAATTGTCTCTCTGATTGAAAAGGTTAGCCTTCCAGACTATTCCCTATGATCATAAGGGCGATATACTAGTAGTATATACCATACTGATACACGTACATACTATACATAAAATACGCAGGTGGTTCATTCGTCACGAAGATCTTCGTTGTGGCTGGTTTCCCCTTTAAGCTCTTTCCCGGCCGTCCCTTGGTGTACGGTGTACTGACGGTTGATAATCACAATCTTTGTGATTCGTACGTCCACCTTCTCTCGTAATGAAACATACGTTATAATTAAGAAGCAAGTCTCCCATGGAAGGGATTATAGAGTATGAAACAACTGGGAACTTTAACCATCGTCTACCCACATACATATACCCACTTGTTCTTACCATCCTGTCGCTTTGGAATAAGCTTCATCTAAGTGTCACGCTAAATGCGGCCGAATGACGCTTCCCATTACAATTAATGCCATGTTAACTCTCCAAGTCTGTTAGAAAACCAAATATACTAGGCAGGAGCTACCGTCCATCGATATCAAGCACCCTTACCGAAGGAATATTTTCTTATGTGACGACTACAAAAACTCACTCTTACACTTTCACCTTCTCACACTTGTTGGAACATAGTCCGCGAGCTAAGATTTACTATGCCATCTTACGTCTAAAAAGCTAATCTAAGGAGGCCCAAATATTACCTGCATACCCGACGATAGTAACCAATAGTCAACTCACTTATTTTGCCAATATGGCCGGAACCGTCATGTCAACCAGCGACCCTAGATACTATGAGACCAATTCCGAGATGATATACGTGCCTGTGGGCGTCTTTCTTGCCATCTGCCCTGTTATCGTCGGTACAAGAATCTGGTCACGGATGAGCAATGGGGGAAGGCTTGGCGCTGATGATTATACCATCCTAGTATCACTCGTAAGTTGAGACTCTACTATGCACCCGGGCGCATACAAAATCAGAGATGCTAATAGCACAAATATTAGGGATGTGCGCTGGCTTCAGGTGGAATAATGCTCGCCGCTTGTCACTACGGTTACGGTAGACATCTCGCCAGCTTGACACCCAAGTACAAATATCAAGCTTTCAAGGTACGCTTTGAATCATTGATATCAGATGCTAGATCTAGCACACAACTTTGCATGTCTCTCGCTAACCTCATATCGTTTGAGGACAGTACTTCTACTTATGTCAGGTCACCTATAAGGCCTGCTTAAACCTGACAAAAGCCTCTATTCTGCTGCTGTACCTAAGAATCTTTGGGAATACTAAGTGGCTCCGGTTGGCGTGTCGATTTGTGCTCACATGCGTCATCATGTATTGCATCGCGTCAGTCACTGCTACGATATTTCAATGTACTCCGGTTACCAAGGCGTTCGACAAATCCCTCGAGGGTACCTGCATTGATAATGGGCATTTCTGGTATTCGAACGCCGGCTTCTCCATTACAACCGATGTCATTATCCTCACCCTTCCGATGCCCCTCGTATACGCCCTGCAGATTCCTAACGTCCAGAAGGCCGCGCTAATCATGGTTTTCGCTCTGGGTGTCTTGTAAGAAGCCCTACTATCCTTTAGCCACAAGGCATATACCAATATATGTCATATTGCTAAACTATGGCGAATAGCGTCGTTATCACTTCTTGTTTAAGAGTCACCACCATTGATATCCAAGCGACGACTTCAGATCCGACATACGACATTGCATCGACTATGTGGACTGTTATCGAGATGAACGTAGCTATCGTGTGCGCGTGTCTTCCGCAGATACGCCCATTGATTGTCAGATGGTTCCCCAAGCTGATGCCCGCCTTTTACAACTCCGACGAACGTTCTGACAAGCACACCCCTTGCAGTAGCAGTAGCTCCTCGAAGCCATATCCATGTAACGGCAATAGAAGCTACACCAAGCCCGGGGAGATCAGATGGACGCATATGAACGGCGGCAAAGCCGGCCAAGATGGCACAAACCTGCCGAACCTTCGCAAGGATGATCTTGAACCGGAGTGCACGTTACAGGACGAGAAGGGGCTACATATTCACAGAACGGTACAATATACCGTGGAGTACTCGCCCGATGGTAAAGCAATTCAACATGCCGGAGCGAGTGTATAAGCAAAACTGAGAATAGGAATATATGGCAGCCGTGACAACAGTGATGAAAAGGACTCCATGTGGCGTCATTTGAACCTCACGAACGAGTCAAATCTCAGCTTAACACATCCCTAGGAGAGTCGAAATATTCCGATAGTTAAACACATTCCATCCGGATTCTCATCTTTGTTGATGTTTAATAACGTATACCCAGAGAAGCTAGGCTGGAATTTATTTAGGTGGCATATGAAGTAGCGGCTAATCGGCATTGTATTGCTAGAACAGGGGCTCACGTCTCAACCACTCGTCTGAAAACGCAATATTTAGCAGCACCTGTCTAAATAGAGTACAGGTATGCTATTCTTAATTGCAGTTTATTCGAGTAGCTGTAACGAATAGGACTTTCTGCCTTTAGGTATCCGAACAGATTCAGTTGAATTTTGCGAGCTGGCTGATGAGATTAGAAACCAATCGACACACCTGATGACGTTAGTAAGTTATATTCGATACCACAGTATCATCAAGGGTTCAAATATCTCAAGATGAAACAGCCCTACAGCTCGTGTCACTATGCCTAGAAAAAAGAAAATACGCGCGATAGCCAACCATGTACCTGAGATGGGGGTATTTCCGCGGCTCTTCGGTAGGTCTTTAGACGCCTCCACCAAAGTTCATGCTGCTTCGGATTCTTCGCAAGGAATCGGATTGGTCTGGAGAAGAGGTAGGACGCGTACAACGGCCATATGTCGGCTATAATACCAGGTGTCACACGAACACGATGCGCATCCCACAAGAAGACGGCCGATCCATAGCGATTAATTGTGACGACCTGTGTAGCATAACACAGTGATCTGGGTGAAATACAACCGCCCCATACCTATCCCTTGGCCTAGCATTTAGCGAAGCTGATCTGCAAACCGGCGCGGTACTTGTATGTGATCGGCATCATCTCAAGATGCACGAGCCATCTTGATGGCGCTATATCGTAAAGCCTAACGGGTTTACTAATTCTGGTGGAGGCGTTCTTAATCGTCAGTCTAAGGGATATTCCCCGATGTATCGGCGTTCAGTTCAAGATGTTATAGACAGGTCTTAAAATCAGCTGATGGAATTCCCGGTCAGCGCTCGCGAATTCGAAATTCGTCAGCGAGGTTCGCTGTCGCTGACTCGAGTCGAGCGGCACCTGACATCCATAGACGATAATAACTCCTACTTCACATCATAGTGACCATACCTTCCTACTAACATCTTGTCGGAGGCCTACGGGTAAGGCTCTGACATCAACCAACTACGGCCCTCAAGATGGAGATTGACGATTATTAAAAAGGTCGGTAAATATGGTATACTAAAAGAAGGAAAATAAATATAACGAAAGTAAATCCATGGATGTAAGAAGAGAGGACACTAAACTAAAAGTTACTCGGCGTGAGTGACTAATACGGTAAACCCTAAGATCGGCTCGCTAAAATGGGTAAAGGGGCATGCTGTCATGCAGGTCGGTCGATATTTCAACCAATAAAACGCATTAATTGGGAGGTCAAGAAAGAACCTATCTCGGAGACCAGCCAATGACGGGGCAAAGATGGCCATCTAGATAGTTTAGCTAATAAGAACGAGATTGAGGCTGAGATTGGGGCTGGGGCTAACTCATAATACGAAGAACCACATAGACGGGCTAGAGAATTGACGGTTAGCGCCATCGATTGGCTCGCGACAACTCGAGGTTGAGATGATGATCTAAGCGCGAGGCCTCACAAGCCCGGTTTACAAGCCCGGTTCACATTCACACAACAACTTCCATGCCACAAGGGTGTCCCTTAAACCAACCCAACGTAGCTGGTTCAGTCCCCTTTTAGTTTAGCCCGAAAACAACTTACCAGGTAAACGGTCGAACAACTGTCAGGTCTAGACCAACTAAGCCAACTAGACCAACATCCAAAAAATAGGGACCTCGTGAGAGCTCGTGACGTCAACCTTCGCTAACCCTTCGTAGCGTAGTCGATGTCGTAGTCGAGGTAGTAGTCGAAACTGACGACGGCCGACGTGGAGGGTCCCCCCCCCAGAAACGAGAATCCCATGTACATGTATAAGGTTCTTAGAAGACGATATTTACGCAGCATTTCAGGTCTACCAGGGTCTACCGGGGTCTAAATCACCCATGTAAGCTTTACGGAGAATATTGTGCTAATCTAGGAACACGATTCCGAATGGTTCACGGGTTTCCCCCAACTCGAGGATCGCCAAACCGTCAACGTTCACGCATACCCGCCTAACCTGGTCGCAGATCCCTTGCCCGTTGCCCATAAGTCATAACTCACAACCGAACAGATCCCCGCCAAGAAGAACGAGTCGTCGAAAAGAGGTTAACCCAAATTTAGACACGAGATGGTTAAGAGTCTGAGAGTCCTAGTCTTAGTCCTTGTCCTTCAACCACGCCGACTCTGCCGCTAAAGTGTCCCTTTCGGCAGTGTTGGCTTCAAATTTGAAACCCCATCGTCGTCGTCAATGAACCAGCCGCCTACCGGTACGGTCGACGCTACCCGGTTGGGGCCGTGCCGTTTATGATGAAATAACCAGAAGCGTGGGGTGGTTCCAATGAAGTAAAGCCGAATGGATCATCATGGATTCTTTACCCAGGAAACGACCCAGGAAAAGAGCCGTGCGTACCTATCCACTTCTACATAACCTCGTGTTGAGATCTCTCATTCGTCCTTACGTGGTATGAAGCGTTCACGTTAGGACAGGGTCAAGCGACGGATAGTCGAACGAATATCCTACATGCAGGGCAGGGCTATCACTCGAGGTCCCGTAAACTAGCTACGACTACAGGAATCATCGTCGTCGCCACAAGTCGAGTCCAAGTTTTCGACGAAGAATATACAGCAAGTATACGCGCGCATCTTTAGATAGACGAGAAAAACAATCAATGACGACTTAGATTCATTACCAGGTTGTCGGGTCAGCCCTACGACTTGCATGACATGCATGTGAGCTTCCCGATCTTTATCAGCCTCATTTATGAAACAACCATGTCAGATGGCCGCGATTCTTCGAATGTGTGTCAGCTTACAGCATACATAGAAGGTCAACAGGCGACTCAGAAATCGGAAACGAGGTCGACTATACCCAAACCATACCCCCAGGTAACGTGTCAGTGGTGTGGTCGAAGATCGGGGAGATCTAAGTAACCCTTAGCAACACTTTTCCTGGAGAGCGCAGGGTCTTTTTTCGGAATAGCCTATAATATACATGTTGGTCCCCTTTAGGTACCCTTTTCTCGGATAGTCCCTCTCGTGAATTTATCAACTACGATCCCGTCCATAGCGGAGGATTGCTTCTATTCGTCGCACACGAGATTTGATACATGCGGGTCAGCAAAGGTTCCGGATATATCGTGGTGCGATTTACCTCAGAGCGGGAACCGTCTTTGTAAAGAATGTCATCCTTCTTGACAATTTGTTCACATCGCTATAGATTAGTTCGCCTACTTCGGGAATCTCTATCCAACATGGGATGAATATCTAGCTATATCTATCGCCGACCTTCACGCTAACAGCTCGTCATCGGATCCAGGACATTAACGCATTCTATATCAACAAGGACAAGCCACTCCGGATTCTCCTACGACACCTTCCTATTCAGCAACTCGTCGGCTCTACCTTCTTAACCATACCGAGTACACCAGCTTAAGCCCTCGGCAAGGAAAGCAATACAGCATATAACTAACACACGATGCCTCAATTCATCTTCATCGAGCTCCCGAGCTTCCGCATCAAGAACGCCAGCGGCCACACCGTCCGGCTGAACTACGTCCAGCTCGGGCTCGTAGGCGCTCTCTACCAATTCGTGCGCAGCGGCCTACGCGCAACCGACCAAGTCGACCTCTCGGCGTCCCTTCTCTTCGCAGACGGCGAAGCGGACCTTTGGACGGCTAACTCCGGCAACGGTGACGGCGGCCACCACCCGCACGCGGAGGAAAACATGCTGCTCTCGTACTTCCAGGCCTTCGACTCCCCAGGCTCCTACCCCATCGTCGACGCCATGCTCCTCCGCCGCGGCGAGCCCTGCTCCAGCTGCGCCGGCCACTTCACCCTCGGCGGCAAGCAGCTCCGCCCCGCCGACGGCACCCCGGCCTTCCGCGCTAAATTCACCGCTCGCTCCGACCGCTCCTACACTCCTGTCTTCTACCTCGCGCGCGGTCTTGACGCCGCCCAGCGCGCTACGCTGTGGGCGCAGATCGCGCGCATGCGTACGGATGAGCCCGGGGTGGTGGTCGCGAGTAGTGCTGATGTACCGGTCGGCCAGGCGTATTATCTTATGCGCGATTCGCCTTGGTTTGCGATTAATGGACAGGAGGGCATGACGGATGCGCAGATCGCGGAGGCGATTGCTAGACAGGGTGTTTTGCCTACTTATTGGATTGGGAGGTAAACTCTTTGGGGTTTTCGACGAAACGGGTGCTAGAGTATGTTGGTTGCTGTTGTGATTGGGGTGTGGTCAGGTGCTACCTGCTTGAGCGCTGACCGGGAGGTTCTAAGTTTTCAAAAAAGGGGTTGCGTATATGTACGATTAGTCGTTGGAGCGAGACGGGGCTGGTCCCCATCTCCGGAAAAGTGAAAAGGATGGCCCGATCGAGGTCAATGGATTGATTGGGCTGTATGGAGTTTATGGGTTTGGTATTTGCTTTGTTTCTGAGGAGAAGATTTGTTCTGTGTGTATTTGTTAAGTTACAATGTATTGCTGTATTAACTTGGCGGTCTGAATAGGCTGGTCACAGTTGTCCAGGATAGACAAAATTCTGCTTCGGGGAGATATATAAAAGCTTTTTGGGTATCACGTCGTGGAGAGTGGTTGTTTTTCTGTGTGTTCGGCATCTTCGAGAGTAAAAAGGGGTCAGGGGCTCAGAGGAAGGAGTGATGTGAAAACGTGCCTTCCACTACACACCTAGGTAGGTATTGTGTAACCTGTTTGCACGAATGTATAAAGGGGCTGATTGCCCCTTTATATAAGATATTCCGGACAAGGACACGCATTGGTCATTATTCGAAGATGAATGTTACTAGGTATCTGGCGATCCTATGACAAGCTACCTGTACTGCTTTCATTCACTCTGTGACAGTCTCCAACTACAAGCTTATCCTGTAGCACCCTACGAGTTTCTACCCGTAATATCAAATACCTACCTAGTGATATAGAATCATCGTGAACGGTTGATAGTAGATACCTACATCTTCAATTTGAGTTGAAGCATTTTTGTTATAAGTTGATACTGCCCTGTTTGACGATAACCTTTTGACGTGATGATCATTAATCTACCTAACTTTCCTCGAAAATTCACGGTGGGTCCTTCTACGGGGGACTCAGGAGGGCAGTATTGGGATATCACAGAGTGAATATTACTATAACTTGGGAGGTATTTTGTCATTTTATCGTAAAAGGGAGCCTTTTATCTATAAATATCGCGTGTGCCTCCTCTATCCCAGGTAGGTAGGTATACGTTTTAACCGTAAGATCTCTATCCTTTGAGAACGTTCTATGTAAACACCGAGATAATCCCTCCTTGTGAAGTGATACTGTCTTGGTCTTGATGTGGACTAAGACTTAGGAATGGTGTACAATCCCTTTATACAGTTACTAGATTTATCAATCCACTTGATGGAAGTGTGTAGTTTGATAGATCAATAGGAGCTATTCGAAGATGACAAGACCCGAGATGTCAATCTTAAACGTCTTGGCCCATGATCACATGGCGAGAACCCCTCTAGTTCCGAAGTTGAAGCTAGTATTTGGGGTATTCTAGGTCTTTTCGTCGCCGCTTAACTAGATCAGAACGCAGCAGGCCATCATTTGTCAAAGCACATAACCGACATGAAAATACGTAGTTATGCACGGTTGGACCCTTCATATCATTGTGGCGCCAGACTACTGCAAGTATGCATGCATTATGTCGAGGAGAATGTCCCTATCCCGTCGTTCCCCCGCTTCTTGGTTGTTGGAGATGTCGCCAACAATGCTAGAATTTTGCCACTGCTAATGCTTGAAAAACTAATAGCGAACAAGAATATGGTAATGAGGAGGTACGAAACGAACTTAACTGAAGTCGGAGCATTGGCCGATACCGACCTGCATAATCAACTCAATGGTTCACGTCCGAGCTATTAGAAATAGATTATAACGGCAAGGTATCATTTATAGGTAGAGATTATACCAAGGGCTTCTTCCAGGCGAATATGTCATGTGCTTTAAGTACCTATATATCTGACGATACAGCGATATGTCCTCTATTCCAAGAGCTTTACCATGCGACCATGGCCTTTCTTCGGAATAGTCGCACTACGACCTGTTTAAATATTTCGTATAATTAGGTGGTCTCGATCTTTGCCTGGAAGACATTAAAATGTCTTCAAAGGCGATGACACATACGTCCGTCATTGGTTGCCATTGGATTGGCAATAGGGTTGGCCTCTCCCCTTACCTGCCTAAGGTACCTACCTACATATTAGTTGGATACGGCTTACCATTGAAAACAGTCCATCGATACCTACGTACTGACGAAAACATAGGTACCTACCTATGTATGATTGGTTAGAAATTTTGCTTTGCTTTCTCTACTAGTTCCTCGTCGCTTCTAGATCGCGCGAGTTGTAGTCGAGAATCATGTAGATATATGCTAGTTGAGAGGATAGGAGGTCTAGCTGCTTGGAAGCGGTAGGTATCCCAATGACTAGATCACATGATGCCCTTAGATATCTATAAGAGATATCGTCCTATGAGAGAATGATCATGCTCAGCTCATCGGCTGCTTTAGTCTCGTCTAGTACGGATGACTACCCGTAGTTGAGACGTGATAGCTGAACACGTGCTGGCCGAAATGTATTCTATACTTCCGTATCTTCCGGCCGTATACTCGGACTCTCCGGTCTTGCCCCAATGCTCAGGTACTTGGGTACTGTGCGTGTCTCAATACAATTTTTACATCTTATTACCAGTGTTCTAGTTGCCACATACCTGCCCATTTGGGTAAGTAGATAATGGGTGTATTGCAGTATTCATATATGCCTATTCGTAATTGGACGCCATAGTATTTGTCTTGCTCTAACTTTGCGAAGCCACGTTCGGTAACCGGAATCAGAGATTGATAGTAATTTGTCCATCTCCGGTTGAGGTATCGACGGGCTAGCGGGGATATTACGTGACCCTACACAGAACGCATTGCCTTGCTATTGCATGAGAATGTACTATGTACGCATCATGACTTTGTGGCTCCAGATTCATACGTTTATAATTGGTGCCCAGATTCCGGATGACGGGATACTGTCTAATCTAGATATGCTGGCTGTCTACTAGGCATGCTTACAGGATTAGAGAATGCGGATAAGAATTGTTAAGTATGTACATACTTCTCTACCTCTGTAGCATGTATGTAGGTAAGTATAGCGGGAGTTGCAAGCGCCAACCGACTCTTCCGGACATCGATACTACGGTCAGGGTCCAGGTATCTCCGGATGTTGAACCTATCCCGTCCTTCGATTCACCGCTATTTGCTTGGATTGCTAAAACCAAGCGAAACCAAGGCTTAAATCGTATGAGGAATGGCTTGTTAGAGTCGATTATAAAAGAGGTCGAGTTTCACGTGGGAGATGAACGATGAAGCAAGTATTAGTCTTACACAGTACTTGGAACATCGCGTACTAACGCTTGGCCGCATTCCGCGAAGGTCATCTGCACGATCCTCTTCGGAGCATTACGTCCTGAGCCATGCGGCGGCCTTAGTGCGCTGACGAATCATATCAAGCTATTCTATCCCGCAATTGCGACAATTCTTAGGATTAACCAAGTACGGAGCAGTTTGTCCGGGGCAGTTCGCAATCTTGATACCTTTACTACTACCTAGGTAGGGAATAAATAGCGAGATGACGAAGAGTAACGGTCTTATCAGATTACTTACATGAAGATATCTACCTACCTTGTAGCAATTAATTAATGATATTTCGCAAGTATCCTAGGGAATTATCAATGTTCGGTTGCGCCCGATTTCCGGGTGACAGGATGCGGAATAATGCGACATTCAATGTGCAAGTAACGACGAACACATGATTTCGTCGTGGCGCCGTCTCACAGAGATCGGATCTCGCCAACCGAAATCCTGGCGTCATAACCAAATCCATCGAATAGGTACAGTAAGAGGTACCAATGAACGGCGATGTCTCTGGTAAAGGATTGGGTTTCTAGTATATAGTTCTTGAAGAGAAAACTGTTTCGGGTTAACGAACGGCATTGTCCGGCGCAACAACCGGGACGTGATATTCTCCCGGTACTAATTATCCGGGACTCACGATCATGTTTGTCGTTATTCCGCCGCGCCGGCGCATGTGTTTTCGGCGTGATCGCGTTTTGAAAAGTCGATTGAGTTTTTAAGCCATCAAATGGCGCCCCTGATGGGAAAATGTGTAGAATAGGAGGTAGGAAGTCTCATCCCCTGCTAGGCTCTTGTCACTCTTTACTTAAATAGGTCCGCGTATCAGGGGAATAGGTTTGGTTTACGTTAGTAAAAGATAGCGCCTTGGAAGCTTGGATCTCACCAGATTGGCGATCCCTCAGCAAAAAGCCCGATTGCTCGTACGACCCAACCAAATAATCAGACTGGTTGCTGAATAACGCTATAATAATGCTGGCAGGCTGGAAAAGAGCGTTGCATTCGTTAGACATCGTGCACGGAGATACGAGGGGTTTCATTTTTTTGTGGGAGCCTTGGTTTTATCTCATCCTGTTTGTCTTTAATATCGAATTTTATGTTTCGAGCTCATCATCTTTCAGTGTCTCACCGCCGCAACTTATAATCCTCACGAAGGCGTCATACGAACACGGGGTTACGACAACGAGGCGTATAATAAACTCAACTCAATCAAGATGACACTTAGACATCTCTAAATCTTGTTGAGATGTTCTATGAGCTGAAGGACTGTGCCATGGTAGTAAGCTAGGAATAACCTCAGCGAGTTTTTTTTGCAAGCTGATCGCGACAAATAACGATAATATTTCACGTTCTAGCCCATCTGAATGGGGCTTTCCGGCTTCTTAAAAGAAGACCATACCAAAAGCGGTACAGCCGATGATCGACACGAGCATAAGCCTGCCCGTCCCATTGGAGCATGGGTGTAATCATTACCTAGTTCGGATATCCGTGGCTTTGACCTCAAAAATCCATGTCCAGTCGAATTCGCTAAAGGCCTGAATGTGCATACTTTTACCACTTTACCGCGCAGTAGTACGCAACGAAGGACACATCCTTGACTCCTTGCTTTCAAGACAACGCTACAGGACATCAAATTTGCGGAATCGCATCGTGATGGCGGCAGAGACGACAAAGGACTTCTAAAATGCCGATCTTGGTGGAATTAACTCGAATAAAACGTTATCTACTAACGCAACAGCAAGGTAACACAACCTGCGACCAGACTGGGCTAGATTTCAGTCTGCTGTCTGACCTTACACGACATGCTGCACGATGCACCCCGTAAATAGGATTGGTATAGTTCTCGCCGAGCTAGCACGGAGTTGAACAGGCTGATTAGAAGGCATTCCTACCTAGCCAATACCTGCGAGGGTTTATGGTTCGTAGGTAAGGTCAGCGTCGTGTAATAAAATGCAACAGATGACAAGCTA